TCATTGTTGGAGGGCAAGACCAGATTGCCAAGCCTCGGTGTTTAGGGCTGGGCCTAGGGCTCTCGATCTTTGAGCCTTCTGCTTGCGAGCTACTAGAATTCTCAGAGGTGTTGATCTGAGCTGCAGATTGATTACTTCACAGCATTGTAACTACTCGGTTTGAATACAATTTTAAGAAGTAAATTGCGTTTGTCAAGGTCAGAGAAAGCATCTTTCGTGGCGTAGCTGACACCAAGCTTGACCTTAAGTCCCAATTGGTGCGGTCTAGATTCCAAGTGCTCACAAAGAGGAGAGGGTGACCACCAGCATCCAGCTAATCTATATCTATATTGCTCCCGTGAATTTGCCCCAAGCTTGTGCTGAGCGACTTTCCAATGCCGCCGGCGTTTGAGCCCGCTGTGGGGGTGCCCAACGGGGCAGCCCCGCCCCCCCAGATCGTGGAACCAATTGTATATGTGAACGGGAAGCGAAGGGTCTTGCCCGATGGCTATGCAGAAACCACTTTGCTGGAGTATCTGCGAGGTGAGGTGACAGCTGGAAAGGCGGGCGGTATTCTGTGTCCCTTGTTTTTGGCTCAAGTGTTCACAATGTTTTGTAGTGGAAACTAATAAAAAGGGGGGGCGGAACAGGGCCTGTTGCATCTGAACTGGGCCCCGTTCTTCTGATAATCCTAAATTCCAACTCCCAAGGTTTCTCTATCTTTTGGCCATGGTCCCCACTGGACAAAGAACCTGAACAGCTTTAACTTGGAGAAACTATTTTCATAGTTTCCAATATCCTTTAAGAAAGATTGTGGTGTTTTGCTGCAAATTTCAGCTTTCCGTGGACTTCTGCGAAGTTTTTCTCACCAAGCCTTGTAAAACAAAGACCTACTAATGTCGGCCAAATATATTTAGAATGCTGTGAATCTCATCTTTTGACCCAATTGCTATTCTGCTGGCTTTGCCCAGTCATTCTTTGAGGTTTAGAAGCATGATAAAGGCTGACTCTTTGCCTGGAGTTGTTCTCATGCACCACTGTTGTGTATGAAACTGTGTTTGGCCCACGCCAAAACCTTCCCAGCTCCCCAATATGCCTGTGCCCTTGATGCAACCTCAGCTCCCTTTTAATTTGTGTCGTGGACTAATCTGCGATTCATAATTTTGTTGAGCAGAAGGTGGGGGAATATTGATTCGAGCCTCACAGTTTCTAAGTCTCGCAGAGAATTTTATCTTTCTCCCCCCCCTGTCTTTTGCAGAGATCGGCCTCGTGGGCACCAAGCTTGGGTGCGGCGAGGGGGGGTGCGGGGCCTGCACTGTCATGGTGTCGCACTTTGACCCCCTGGAAAAGAAGATCGTGCACCGGTCCGTGAACGCGTGCCTCGCCCCGCTCTACTCCGTGGAAGGCATGCATGTGGTTACCGTGGAGGGGATTGGGAACCGACGCGACGGGCTTCACCCTGTGCAGGTAAGGTCTACTAAACCCCCTTTTTGACCCGTCAGCCCGGTGTAAATAGGTGGGGAGATTTTCAAGTAGTTGATCCAATCAGGTGTTAACGACTTTAGGCAGGCAACCTGGAAGCTACGGCTCCGACCCCACATCAAGCCTTTACTTCCCCTCTGGTTGCTTGGCGGCACAATTGAAAGGAGCCTGTCCAGGCACTGTTTGGAGAAGTTGCTCTGTCCAGCATTACCATCTTGCCAGTGTGGACCAACCTGGCTCTGTTTGCCAATCAGATCTTTGTCAGAAAGGGTCCAGTCAAGGGTCTTTCATGGGGGCTTAAGTCTTCTGTGGGGGCATGAGTTTTGTCCCTTAACAAGGCCTTTCCCCCAAGGCCCAAGGGGTTTCTTGCAGATTCTCAAGGGCGAAACTGCTACTTGTATCCAATTCGCGCTGTCAGCAAGATACTTTCTCACCCCCCCCCCAGCAAAAGAACTATCTCACCCCCCCCATTTGCATTGCAGGAGCGTCTGGCGCACGCCCACGGCTCTCAGTGTGGTTTCTGCACCCCCGGTTTCGTCATGTCCATGTACACACTCCTGCGCTCGTCCACCGACCCCCCCACACAAGAAGAAATCGAGGAGAACCTGGCCGGAAACCTGTGCCGCTGCACGGGGTATCGCCCGATCGTCGACGCCTTCCGCGCCTTCGCAAAGAAAGAGGCGCAGGCGCATACGCATGACAGCCTGGCAGCCAACGGTGCGCACCCCCCTGCAAATGGAACCGCCGAGGGGGGGATGATTTGTCCTTCCACCGGGCAGCCGTGCGGGTGTGGAGCAAAGGCTGGAAGCGAAAATGGTGTCAAAGTGGGGGGTTGTGGAAACGGTGCGTGCGCGGAGGGGGGGTGTGCGAACGGGGGGTGTGCCAAGAATGGGGGGGAGAAGTTGCTGACGCAGGGGGAGCCGATCTTCCCCCCCGAACTGAAAACGCGCAAGGCGCCCGCGCTGGCGTTTGGCGGGTCGAGGGGTTCGGTGTGGCACCGTCCGGCGTCGATCAAGGAGCTTCTGGCGCTTAAGCAGCGGTTCCCCGCGGCGAAGCTCGTCGTCGGAAACACCGAAGTCGGCATCGAGATGCGGTTCAAGAAGCTGGCTTACCCGGTGTTAATTGGCACCACCCACGTGGCTGAGATGAATGCAGTCACCGTGACCGGCGCCGGGATCGAGTTTGGGGCGTCGGTTACGCTAACCCGCCTGATGGAGACCTGCAAGAAGATGGTTCAAGAGCGGCCTGGTTATGAGACCTCCGGATGTGCGGCGATTGCGGAGCAGTTGAGGTGGTTTGCGGGTAACCAGATTCGAAACGTATCGTCGATTGGTGGGAATGTGGTTACGGGCAGCCCGATCTCGGACCTTAACCCGCTTTGGATGGCAACCGGGGCGGTGTTCAAGACAGCGTCGCTGGAGGGGAAGCCCCGAGAGGTGGGTTTAAAGGCCTCTCACCATTGGCTGGTGACACTTTTTGACTCTTGCTGTACTGTTCGATTTTCACATTTCTGCCCAAGCCAACAAATCATTCATACAGAAATTTCAGGACGTTAAAGAATGATTTCGAGGGGCGCCAATGGAGATTTTTTCATCTGGCTGTCGACCCTTGTTTTCAAATGTCTTTGTCCAGCTCCCCTCATATCAAGGATAAGTCAAGCGTTGATGCTCTTCTGCCTCAAACGGACTGAGCCCAAAACTCACCAGTATGGCATACTTTTAATCCTTGTGTGCCCTAACAGCTGTATGCCCTAAGATTAGTAGACCCCGAGCAACCAAACCAAAAGCCCTATCCTCAAAGCTTAGGCGCTTCGCACCCCAACCCACCCTAACCACCGGGCACCTATCTTAAGTAACACTGCGGTTAGGGCAAACTAGAGTTACCAGAGTCTGTCTGGCTGCCCAGAGCGCGCACTGCAGAAGTGGGAATACTGATGCAAACTCGTGCTTCTTTCAGGTGCCGGCCCGGAAATTCTTCCTGGGTTACCGTAAGGTGGATCTGGCTGCCGACGAGCTTTTGGCGTCCGTGTTCCTGCCGTGGTCGCGCAAACACGAGTACGTCAAGGAGTTCAAGCAGGCGCACCGGCGGGACGACGACATTGCGCTCGTGAACGCGGGGATGCGTGTGGCGTTTGAGCGCAAGGACGACCAGTGGGTGAGGACATAAAGCTCTTCAAAAGGGGTTGGTTTTGCTTGCTTTGTTCCCCTTTTGGATGGGGGTTGGGAGGACTTTCTGAATCCGAGACTAGCTGCTTATGAGGCATTTGAGACTGTTGTATCTTGCCGCAAGCTGCTTGTATTAGGGCCAACTGACTATCATACTCGATCAACAGGGAAATAGACCCAGAGGATTGTCCGGCGTCTGCTGTTAGAGGTGGTATTCAATGTAATCTGTGTTTCTGGGGCTTGTGAGGTTGCATGTTTTCCAGGACAAGTATCAATTGGAAGACGGGTGATATCTTAGGTCTCGGGCTTGGAATGCTGCAAGAGTCCCCCTTTTTCACCAATCAGACAGCTTCACACTCCCTCAAGCCTGGCTCCCATCCCAAACGCCGCATTCCTGTTCTGTCTACTTGAGTATCAAAACCTGTCTGGTCGCCCTCGCCTCTGGTGTTCCATTCAGTTATCCTTACGTATCCTCCGACCCTAAGTTTAACCCAAAACCCTGTGTCCAGGTGGTCATGGAGGCCTCTCTTGCCTACGGCGGCGTCGCGGCAGTCACCCTCGCCGCGCCCAAGACCGAAGCCGCGCTCATTGGCCAGCCCTGGACCGCCGCGACGCTCCAACTCGCCCTCAAAACCATCCCCCAAGACATCGTCATTTCCGATTCCGCTCCCGGCGGAATGCCGGAATTCCGCCGCTCTTTGACCACGTCCTTCTTCTTCAAGCTCTACGTTCTGCTGAGCGAGAAGCTAGAACTAGAGGCGGACGGGTTTAAGAATGAGCTCCCGGACAGCGTCCGAAGCGCGGCACGGCCGTACGAGCGCCCAGCGTCGCGCGGCGCGCAGTACTTTGACGTGGGGGCGGAGGGCGAGGCGGTGGGGCAGCCGTTGGTGCATGCCTCCGCGGAAACGCAGGTCGGTTCTCGTACAGCTTGTTGGGAGGTCGTAATCACGAAGCCTTACGCCCACTTTTCTCGTTTGGAAACGCAGGTCGGTTTCAGACGACTCGTTGGGATCGTAAGTGCATTCATGGATTCTTCTGCCAATTCCTCGTTTGGGCGTTCTTAGTGTTTCCTTGATGTGGCCCCCAGGCAGTTGCTGGTGCACGCGGCAGCGAGCTGCAGGTCAGGCCTTCTTTTCTGGATCGCTTTCTATGTTCCGGGGGTTTTGATTCGTGGTCGATTCGTAAGCGGCCATCCGCACCTCAACGAAAGAATATATACGAAGGTCGTATTGAGGTTCAAAGCAGGAAGTCTTGGCAGCTCGAAACCCGTCTCGCGGGGTTGCGGCTCTTGCGGAGCGGATGGCTGAGACCCGTTTTTATGATTTTACGAACGAAAGGACACTCACCGAAAGGGAGAAGCGGCGAAACACAAAGGAAAGAGGAGAGAAGAATCAGGGTTTCAACACGGACGAAACGTATGTGACGACGCAAGACGGCGAGGATAAACACCGCCTGTGTTTTTGCGGCAGGTGACCGGCGAGGCGCAGTATGCTGACGACATCCCGCTCCCGGCCAACGGCCTCCACGGGGGCCTCGTCCTGAGCACCAAACCGCACGCCAAGCTGACACGTGTCGACGCCTCGGAGGCGCTCCAGATGCCTGGAGTTGTCGGGTTCTTCTCTGCGAAAGATGTCCCTGGGGGAAACGCGATCGGGGCGGCGGCGCACGATGAGGAGGTGTTTGCAACGGAGAAGGTCACGTGTGTTGGGCAGGTGGGGTTTCTGAACGACGCGTTCTCTGATCGACCATTGGTTGGGAATCTTGTAGCTTCTTGAACGTCGGACCGAGAGTGTATGGGGAAAGAGCAGACTTGGACATCTTTGAGCCATGGATTCTTCAATCAGCTGCGAAGTATTGGGCCATTCTTGGCGGCTGCGTATATCTTGTACTGGGGCATGTGTTCCCCCCTTTATCACCCGAAGTGTTTCGAGCAGTCGACATCTGTCTGACAGGCACTTCACAGCGATCGCGTCAGGCATGCATCCGATTGCGGCAGATGCTCTTTCAAAGGCACCGCTTCTTTCACTTTGCGACACGCTGACTGGCGCTGAAGAACAACGGTTTCTGACACGTCGTTCCTCAGCAGACCGTAAAACTCTTGTGGCCTATTAAACAGACCGTGAAACTCTTGTATCCACCAACCGCAAATAATTGGTAGCATGATGACACAAATTGGATGTGACTCAGGCTGGCGGCGTGCAAAGTATGAGAATAAAACGAAGAAGTGTGCCATGCTAGGTTTTGGAAATTTTTCCAAAGTTTGGCGGCACTGAGTTCGAGTTCTCATAATCGCAGGTGATTGGAATCGTGGTTGCGGACACCGAGATGCACGCTAAGCTGGCGGCGTTCAAAGTCAAGGTCGAGTACGAGGAGCTTCCTGCGATCATCGACCTGCACCAGGCGATCGAGGTCAAGAGCTTCATCAAGGGGACCGAGCGGACGCTCAAGGTGGGAGCGTTTCCCTTTTGTCTGTGGATATTCTGAGGGGTATGCTTTTCAGGATTGCGGCTTTTGGCAAGCAGGCTAGGAAGTAGTGTCCCCTGACTACTGCTGTGGGCTGGCAAGGTGCATGATTATCCTGCTTACTTCAAGATTAGTAAGCAGCACCTCCCTTTGTGACTTCACCACCTCCTCAAAAGTTAGAGGCACACCCTTTCTGAAATCGACCGTTCCCCGTTTTCCCTGCCGCAGCAAGGTAAATTGGACGCCTGTTTTGCCAGCGGCGATTGTCACAAGGTTCCGAAGGCGAGGTGCCCCCGGGTGGTCAAAAGCATTGTGAATCCCCTCGTTCACTTAAGTCTAGGAATCGTTGCTTCTGCTCGGAGTACTAATTTCAATAAATCTCAAGAGAGATAATACTAAGCCAAGATGATATTAAGCCTCGACTAACACTAAAAATCCTAACCCAAAAAGATACCTGCTCCGCACCTGTACCCACCCTAACCGCCAAGCTAAACCTACCCGTCCCAGTGCGGTGACCATACTTTTATTCCGGCTTACTATTCTCTTTCTTGATTTTCATCTAACTTTACGCCTCCTCTCCCCCCCTCTCTGCAGCAAGGAGACGTCGATGCGTGTTTCGCCAGCGGCGAATGCTACAAAGTTTGCGAAGGGGAAGTGCGCATGGGCGGCCAGGAACACTTTTACCTGGAGCCCAACTCGTGCCTGTGTCTCCCGGGGGAGGCCGCCGAGGAGATGACCGTTATATCGTCGACGCAAGCACCAACGCACACGCAGCAGGACGTCGCGAAGGCGCTCGGCATTGCGCAGCACAAGGTGGGTTTCCGATACTAAATCTGTTAATCTACAAGCTGAGGAGGGAATGATCGTTAAGCAGGTTTTTTCTGGTAGGGGTTGCTTATTTCCTCGACGCAAGCGCAACGCACACGCAGCAGGACGTCGCAAAGGCGCTCGGGATTGCGCAACACAAGGTGGGGTTCGGAATGGTTCGGGAGTCGGGTTTTCAATGGAAGTGTGAAAGGGTTTGAGGGTTTTGCCTAAACTGCTCCTCCTGGTTAGCAAGCAGCGAAGCTCACGCGGTAAGCTGTTGTAAAGGCGCTCACCGTTGCGCAGCGCAAGGTGGGTTTATGAGACTTGAGATCGTGATGGGCGGAATTGAAAAGGGGTGATTTGACCATGTTTCAAAGATATCTCTGCTGCCTTTCCAACCTTTGAAGCGGCCAAAGACTCACGTATGCTCACAATCAGAAATGAACGGCTCTTTTGTTTGCTCGACGAATCACGAGCTCCGGCCATGATTCGTTAAAAGAGAGGGTATGTTTTTGCTAACACGAGTCGACAGGGGCAAGTTTGCCACGGCCGCATCAATCCTGTTCGCTTATTGCACCGAAGCAGATTCAGATTCGTTCGTCACCAATGACGTCAGCCTCACACACGTGGTCTCTCTGGTCATCAGCAAGACGCCGCCCATCGGCGTCGGGCTCGACGGCAGCGGATATATACCGCTTTCATTTCGTGTGCCGCCGCGATTGAAAGTCCTTATGAGTAATTTCGTCAGCACTGACGTCAGCTTTACGTGGTCTCTCAGGTCATCAGCATGGCCCGGCGCATCGTAGGCGCCTTCGACGGGAAGGAGACCCGCACGGCCCTTCAATTTGTGCGACGGCCCGATCGAAAGCGGGTTAAATTTGTTTCGTGACCACTGACGTCAGCTTCACGTCGTGTCGCAGGTTATCAGCAAGGCCCGTCGTATCGGCGGCGGCTTCGGCGGTAAAGAGACCCGCACGGCTTTCATTTCGTGCGCCGCCGCGATCGCTGCATATTGGTTGAAGCGGGCCGTCAGAGTGACGCTAGACCGCGACCAGGACATGGCGATCACTGGGCAACGTCACGCCTTCGTCGGCAAGTGAGTGCCGCTCTTCGTCAGACCCACAATCATGGCTTCTGTCGAGCTTCCTTGCGTTGGCCTCGCTTGGCAGACCGAGTTCAGGCGAGGCTGGGAGGACGGCCCCCTGGAGTTTCTGAAGTGTAGTCGAGTGAAGCTCCAGATGCATCATAGAGCAAACAGTGAGGCGGTCCCCGCTCTGATGCATCGCTTTAGTATTGTCTTGGCCAGGACCCTGCGATGGAACAGGCCTTCAACTTTCACCCTCAGAAACCGGTTCCCCAGGCAAAGATGGCGGGCTCAGAAGTGGACCTTTCAGTGGACCTTTCAGTGGACGGCGCCGCAATGCCTGAAAGTAACGGCTCTAACCTTGTTTGGTATCGCATGTCGTTGTTTCGTAACACTGCCTAGTACAAGGTCGGCTTCGCTAAGGACGGCAAACTGACTACTTGACGTCGAGTCCTCCAACGACGGTGGGTCCTCGCCCGACTTTTTGGTTTCCCGTCCCCTTACGATTTCTACACCCAGCCGCCCAAACTCCTGGAGGAAGCTTGAACTCCCCGTCCTGGGCAATTTTAATTATGATGAAGTCTCGTCTCCAGGTACAAGGTCGGCTTCACCAAGGAAGGCAAGATTCTGGCCCTCGACGTCGACCTCTACAACAACGGCGGCAACTCGCTCGACCTGTCGCTCCCTGTTCTCGAGCGCGCGATCTACCATTCCGAGAACGCGTACCAGATCCCGAACATGCGCATTCACGGCTGGGTATGCTTCAGCAACAAGCCGACCAACACCGCTTTCCGCGGGTTCGGCGGGCCGCAGGGGATGCTCGTCGTCGAGAGTTGGATCGAGCACGTGGCGCGGGAGGTTGGAAAGAGCACCACAGAAGTGCAGGTGAGAGAAACGGGTCTAGGAGTTCAGGCTTCCAGATGCAGACGTTTAAGAAGTTACAGATGCACGAGATTCGCGTCTACTTCTTTTTGCCGTTCCCCTTCACAAAGACATGATTTTCCCGTTCCCCTCAATGTAGGAATTGAACATGGAGAAGGAGGGTGACGTCACCTACATTGGGCAGACGCTCGAGAACTCGACATGAATCTTCGTTCCAAGAAATATTCCTCTTGCCTCCGTTCAGGTAACGTCACTATCTATTTCAGTGATATCTATTCTCTTCCCTTTACTGCAGGAGCTGAACATGGAGAAAGAAGGTGACGTCACCTACTTCGGGCAGACGCTCGAGAACTCGACGATGCGGCGCATCTGGGCGGAGCTCAAAGCGTCCTCCAAGCATGACGAGACCCGCGCGGCCGTCGACGCGTTCAACGCCGCGAACCGGTACCGCAAGCGGGGGCTCGCAATCGTGCCGACACGGTTTGGGATCAGCTTTACCGCCAAGTTCATGAACCAGGTACGACTGGCTGCAGATCATCTAGTGTGTTCAACTTAATTTTTTGCGTTGAAGTGGGAGGTTTTTGAAAAGTATCTTCTTAGTTAGATCAAAGAAGTCGGCGGTGCAGTGCTGTGCTTTCATGATAGGAGTCTTGCAGAGACGAGAGGAGGTGGGTTCGCCAGTGCGTGCTAGTTCGTTGCGTAGACGGGGAGGCGGCCTAGCTGGGGGGTAGGACCAAGAACCTAGATTGATTTTCGAGCTCCGCAATCTCTGCTACTTTTATCCCTCTCTAACCCAAACCCGTTCTCAGGTCATGACCTTGTGGTACTTGGCGCCATGCTATATGATTTGTAGGCCTGTGGCACTGTTTGAGTTTGGCGGAACGGATACTCTTGTAACCGATGCTTTTGTAGCCGATGCTTCTGTGACCGAATCCTCTATTCCGCAGGCGGGTGCGCTCGTCCACGTGTACACGGACGGAACGGTTCTGGTGACGCACGGCGGAATCGAGATGGGGCAGGGCCTGCACACCAAGATGGCCCAAGTGGCCGCCACCGCGTTTGGCATCCCGGTTAGCAGCGTCTTCATCCAGGAGACCAGCACCGACAAGGTGGGTTAACCCGCCCGCTTAGGCTGACCTGAGTCCAAGTGGGGCTAACCGGCGTCCATATTCTGTTATGTTGATCCTCCTGCTAGGGTTGTTTGTTTGTGAAAACATTTTGCTAGCGCTTAAGTCTCTATTTTAATGCCGGCCTTTGCGGAGCAGTGTCTGTGCAGGCATACAACCTGCCGCCGTGCGTTCAGCTTCCTCTATTCCATTCTCCCCTTTCCGGCCGACCATGAATCGAACCGCGGCTATGTGAATCTTGCGAAGCCGGTTTCGCCAATAGCGTTCGGTGCCACTGCTTTCCCCGTCGAAAGCTAACCAAAATACCTGGAAACACACTCAAGAATTGAGCAAGTTCCCTGAGAGAAGTGTTTCAACGACCCTTGCCTTTTGCGTCCAGGTCCCCAACACCTCCCCCACCGCCGCCTCCGCTTCTTCCGACCTGTACGGCGGTGCAGTACACAACGCGTGTGAGCAGATCTTGGCACGCATGGCGCCCATGAAGGAAAAGCTGCCGCCCGAGACGTCGTTCGCCAAGGTACTCACGCCATGAACCTTTTCTGTTTCTTGATTAACTTTGGGTTCGAGATATTGCGGAAAGAGAGAAGGCGTCGGGCTAGGCGTGTGAAAAGCCCCTTACGTTGGTGAATGTGGCACAGCTTCTGTTGCGCAAGCTAAAGAGTCCGAGCGGAGAAACTCATACTCAAAACTTTATACATCCCCAAACCTTGCAGCTGGCGGCCGCGTGCTACTTCGAGCGCATCGACCTCTCGGCGCACGGTTTCTACCGCACGCCCGATCTGCACTTCGACTTCGCCACCGGAAAGGGCCGTCCGTTCAACTACTTCACGTACGGCGCCGCTGCATCTGAAGTCGAGATCGACACGCTGACCGGAGACATGACCGTGCGCAAGACGGATATCGTCATGGACCTCGGCAGGTCGCTCAACCCGGCCATCGATATTGGGCAGGTAAGGGGTTGGATTGAGCTCGAAGAATTGGGGTTTGGGATTCGGTATGCGGATCTGGGCGTCCGGTTTGGGCTTTACAAGAGTCGCGGTTAAGTTGTATGCGGGTTATTTACCCGAGGAAATTCTGTCATGGATCTGGGCAGGGCGCTCAAACCGGCCATCGATGTTGGACGGGACAGGTAAGGAGTTGGTTGTGGCTCGACGAGTTTGGAGGATCGGATACAGCGAATCTGGGCGTCCCGTTCTGGGATGTTAAGGGTCGGAGTTACTGATTGTGCCCGTTTCTGCCCTTGAAATCGGTCTGCTTCATTTGGAGCGAACTGGGCGTCGGATTTGAGAGCCTCTTTTCGGACAATTGGGGTCGTCTCGGTGTTACTAATCCAGTGGCTTGTCGGATTCAACGTGTCCTGCTTGCATTTTCTACGAAATATGAAAGCGCAACCGCCTGCACACTCTACGGGGCCCCGCTTTGACAGATGGGTTATTGCAGACGTCACCTCTGGCTCCATGCTGACGTCACTTCTTATTCTTCCCCCCAGATCGAGGGCGCGTACGTCCAGGGGCTGGGGTGGTGCGTCATCGAGGAGCTGAAGTGGGGCGACGCCGCGCACCCCTGGGTGCGTCCGGGGCACCTATTCACACAGGGCCCCGGCACTTACAAGCTGCCCACTGTGAATGACATCCCGATCGACTTCCAGGTCGCGCTGCTCAAGGTGAGGGGGCGCGCAGTATGTTGGATCAAGATATCCCTTGGGTTAGTAGAAAGATGCTTGGAAAAGGAGTGATGGTTTTGCTTAAGGGCGTGACGGTTAGCGAAAGGGATGAATGTTTCGAACGGTTGAAGTTGCCACCGTGGTTGACGGAAAAAGCGGAGACGTCGTGGGCGGCGCTTGTCAATCGATTTTGATCAAGTGTCATTGCGCCAGATCCGCGATCCTGATACAAAGAGTGAATTGCAAGAAACGTGTTCCTGAAATTGGTTGCGAGCGCGCCCCTTGTTGTGAAAGACGTCAAGGGGGCGTTCCGGATCGAACACAGTGAAAAAGAACGACTATAGCGAAAAACTCCTCAAAGCTTACGAGTACACATTCCTGCTACTCGCGCAGGGCGCAACGAACCCGCGCGCGATCCACTCGTCCAAGGCGGTGGGCGAGCCCCCGCTGTTTTTGGCGGCATCCGCCTTTTTCGCGATCAAGGACGCGATCACGAGCGCGCGCCACGACGCGGGGCACGACGAGCACTTTGTATTGGACTCGCCCGCGACGCCCGAGAGGATTCGTATGGCGTGCGTCGATGAATTCACGGCGCCGTTTGCGCCAGCGGACTTGCGGCCCAAGCTCAGCGTGTGAAGGGGCTGAGAACCGAGAGGATCCGCATGGCGTTTCGTTGACGAGTTTTGGTGCCGGCGGTCTTCCCGCCGAAGCGGAGCATCTGAGGAGGATGGAACGGGGTTGGGATTGTTGATTCGAGGAGGTACTGAAGAGTAGTTCTGATGGTGGTGATCTGTATAGTATGCGTTTAATCACGTTATTGTATGTACGTCGTGCGAAGGGACAGGGAGGTACAGATGGGTATGAGAGGTGAAGGGAGGTCGTGTGGATATACATGAATTACGGGCCGCTAGTTACTTGGGTGATTTTGGCCCGCTTTAAATCGGTCGTTGGTAAACGGACCAAGTTACGAGCACATGCAGTGCATATGCCGGGTGGCAAGTACGGTCGAAATCGATTGTCGGACCAATAATAAGCGTTGATTAAGGTTCCGCAGCAAGTTTAACGAAGGGACTATGTAGCAGACTTTGAGCTCTTACTTAACAACGTTAAGCAGACTTTCTGTATTGTTTACCTAGGCATCAATGTCTTCTCAAAATGTGCGGTGTGTATCGCTGAAATCGACACTAAGTCGGACGCTCACTGCAGATTGTGATATGCAGCGGGATAACCAATATGTCATTTGTGTACCAGACGCGCTGCTGTCTGGCTTAGCGAAATTGCATATTCTCAGTGCCACATGCATGGGGCGCGACTGTTCGCATACTCTCCTAACTGGGCCGCGGGCGGGCCGATTGCCGCATATGCTCGCCTCGATCACAGTAAGCACGCGCGCACTGAGACCGTCCGCCCGGTTCGAATGATCATGCACATGCATGTGATCATATAATGAAAGCGGTACAGCTTGACAGCAGTTGATCCAAGATTGCAGCAACCTAGGATCGTGCAAATTCACGTCAAATTGTTGAGAGCTGCATACACGCACAAACGGAGTGTGTCATGGTCGCGGGAACCCCTCAGCTCGTGAATCTCAGTAGCTACAGAGCTACTGTGCTTCCTTTCATATGAGCTGTCTTTGCCGGATCACTGAAGGCATTCTAGGCTGTATATTTGAGCTAGCAAGAATGATCGAAACCCGAAGCTCAGTACGTGAGCGATTGAACGTACTTAGTAAACCCTGTGCGGGTATAATAACGGGCGGGGCGCCGAAGACTTTATAGGCGGACTGCTTTCATGAGCTCAGACGCGTGCTGTGACTGGCCTGCACCAGACTACCGTCAACAGCTTGCCAGGCTCTGTCACTGAGTCAGGGGTGCTCAAGTGACGTGCAAACTCAGCCACGCGCTCTAATTATCTGAAGCTCCTACAAGAGGTCTTGTGCCCCCGTCGTGACTGGGGCAGAAAACCTTTTGACAAGGCTCGGAACCTCCACGATGATTAGCAGATGACGCTCGCATCCCACTAAGATTTCGGGCTCCGCATGGCTTTGCTCAATCAAAAGCCTGCGCTAGTACCATGCAACCAAACGTACGGCATTTGCATAGCGAAAGCCTGCACCGCGAAATTACCTGTCACATCAAGTTAGGACGTCCGCATCAACCGGAGGGGCTGAAGACCCACTCGATCGCAGATCAGATCGTTCTATCCATTGGAGTGCTCGGCTAAGCTTGGGCTGATCCACGTGATCATCAGGGTACGTACCAACCTCAGGGAGCTAGCATGTGCGGTATGGTACCTTTCCAGCCGGTGCTGACTCAAGCCCTCTGAAAGAGGGGCGTGCTTCAAGGTCCATGTGGCATTTTCCCTCTTCTGAGACCTTTGATCAGTATGCAGTCACATCATGGCGAGGATGCCGGAGATGCAAGCCTGCACCTTGCGGTCTTTCTTGCGGATGGCTTCGACCGATTCCGCAAGTTTCGATTGAGCCTTTCTGATGCAAATCATAGGCACATAGTTCTTTCCTGATCACGTTGGTAATAAGTACCTTGACCTGGGACGGATCAAGAACTTCGTACCAGGTTACAGTGATGAGAAAAGCTCGCGACTTTTTAAAGTTATATCAAGAGTGCGTACAGAGAATCTAATCCAGATCTGAACACTGCAAGCGCCAGTTAGCTCCGAAGAACAAGGATACATACCAGAAGAAACAGGAAAAGGCGCATTCTTGTGAAGACAGAAGTAATGTAGCGTTTGGGCCTGGGGTCAGTTGAACCCGCTGAATCTTTTCAGAAAGGCTACCCTGACCGCGGGCGGCCTGTGAACGTGAAAGCTGACCTTGATATTACACAATAACTAAGAACGTACAAAAACAAATCAAACGTACAGGAGATGACTATGACCGTACAGATGTTCCTGTAAACGTAAAAGACGACGATTGAAAGCGGGTAGAACCTGGCGAAGTGTCATCTGCAATGTCAATCTGCGTCCCCCTCCAGCTTTGCTGCTTCTTTGCACGCGGTTGCTGTTTCTGATACAAGGGCTTCTCATCAGAGGAAGAGCCGTAAAGCCGACCGGTGCTGGAGCTCCCATTCGATCAGGAATCTGAGCTGCTGTTGATTGCAGCCAGAGGGAGCTATGGCTCTCCTCGGAAGGCATCGTGGAAGGATGAATCCATCTGCTGCGGCCATCAGCCTGATGCTCTTCGTGATTATGGTGCACTTCCGCGCTGCAAAAGGTGATGAATCGTCGTCTTCAATACTCTTTGTTGAAATGTTTCAGAAGAGTTCCTGAATTTCATGCATGACAAGACCATCTGAGCCGGCCTTCACCAAGAGAATAGGCGGAGCTTCTCTTTGCGGTCCTGGCAAGCTTTCTAACTTCTTTTTGTTTTCGACCATGTCTCCGCTCATCAGGGGGAGACTTGAGTTCTGAGACACTTCCCTGCTGTGTCAATCACTCTCGTGGCCACATTGCGAGATGTCCTTATCTGGTGCAATTTTATCCTTAACAACTGCACTCCAGTCAACCAGCCTCGTACGATTCGCGTTGATCCGTAAAGATATTGACATGGTGGCTTTCGCGCTACTAGGATATGCTTGTATTCTCTAATTTGGTTTATGCTACCAGCAGAAAGGACGACGTTATAAAACCAAACCCTTCTTTAACCCTTCTGAATTGCTTTGTACATATTGTTGCAGGCGCCATTCTCGGAGCAACGGACGCTTTGGAGTCACACTTCATAGTGAGGCGCAATGGTCGAGAGAGTCTCACTTTCGACTTCGACGGAGAGAAGGACAAGAGCTACTGTATGGTCTCAGACAGGCGCCTGCAGGTGAGTCACAAGATTCACATCTTTTCCACTTGCAAAAAGCAAGGGTGACTATTATATCTGCTCTTTTGATACGGTAAGCAGAAGCACTTGGGAAGAATGCAACGAGGATGAAAAGCTATGAGCTCGAGCCAGGTGTCTTTCCGCAAAACTCGCACCAAAACAGTTGCCAAACCGGCCTGCAAGCTGCTGACACTAAGATTGGGCTCGCCTTGGAACAGATAAGCGACTCCACAGGACATTGGCTTTGTACACTGTCATCAGCCTGATTATGGCTACTGTTGATAGCGTAGTGGGGGAAATGCGCGCAGCAAAGATTCACCGGATCCAAGTGAAGACATGCCGGTGAACCGTTTCGTTTTCTTGTTACTTGCAATGTCGATATCACGTCAATATACATCAATATCCATAGATCTGGAAGGCTGAAGTTGCTATTCAAGCTCTCTGAACTCTCTTTCTTTCCAGGTGAATGTCCACATGTCCGGTCTTCCCCCAGGCACTACAGTGGCCTCTCAGCCAGGCGAAGACGTGGCACTATTTCAAGAAGGCACGTGGATGTCGGCCCTTGGGATAATGTACATCGATCATGATGAGGAGCAGCAGAGACTTACGATTGAGCTGGACCAGTTAGTTGCACAAGTTGGCGGAGAGCTTCCCTTCATATTGACCTTCAACGGGGATCCAACGATTGTTTTGAATTCGGCTCAGGTGAACAGCCGATGCTTTCCCTGTGTCAAAACTATAGGGTTTAGTGCCGCTGGGACTGAGCTTTTACTACCTGAGTGAGAGTGGCTGGACAATTTGGAGAATAAGTCATCAGAGAGGATTCAATGAAATGACTTCTGAAATGAATCTCCTTCTGCCCCCGGTCTCTTTCAGAGTACGGAGTCACCTCTTTCCAGCAACTCGTACTTCAGTCCAGCGGACTCCATCTTCTAGCTGAACGTGAAAGCACGTACAAGGGTCTTTCTGGGCAACGGGGAAATTTAGGGCCATCGACCAGATCTCTTAGGGCTTCTAAGAAACTCAGTTCGCGCGCGATACTTCACCTTTGAAAATCAAGAGATTAAATAGATGTTTTTTTGGAAGTCGGATCATATTCGGCAGAATTTCTCTCCAGGCCACGGGCTCCACCATCTGGCGCAGCACTGACAGCTTCGCGAGCGTCAGCCGCGTCGCCGGACGTCCGAACGCCCTGCTCGTGATTGTTCCGGACGTTCTCGAAATGGAGCTGGAAGCAGAAGTCGAAGAAGACATCATTACTGACCCGCCCGTCTACTTTCTCAACTTTGACTTCAAGAGGATTGTGGTCGGTGCGGAAGTACACGGAGTGAGCATCCTCGCATCTCTTTCCAGAATTGTTTCCTTCTATGATAATCAGGGTTAAACTACCTGCTTTTTGATGCGGAACGGGCGGAAGGCAGGTCTTGCACGTGAATTTTGAGCTCACAGATACCAAAACTTAGTCGGTGAAACGACTTTGCGCTGCCGAGCAGCATGGTGAGTTGGTTTACGAGCGGTTTTTTTGTGAGCTTTCAAGATGCTTTTAGTGTTGTCAAGGTGAGGAAAGTGACCTGACTTTAGGAGAGGTATCCACTCAAGTGGAACAACATGCAGAGCCGCGATGAGTTGAAATGCTTCGGATACATGTAGAAGTTCAGGCCGTTCCACTTCAAGTAGTTCGGAAGATCGGCGGCGGTACAGAGCAGGCGGCCAATCTTCTTATTCGCTTCTGCTGTCCGCTTGAATATGCGTCATGCATCTCAAACCGTGGATGGCCGATTTGGCGGAACCTTGAGTCCTTCCCCTTTGCTTCAGGACATGCCGTTGTAGGCCGCTCAATTGCTCTTCGCATCTGATCGGACGTACCTGTGAGATCCCTTCGGTCACATGTGGGCCCTACAACGGAGCGGATGCGCTGAAACGGGTCAACAGATCAATCAGCCCTCCATTTCTACACCACGAAAAGCTCTGCTTACCGTCTACCTGCCTGATAACGACTCCTGCTAAGCTCAAGTGTCTCGAATCAATCTGCTTTGCGCTCGCCTCAGCTCTACTCGCTTTGCCCTGCCCAGTTCCTGGGCCAAATGTTTGCTCCCGGCGCAGAGGAAGCGCGCTCGGCTACGGAAACGCTCGACGGCTTCCTCCTTCGCGAATATGTGGAGGGCGTGAATGCGGACTACGAGACGTCCGGCGTGACTTCAACCGACTGCATCTTCAACCGCTACAACATGGTAGGTTACCGAGCTCTTCGACGCGCTCGTCTAATTTGTGATGTCACAGATGGGAGTCAAGGATTTCTAAATGCCTTCAGTGCTTCTTGTGCATTTCGTAGCTCGATCGTTTCTACCGGTTAAAGACTCACGGGTTCTCCCTCCGTTTTCCATCCAGCTTTCTCCACTTTTCGCGTCATGAAATGCTTGTTTTTTGTGAATGAAATGATCGCTCGCGAAGAATTTGGATAACCCGCCTTTGAAAGCACTGCATCAGGCTAGTCGGGCTTGTCAACAAAGGATTGTAGATTCTTTTCGTCAGTGCTGACTTGAGCTCGAATCTTGTTCGACAGGCTTCCGACGACAAAGTCCTCGAAGCCAATGCTTTAGAAGAAATGGGCGCGACTCTACAAAACGGAAACTTCCAGAGTCACCGTCTCGGACGTCGTCTCATGGTCCAGGATTTCATTGGTCGCCCTTAGAATCAAGGCAATGGGTGTAGCATAAAGGACGAACGCGCTGCCATTGGATCAGCGTTTCGAGAACCGAAGTAGTCCGGGTCGTATGGTAGTGCCTCTTGAATGCATATTGGATGTTGAGAAGTAATACTCTCAGTGTTACAGTACTTCAAGAATTGATTGAGTGGGGTATGCCCCGGGGCTGCAATTGGTTCCGGGGTGCTTTCTGGTGGCGTTCCCCCACTCGGCAGCGTTTAAGTTTGCGGCTGCTCGCGCGGCATAATGGAGGGCGAACACTTTCCTAAATTCAGAATCTATCCTTTTGAATTGTCCAATCCTCAAAACCGGGGTATATTGACACAGAGCAGGCAGCTTGTCATTGTCTTCTTGGCCTACGCGCCTGGATCCAACGCGTTGGATTCAGGCCGCTATATAGTACGTGACTCATTGGCATCGACTGCGGTCAAGATTTGCAGGCAATCGGATTGCCAAGGAAGTAGCACTATTAAGAGCGAGGAGAACACTTATTCATGAACCAGGCAGATAAGTATGCTGTCAATCGCGGAGAATCCATCCCGGCAAATCAGCAAAGCCTGCTCGTGGGCATGATTGTTAGCCTGTCAGTCCCTCGCAAACTGGGAACTTCTGAAGAAGCAACGCGGTCCAATTGGGCCTCGATCTGGCACCTATTTATAAAGTGGAAATGTCAATAAGCATGTGAGTCCCTACTTGACCACCTGACTGTGACTTGACGGGGACTTGACTCGCTTCCTGCTTCGATAGAAACTTGACTTCACAACTAGACTTTTCCTACACACTTAGTTGGGCACTAGCCTACGTTTGCAGCCTGGAACCTCTACAGAGTGCAAACGCGGATCTTAGTGATTGTTTTTTAACGTCGACGCTGTTAAACAATGATAGCCGTATCAGAATGTCAACTGAAATGCTCAATATTAACTTACACGTGAGTCTCGAGCAATCGCACGGATTCACTCTACACGATTTGGAATAAAATCAACGGCACGATCTTTGTCGCGTTTACAAAGTTGGAAGAAGTTCCTTGCGAAAGACAGCCTTCGTTGCCACTTGTCGAGTGGGGCCTGATATGAAGGCCAATCGTCCAAACCACAGGATCGTTGCCTACGTTTGTCTCACTTGATCATTCTGAACGTGTCATTTCTGCGCCTATGAAACTATACCTTCGTCTGTCACGACTCACATTGCAAAACCCTCAGAATCATTCCGCTCTGTACGATCAGTACTTGGTGAAATTCTGAGCTTCGGAGATCTTTTCTCGAGACAGGATTCCTGTTGCACAGCTCTCACCTTCGCCCCATTCTTGACGGACGAGAATGACGCCTCCTTGATCGCCACAGTCTCCCCATTCAGCAGCCCCACGTAGACTTTTCCCGAGCCCCCTCTTCCCACCACGCGGCTCTCGTCAAAGTCTCCGGTAGCTTGCCGCAGCTGCCTCCGGCTGAATTTCTTAAGTCCCCGCTCGTTCGCCCGTTCTTTCAACGACGACATTCGGCCTAGCGTTTTCGTGTCCCCATTGTGAAGAGAGCGACGCTTCCAGAGCAGTAATGCGACGGCCGAAGCAGCGACTAGCATTAAGGCACTCGCCGCCATCAGTCCTGCTATGAGGGCGATTTGCTGATGGTTCTTGCTCGATGGGGGCTCGGCAATGCCCAGCTCTAAGCCCGGGGGAAAGCGGTAGTAGCAATTCAGCCGCGGCGTGATCTCCTCCAGAGTCGGGAAACCACCATAGTACTGCATTCCGAAACTAAACATACACAAGTTCAGGTATTGGACACTCGTTGTGTTGGCCAGTTCGTCAGCCACTGAAAAGAAGGTCGGCTTGCACTGGGTGCAATCGCTAGTCGCTGGATTGCACACCGTCTCTAACTGCTCGTAAATGCGGGAAGGGGCGCGCTGAAGGAGTGTGGTGTAGTTGTAGCAGCCGTAGCCGTGGAGGGTCAGGGTGGGATTGATGAGACACTTGTCCGGGGCGGCCGGGTTGACGCCCCGAGCAGCCAGCTGGGCCTTGAGTTCGGATGCGCAGGCCGTGGCTTGGGCCTGAAAAGAACAGCGGAGGAAGGTTTGAGTCAAGTGTTGAGGTTATAATGGGGGGAGAGCGAATTCACACGCAACATGAGGCAATGGGTGTATCAAGGCAACAAACGTGTAGAGCGTTGCGATGAGTATACGTAGATACAGTTTGAAACTTCGAGCCTTCAAGCTGTACATGAGGTTTTCAGACTGGACCGCAGGCATGCAACATAACGAGATGAAAAGCAGGATCCGAAGGAAAATCGATGGTCGCATCAGCAGGAAAGTGCGGAATGCAAGCTGCTTGTGCGGCTCGCTAAAAGCTGACAAGCGATTAGCGGAAGTAAGAACAGCACATGCGAAAAAGGGCACGACCGGAGAAATCCGAACCAATCTAGGAAAGTGCCTTTTGGAATCATCTCAGCACTTACTAAGTGCTGAGACCTGAGATCTGAGATCTCATTTCGAAGAAAAAAGACCGGAAAGAGCTTAGCTCGGCATAGACCTGGACATCGCAACGGAGACTTTTGTGAGCCTAGAGCTGCTGCTGGTTGGACACAACGAGTGCTTGGATTTAAAAAGACTAGGAAGAGCGTCGTTCTCACAGGGCTGATAAGTTTGTGATCAACGCTCAGGACTGTGCTTTAACGCTCCGCTTTCAGACTTTTAGGTCAAACGGACTGGAAATCAAGTTGGTAGGAAAAGGGACGTGGGGGCGTACGTCGGTCAGCCCGTTCCCTGTTCGCTACGGATAGAGCGCATGGAGGTGTGCACTTATAGCTTGAAGGACTACACAGTTTAAAGCCTGAACTTAAATTTCAAATAGCCTGAGAGGAAAATGGGTGAACTTACATCAATGAGCCCGTGCCCGGTACGGTTTAGGTAAACACTATGCACCTGCCCATACATCCCCAGGATCAGGTTGCAACAACGGTCAGCCCGAATCTGTTGAGGGCCGCAACTGAGGACCGCCGAGGTAAAGTTGATAGTGTTCCAATCCCATATGGTGCACTTTGGTGCGAGGGTGACGGGCTTGATGTCGACTTGGTGGAGACATCGGGCCATGCTGTTGGCGATGATGACAGGATAAGCGGCCGCAGTCATGGCAACTTGAGCTAGGCCTGCAGCAAGGGGAATGAAAGCGGGACGAGCAGGTTTGATGTGGTTTTTGTAGAGAAGTAATACAAAGTAAAGATGCCTGGAGACAAAGCTGTTATCAATAAGCCGAAGGTGCTTGCTTAAGAGCTTCGGAGCTACTTCAAAGATAAAACATATAGAATGCTAGAACGGCCTGGGTATGGTTTGGTACGTTTGATACGTCTGGTCCAGAGGCCTGGTTAGGCTGGCTGTCCCAGGTCAAGCTAGTCTCGCTCAGGCAACCAAAGTGAACATTTGACCCTGGTCGGAAAGTAAAGCGAGGGCGTCTCGCCACTTAGAAACAATGTTAATTGTTCAAGGTTAAGCTGTTCCTCATTGAAGAAGACTTCTGACCCATCATTTGTCACACAAGCAGGAGGTATCGCACGGCCTCAAGCTGGGTGCTTCCACCTCCTAAGCTGATCCGGTATCCTGTACAACCTTTATGTCAATGTTCTCGACTTGTTGCAAGCAAGGTGGGACTTTGTCGTTTCGGGCTTCGGAATGCTCATCCCTTGTCCAGTATGACTTGCAGCGTATGTTCCAATTCTGCTGGTTGGCTGACACCAAGTTTGCTGAGCTCCATGAAACGTTCTGTGTGAGGAGCGGCGTCTCGTTGATTGGAGCGAAACAGGAAGCAACCAACTCATGTGTCAACCTCACCCTGGCAAGCTGGCGTGCTGAGAAGTGCACCCGTTCCGCGGCCTAGCGACACAATCCTGTCTGAAATCAGCGAGTTACACACACTGCAGTCGGTGGTCCCATGGCAACCTGAACCGACCATGTAACCTGCAATGCAGACAATTAATCAGCAACTCTCTCCCGATTGAGAATGTTCAAGACAAGACAGAAAGAAAGCAGGAGATTGCAGGCTTTAAAGAGTCGGGGGGGGGTATCCAGACTGGCAAAGGAGAGCGGCGTGAAACGTTATGTGCAGCCTCTCTGCGGAAACTGCCAGCTTTGAGGGCTTCATGCAAGAAGAAGTTGACATTCAGGTTCTGTCAAAGAGCTGGCATGTGCTCTTGCCTCCTTGCTAAAGGATTTCACATGAGTATGATCTTGACCCCGGCCGAAAAGGCCAGAATCAGCCAGGGTAATCCAGCTAGAGGCTACTCAAAGGTCTTGAGCTTGTGCATTGGATTACTCGTTTGGTGACTTGAAGACATGACTTGTACCCACTGCAAGATCCTGATTGGTGACTCGGCATATATACCTGGATATGTGTGGTTTGCGGCAGAGAAAAAGTCGTACACGGTTGTGAGGTCGTTCCCGCATGCCTTTCCAGAGTCCTCAGAGAGCACTTCGCTTGTGATGTCACAGCTGATCTCAACTGAAATCTTAGCAGTTGTGACAAAGGAGTCAATCATCTGCAACACATAAACCAACACTAAGGATCAGGAATCAAGACTTGGAGCACCACTTAGGACTTCGGCTTTGCCAATACAGATGGTTCTGCTGTTGCGGTTGTCGGTGGGAAAGCACTGATGTGTGTCGCGTCCAGCTCATCTGACGCCAGAAGGACCACACTGATCAGGTTCTGCTTAAAAAAGCTGTGCATATGTTGCTTCCAGAACTCCTTTGTACCCTATGCATTAGCGGTTGCCTAATAGGAGAGTGCAATCACACATTCAGAGCAAACCTCAAAACCTCCTGTCACAAAGCTGCAGCTTTTATTTTCCTCCATCTTAACCTTAGCCTCACTCTTGGCAAGATCAGTCAATGGCATGCAATATTGCTCCAGTGCTTCTGAAAGTGCAACTGTGCTCTCCCGCAGGTATCTTATACTGCGACTATCATGTGTAGTCACAAGCTAGATTTTGGCACACAAGAAGCGGGTAGATTCGCAATACCTGAATGCATGCATCAGCGGCCGCCTGTGGTAGGAGCAGGCGCCCCGTGCTGTTTGCATATCTGACCCTTCCCTGGAAAAGCAGTGCTCTAAGGCGACCACAACAAGCAGAGGAACCTGCAGCAGAGGTGTCCGGCAGATGAACTTTTCTTGCTGACACGCTGGCCTATGGGGCGCTTCACCAGAAACCAGCTAGTCTACCTGGTATAGTGCGCAGCCAAGCATACAACAACCATGCCTGTGCAACAAATCAATTTCTGGGTGCCAAACAATGAAGCAATGCTAGGAGACAGAGCTTAAGCAAAGCAAACTAGTACGCAAGAGCTTTGGAAGGGACAGCTTGAACGTAGAGATGATAGCAGCTTGTGAGTGAGTTCTTGAGTACTGCCGATGGAGCAAGGCCAAAGACAACCAAGCCTGCAACAAACTACAGCATCTTAAAGAAAAATGTCAGACAAAAAAGACGGCAATTCCCACCAGATCAAGAACACACAACACTCTGCCAGACAGTTGGTTGGCATGGCCTTGTGAGAAGATGACTCTAGGCTTTACCAACGGTGCACTGTCCACATCAGATGAAGAACGGTCCGGCAGCTTGCACACCTTGAAGCACATGAAAGACATCAGCAGCGATGAAGTTAATCGAGCTCACCTGAGGAACAGACCTGCTTTGCTTGTTGGATGTCTGCCGGAGAGAATATCAGGGGGCATTCACCAGGGAGAATAGGTGGGGGAAGCGGAGCTCCCGAGCGCGGTGCGGTCTCCACATAGTCCGCTCCACCACTTTGTAACGAGCTGAAGAACACAATAATAACAAGAAGAACTGGGCCCATCCTATCAGATGCGCCTAATTCCTCCTTATGAGTGCGCGGCGGCCCCGCGTACAGATTAGTTTGACTAGATTTTGTTGCCAGGGTTGTTTTCTACAATCGTGGTTGCTTGGGGGTTGCTTGAAGCACTTCAACGACTTGCATTGATTCCTGATTTTCAACCGACATCATGCACAACAAGCCGTCTGCTGCCGCTGCAGTCTCAGGCTCCTCTAAGCAGAACTTCAAACTCCCGTTCTCCCGTCATTGGAGTGACCTCGTTGCCTCGGTGACAGTGTCTAACCCTTGTCTGTAGCTAAGAAGAACAGATCAAGTGACATGCGAGAGACTAATTGATCAGGAGGATGTTCGATCAGGCGCCGTGCAAACCACTGAAACGACGTTCACGGCGTCTCATCAATATTGAAACTAAGCACTGCATGCTACTTTGCAGCTTGACATGAGCTTGAGGTTCGCGTGAATTTGAATCTGTCTGAGAGTGAGAGCAGGACTGGGCGACTTGCAAAGCTGCCCTTCTTGACTTCTGCCACTGAAGACCAAGGTCCCATGTCGAGGACCTGGAGGCTGAAGGCTGGAGGCCGAGTTTTTCCAGGTGCATAATACATCTTTTGTTTGCGCCGGCGCCGTTGGAACTTGGAAATGTCGTGCAAACCAGGCAAACTGAAATGCAAGGTCGGGTGACGACATATATCCGTCGAGTTTCATACCTAGGTTTAAGGATCCAATACTTATAAGAAAGTACCCGGGGCAGCAGCCTAACCAAATACCCTAACCAACAAACATGACACGCTCCGCACCCGAACCCACCCTATCCACTATACCAACCCCACCCGCCCCCCGGGCGTGTCTTGCAGCTCCTAGATACCGTAATACGTATATAGGTAGGTATTAAACTTTATCTTTATGGTGACATCCTGGACGGATGACAACAGAAGTGTGCACATGCATTCCCACCGGTGCTCCAATTGGAAGTCCAGACTCCAGGCCCCAGGGCCCATGGCCACAGGGCCTTAGTATGCCTGGCACTTTACCCGGTGCCGCCGGCCGCCCCTCCTCCCAGGCCTCCCCTCTCGATCACCGGGCCATTATGCCATCCGCGGACCGGCCCGTCGCCATCTCAATGCAGGGACTAAATTCGAGGACCGTTTAGCCGTTTGGCAACAGAATCCGCCGGAGGCCGCCCCGGATTTGCAAGCTCGCCCCATAGGGAGCAAGAATCAGTGCTGCTGCTATTGCTGCTGCTTTAATTTAGGATATAAACGGATATATGTGTGGTGGAAAGGTAGCCTAAGAAGCTCAAATCTGATATTCCTTTGAGCCACAAAGCTGCCATGTTTCGAACCATGCTGCCCGGAAGATGGACACGAATCTCCTCCTACTGTCCAACAAGACGTCAGCCAACTCTTCCGAAACCGCTGATGAGGGGCTGATGAGCCTCTGCAACAGCACGGTGGCTTGGTGGCTCGAGTTCTGATCGCTTCGAAAATAAGTCAAACAATGTAAAACCGGGATCGAATCCGACTTACTTCGAGAAGCCTTAGCACGTGCCGTAAGTCAGTGTCCTCAAACGGCCGGTCACCACTACAGATATTTCTGCGATCCAGCCATCTGATTTCACGAACACATCGTCCTCTGCTTTCCTGCTTGTCTTTGCTCGGTATGAGCCTGCTAGCCAGATCTAATGGTCTATCTTCCCTCACTCTTTATGAGGCTTCGTCTCCTCTCTGAACCGGCTCTCTCAACTTTCGAATCCCGCCAGTTCAAACTGGCGAAGGTTCCATGATTTAACTGACTTACCGGGCAACATGTTATCAGACTGAATATTATGCATTTGGCCATCCCCACGATCCACCTCCGAAGGCTGTCCGAGCCACGTGGTCCTAAGTAAAGTTTCATCAAAGTCTGTACTTATTGACAATTTGCAATTCGAGCGATCGCATGGCAACTCCCTTGTCTCCTACTAGAGCTAGTCTCCTAAGGCTCACAGCCGGGGGTAAGGGTAGGGTTGCTTTGGTGGTTATTATGGGTACGGGTGCGGAGCGCGTAATATCTTGGGCTAGGGTTTTTTATTTGAGTTGCCCGACGCTTCTAAATGTTAGGAGATGAGCCCCTTGGGAGACAAGGGAGTTGCCAGTACGTTCGAGCGAACCACACAAGTGCTTCAGAAAATACCTTGGACGGTGCTTAAGTTAGCTAAACTCATTGAGAATTGGAGGATATCGTGCCTAGCTCAGTACTTATATATCTCTGATTTTAGAGCCAGAACCATTGGTCAGCTACCCTCCGCTCCGCCAGACCACCATATTGAAAGTGGGGGTCCGCTTCAACGTCCCACGTGTGGGCATGCTCGTGTCGACGGGCTAGCACGAACTGAGCAGCTTGCAGGCTCAGACTCGGACAATCAACTCTTGTAAGCATATGGTTGAATGATACTCATTGAGGCCAGGCACATGTTGCAAATCCCAAAAGAACTCGCACTGAGCATCACTGGACGATAAGGTTGATATATGAGCATCCCAATGTTCTCGGTCAAATTTTCTTACACGCGTTTCAGTGAGTCGACGATAATGGCATGATGACGGTGGTTCAACGGGGCCGCGCGCTGCAATCCGCCTATAGTGCCATGCAAAGTGTATGCCAAATATATTCAATATGAGAATCAAGAAAAGTCTTCTGAGCCTTGCATATAAAAAGTCGAAGGCATGTGAACCTCAGCCTGACCCTCAGCCGCCGGCCTTCACTGTACGCCGGCCAATACATGCACAATGCATCCCATAGTGCCCAGTGCTGGCTATGCAAATAGCACGATCATGCATACATACGTGTCCCCATGTGGCCGTGTCAGAATTTTATCAGGTACTAGCGTTGAACCAGATTCGAAAGTAAGTTGTGACTCAGATGCAGCTGAAAGGTTGATTTATGTAGCTCAGAGGCAAGTACCGTCTTCGATTGTATGTCAACAAGCCAGACTTGTCATTGGTGCGTGCTTTGAAATCGAAAGGCGAATATGTGGATCAGGAGATTCGAGCAGCAAGAAAGCATGCCGGGGGCCACAGATACTGCTTCAGGTTAGCCCAGTCTGCATCACCGTTGACAGCCGAACGGTCGGTCCAATCACATGGCAAATCAAGATTTGTCTTTGTCCACCAACTATTCTGACCTTTGTCCGAGCCGAATCCTTGGTCTGCCGAGAATTCAGCTTGCAGATCACGTGGCAAGATTCAAGGTAAGCGAGACATAAGGGTACAGATCCGTATCCATCACAAGCCCCGGAACGACGTCCTCGGCTCCAGACTTCCAGTGCGAGCTGCACCGGAAAACTGCGTCAGACCATAGCTGGAGATGTTGTCTTCTACAACTAGCGGGGTGGACTCGTGCATTCGTATGCCTCGGCTAAGATAGCGAGACCACTTTGTCTCGTCTTCCAATGAAGGATTCGCCCTTCCACGCAACTTTTAGGATAGAAGAGGGCAAGCATAGCGCGCAGAGTTCTCACCTCTTGTCGCCACCTGCAAGCTGGTCCAAAGCTTGCCGCAGCCTCTTCTCCGACTTGAGGGAAGGAATGATGACCACAGACTGCGAAACGCAGAGAGGGATGCTCAGCAGGACGAACAGTTCGTCGAAAAGAGGAGGCAACAGTACAGTGAAAGTCCTCGAAGCTGCTGCAGAATGAGGACATGCAAAGCGCTGCACCTTAGCCCCTAAGAGATCAATCGTTGGAGAGAATGATTCTGACAGCAGACGGTCAGCATGATGCATTCTCGATTGAGGCGGAAAGCGGCAACTTACCAGGAAAGCCGGAGGAAGTCCGTATCGCAGAATGCTCTCGGCAAAGGTTCTGATAGCACACATGTGCAACCAGCCGCTGAAAACCTGCAAAACCGGCACGCACGCAGTCAGAAGCGATCTTGCGCTGCTTCGTTGCAGATGCGGACAGCTTTCACTGTGGACTTTTACATAGATCCTTTCCAGCTGACTCCGGATCTGCTCGCCTCCGTGTCCGTCAGTGTACCTGCTGTTCCTCCTTGAACCTGCTGAGCTGATGTGAAGAACTCTCGGCTACCGAGTGGCGCTGCTACTCTGCACGACCAACCAACGACCATTCGAAACGGTCAAAGAACGGCGTAGCAAGGCCCTCGGGGAAGCTGTATCGAGACGGCCCAAACGACACCCTCGGGCAATTTTTCCAGGTACGAAACTCGAACAGGAGTCGCTTACCTCGCCGTAGCTGGCAGCACACCACTGCTGGAGGCTTATCCGCATGCCGTCCATGTCCGCCTGCAGCCTCTCCAGCTGCTCCTCCCGCTGCCCGAAGTTCTCGGGGTCGAAGTCAAACTCCCGCACCTGGAAAGAAAGTGAACAGACCTCTGCATACGAGATGAAGCACGAAATGCCTTCTGCTTCTGCTGCGTGATCCCTTGTGATTGGAAAGCACCGCATGCAAAACGGGGTTCAGAAAAGGAGGCCGTCCTGTTTACTTCCAAGAGAGTTGTAGCCAGTATCAGTATGACCCGTCGCTCGATTGACAACGAATGTGGTGACGTAGGTTGTCAAGCGGAAAGGACTCGTCAATGGCCCTGATTTGAAACCCTTCCGTTCTAGACTGGTATCCTTGAACAGCGTGTGATCGCATCTGGAGCTTTGAGAATCTCGAGTTTGCTGCGACAACAAAGTCGCAGCATGCTCACTGGTTCTTCAAGAAGACCGACCGGGACCAATTTTCGCACACCGATGGGCCAATCCTATACTTTATGCTGTCATGTTCAAATCCTTGGAACACCAGCTTCGATGACTAGAACTAAAACGCGCAGGTCGCGAAAACAAAGCTCGTGCAGACAATCTCAAGCGAACGAATCCCTGGAGGAGTGGGCCATCTTTCACACCTGGAAACCCTTCTCACGAGCGTGCGTCTTGAAGGTGTCCGCAACCTTCTTGAAAAGGACAACCGTGTAAAGAGCGTACTCGTTGTCCTCTGCAAGCTTGGTCGAAGACCGGGGGACCTGTTCATGTAATCCAGGTAAACACGACGATTAGGAGCCGGAGTGCCGTAGCAGACCCGAAGACCACGAGCAAAACTTGGTGTAAAATCAGTGACAGGACATCCGCTGCGGTTCAGGCAGCACATCAGCATAAGCGGAGACAAGCAGCGTGTAGTATCGAAGGGGCGGGAAGTCTGCATCCGCTCTGCACCAACTAATTCCGAGAAGGGAACAACTTGCAAGCCAGTATCTGAGTTACCAAGCCCATCACACTGAGGGAAATCAGCTTCCATTGGAATATCTTCCACACCTCAACAAGATCTGGCAATCGACCAGAGCTCGAGTGGGAATCGATGGTCAAGGCCGCAAACTCACCACAAACTGGGAGAGGCTCTCGTAATTTGTGAGCCACTCCTTCTCAGTGAAACGGCTAACAACAACCAGTAGCGTGACCAGGTGCTCTGACGTGACGATGTCTTCGGGCTTCACAATACTGGACAGATCCTTCACAGCCAAGCTGCAAAACGAAGTGTTTGAATAGTTAATGCGAGATTACAAAGATTCGGCTCCACTTTCATGCTGAAATGAGCGCTTAGAACTGCAACTTTTACAGAGAGGATTGGGAAGTTTCTTCGACCCGGGAGTGTTTTTGGCATATGAGAATGTTCGAAGCGCACTTTTCAACCATCAGCAGGCAGCCTGCAGTATCTCAAAGAGACTTCTGCGACAGCAAGGTTCTCAGGCAGGAGCAAGGCCTCACCTTCCGGTTGCTTTCCTGTTGATCTGGCTGAGCTGACTCTTCACACCATTGTACTCGGAGACTCGGATCTGCAAGCACAGTCGAAAGATTGATCACTTGTGGCTACTTGCACTGCGGGTTTGCCATGTCGAAGTCCTGTGTCGGCATCGCCCAACTTCTTGAGCGCTGCCGGCGCTCAAGCCCATGCTGACAACAGTAAGTTTCTCAGGATAGGATCCACGCACCTTCAGATCATCCTCTAGTTTCACCACCGAATCCGTTATGGATGTCATGATCTCCCTCAACGGTGACATGATGGGGTACTTGGCTTCATCCCACTGAAATCTGCACCATGGGAGAAAAGTTGGATTCCTGGTTTATCATTTCTTTATTGAGATGCTCTGCAGGGAATTGAAATGGGACCAGTGGTGACAAGAGCTTCCATACATGGCAATAGAGCAACATGAGAATCACGGCAGATTCTGGCCAAAGAGGCTGTTGAGTATCTTGCGAGCTTAATCCAGAACCCAAGTGCAAGAGCCACTTAGATACATTCCTTCCAGTCAGGGACCTGAGCTGCGAGTACGGCAAATGATCAGGAGATTGCGGACGCCCCAATCATCTGTGGGCTCACCTGGTGATGTATGAGTCCACCGGAATGCCATCTACGGACAAGGCAGTCACTTCACTTCCACCGGCCCTGTCCAGATCGTCGAGTTGCCTCCTAATCTTGCCTGCAACATTTTCTACCGTGCTGCTCACCTGCATCATTGCAAGGCCGTGAGTTTAAGAGTCCGAACGCTTAGTCCAGATAAGCAGAAACCAACTCTCGCAAAAGTAATCAGCCAAGGTAAAAGTTTTCTCAACATGCTTGATCTGATAGTCACAGTCAATTCTTCCTTTGCTACAGAGATCGAAAGGAGCATTAAGCACAGGTTCCCGAAAGAGGGGGCATATCCAACGGAATCGGAAACTCCTCATGATTCCCGTATCCTGCATCCCCATGTTTGTATGTCATTGCTAGGGAGGTGAGTCAATTATTTAAGCAGTGCTCATGTATGATTTGCTCAAACCTGGAGCTTTTCTTCGTGTTAAGCCACAAGAAGGAAGTCGAATGCCCACCTTGACAAGGTCATCACTTAATGCGAGGAGAGAGTCAAGTGTGCCAACACGTAGCTCAGGAATGTGTAACTGTAGGTTATAGAAAAAGAGTTGTCAGCATTTGAAGCCAGAAACACCATTTTGACAAGCATGACATGGAACCGCAGTGGGTCTGGGATCCGTGTCCACATTTATCCGAATGTGCTCAGCACAATGAACCGCAAGTGCATCACAAGCCCTTCAGACAAGAGACTTCTTATGTGAGCTATTTCAGTAAACCCTCAAGCAACTCCTGCCCCAGTCATACCAGACACGTAGGGCTGCTCCATACCTTGTAGATTTGAGTGTCAAATGAAGTGTGAGAGATCTTCTCCTGCGCGGCGGACCAGGCAGCTTCCTTGGTCCCTTTGAGGGGCAGGGACACGATCCAGTATTGACTCCCCATCTGCAAGAGCAGAATGCCAGCAATGGAGCGCAGAACTTCCACTTTCTTGAGATTTTTGCAAAAGGCATGGTTGCTGCAATTCTGGACTAGCTGCTGAAGAAGCAATTCAAACAAACTTGCTATGGCGTCAAATTGCTCTTCAGGCTCAACGGATGGAAAGCTCACCGGAAGGCACTTGGCACAGAGGGGGACCCTTCCAAAAGCAGCTGGATAGCAGTTGTCAGATCTTGATAAGTTGAAGCTCTTCTGATGTCAATTGTTTTCCAGGTCGCTGCAGATCAATGCTGCCAGCTGACATTCAACCCGCTTGCGCTTGCAAAAAGCTGCTCAGAGCAATGAGCTCAGATCAAAGTAAGGAAGGGGACAGAATCAATCAGCACAATTGGATGCTATTCAATCCCTCTGAGCTGTCTAAAAAGAGTCCCGCACACATTGCCCGCCTCAAGCTTGATTCCTTGCGTCCTGACACCTGATCGCCTGAGCCTGAGCATTTGTGTGCTGAGCAACTGTGTGCTGATTTGCCTGCAGGCTGCACATGAACCTCAATGATGAAAAGGGTTTCAACTTCCAAACATATTAGGTCCATCAGTTGATATAGCTTGCTGAACTGGGGAGCATACGCGCTTGACTCTTCTGTCGAGAAGAAATCGTGACGTGAACTTTGATCGCTCGAAACTGTAGAGGGGGCACTACTTAAGATTAGCCCCATCTCTAAGTCGAACCAGCGTATAAGCGAGAATGCAATCTTTCATCTGACGCAATCTGACCCTCAGGATCTTGCCTAGTTAGTAGTTACCAATAATTTCTAATGAACGTCTGGACAAGAGAACGATGGAACAGAAATCTGCCACTGCCAGTGCTGGTGGCCATTGTGCGACACTTCATACTCTATTAAAATACTGTAATTACAAATCTGGAGCACTAAATTGAGCAGAGCGCTCAAACTAAAAGCATCAACATCTGGTCTAACTGGGAGGGAGGTGGTGACTTTGATGAGGACAGCCCTGAGTGCCAGGGCCGCACAGCCTGCATTTGAAGAATAATGTGTTGAAATCATCGACCACTCTGCAATTCTGTATCCTTCATTGTAATGTTTTGTTGACTGGCTTCAGAGCACTATTAAAGGCAAGCCAGCTCTGTCCAATTGCGATGGAGCCCAGTGAAGGAGCCCTGCCTGAGCCAGCCTCTATAGCTGCAATAGAAGCACCAACAGGTGTGCAGACTTGATTGCTGATGCACTTCATTCCAATTTGCCGCTCTGCCCCTTTGCTAGCTGGAAGTCTCCTCTGAGGGAGTGTCTGCACTGATATAAGGAAATAGAGTCTACTGCAGATTGGCAATGCACCAAGTTTGTGCTTTGATTGCCGAGAATAAGCCCTCATTCCCCGTGGACAAGTTGTGTTGCCCCAACTAAATGCCATCTGCAGATAGACGCGTCAATTTGTAACACCGAAGCACCAGAGCCTGCTCAAACCAATGACTATCTGCATTCTCAACTTGCAGACCCTCCCGAGGGGCTCATCGGAGCAAAGCGCAAAAGTTCGGAAGCGGACACCGTGATTCTCGCCCAAGATGCGCAGGAACAGCTTGCACTGCCGCCTTCTTTAGAGCCTCCGGCTAAGAAGTCAAAGAAGAAGTCTGGAGGCAAGGGCAAGTCTGGCAAGAAAGGCTCGAAGAAGGGCAATGGCAGGCCGGCGCTGGTGGGGCTGCCTGGGGAGCAGGTTGAACAGGTGAGAAGACTGGGTGCGCATAGGGCCTTACTTCAAGCTTAATCTTGTTCCAGAATGTCAAACTGGAGTTTTCAAGAATCGTCTGAAGGCCGTGGTTTTGCAAATATTCTGGTGACACGCACCAGGTGCAATTGCTCTGTGTGAAAGAATACAAGATCATTCTGGCCCTAGGGCAGTTTCAAAAGACATTTCTGAGCGAATCCTAACAATCAGCACCTGAATACTGAAAAAGAAAGGACTTCCTGACCACTGCATCTCAAAAGAAGCGCAGATTTGATTTCACTCGAAAGACCACCAAAGTTCTGATCAAGCGTCTATGTAGAACCTTCTTTTGCACAACATTCTCAAACTGTGGTCACTGCAATCTTTTGAAGGAAGTTCAATCAAACTCCTTATGCCCCATGTCTGTCCCTGTAGCGCGCCCTCATACCCGCCTCCCGAGACTCGTTGGAGGTCCTCACGGAGGTGCTGCTGTCACGGACAGAGCGTGCGCCCCAGATTCAGCTGAGCGCCGACCAGTTGACGGCCTCCAGCACAAAGGGCTACAGGTGCCGACTTAACCCGCTTTTGCCTAACCTTAATTCGATCTCTCTTTGCTCGTATTTTCTGGGCTGCTTGAACTTAAAGGGCCTTTTTTTGCCTTTGTGCCGCTCTGCTCTTACTGTCTGACTCGGTAGAGAAGCGCTCGAGTATACTTGCGGTTGCAAAGCCTTTTGAAATGGCAATGGCCTCGTGAGCTCTCATATCCGGTTGGTCCACATGCGCAATCCCTCTAAGCTACGCAAGATAAGCTGAACGCCAAAACCATAAGCTACCCCCCCGGATCCGCAGGATGGTGCGCGCCACTACGGGCCCATACGACGGCGCCTGGTACTTCGAGATCAAGATCGTTCACCTAGGCGAGACGGGCCACACGCGCCTCGGGTGGTCGATGTCCGGCGGCGACCTGCAAGCGCCCGTTGGTTACGACACGCACAGCTACGGCTATCGGGACGTTGACGGGAGCAAAGTGCACAACACGTGGCGGGAAGAGTACGGGGCCGGGTATGGGGAGGGGGATGTGGTCGGGTGTTACATCAATCTGCCAGGGGGAGTACGGCCGGAAAAGGCGGATTTGGTGGACTATAGGGGCAAGCCGCACCATACAGAGACAGCCGAGGTGCCACAGCAGCCTCTGAAAGGTGAGGGAGGGGTGCGCTTAGTGGTTTTCGGGCTGACTTGAAAGTAAAAAGGTGACGGCTGTCTGAGGCCACTGCTTTTGCTTCTGAGGGCCTGGTTGTGGCTTCGAAAGAAAATGGTGGTATTATAGCAAGTTGCTGAAAGGTCGAGAAGGCAGTGCCGCAAAGTACAGAAACGCAGAAGCCTCTGTTTGAGGCGTCGGGTGATTTCAGGCCTTCAGGAGGTCAGCTAGAAGGATCTCAGACGGAACGTATGACCTTCGCACTCAGGTGAGGGAACGTTACGGCTCGCTTTTCAAGGTTCAGCTCTTAAGTTGTACTGTGGGCAGGCGCGTCTACTAGTTCAATTTGGTACAAGAATGTCCCTCGGAAAACGGCCATTCCAAAAGCAAGCCGTTTCGGAAGTAGGGACTCCTTCGAAGTTGGTGCTTTCCGATCCATCGAAGATTCTCGAGGAGGAGAAACGCTGCCTGCCTGGGTGGCAGATTGCCCTAATTGCTTGAGTGCACTTAAACCAAACCTGTAGAAACAGCTTCTTGTTCGGGGACAGATACCTGCCTCTGGTTGTACAACATTGGATCGAAGCTCCAGTCCTTTAGTCGAAGCCGGTGGCGGAGATTTTGAGGGACAGCGGCCAGAGAAAGTGGGAATTCCAGCAGTCCAGGTTTCACTTACTGAGGATCTGCGCCTTGCGAGGCGTCGAATCTGGACCATAAGGTGCGAGCTGTCCGCTCGTAGAGAAAAACCGCTTTTGCATGTCAACGGATACGAATGCGAACAAAAAAACGGACTCATAATTTTCCGGAAGTTTTGGCAGCAGAACAGTCAAGTCGTTCTTCAACTAGACAGGGGATGACAAAGCAAGGTCGAGGCATAATTTGAGTTCGGAAGCGATTCCAAACTCAGAGCGGCGACTCTCTCCCCTTTCTGCCAGACTCCCAGGTCGCCTTCTTCAAGAACGGGGAGTGCCAGGGCGTGGCCTACTGGAGCATCTTCGGCGGCCAGTACTTCCCCGCCGCGTCGCTGTATACTTCCAACAAGCAGTCACGGGCGTGCGAGATACGGTTCAACTTCGGGCCGGACTGGGATTGCCCCCCTTCCGACTGGAAGGGACTACCGGTTCCGCAGCCAGTGTCGAAATTGGCGGCGGTAGCGTTGCAGGAGGCGAAGTCGGCGCAAAACGGGGGAGCAAATGGCGCGAACGTGCGGAAAGAGTTAGCTGTCGAGCGAGGAACCAATGGGGCTGTAACAGGGCCCGCGGGCGGCATCGTCAACGGGACTGCCGCCGGGACGTCGTCAGTAGTTGATACCGAAGCGCCGGGGGCAACGCAAAGTGGGGCAGTGGAGGAGCAAACGGCAGGGAGCCAAGCGGCGACTGTTGAGCCCGGTGTTGGAAACGAGGCGAGTCTAGGGATTGCTGTGGTCGCACAAACTTGACACAGGCCTCGAAGCCTTGTTGTTGCCTAGCTTGAAAGCCCGCTCACTTTCTTCGGCCGAACCATTCATGTTGATCACCGATTATGGTTCAAAAGATTATGTGCAGGCGCGTGCACCATATCAATTATGGATCGTCGCTTTTGAGGACCGTCATGTAAGCCGATCAGTTGTAAAAAGAAACGCGGGAAATTGTGCAGTATATGCGTATATAGCTCTAGCTCCCCAATGGCTCGGGGAAGCAGTAATGTTGTTAGGAATAATGATGGTCAGTGCACAGTCAAGTCCGATCAGATCCGACATAAGTGCTGGTATGCATGCCAGCAGGCCGCACTAGTCGTGTGCCAGTGTCATGCGTTTCACTTCAACCGCGTCTGGCATGCTGCAAATATAATTGCATGGCCGTGGACGAGAAGATAAGAGTACTTATGCACATGATGGAACGTGCAACATGGGCCGGATGAAATTACTATTGGTTCGTTGTATGGAGCTAGCACGGAGTTCCAACAAAAAACCATGACGGTATGAAGTAAACATGGTTCGTGCTCGTAACCTTGTTACGAGATATTGAGGCTCATTACGGGCCTATTGAGGCTCACTGCCCGGCGCGTCGCGGGGTCCGACCAGACCTCTGATCAGCAACCTCAAGAGTTTCTGACCCGGCCAAGCTCACAATTGGTGGCTGCTCTGCAGGCTCTTGCTCATGATTGCTAGCAACTGCTGCGCGAGCCGTTCACTGTACCGCTCACTGTACCGTTCCAACACCGCTTCCATATCAACGGACGCCAACATACTATCCACACTAGCATTCACCGATCCTCTCCCTTCCGAAGCCCCTCGCGTTTGGGCAAAGCTCTTTACCCGTGCTCCGTCACCATTCTCTGCCACCGAACCACGCGCCTCGGACGTCAGCGGCGCTCCCGTGACGTCAGCCGCGCCTGGCGCCGACGTGTCCTCCATCATCCGCTGCAGCTTTCGGACCGCGGACGGAACGAACTCCTGGTACGATTGTGTGAGCGCGGACACGTCGGGGCCGCGGGGGGGCGGCCGCGGCGAAGCGATGGTGACGCTCGAAGACGGGACGGCGACAGCCTGCGGAAAGGGAGGGTATTGTTTGCGATTTATGTTAAGGCACAGGCAAACTGGGGGCTGGATTAACTTGGGGACCAGGTCAGCAGATCAGCGAGAGATGATGAGTGCATCCTTGTAAACACATGGCACAACGCGTCCCCGTCCTGTGAGAACGGAACTGTTTGTAGAAGGCGAGAAAAGGAGGCAGCAAAGGAAAGTTTTACGAGTCTTCTTAACAATGGTTGACTCCGTGAGCATCGTAGGCTTCTAAGTACGGAAATACGACTTCCGTTATCTGCTTCTCAAACTCAAGGTGAAACAGGACGAAGAATCCTAGACTAGAACACTTTCTTGATGTGAAACAAGCTCGGATAACGAGCCGGTTATGCTGAGTTTTTGAACAAGCAGAGGCAGTGAAAGGAGAGCAAAAGACCGATTGGTCCTCGCGATTTTCGGAATAACAAATACAAGATTTATAAGCATTGAGATAAATCGTTGAAATTGACTGACAGGCGGGGAGAGGGGTACCAAGATTTGGACGCCCACCTTGAAGGCCTTGAGCTCCTCAAACAGGAGCGACGCGCGGTCGGCCGCGTCGACGAGCGCGCGCAGCGCGGAGTGGTATTCTTCCGTCGGGCGGGGGAGCTCCACCGACTCCGTGACGGGGAGGGGCGGCCGGAGAGGGGCGTCCGGGGAAGGGGCCCGGGGCGCGAAGCCTGCCGAGAGTGGGAACAGCTGGTGTGAATCTCTACGAGTTTCTGTCTTGATCAAGCCAGTTGACATCATGTTCAAGCATTGTACAATATTACGCAAGCTTTGTCGCGAGCACCCACGAAAGAAATCACGTCCGAGAGGGCTTGATTGATTGTACACATGTCCACCGGCGTAGAGTATCCTAAAAGTTCAAGAGTGCCGCACTTCCCCGTTGGTGTACATTCTGTCTGATGCTTCTGTTTCGGGTCAGCCGTCGATAAGTCTTCCCCTGCCATTAGCAGGATTTTGACACATCACCTCATCAGAACAGGCCAGGAAACGTTCAGCCGCATCGGATGAGTGGTAAATCCATAGAAGCGCAATAGTCTGCGCTGAGATGAGGTACAGTGGCCCTGTGATGGCTCAATCTAACGCTCCTGGGTGCATGGAGGAATGCAGAAAACGTTGCGCAGTAACAAGAGACTGCATCCCACCTTGGCTTTGCAGTTGGGGCAAGCTCTCCGGCCCGTCCGACTGCACCGTCTCCAAGTCTTCGTCGACGGATCCAAGCGCGGAAGGCCCCCGGTTGTTCCTAAGTGACTGCACCGGTTCTCTAGCTTCTGGGGCACCGCTCCATACATCCGCATCTCCGCTGCGTTCCGTTCGTGCTTCGGACGGTACTGTCTTCTGTCCGCCGCAAGCGTCGGCTGATTCGGAAGCGTCCACAGCCGTTCGATCCGTTCGCTCCGGGCCATCTGCAGCCGTTCGTTCGGCTTCTCTTTCAGCCGTGTCTTCGCTCGACACGGAGGCAAGATCACCGAGGGAGTGACCTTCCGCGAGCGCAAAGCGCGGAGCGATACCTGCGTCAGATGCAGCTCTACTCTCGACTTTCTGCGCTTCCTCGCCTGATGTTTTTCGTTGCGGAACTCTCTGGATATCATCGTTTGCATCCTCTCCACCCGATCCTCTAGTCTTATAAGCCACCGCTCCTTCATAACCGTCTGCCGCAATCGTTTTCTTATTTTCATTGGGCTCTTCAAAGTCCTTGGATGCCACCCTAAGTGCCTCCCCGGAAAGAGCCACCGTTTGCAACTCTTCGGCGTCGTCTTCTGAGTCAGACACTTCCGCCTTCGGAGAAGCCAAGCGAGGAGATGGCTCACTCCCCGCTTCTAACAACCGGGGAAAGGACAACTCAGTCGACAGAGCGGGTGAAATTTCCCGGTCTACTTTCTGGCCAGCCATAGGAAGGGTCGGGATGCCTTCGGCCAAGCTCGGCGATCCAAACCGAGCATCTAAGGCTGTCCGGGTAGTGTTGTTCCTTTTCGTGTGGTCCAGAATGAGCGGCTCCGAGGGGGGTTCCGTCCGTTGGTTCCGCTCGTGATCCAGGTCGGGGGACTGCGACCGCTCGGGGGGAGGGGTCCCCGGGGACACGTGGCCGCCGTCGCGAGGCGACAAGTGGCTCCTCCTCCTGACCTCTTCGTCACAAGGGGACGCTTCATCTTCGTCAGCGCCTTCCAGGGCCTCAGGGTTTGGGGTTTCGGAGCCGGCCGCGGTGCCGAGGCGCGCGGCCGCGTTGAGGGGGGGTACCGGGCCTGGTGGGCTTTCCCCCCTGGCGTGTTCCGAATCGAAGAGCGGGTTGGTGCGCGCAGCCCAGGGGCTCAGTCGCCGAGGGGGAACAGTTTCCGCGGTTTCTTCCCCACCTCTAGTTTCCCCACCTCTAGTTCTCGAAGCGTGAGGCAAGACGCCAGCTTCCGGTCCCTTATTGCTGCTCCCCTCCAATTGCGAAGATGCTTCTCGCGGGGGGGTCGCAATACCGGAGTCTTCTGCGCTGGCTGTACCCCCCTGGAAGGAAGAATTGCGTGTCGCCTCGTCCAGAGTCCCCGGGGGAGTAACCGCTTTTCCCGCCCGGTCAGATACCATCCAAGCTCCCACTTCTAGTTTCTGCGACGCCCCACTGTCCGTCCCTCCGCCGCCGCTCAAAGCCTGAACTTCGCCTCCGGAGGATGACGTCACATCAGCCGGTAGTGACGCGGGAGGTGACATCACCGCGGCGTCCGCCGGTTGCCGCGGCAGGACGGCGATGCCGAGGCCGGACATGCGCGCGCGCAGGCGCGCGACCTCGGCCGCCATGCGGCTCGCGCGGTCGCGCTGCTTCAGGCGCTCGCGCTGTGACGTCAGGCTGTCGTCATCGTCCGCGGAGAGGTCGATCTGGACGCCGGCGGACGGGCTCTCGGGGGGGTCCGATGCGGGGGCGTCGGAGGGGGGTGGCGGGCTGAGGCTGAGGCGGGCGAAGAAGCGGGCGGAGAGGCTCTGACGATTTGTGTCAACCTGAGGGGGATAGATGAGCGTGAGTTGATTCCCCTGTGACAATCCCAGAAAAAGGTTCACGAAGCGGAAGCGGGAGAAGGTAATGGTTGGCTGAAGTAACTTCCATCCTTTTTCTTAAAAAAGGCGTTTTCTTGGGCACATGCAGGGGCCCCTTGCCAGCAATATACAAGCCCCCTCGCCGGAGCCCGCGAGAACTCCGTTTTGGGTGAAGGCGCAGAAGCTCACGTGGCTAGGATCTTTGACGGCAAAGAACGGTGAAAGACCCGATGTGAGAAAGTTCTCCTACGAGAACCACACCTACGAGCACTACAACGATTCTCGCTACACTTTGAATTCAGGATCCTGCAGACGACGCGTTCACGATGAGGCGATTCAACGTCCCACGTCGTGACGCGTTTGATATATACTTGGTACAAATTAGTCGACGCAGGGCTCAAATTAACGTACTTTCCTAGAGATTCCTGGAAAGCTTTCGAAGCGCTCACCGGAGTCTGCCGCTTGAGGCTGTCGAAGTGGTCCGCAAACAGGTCCGTCCGCGGACTGTCCTCCATCTCCTCTCCCAACTCCACCTCATCGCCGTCGTCCCACGCCTCCGGCCCGTTCACACCATTATCCGGCCCATTCGCACTGCCCTCGGGGACATTCACACCAGCCCCAGTCCCGTTTACACCTACCTCGAGCCCGTTCACACCGCCGTTTGCCATTTCAGCTCCCGTCACTCTATCCACTCTCTTTATCTTCTCCGATTCCGAGTCTTCCTTCTCCTGAGTTTTAGGGGATTCCTCTTCGTCAAAGTCGCTGTCAGAGCTGTACTCTCCTTCTTCTTTTTCCTCTCTCTCCCCCCCCTTCTCTCCGCCCGTCCTCTGAACCCCACCTCTCGAAGCACCTTCCAGAATGTAGCTCGTCCCGTCCCCCTCGCTCGCGCGCCGCGCCCCGCGGCCGGGATACGCGGCCGCGTCGCTGACGCCATCCGAGCTGTGCCGACGTAAGCCGGATTCCGCGTCGTTCTCGCTGAAGCTCTCCATCAGAGCGGGCCCGGCGGTCTTTTCCGTGGTGAACTTTCGGCTCTGGCCAAACCCGCTCGCGCGCACGGTAGAACCCCCCGGACCGTTGGGGTCTTCGCCGCCCTCTGAGAAGAGCCGGTAACCCTCTTGTCCAATGCGCTGCGAGCGGAGGAAAATTATTGGAATTGCTTTCGGAAACAGCGTTGTGCGCACGGTAGAACTCCCTGGGCAGTTGCTGTCTTCGGCGCCCTCTGAGAAGAGCCGGTATCCCTTTTGACCAATGCGCTGCGGGAATGAGCAAGAAAATTTTGTTGAATTGGTAGCCGAAGGGACTGAAGAAATTTGCAGCACCATATACCTGCGTGAGGCTTGTTTTGATTCGAGCGCAAAGTCTGTTCTTTTGCAGTGAGCGCTTTCACGGAAGTACTGCGCGAGTCAAAAGCGAGGAGATTCAGAGGAACCTGGGAAGAGAGCGCTCGTTTTCGCGGTGCTTCTGAATTATCTGCCTCAGCTTTCGAGTGGGAGAACCATCCCCGCATCGAAGTCTGCGCCGTCTTAAGACATCAGCTCGCTCAGAGGAGAAATCAAAATGACGAAGCGAGAAGCAACTAGAGCGGGCGCCGACGTACCTGAGCCCATCTCGATTCCCCGGGCACCACGACCGGGCGCTGACCGCCCCTGCCGCCCGCGGCCGCGCCCGCCGCGCCCTGCGGCCGCGCCCACGACGGCAGCTTCGACACGCTCATCTTGAAATCGATGGCGCTGACGTCATCCTCCACGTCAGCCTCTTCCTCCCCAACCGCCGGCCGCGCTTCCGCAAGAACTTCCGCTGGAACCGGGAAAGTGAACGGGGCTTCCGCCCCCGGCTTTTCAACCGACGGCTTTCCCACCGCAACCGAGCTCGTATCCGGGGGAATGGGCATAAGCGATGGGGGCAGGGGGGGTGCCGATGGGCGCGCGAACGCGGCCGCCTTCCGGCGGATCGCCCGGGTGAGATCTCCGGGCAGTTGCCAGACGAAGATACAGCTGTCGCCGCTTACGGATATGAGCTGGGCGCACGAGGGGCTGAGGACGAGCCCGGTACAGACCTCCGAGTGGCCGGTGCCTTTCGCGAGGAGGTCGCCCGACTGGACGTCGAAGATACGGATGGACTTGTCGGAGTGGCTGCACAGAAGGGAGACTCCCCCGGGGTCCATCTTCACCTGCAGGAGACCGGTTGAGGAAGGTTAGATTTCAGTTTTTAGATTCATAGGGTTTTGGGATATCGGGGTTTTTGGAGGGCAAGCCCAATCTGTGATTTTCGCCCGCACCGATGCAGCTTACTAACCCAGATAATGAGGAGTTTTAGCCTTGAGTCGTTCGTATAATTTTCTGTACTGGAAAGCGCTGGATATACCAATATACTGACGGGTTGGACAAAAACGGCTTTCTGTAACTTATTTCCATGCCAGCCAAGCAGCCCAACAGAAACGGAATCACAGGAGCGTGCGATCACGGCTCATCACAACCAATCCTTGGTTCTCTTGACAACTCATACTTGACGCGATGTTTTCCTTACATTACTCCATAAAATCACCAACGCAGAGTTCTCGCTATACCACCATGCAAAAGTCTGCCGTCCTCTTGATGGAAAATCGTTGCTGGCGTATCGAGCCTTGGTAAACGCACCTTGATCGGCTCCCCGGCGTCACTGTCCGGTCGGAAGCTCCGCACCGGTTTGCCTGTCGCCAGACTGTACAACGTCAGCCGTTTCTCCTGCCCGGCCGTCACCACCAGCTTATCCCCCGGGTCCACGTCCAAATCGTATAAGCTTCCCCGTGAGGCAACTTCCTGGTGATAGCGTATGGACTTGACCCCGGAAGCGCCCGGCGAAAGTGACCGGAAGACGATGGACTTGTCGGCGCTGCAGCTGAGCAGGCGGGAGCCGTCGGATGCGAAGCGGACGGCCGTTATGGACGCGGAGTGGTCGTCCAGCGTCTCGATGACGTCATAGTTCCTGAAAAAAGTAGGCGACGGTTAATAAAAAGGGCTGCATGGACCCGCTTTCTGCAACGAAAGTTCTTCCCTCTTCTCGGGGGACAAGACCGGGTATCCACAGCTGTTGCATTCGCAAGTCCTTAAAACGCATACGGTGAATTTAAATAATCCTTTTCTGGCAGAGGCGCGCACAAGCAGCGGGCGGATCTGCTTGTGGGCCTTGTCAGAAGGCGAGATGGGTTTCTGAAGTTTCTCACGTTGAAGAAGACCTCCACTGAGAACAGCACAACAGCGCAGCATGCTACGTCTCAAGTGTAACACCCACGATTCATAACGCCTGGCGTCGTAACCAGCGAAGAGGACTCCCTTTGAAAGACGTAAGCCCGTACCTGCTGACGTCATACAGGTGGATCAGCCGGTCCCTTCCCCCCGACGCGAGCAAGCTGCCGTCGTTCTGGCCCCCGGAGCTGCTCTCGAGATAGTTGAGCGTCAGTATCTCGGAGTCGTGGGCTTCCTGGAAGCTCACTAGCTTTCCGGTCTCCAGATCATACACGCGCAGGTTTCCGTTCCGGTCTCCAGCCGCTACGTGGCGCCCGTCCGGCCGGGCTGCCAGGGAGCGGAACCCGGACGGACGGACGGCGTCCCCGGCGGACAGAACGGCGGGGCCGTCCAGGTGGAAGGCGCCGAGGAGCTCCTGTAGCAGAAACGCCGCTTGTAAGAATCGAGGCGGCTTGACAATGCTTATTTTGCCACTGATCAAGTGGGCGTGCGCACCGTTGGACAACGAGAAAGCAGAAGCATACGAGAGAGCTTTTAGAGAGAACAGTGTCACTTCTATGTGTTACCGAGCTGTTTCAAGTGACTTTGAAAAAGAGTCACCGTGTGCTGGAAAAACGTCGAGCTTCGATAGTCAAGCTTCGTGAATCTTTGGAAGCTGACCTTCTCGCTCCTTTAAAACGTTCACCGGACTTCCCGCTTGCCCGTACACTTACCAAGGGAGCCCTGGTCAAATTCTGATCCCGCATCGTCGCTCACGAAATGCACACACCAATGGCAGACGCCCAGAACGAACCCAAACTCAAAATCCACCGCTTGACTCCCTTACCTGACACCCCGGCACCAACGCACCCCCTTGCCCCCCCCGCTCCTCCAAATTCCAAAGACGAATGCTCCCGTCCGCCGAGCACGTCGCGAGCCCGGGGGAGCGTTCCCCGGGCTGTGTTGGAGCGCTTTGTGGCAGACTGGCGACGTCCCAGATGCAAGCCCCGTGACCGTGGAAGCAGCGTACGAGCGTGATGTGGGAAACGGTGGACAGGTCCCAAATGTAGAGGCTGTGGTCGGAGTAGACCACGGCTGCCGGCATGGAAAAGGGGGTTTTCGACACTCGGGAACGGAGGTTTGATTGCAATAATGGAATGGTCAAAAGATAGTTTCAGGTTGGATTCGAACATCCAACGAACTTCATATCTTCCACAGAGACGGAGTGACTTTCAGACGTGTGTAAGATTTGGCGAACGGAAGATCACAAGTCAGAAGTCGTCAGTGCTTAGTCAACGTCCACTCTCTTCGACAACAACCGCCTGATTCGCAATACGTCGGATGCAAGCCATGCTGCTGCCTCTCCTGAGATCACGCATAGATCAGCAGCTAAATCTCGCAGCACAGCCGGCAGAGCATGCCTTTACGCATTTCAAACTGTGATTTCAACGGCGAAAGTCTCTGGGAATCTTCGCAACCAACCTAGAGCTATTGAGCGATGCTAGAGCAAGCGACGGCGGACGTTGAAAAGAGGATCAATTCAGACGGGTCGTATTCTCACCCAGCTTGTTCTCTCCGATATACGAGCACCCAACGGCGTCCGGGAACGCCTCCGGTGCTGACGGTTGCGCGTTTCCTCCCGCAAGATGATACTTGAGAGCAACGGGTTTCGGCAACGTGGCAACGTAGGTGAGCGTGTTCACCGCAAACAGCCGGACAACCCCCCCGGCGCATGCGCATGCGCAGTACTGCTTGGATACTTTGACACAAAAGGCCGCCTGCACTTTCAGATCCACCCATTTCTCAAGCGCCTTTCCCCCCCGCAGCAGACACAGAATGCCGGGGGCGGTGACTCCGTACATTGTTCCATTTTCCTCTATCACTTTCCCCCCGGGAGAGTTTGGACTCGGACCTGCTGCTAAGCTCACAATGTCCGCCTCCTTCTGCGCCCCCAGCGCCACCGCCCGGCTCTCCAACCCCCCGCCTGGAGCAGACTTCAGGCGTTGACAGGCTACCCCCCCCACCGGCCAGCATTTCACGTGCTTGACCCCCCCAGTAGCAAAGAATGCCCCGTCAGCAGAGAACGCAAGCGTGGAGATCGGTGCTGCAGCCGCTGCCGCACGCACTTTTGCCAGGAGCACCCCGTTCTTCCAGTCCCAGATGCAGATTTGGCCGTCGTGGGGGGCGCCGACGGAGACGAGATGCTTTCCAGGGGGGGAAAAGCTGAGGCAGGCAATGCCATAGCGGTGCCCCTTGAGTTCTGCGACGCAGGCCTTTGTCGTGGTGTCCCAGACGAGGACTCCAGGCTGGTGGCCTGCCTGCAAGATTGGATGATCTTGTGTCCTAAACGATGTGAGTTACCCAAACCCTTCTGTCTACCCGCTGGTTTTGAGAGCTGAGGGGTGCGCAACTGAGGTGCGGAAGAAGGTGAAAGGCACACCCGACAGGCGGTTGTAACCAAGTTGTTGCACGGCACTTAGCTTGCCTCACTCAAACAGGGCTGTCAATGACTGTAGTTGACAGTCATTGACAGCCCCTGATGGTAGAATGCTGTCTCACCGTGTCTTCACCAGTTTCAGCAAAGTCGTTGTTCGAGAGCCAACCAGTGCTAAGTTGGCAGATGATCATGCTACATGCACTTCACAGCTGTAGTTAAGCGAGCGGGCAAGCGCGTCTGCTTCAGGCAGTGTTCCCTCTGGCTTCAAACGAAATTGTGCGCTCAGACGGATTGAGCGCTACTTGAGTTCCGACAGCATCGCGTATGTTACTCAATACGAAGAGTTCCCTTACCTCGCCAGCTGCCAGGAACCTCCCTGACTGTGAGTAGGCCACGCTTGCGATCGCCTTGTTCGCTTTGGAGCTCGTGTAGAAGGACGTCTGGCTGTTGTTTGCAGCATTGTAGACAACAACCACACAGCCGGCAGCATATGCCACGTCCTCATTGGCGGGGCAGGAGGCCAGCCCGTTGCCATTGCTAGCTGTGTGGCCAATCACTTGCCGCAGCTCAAGCTGTGAAGGGGGAAAGGAAATCAGAATTTGGAAACCAAGAGACAAGACACGCTCTAGCCAATGCACTGCAGAACAATAGGTCGCTTTGCTTTGCATGGTGGGATCACAGGGCCAACGATGATGCAATGCTGAGTGTAACCATCGGTTTAAGGGCGGTCCCTTAAACCGCCCTTTGTGCATACCTTGCTTGGGCCTTCAAGCCGCGCTGACTTTCTCCGAAGCATTGTGCCGAGGAAGCTCTGCGCACGTCCTCATGTATAAAGGTAAGCCCAATTAGTGCAGCAGTTCACTGGTCAAACCTTGAGCGTTTTGTCAGCGAGCTGCGGCTTATGCATCCTATTCCAGATACAGTCGCAGCTCAAGATGACCTTACTCACCACTCTCTAGTTGCCACGGCTAACTCCTGAAACTGAACCCATTTGCAAGACTGCACAAATGGCCAGCTGCCGCTCCCTTTGCTAGATATGTTGCCTCTGGAGGAACAAAAGTGCGATGGTCAGCAGACTCGCTGGACGGCCCTGCATGATTAATTCAGGGTACTCAAGCATTTTCGAGCGAAAACCACAGCTAACTAGCATGCCAGCTGCAGAAGGAGACTCGCTGCCTGCTGCAAGCTGCAGAGCTAAAGCCATGCCAATGCGCAGCTCACTTGAACTTGTTGACCAAGCTTCTGTGCATGATATTGATACGCGCGGGGGGAAGGACTGGTCGTTCTCGCTCGCGCACATGTGTACCAGTCCAAGCCAATCGTACGGTTCCGGAAGCTGCCACCTTGGCAACGACAGCGGGCCCTGATTGGATCGCACTGGCGCCCTTTCTGTAGGTATGAATTTGAACGCTTTGCGCAGGCTTTGCGTACGCTAGGTATCCTACCTATCCTACGCCTGCTTGATACCTACCTAATAGCTCTACCTGACTGGTTGACATGGTCAGAAGTTTAATAGAACATTCGGAATTCGTATCCGCCTTCACTTCGGCACATGCCAATTGCAAACCGATAGGAAGATAGATCGGCCGCTTGGCGCAGCGTTTTCTTGCGCGAAAAGATCTACACAGTGCATCTCTTGCATTCATCGCAGTGCCACGTCGCTCTTGACGCTTGCGCTGAACCTTCTGGCCCTCTTGCCTCTCCAGGCTTCTCTGGCTGAGCCATGGCGCAGGAAGAAAATACCTACAGAGCTCAACTGCTGAGTGCTCTGAAAAGCATACCGCGTTCGGGGAGTTATGCAGCTGGTGGCATCCTTAAGACATGCTTGCCAGGCCTTTGCGTCCCTGCATTGGGAGGTGGGGGCCAAGTGGCGCTGCCGCTTCTGCCCTCTCAGGCAAAGGAACTGGCGAGCATTTGCAATGCTGCTCCCTTTGGGCGCAAGTAAGCGCAACCACCACCGCTTTGAAAAGTTGGAATCTTCGAAAACCTCCTCATGAGCATAAGCTACATGTCACATGTCGTATGTCCTGGATAGCTTTTGAATCGGAGTGACAGAGTGCCCCTTTTGAATCTGTTGTTCTTTCATAAAAATCTTTCCAAGGTCAATCAGCCAAAAAACCCGTTGTTCAGCATAAGTAGTTCTTCTCAGCATCATGTGGAATCTTTATTGAGTGCACTTCTTTTCAAAAAACCCACTTGAAAGCAGAGAAAGACCAACAGCAATCAGCCTCTGACAGGGCGGCGACTGGCACTTGCTTACCTGTTTCCTAGCTAAATATTAGACAGGCAGCTTGGATCCCGAGTTCCAAAACATTTGTCCACTTTAAAGAGTCTCTACTCATGTTTCTTCTTGTTGCAGGGAGGCCACCATATACGATGAGAATGTCCGGAAATGCTTACAGCTGGGACCGAAGCAGATTGTCCTTAGAAATCCTGAGTGGCACCTGATGGTTGACCGGTTGGCCAACGGCGAATTGCGCAAGCGGTTGGGCCTGCCTGAAAATCTGAAAGTTGTGCCGGAACTCTATAAGCTCCTACTTTACGAGGTTGGCGGCCGCTTCACCCCGCACAGGGATACAGAGAAAGCGGCAGGGATGTTTGCAACCCTGGTCATAGTTCTTCCGTCCCCTCATGCTGGAGGTAAGTAGAACTTCTAAAGGCCGTTGATTGTCAGGATAGGCTTTCTGGCTTGTCTCAAATATATAAAGTCCTTAATGCGCTCATACTCTGGTGGAAAACTGTCGCTGCAGCAAGAATGGCTTCGATCACGATGGTTGCAGAGTACGGCAAATGGCCAAAGTGTAAGTACTGTCAAGCCCGTCTTACTGCTGGGCCCTCCGTGTTACATGGCAACGCACAAATCAAAACTTCTCCAGTGGAGCGGTAGCCCCTCTGAGATGGTCTTGAAGCACTTATTGACGAAATTTTCTGAAAGCTCAATGCGATATCAGGCATCTGACGTACCAACAAAGTTGCCTACAATGAGAAGCCTCGTAGAGGATCAAAGGGCTCCTCAAGAGTTCTGTCTATCACCTTTACTCGAATTTCGGAATCTTGTGAGCGGTCAATTAGCTTTGTGCATGAGCCAATCACTTCCGACTCTTTTTGCAGGAGAGCTTCTGGTGCGGCACGCGGGCAATGAGGAAAGATTCGACTTCGGAAGCCAGGGCCTCTTCAACATGTTCTATGCCTCGTTCTACGCTGACTGTGAGCATGAGATCCTGCCCGTGCGAGAGGGGTACCGACTAGCCCTTGTCTATAATCTGATCGGACAAGGTCCCATGCGAAGTCTGACGCCAGCAGACAACAGTCGGAGCGTCCAGAAGATCCTCAAAGCTATCACTGCCTGGCTTCAAGATCCCGATGCCCCTCAGAAGCTGGTGATTCCCCTGGAGCACCAGTATTGTGAGCAGAGCTTCTCCTTCGACAAGCTGAAGGGCAAGGACTGCGCGGCGGCGGATGTCCTGCGGCAGGCTGCCGTGAAGGTGGGGTCTGCATATGTTTGAGACGGTCCTTGAACATTTCATAAAGCTTCGTGGATGCATCTATACCGGTTTTAAAACGCACCTCAGGTCAATCTTCAATCAGCTTCTTAATCTTTTCCATGGAAGCATGTCCGAAGCCTTGCAACAGTCAGATGAAAGCCCATATTCGGTTGGCCCCCCATTCCGGCTTCAATATTACGAGAAACCCGCACAAAATGCCGGCAATCTCGAGAGCGTTCCGCAGGTGAATCGAAACTCGTGCTTTAGACGCTTCGTATCCAACAGCTGAGACTTTCTCTGGTTCTTTTCAGGCCCCCCAAGGTATCAGGATCCAGTGCTACCTGGGAATGCTCAAGAAGACGGAAAGCGGGCCTGCCGAAGTTCATTACGGAGATGACGAAGGCTGTCTGGTAGACGTCGAGGATTCGGAAACGGAGCTCACGAACATCGTGGCGCCATCCGAAGACGACCGAGTTCCTGACTTCACGTTCGACGAGTCGGGTAAGGAACCCGTTCCGTACTTAAAGAGGCGCAACAATCCTTTGCGACCTGAAAAGATCCGCAGGGATCTGATTAAGCCGCTCCTTTGGTGTGATGTCAGGCGCTGACTTAGACCCTATTGGCTTCATCGCTCTTGTACCGTACGCTCGGTCACGAAAAGTTAAGACCTCTCGACCTTGGAAATTGGTGCGTGGAGCCACAATCTCAAGGTGGGACTTCACGCCTCATTATTCTATACGAGAAGAGCTCCTTGCCAGTTCACGGCTGATCTCCGAATCATGGCCGCCGTGATGCAGAGTTGCTTCCGGAAGACTATCTCGAATGCGACGGCCTTGAGTGGACGAACGGCAAGGTCCAGGAAGCGACCGGGAACGCTGGCTGCACCATGGAGCGGTGGTACCATCAGGTAGCGCTCATCATCTGGCCAACTAGAAGGAAGCCGAGCGCGCAACAAAAAGTAAGGCGGTACGCAGGAATGACGTTCATGTACGGATTGGTTTCCCTTGTTGTCAAGGATGTTGAGTTTGACAGTAGGAGTACATATATATAAATGCTACCCTGAGGGCCTGAAGGAATTCGAGTGCTACAAGAGTCGTTTTTTCGATGAGCACCTACGAGCCCCGCACTCGTTCTCATTCTCGATCATCCCCTCTAAGTCTCCATCTGTGAACAATTTCAGAGCGATCTTGTCCGTGACCAAAGCACCTTGTCTGTAGAGGAAGCCTGCGGCTACAAGATGAGGACATGCGCAATCCCTTTGCCCGAGCCCTTATACTTACCGCGTTATTTCAAGCCGTTCAAATTGCTGATGTGGGCGGCCTGATGATGCAGGGTTCGACTCCTCAGGGTCACGTCCTGAAAGAAAGGGAAACCAATGCCCGCACTCTCCCCAACAATGCGGCCACCTCGTCGCACCCCCCAGAGAAGCGCCCACGGATCTTGATTGATCTTGGAGATGACTGACGTCATGTGTGGGTGCACGCGTTGGGAACTTTCAAGCTCGGCTAGATCTTGTGCCTCTTGTTGCGTTGGAACGTCTTGAGAGTTTTGAGAGTTGGTACAACATCCAGTCAGGCTCGTAGCTAGCCACCACTACATACCTTGTACATACATACGTATGCTCTAACCACAGATGCGGGTCAATAATCCAAGCATAGGACTGAGAAGGGAATAAAGGATTTGAGCTGCGTCATTGATGTGTGTTAATCAGGCTTCTCGGTCGCCCGCCTTGCCCACCTTGCCGGGACCTTGCCAGGGCTCATTTGACAGTCCTTTCATGGTTCAAAGTGTTGCCAAGCATGATCTTGCAAATGACCCAACGTTCATGTAACCAGCAATGATAGAAGTGCCGGGTATGTTGAGTGGCCTGGCAAGAGCAGTCCTTTGCTTTGGAAATGTATGAATGCTTCTGCAGTACCGTACGTGTAGGTAGTTGGACGATGGGTTTTCGAGGTTCAAATTGAACCAACAGAGAGTTATGGCTGGCTACATATACTGCATCATCTCAAGGTTTGTGGTCCACGGTCAGCTAAACCAGTGTCTAGCTAGTAACCCAAGACCAAAGTGACCAAACCCTTACGCCGTGCATGAATCCGGCATCAAATGTTGGAACATCGGATGCCAGTGGCATATGCGCGGCCGCCAGCCCGGGCCGCGCCAAACTGGAGGCCCCCGGCGGCCGCGCGCGGCTAGGGGCGCCTTTCTGCCTTTCCAACGCATGGCTGCCAGTGCTGGCCGGGCATTGGAAAGGGTTTGAGGGGAGCTGCAGGCTTGCAAACCAAGCGCTGCCGCATTTCGTTTCGTGAAGGAATCTAGAACTTGAAATCGAGTCTATCGTGATTGTTGCTGAGAGGGTGCCGTTGAAGATTGCCGCCATGGTGAGATCTGTCCTTGCAGAGGTGGAGCATGTGGAGAACGAGATTGAGAGGTTGCTCAAGCAGTCCACAGCCACGCAGGTAGGTGCACGACAATTTCCAATCACACACCAGCAATGATCCTTCACGCATCGTTCTTCTGTATCCTGTTGTGTACATATTGATAAAACTTGCCTTGAAAAATGGTTCAGATGGATAACCAGGCTGCTCAAAGAATGCTGCGGGGCTGATAGCAAAGTCTAGAGGATCTTGACTGGTGGTGCTCATAATTAGTCGACTACTACGGGTCAGATCTTGTCTGGCATGCAAACAAAGAGCCTCTCCACATATCGCCTCCAACCACCACCATTTCAGCCATCTGATCTTGCTTTAATTTACTGCAGACTGGTCTCCTGGTCGGCAAAGTCAGTGTCGCATACCGCGACCATGTCTACGCTCTGCTGCCAACTCCACCATCCGAAAGCACAACCAATGTGGTCGATACAAGTGGCGCAAGCAAGAAAGGAGGCAAGGGAGAGGCGCCACTGCAGGTTGACCCCGAATGGATTGGAGAACACACGAGACAGGTGCGGAACTTTGCGTGCACTTCCAGAGCTGAGCTTAACCGTGGTGTGCCACTGGCATTGTCTCATGATGCCATCATTCTAATGACAAGGTTGCCACAATTTGAATGACAAGGCCAACTCCCCGAAGAATTTTACTTTTCCTGACCTCATTGCGTGGTGGACAAGCAATCCAAGGAGTATTTTACTGACCGGCCTGGTCTTCTGACCGGCCTGGTGTGCCTTGGTTCTTGAGAGGCAAAAGCACCCCGCTTTGACAGTCTCCAAGCGTGTCAAAGACCACCAGAGAACACATGGTAGCAAGAGAACACACAGTACACTTGATCTGAGATGCCAAGCGTTTCCCCTCAGGTGTCCAGAATGCTTCCAGGGGGTCTGGCTGTTCTGGGGATCTACGCCATCTGCTCTGAGGCAGCATTAAAGGCTGCTGGCGCTGCGCTGTGGGAGGCTCTGACTGCCACCGCCACCTCAGCAAGCCCCAGGATAATATCACAGGATGCAGGAGCAGAGTGGCTCCTCTTGCATGTATCACGGCAGCCCCGCAAGTGAGTGAACTAGGAAAGCTCCACACAATCGGACTTTCTCAGATCATGTCATACAAATTGACCGCCTCACTGGTATGTTTGTTCCTGAAATCTCTAGTCTGAAGGTCTGCGGCGTTGAACAGTAAGCCCTGGAGATTGTGCTAGTTTCAATCTGAGGCGTGCGCAGGTTCCAGCATGTTTGGTCAAGCTCGTTGTGTGTCACTTCTACTGACGCTGGCATGCAATCTCGATGGTTTGCACAGTTAGAGTCACTGTTGACTTTCTTCAGCGGCAGCTTCTGACTAAGCAGGGATCGCTGCACTCTAGTCCTAGAGGCTTCACACAGCCATTCCTGGCGGGTCGGCCGCCAGCACCTCACGTCACGTTCGCTTCCTTCAAATACTAGATGCAAGTTCTGCCAAGCTCTCAATCCTGCAAAGATCTGGTCCTAGACCCAGAAAGTACAGGAACCAAAGTTAGGGCAATCTCAAAAGCTGACTTGTTTTGCCTGTCTGGCAGGTGCACTTGTCGGAGTGGTCCCGTGGGCCTTCCTTCGGCCTCTGGGTTCCAGTCCCTCCGCCCCTGCGAGCTCAAGTTCGGACACAATCTCAACACTCTACACTGCCTACAAGCTGTCTATCGCATCGATTTACGGTCAGTGTCTCAGGGCCTATCTCCTGGTTAGAAGAGAAGGTCGTTTTCGACATATTCCGGATTGGAGGACAACAGTTCACCAATTGGCTTGCAGCCAACAGTCTCATTCAGCTGACCTCGAACATGCGTAAGATGCAGATTGCCTCTTTTCCCCAGATCAAAATGATCTGACTCCTACCGTTAGTGGTTGGGAAAAGTTAACGGTTCTGTTCATGACGTAGGCATCAATTGGCAGCCACTACGGTTATGCACTTTCACAGCGAACGGAGATTGATTTAGAGGCGAAGCTCCTTGCATGAGGACCTCTCAAAAACCAATTTCTCACTTCTTTTCTTACAGGCTTCCGATCCGCTCCGGAAGCTCAACATTATTCGTTTCGAGCGTCGAGGGCGCCATCTCCTCCGAGACAACTAGGCTCGGCGCCGCAGAATGCACGGTAGACGGCGCGCTCACAGACTCGACACAAACTGTAGCAGCCCTCCGAACCCCTTCCCCCGAGCCCGAGCCGGACTCCCAAACCGCGGAGTCGCTTCCGACGCACCAAGTCCATTTTTTCGCCCGCCCTTCCTGGGCGTCCGAAGCCGGCGCAAAGATGGGCGAGGAGCTGCGGGAGAAGCCGGGGGCGGTGGTCGGACACGTGGCACTCAGCGGGGCCGTCCACGTCAGGACGTATTCGCATCCGAAGCAGACGGTCGGAGAGGCGCTCGTGGACCTTAAGACGGACGTCGCCCGCAGCCTGCGAGCAAGGCTCGAGCTTTTGGTGGAGGAGGCGGATAGGGCGGAGGAAGAGAGCGAGCACGCCGCCACGTCAGCTGCCACGTCAGCACCTGGGGAGGGCGCTTCTGGGGCGGAGAAGTCTCAACCTCGGCATGCTTTGCTGGAGGACGCAGTCCGGCGATTTGGAGAGGGGATGCCGCGGCGGGTTCTTGTCCCTTGGCTAGAGGGAGTACGGCTGTCAGAGTATCTGATAGGAAGCGAGAGCGTCGCAGAGGCGGCCGAGAGGTGTAAAGAGATGCTTGGGCCGAGCTTTGCAAGCGGGAGCGACTTGGTCGAAGTCGAGAGGCCAGCAGCTCCGGAGAAAACGGCCCAACAGCAGAGCGAGCCCCAAAAGAGCACGGTATTAGAAGGTGTCAGAACAGGGAGCAGCAGTGTGAAAGGAAAGCAAGAAGCAGTGTGCAGTCAAACAACGCTCGCAGCCGCAGTCGGTGCTCTGGCTGTTACATTGCTCGCGGTCAGTTTGGCTTACGTTTCGAGGTGAGGTGAGGACTCGGAACGGGATGATTGTATAGCGGTCGATCGTGTAAAACCGTTGCATCTTGTAAGTGTGGGCTTTCTGTTGATGAGATCGGATGTTACTGGCACCACGAGCAACCGTCGATGTTCATAAGGTATTACATGTGCCTCTCCAAACATTGTCAATGTATGAATACCTTAATTGAAAGCTAGTACACGAAGCGACCTAGCTGCGTGACATGCAAGCAAACCTTACGCCAGGGACATTAACAGAGGCAATGTCTATGCAAAATTCCACAAGGCTTGCACGCCGCGAGATAGCCGACGAAACAGATGAAAGATGCAACATAAGATCCAAACTTATAGCGGGGCCGAAAGCTCCAAGGAATCACTGGCATGCGGATGCATACAAAATCATATGCAGCGAACATTCAAGGGGTCGACGTGCTCATCTGCCGCCATATGAGCTTTTTGAGCTGTCCACGGCCGGATCTTGCATATGTGCATGAGAGTGCCAGCAGGCCAGCGCGGCGGCGCCTCGTCGGTCGGCCTTGACAGGCTGGCGAACTTACTGGACAAGCACCGCCGCGGAGTTCCGGGCGATCAGCTGATAATACAGCGCGGTTATCATCATTGTAGCAAAGCGTTGCGCAGCGGTTTCAAGTGATACGCACATCGAAATTGAAAGTACACGTACTTTTTCGATCGCCTCGTCAAATTATTACTACAACAATCTGAAGAATACGGCTGCCATATGCCTGATCAATCGTCGGATCAGCCGGGATGCAGGCTTGATGAGAAGCTGTTTTGCTGCACGTTCGCAACACGTCCTAGTTGGCCTGCATGAGTAGACTGATTATTTGGAACTGGACACAAGGATACAACTTGAACTTAAGTTCCCTTCGATGTTCTCGAGTACTGATTGTAGAAATGTTGCGCTCGACATCTTCCTTGTTTAAAGCGATGCCATATAAACGATTGTGTCATGATGTTGTGTAGGCACCTGAGAAGTCAACATGATGTCTTATGATGTACGTGCGGCAAAATCTGGTGCCGCATGGTTTCGTTGAGATGGAACCTCGTAACACGTTGCGCATCGTTCCAGAAGCCCTTACCGATGCATAAAGACTGACTTGCGCACCATCGCAGAACCAGCTACAAATAACTTTGTTAACTTATCATGCACGTGGGTGAGAGAAACAGTGTAACATAAAATCATGGCCATTGGAACAGATCAAGTCTCTGTTCACCAACTGCTTCCGCTAAAAGAAACGAGTTGACTGTCTTGGATCAACTATCAGCCGTGGGCTGCTCTTATGTCCCTGCTTCAGCTGAAAAGCATGCGGGCTGGAGGGGATCAAAGTCGGGCTGGGAGGATGTACTGTGGTGAAATTTGCATAGCAGACAGCCTCGTGTAGTCGTGGCAGCTGAACGCGTTGAACATCTTGATGCACGCGCGGCCCATGATTACGCCAAGTAGAACCATTCGATCGAAGTCCTGCATAAGAGCAGAGTCCAAACGTTTTCAGTCGTCAGAAAGCGTATCTCGTCTGCGTATCCGTCTGCGTATTTCAGTCAAAAGTACGCAGATGGAAGTGTTCCAGACAAGGATCACACGCTCCCTGGAGAAGGCCATGCGCTTTCGCAGAGAAGGCCCTTTTGCCCGCCCTTTTGGCGCAACGCAATAGGATCCTCCGTTCTTCAAGAGCGCACCATACACAAGCCATCTAAAACCAAGGTCGGTCAAAAGAAGCTCGCAAACAGCCTCACCGGCGAGTCCGTAAAGAAGGGTCGCCACTTTCAATCTTGACCCTGATGTCATCAAGTATAAACGGCGCGCGGGCTGGCCCGATGCGCTCCAGCAAGTGAGTCGTGTCGTGCCAGCGTTCCAGGGTTTGGGTAACCGGCCCGCAAACGAGCTTGCGTAACGCCAGTGCCTGGAGAAAAGGAAAAGTAAAGTTTGCGGCCGCGGTGGACGAGGCGCAGATAACTGAAGTCTAAGTTGAGTTGGACCAATCCCCCGGGCTCAAACAAAGTAAAAACGTAATCCCAAAGAAGAGCAGCTCAACACAACATCGGAGCAACTGAGGCGCAAATACCTACCGCCTGGGAAAAGGAGCAGACAACTGGACGAGGACCGCAAGCGAGCCGGGGTGACACCTTCCATTATGAGTTCGCCGAAAAGACCAGTCACGCGAATGGCCAACAACAAGCACGGCGTGAGGTCCCAACACAGAACCAAATGTCGATTCTCCAACCACGCAACATGCTGGGAAGCTTTTTACCAATATAGCAGGTTGTGAACGCATGCCTTGACTAAGTTCCGACGAACCGGTAGAGGAAAGGGCGGCCGCGAAACGTCTCGCTTAAAGAGGACGTTGGCGGACGCGGACGCGTCCGTAGTGACGTCAAGAGCGACGTACAGCCACGAATATCAGATCAAAGGTCGCCGGGAAATGATATCAACCACTGACCACGTGGTATCATCCAGCGACCAATTATCATCCTTCTCACTCTTATTGTCGCTGCGATTTTGTCGTATCGCCACGCCCTCTTCAACGCAATACGCGCTGCTTAATCCTACCGGGAGTGCCTGCGGGAAGACCTGGAGGGACATCGAGCGCAGCACCGTCTTTGCAGCCTCGTATGCTTGCTGGAACGCAGTCTCGCCCGCCTTGAGCGCGTCGTCGAGCGGGGATCCATGAAGCTGGATAGATCCGTTGATTTTGATAAGGGAATAGTAGTCGTCGTACGCCTCCAGTGGCCTGCAATAAAACCGCAAAATTCAGTGAAAAGATGGAAAAGGTGACAGGGGCCGTATGAGGTTGAAAAACGCGGCCCTCAATCGCAAACAATTTAAGCAAGGCTGTGACCGATCGACCTGCAGGCTGTTCCGATTGCACCACGCTCGAGTCTTGGGTGACGTAACACTGTCAGTCCCCTAATTCAACCAGACCTACTGATGGGTTCAGGACGGGTTCAGGACAGACTTTTGACAGAAACGTATACACAAACATGCAATACAACAAACCCCCCTGAGATGATGTCAACAGGCATGGAAGATGAAACTGGAGATCAGATTTTTGCGGGGACTGGATGCTGACAAGCGCCAAGCACAGCGTTAAATCAACTCTTCTCTTGGACAAGTAACAAATGTGTTGCTCCTTGCCCACTAATTGTACCCCGTATTCCTAAGCCAGTCGTTACCCTCTCGAGTCTCACCAGTAGAGAAAGAGTCATCAACACTTGCAAGATGACTTCTCCAAACAACTAGGACTATGTTCTGTTGGTCAAGGTCCTGATTGACAGGGCACAGCAGCATTTGTTACTTACCTGCCGAGTTGCGTCTCCAGGATGCTTCGCCTCGCCGCGTCTAGTGCCTTGAGAAAGTCCTACATTCCACCATTCAGAATATTGAGCTGGCCCTGAAAGATCTCCGCATACACTCGGGACTCGAGTTCTTCCTGTAAAAAGAACAGCGTCGATGCGCTTTGGTCAGCTTCTGTGGCTGAGAGTCCAAGATGATGGATCAATCCATTAAGGCAACGACTTAGGCTCAGATGAAGAAATTTGGAAAAGCACTTGAGACACCAGATCACGGCTATGAAAGTGGTAACAGGGCTGGTCTATTCAAGCTGCGTGCTTCCTTATGGGGTCCTCCGGCGGTCATGTTTGTTTTGTAGAACGCTTCCCTCACGATCGAGTGAACAAAGTACAAGCTGCAAACCCAACTCAGCGAGTCCATGAATCCACATCCATTTATTGTTGTTGCATACAATATGCTGTCTTACTAACGCCATTTCTTCAGGCACCAGAACGCCAAGTGGCAGATGAACCAAAGAGTGCTCAATGATAAGGACTGATCTGGTCGTGCCTGCAGAATTTACCAGAAAACGACACCTCAGCCCCCTAATTCTTTCTTGATACAGCATTAACGAAGCTTTGATGAAACGAACTAACTTGGGGATGACGCACCTTTTGAATCCTCCACCAGAAGGTCTCAGCAAGAACGTACTGCTCTAGTGCTTCATGCTGGATCCGCAGGTTGTTCTGGTCGCTTAGCAGGTTGTTCTGCTGAACGTGCAAGCTGCTGATATCGGTTCGTAGCTTGTTCTGCTGGACTTGCAAGCTGTTCATGTCGGTCCACAGCTTGATTTGCTGCACCTGCAGATTGTTCAGCCGCAACTCAAAGTGGAGTACTGCATCCTCCAGGTGCGCTGTCTGCTGGCGCACTTGGCGAGCGATCCGGTCGTCGAGGCTTCCTGGAAGAACAATGTCAAGTTATCAGTCCTTAACGCCGACAAATCATCCATGCTTGGACGAAGCGGCTTCGCTGAGGATTGGGAAGAACGAAGACCGCCACACGCCTCTGCTCTGCCTGCCAAAAGCTATTGACTCATCTGACACACAACCTCTGCCAAATCGTGGGAAATATGAACAAACATATCATGTCTGCCCTTCAAATCTGCCAACTTGAACAAACAATTGTCTGCAGCGACTTTCCACTTTCAAGAGGCTTTCTGAATCTGGTTGAAAAAGCTTCGTGGTCAACAGATGTCGAAGTCTCACCTAGCTCGTAGGACGTGTCGACCGGAGTGGGGCCAGTCTCATTTCTAGTATGATTGACGGGCCAACCGCCGAATCGCTGCTCTTCGCTGAGAAAGGTCCCTGCGCGCGGCGTCATTGTACCAGTTGAGGAAGGTGAGCAGTCCAAATAAGGCGCAATCAGTACCCCTTCGGATGGTGGAGAACGCTTTGATGCTACGATTGCTGGCAGAGGCCGGTCCTCCGATGACCGCCCCCAACTTCCGTGCCTGCCCGGCGGGTATACTCCGGTGGCGCTGCACGCAGCTAAGGCCAGCCAGCGAAACCAAGGAGAAAAAGCAAAGCTTTTGCGACCTGTGTGCAGACTCAAAGCTTGAAAGTTGGTCACGCACCAGTGAGCGCTCCTAAGAAGACTACATTTCTTATGGCTTTCTCTTGCCAGTGAGCGCAACTTAGTTAGCGCACAGTACTCGCCGATACGCGCGCCGCGGCCGGCCGTCGCACGCGGCCGCCGCCACTGGCGAGCTCAAGCAGGGTTTAAGCGAAACCCTTTGACCGCCCGTCCGGTTTTTTCGCTTAGCTTTGGGCGCGGCCGCGGCGGCGTTTTCGAAGCCGGCGCTAAGCAACCATATAGTACATGCTCGAGTAACTTATATGACTCATGATGCCTACGTCGGGTAACTATCCGGATTCAATGCTGATATAGTGTCGTATTCATTACGAAGGTAATTGCTTTTAGGTGTAATGGTCAGTCCATTATAACAAAGCTTTTTCGGCCTATATATGTTTCATGACCACCGTTGACATGCCGTTATTCTTGAAACTAGCTAGCCTAGGGCACGTGCATAGATATTGTCTTTTATAAGATCCATTCCGGCTTATGCATATTATATATGCAATGATAACAGAATGGACATATATTCTGTCGTTGCGAGGCGTGGGCAACGGCCCTCAACATGACAATAGCCGGCCTCAACTCTTGTTGCAAACTCAAAGATCGGCCGAGTTTGGATTACCGACAAGGTTGATTGTTACATGTGCCTAATAACTGGCCCCCTCTTCGCCCGGCCGCTCTTGCTGCATTCGCTAGATCATTGAACGCAACACGCCTTCATCTTACACTGGACCATGTACATTGTCGAAACATTTTCGGCCCTCCAAATCTAATCTATCCCCTGCGCTTTCAAGTTTGGAGCAAGGGTATGCACAAATCGTGCTTGTTGGTCTTATTGGTCTTTTTTGGAGCTGGCCAGAGCTGCATCTTGGTGACATGTACGTCAGGCCCCCTAGTGCGGTAGGACGTAAGGACACAGCATACTTGACGAATGATGAAGAATACTTCCTCAAACACAGCAGGAGCGGATCAGTCCGAACGCGTCATCGCAGCTAGTTTCACTAACAACTAAACAGGGACACTACGGTTGTTGCACCTGCTTCAGCAAGCTTTTTACCATGATCTTCGCTTGCGTTGGAGACAAGAACTCGGAATTGATGATGGCGTTGGCGACCAGAACAGTGATTGCTGCTGAAGCCGCGTCGACCTGAACGACACGTCAGGGGTAAGGATCGAGCCAGAAAACAAAATAAGAACAAATACCTGCTCGGTCCTGAGAAAACCCCTGACGTTTCACGATTTCAGACTAGAAGAACAAGCTTCATGCTTGTGAGAACAATCTCCCCAAGTGAAAGCTGGCAGTGCTAATCGGTGAAACCAGAACATAGTGCACGGAGGTTTCCCAAGAGCGTCCACTTGTCTTCGAGTACTAACGAGGAAACTTTGAACTTTCAGGTGGACCTCACGTTATGATTCTTTCGACCGCACGCCCTCATCACGGCCTAGACGAGTCATGCTTCTTAAGGCGCCATGACCAGCGGCAGCGGTCCATCATCATACGACGTCAGCAGCGAAGTGACGTCATGCGTCAGGGCCTTACCCAGACCTTCCCGTTCATGCCCACGGCCAGTTCGAAGGAAAGCCCGCCGCCTAATGCTTCCAGAACGGCGCACGTGGGTCGGCTCAGAAGGCTGCACGTGGCAGATAGAGCAACGGGGGTTTACACGGACTGTTCTCGGAAAGTCCTGGCATACGGGATTGACAACGCGTACGTCGTAAGAATCTCTGTTTAAGAGCATTGTCGACGACGTTCGGTTGGTCAGCTGTTCCTGGAAAGTAAGACAACCAACTTGCGGCTGTGCACTTCAAGAGGTCGAGGCGTCATCTGGCACTCTTACAACCTTGAACGTCGACGGTTTGTTTTATTTGCCGAACGTAGATAATGCTTTATCAACGAGCAGAAGAGAAAAGGCGCATTTGACAGATACGTTTGTAAGGTATGGTAAGAGGGCGTTCCGCAAGGGGGTGTGACCTTACCCACGCAGAGTGACAGAAATCTCCCTTGAGCTCAGCACTTTTCGCTGTAAGCACAAGAAGCACAACAAGCACAACAACACTCAAAATCAAAGTCCAGGAGCAGTTTGACCATGAATAGGAAGAAAAGCCATTCGCAGTCTTACGTCCGTGCCAGGCCCGTGCTACACTGGAAGAGGTAACCTTTTGCGAGGGGTCCAAAGCCTGCGGCCCGACCGCTGGCGTCATGACACGCCAGCGTCGGTTCTGTGTCTCGGCTGGTACTTGTAACCCGGGCGTAGACAGAGTCGCCAATCTGTTGCAACGAAGGGATGAAAGGAGTCGGTCAGCAGTGGCCGATCGATCTACAATAATCGTGGGGAGAAAGTGGGGCTCCTGGGATCCAAGGGGTTGTTTTCTTGAGGCGCAGACGAGTGAGCAGACGGGTGCAAAAAAGAGCATAAGAGAACGAGCGGGTAAAGCGTCCGTGATGAGAAGCAGCCATGCAATCGGAGAAAAGTGAGCAGACGGGAACACAATCAGGCAGTGCAACTTACCCTCGGGTGAAAGAACAGGCCTTCTGATAAGTAGTTCGAGGGGTTCAATGTAACTTACGATACCAGCTCGTTTGCTTAGATTCTAGATCAGATTGCGAGTCGATTAGGGCTGCCCTTCCGAACTCGTGAACTTCGTTTAGCAAAGCCTGATGGAAACTTCTTAGTAGCTCTCCTGATCCTACTAGCACCACCCATCAGGTGGCAGTTCGCTTCGCCTTCAGGGAGGCCGACACACAATAAACGAGGACACTTTTCTTTGATGTATGAAACGAATCAGAGACTTCGCGTCATGTGGTAGCACAAAGTCGAGGAAGCTGCTGAAAGGATTATAAGTGGCGAGATTACCCAAAGCTTACGTTCAAGTTCGGCTTGTTTCGTCGAGTGGCACCCTCAAACGCCAATGCCGGCAGCAGCGCGGTCACGGGACCGCCAATGTCGATGACCAAGTGCTGCGCAAGGGAGGGCGGGGAGCGTCTTGTGGAACCAAGACTCACAGCATGCGTGTTACGCATTTTGAAGTCGACTGGAACGGTCTTTGGTCTTGTTGAAAACAACGAAGCTCTGGTTCATTACGAAACTCAAGCCGATCTTCGTTTCACCTGCTCCTCACGAGAAACAAGTGCTTTATGTTCTCTCCTGAAAGTAAAACCTTCTCTCTAAGAAACCCCGAGAAACGAGAAAGGCCTAAAGTGGGCAACAAGAGTCAGGCGGCAGAAAACGACAACAGAGACAGAAGGGCGCAGGTGACGTGCCTACCTCGGCATAGCGCTCCACCACAACGCCCACGACAACATCCTCCACTGCCGGTACGTACTGGACAGAAGGCGGAGAAAACCTTAATTCCATATTCGAATCTATTGGTTTTGGTTGCAAGTCACATCGCCGGCAGTTCAAAAACCGGGTTATTGGCATCGTAATGAGAGGGGAGAGCGAAAACTACAAGGGGTCAGCCTCCAAACAGGACAGTGTAGGGTGACAACCGGAGGGAGGGGCATACCCGTCTTTGGCTGCCTTCCACCCAGTACTTGCTTGGCTTGGTATGCCTCAGCCGCCCAGCTTTCGTGACAACTAGGGACGTGCCGTCCTGCACACGAGCACAACCAGTGTTCTGCCGGCTACGCCCTGAACTCTGTACATTCATCAAGTGCTTCACAGGAATTTGCAAGCTAGATGCTTGGCAAAACAGACTGGCAGACCTGACTGCCAGAATAAGAGCATCCACTTTCTGCGAAAGTCCGCCCCGAAGCTCCTTTCATGGCACGGGTTTGCACTGCAGAAACCTATCCTTCTGTACTTCAACACGGCCCACTTTGCTAAAAGTGATGCCTAGAGACAGGTAGCCATTTGACTAACAGGGGCAGGTGAACTCCCAACTCACTAGCTTTGCAACCTGAGGTCAATACATAGAAGAAGCTGGACAGGATTTCCCGGAAAGAACAACACTCCAAAGCTGATGCCCAAAAAAGCTGGGAGAGATTGTTGAGAAGAAAGCCCACTCAAACCATCGCAAGATGAAGCTAGCAGAAAGCCATGAAAAGAATGCTGCTACCGACCTGTTGCAAGCCCCCCCCAATCCTGACCAGTTTGCCTGCCTGCGTCAGATCCAGAACAATGTCCCCTGGAGCCTGCACACAGGCACCAAACAGTTAGCGCCTGTAGCTCCTCGTTCAGGATAGTCAAGCGGACCCAGCAACCTTCTATGAGAAGCTGACCCAGATGAGAAACTGAAGCGTCGATCCAGATTGGCAGTTTCTTAAGACGTGCAAGTAAGTGACGGCGCAGCGTATGCTGTATTCTAAAGTGCACAACTTCCAGAGCCCCCTTGATGACCAGACACTGGTGATTGTGATCAGCTTGGCACAGGGGATTGCTTTAAAAGTTGCGACGTTGATGGGTGAGAATGAAAGGCCCCTTCCTAATGTGAGAGCGAATGACCAGATTGATGCCCTATGGCTTCATGCCAATAAGCGGAGAAACCAACCAAACACTACGGTGCAATAGCAGAAACCAGGAAAGCGTCAAGTCTCAAAACATTTGACGGAAGGGCCACATGCGGGGGGTTCTATTTTGCCCATGCTGCCTTATCTTCTGCGATGGGTCGGGTGGTATCCTGCAAACCTGCCCTCCGTGTCCGTTTCGGCTGGCGACAGCAGGGATGGACTTTATAGAATAAAAATGAGCAATGCCGTACCACTATCTGGCCCACGTAGGAAGAGGCCTGCTCGCTGCCACTCGTACTGGGGCCGTCGCCCTGCCCGCTTGATTGCAGCATTGTGCTGCTATGAGTGTCTTCTCTGGCCCTGGGGTAAGAGGGGCCCCAACTTCTGTTTCAGTTGGATACCAAATTGACAAGCTGCGGTAATGTGCGCCTCTTCGCAAGAAATAGTGCCGTCAAGAAGGCCTCCAGGTCACAATCAAGACGGAGGAGAGCTCAAGATGAATGACATTGAAAAGCTGGCGCTTGGCGGAGGAGATTGCCAGCACCACAAAAGGCGCCCGAACATCTTGTGCCAACTGGTGAAGTAGTGGGGACCTGTTTCTGAACATTGGTTTGGGCAAATTCAGAAAGCAAAGTTGATTGAAAGTCGATGTTTCTGGAATGAGAACTCGGCCTGCTTTAATCGAAGTGCTTCCCCAAGGATTCGTCCTTCCTGCCGCTCCTTCAAGCCTACAACATTTGTCATCTGTACAACTTCAAGTGTTGAAAGTAGTGGCTTTCAGGGAAGCAAATGGGGAAGAGGGGCGCCTGACAATTGGTCTGAGAAGGGAGTTGTCATCATAATGGGTGGTGTTGTACCGTGACTTTTTGACAGGAGAACATTTGAGCTCCTGGAAAGTCACCCTGTCGCAATGGATCCCTCTTTCGTGTTTGACCTGGGCGATGACGCACCACCAGCCCGCCCCGCGCAGTCTCCTTGGGACTTTGGCAATGCTGCCAAGCTGGTGGATGAGGAGCATTCACAGCACAGGACGACGTCCATCGATCACAAGATCCGGGAGCAATTGCGGAGGAGGACAATTGTGAGGGGAAGTGGTTTCAAGGATTCGGGTGGTGGGGCAAAGGAAGAGTCAGAGGAAGAGGACCAGATTGAGGAGGAGAGCGATGAAGAGGAAGAGGAGGAAGAGGCTGAGATTTTGGAGGCAAATGGTAATGGTTTACAAGGGAATGGTAATGATGGTGTAGGCGGTGGTAGTGAGCAGGCGGAGAGCAGCGATGATGAGGATTCAAGTGACGAGAACGATGAGCTGGAGGAGAAGTGGGAGCAGAAGGCGCGCGCGCGGTCTCATGCGGAGGCAACGAGTAGCAAGCCGGCTCTTCCAGACAAACAGGTCAGAAGGAAGAATGGCAGAGCAGAGACGAATGAGGGCGGGCCATCATCGAAGGGTACTTTCTTCTCATCCTCTGAGGGCGCCTCTTTCACAGCGCGCTCTTTTGGCGAGCTCAACATCTCCCGCCCGTTGCTCAAAGCCTGTCAAGCCCTGGGCTACGAAAAGCCCACGCCGATCCAGTCAGCGTGTGTGCCCCTCGCACTAACTGGCCGCGACATTTGCGGGAGTGCAATCACTGGCTCTGGCAAGACGGCCGCGTTCGCACTGCCCATTTTAGAAAGGTTACTATACCGCCCCCGCCGGGTGCCCGCGACCAGGGTACTGGTTCTTACGCCGACGCGCGAGCTGGCAGTTCAGGTGCATTCGATGATTGAGAAGCTGGCGCAGTTTACGGACATCAGGGCGTGCCTGGTGGTGGGAGGATTGTCAAACAAGGTGGGTCCCTGTGCGTCTACAATGTGTGTCAAGCAATTAGGGTTTCTGTTTTAGGGTTTAGGTTTGAGGGATTTAGAGGGGAGTTTCTAGTCATCTTCTTGTACTTTGATGTGGCTTTCTGCTTGATGGGTGGTGGTACAAGTTGGGATATTGAGAGCAGGTTGAAAAGACTCTTGTTCAATCAGACGTGGGCTCTCCAAGCATGATTGCTGGGCGGGGGGATTGTCAGATAGTGGATTGTTTGTTGTGAAAGTTTGACACCAATAAATTGTGTTGGTGACATTTAAGATGAGTTTATTGTCGATGGCTGGTGGTGGTTGCGGAGCTTAAGTTTGTTCTTCCATCTTGGAAACTATGTTTTTGCAGAAAAGCGACCTGCATTGTAAGTGTCGCCTCTTCTACTCGTGTCCCCTCATTCTGACAATGTGGTGGTTGTTTGATGCTCAAAAAGTTGCGAATGTGCGCGGAAGTAATCTGGTGGTGATCTATGAAAGCCAATGATGCAGACCTTGAAAGCGCTAGCTGGGTGTTGGCCCGAACCCTGGATCACCAGGGAGAACCCTCGGGCTATAGCAACCCGTATGTAGTGCCGCACAACCCGCGGGCAACCGCTGTCTGAGGCCTTTTTCATATATCGCATTGTTGACATCGTTGAAGACTAGGCTTGAAAGGCAGCCAAAGCGACTGATAGCGTTTTCAGTCAGGCGATCAGCGACCACAAAGGTCACTTCTGGGTTCTGTCCATTCAGGGTTTGATTGTAATCAGAATTGTCATTGGCTTCTTGTTTATGTATCTGCACCAGGATCGAGGAGACAGCCATTTACTGGATCATGCTTCGAGTCTCCCTTCTGCTTCGTCTCTGAAGTCCACAAAACACTCTTCCGAGCCTTGAAGTCTTCAAATTGTTCACATTTGTGGGCCAGGGCGTGTCGCCTGTTCTCCAGTTGCAAACACGGTTTTTGCTCGCATGCTCCGAAGTTGCATAGCTGCCTTGTAATCCAGGAGGATCAGCTTCATGTCCTGCGCGATTTACCAACCCTGTCCTTAGTTGTGCCAGAACGGCGCGTGATTCAGACTTCAGACCTCATGGTCTCCTTTCCCAGGTCAATTTAAGTGGTGTGCATTCTTTATTTTTGTATGTCACACGCTTCCACCTACTAAGATTCCATATTGATCCTGCGCTCAGGTGCAAGAAACGGCGCTGCGCCTGCACCCCGACGTCGTGGTCGCAACCCCCGGGCGCATCATCGATCACGTGCGCAACACACAGTCGGTGGGGCTGGAGGATTTGGCGATCCTGGTGCTGGACGAGGCGGACCGTCTGCTGGAGATGGGCTTTGTGGACGAGGTCAAGGAGATTGTCCGGAACTGTCCGAAGAAGAGGCAGACGCTGCTCTTCAGGTGAGGGGTTTTGCGAAAGTCCTTCTTCTAGGAAGAGGGTGCCGATTTCTGGTCACGTTTGGAATTTTTCGAAGTAGAGGCAAAGGCGGTTTTTCAGGTGAGGGATATTTTATATAGAGTGTTCGGAATCTTCTGGGGAAGAGGCAGACGCTGCTCTCAGGTGAGGGCTGTTCATAAAGACCGTCCGAAATTGTACTGAGGAAAGGCAGACGCTGCGCTTTTGGCGAAGGGCATGCCGAACATTCTGCTAATTGTTCAAAAAGAGGCAAAAGGCAAGTTCTTTATCATGGGTAGAACGGGGACCGCACAAAAGGCCTAGATGGGAAAGGCGAATGCCTGTATCAAGTCAAGAAAATTCTTGCCTGTCTGTAGAAGCGGACGCTACTGATTACTCGAAGTGCAGGGTGTTTCTTCTCTTGTGATTAGAGTGGAAATCATAGCCTCTGAGAAAGACTGACGCAGAAATAATTATTGACGGCAGATGCTCCTTAAGATTATACTTTTTTGTTCTTTCAAGTGTAGAATGATTGAAATTGAAAAGAGAGGTCAACTAGTCTGTTCGAAACTTTCGAAGGGGACTCTGGGGCTGCCGTCTTTTGAACAGGGCTTGTCTTCGGAAGTCAGGTGTTCTCTTTCTTGGTAGTGATCAGGAAGAAAGTCGTTGAAACAGGAGCGGATGCTGCTCATTAGATCAAGGGAAGCATGAAAAAAGATCCTGTCGGGAGGGCAGCCGCTGTCTTCGTTTACAAAGCTGTCCGAAAAGGTCAAGGACAGTGATTGGCACGACCTTGAGAGTACAGAGCTGTAAGGTAGGCGAAGCTCACGGATCTGGTATCAGAATGCTCAAACAAGGGGTAGGACGAGGGACGAGTTCAAATTGTGCACTATGGGGGGGGAGGTCTGACTCTCGATAAAGACACTGCGGTTGACAGTTGCTTGGTAGATTTCTGGAAGATGAAACAGCGCCTTCAATTCTTTGGTAGTCTGGTAATATCTTTTGGAACAGTTTCCCTCGTCCTTGGGAAACGAGATCTGCCATACTTTTTGGATACTACAGAGTGTATTGCTAGGTCCTGTTCATGTTGACCGAGCTCATCACGCAAGAAAAGCATTTCGTCAGTGAGCTTCGAGGAATTGCACCATTATATCAGGAATGGCGCTGCGGCTCATTCTGTTCCCTCTTCCCTTGCAGTGCCACGATGACCGACGAGGTTAACCAGCTGATCACCATGTCGCTGCGTAACCCGGTTCGGTTATCAGCTGACCCGAAAACACGGCGCCCGGGGACGCTGGTAGAGGAGGTGGTTAAGCTGAAACCCAGCCAGGAAGCCGACAAGGAAGCACTTCTGCTGGCGCTGTGCACACGCAACTTCCGCAGCAAAACGATAATCTTTAGCGCAACGAAGTCAGAGGCGCATAGGTGAGCACCCGGCGGAAGTAGTCTTATTATCTTTCGACACTTGTCCTGGGCTTTTTGGTCCTCTTGCTGCGTCTTCCATCTTGTTCGTCGGTTGCCTTTTCGTGCAGGCTCTGCAGAGTGCCACTTACCGTTCACCCGCGCTGATCTGCAATGACATCTTCTCCTTATGTCGGCTTTTTAGTTTGCAGAGGTTGCGCACATATGACTTGAGACGTTCACCCAAACATCGAAATCGCGAGCAACAATCTCCTTTTGCACTACGTCAGCTTGTCGATGGTAGTATTCTGGCCGCTAACCGAAGAATTTTCAAAGAATGGCCAATGATGCAGACCTTGAAAGCGCCAGCTGGGTGTTGGCCCGAACCCTGGATCACCAGGGAGAACCCTCGGGCTATAGCAACCCGTATGTAGTGCTGCACAACCCGCGGGCAACCGCTGTCTGAGGCTTTTCTTGTTATGTCGATAGTTGTGCAAAGCGGCTTGTTTAAATTGACTCACTTTTCGTACTGTCTCGTCTCGTGTTGGGTTCGCATTAGAACCAGATTGTGGAGTTTAACAGTCCTTACGTCCACAATTGAGTCTCCGGGACTGGAGAAAGGAGTACTGCTTCTGTCGTTGCCCCAGCAGCGTTTCACAGTCTTTTTACATCTGGCAGTCTCCTGAATCGCGTGGGTCTGATAACCAAACATGATGGTATGTCTAAGTCGAAGCCAAACAAGCCATAGCAGTGCGTCCGTCGGTCCGTCAATCTCCCGGATGGTCTTCTGTTCTGCAATGATCGCGTACACGGATCACTCAAGGATTCCTCGTGGCAAGCTTCGATACATCCGTCCTCTTGTCTGTCGCCTTTTATCTCCTCTACGGCCGCTTCTTCAGTTGGGACGGGGCAATCTATGGCTCGGAAACGTTGTTCTGTAGACCAAAACGGGTTCATAGGAAAAGTGCCAGTCTTTTACAGTCCACAAGCTAGGCTTCGTAATTCTTGTGGGCTCCGCTTTGCTCGGCGAGCTGCTTTAATCGAGACACCTTCACTTGAAACATACGCCTTCTTAACTCCTCTGCTTCTCTTCGGTAACTCGCGGTTTCGGGGACGAAGTGCAGCTTTTGGCAAGGAAGTTCGCTGAAAGTAGAAGCTCCACTAACAGCGTCGTCTGCAATTCGCTGCGCAGGCTGAAGATCCTGTTTGGCTTGGCGGGCCTGCGCGCGGCGGAGCTCCATGGGAACCTGACCCAGGCGATGCGGCTACAGGCGCTCGAGACTTTTCGTCAGCAGGAAGCCGATTACCTCATCTGCACTGACGTGGCCGCACGCGGGCTGGACATTATGGGCGTGGAGACAGTTGTCAACTTCGACTGCCCCAAGGTGAGCAGACCAGGGTGTCAACGGGTTAGGTTTTGCATTAACCGGCGGGTTGCTACTCGGTTTCGGTGCTTTCCAGGGATTGCAGCAGTGTAACGTCGGCATGATGTGAAATCCCGAGATTCACCTCTTAGCAATCAGTGCTAACCCCTTATTTTGTCTGCAGAAGAGAGGTCAGAGCTTTCGAAGGATTGCGCAGTGTAACGTCGGCATGATGTACAAATCCCGAGGTCCTTCTCTTTGCGGTCGACGCTGGCCCCTGATGTTAAAACTTAGAAGAGAGGTCATTGCGTACCTTTTGGTGGGTTGCGACAAATCAAGAACGAGCCCTGTTGGTTGTTTTACGGGCAAGTGAAGAAGCCCATGACCTGGATCTGGATTCCGGAATCACAAAGCCTCAATGGATCACAAAGAGGGTCGCGAAAGTGAGTGTCTTTTCTAATCTGTGCGTCCGGAATCCTTTTTCTGCCCAAAACGTATCGAATACGGGGCGAATTCCCAAAATGGGCGCCCCATCATTTCGCTCCGGGTTTGGATCCACCATAGCCGTCTTAACGGAACTCTCTTTTTCTTCATACAGGATATAACCAAGTATGTGCACCGAGTAGGGCGAACCGCGCGTGCGGGACAAAACGGATGCGCCGTGACTTTTGCCACGGAGAAAGACCGTGCGCTGCTCAAGGCGGTGGTCAAGCAGGCGGGCCGCTCGCTGCGGAGCCGCCAGGTGGCAGCAGCAGCTGTTGCCAAGTGTCGCGACCAGATTGAGCGGCTGGAAGAGGACATTCGGGAGGTGATGCAAGAGGAGCAGGAGGAGCGCGCGCTGAGGAAGGCCGAGATGGAGGTTAACAAGGTGGGTTAGGATCACTAAGTTAGGTTGTCAAATGAAGGCAGGCGTGTTGATTTCGGGTTAACAGCTGGATGAGGGTTATGGTCAGCGAAGTTGAAAAATGGGGGTCAGGATTTTGGCAGGTCATGCATCAGGTTGATCTGTGCAACTTACGAGATGGTTAATGGAATGGATTTTTCAAAGATCCTCAGGGTTCTTGAACACGGATCTCAATGGTGTATTCCTGAGAATCAACATACCCTGACTCCCTAGGGTCTGCACTTCACCCTTGCGGTTCTCTTCAACGCGCTGCACGAAGCGATGATTGTCACCTGATGGTACGTTCCTGATAACTCTCGATTTTACGAATGATAAGGTCTATGGATAATCAGGTCAGCTTGGGACGGGTGGGGTCGGCTTGGGGATGAGGGTCCTTTTAGGTGCGGAGCACGGATAGAAATAAATCGAACTTATGCGTTGCTTGCCTCTCCAGGCGTCCAACATGGTGGAGCACGAGGCGGAGATCTACTCGCGCCCACCGAAGACGTGGTTTCAATCGCCCAAGGACCGGAAACAAGCGGCGGAAACGGCGAAGAAGGCGGCGGAGGGCGGGGCAGGTGGGGAAAAGCAGGTCGAGAGTGCGCTCAGCGCCAAGGACCGGCGGGCGCTTGAGAAGAAGAAGGCGGAGAAGGAGAAGCGGCTGCCTAGGTAAGACCCGTGATTTTCTGTTGCTCTTCTGGCTTTTGGAGTTACGGTGGTTCTGAAATCGAGAAGGAAAAGACGTTCGTCTTGCTATCTAGCGTTGTTTTGAGACAACAGTTTCTTCGTCGATGTCGAACAGTTTCCTCGTCGTTGTCGCGACAGTGCTGAGAGACCGTGGTATTTCGTTGCTTTCTTCCTTCCGCCTTAGATAGCGCTTGCGAACGGGCCACTATGTCCGATCCTCGGTATTTGGCCACCTTTGCCCTCTGATTCCTGTAGTATGTTGGCGTATCAAGAGTGGGTTAGACCGCAAAGTGGTCTAAAAGCAGACTTAGGTCTGCATTATGTGGTCTGTAAGACATCTCGAGCAGAACCCAGTTTTGAGAGGTGCCTGAAATAAGAACTTGGATCATGCAGAAAGAAACGGCGGCGGTTGGAAGCGGAGCGGCAGATCGCAAACGACCAGGCGGAGATGGACGGTCAAGTCGACGAGCCGAAACGGAAAAGATCGAAACAAGACGACGATACGCCAAAAACGTCGATGGTCGACGTGGGGTATCGGAAGGCGAAGGGCGCGAAGTCGATCATGAAGCTGAAGGAGGCGGGTTTGCTTGACCCGCGAAAGGTAGCAGCCATGAAAGGGGTGAAAGGGAAGAAGGTTAAGAAGAAGGTTAGGCCGGAGGGGCAGGAAGGGGGCCAGGAGTCGGGAGCGGGGTCAGGCGGGCCCTCTCCGGCGGGCGGCCTGAAGAAGAAAGAGCATATGAAGCCGCGGAAAGCGTTCAAAAGCAAGAAACGATACAAGCGGAAGTGAGTCACCATATTACGACATTGGCAAGCAATTAGGGTGCTTCTAATAATCGATTGCACGCGTGCCGCTGCATCAAGTACGCTCGGAACGCCGCATTTCCTGCTCTGAAAGCATCACTATCCGACTCATGCACCGCCAATGCAGAACATTGTTTCAGGCGACCATGTGGTTCGATTGCCTAATCCGGATGAAGAAGACTCGTGACTGAAGCTCTATGCGACCATGACGCAATCTCGATTGCAACGGCCCCATGCTATACGTGATTGAGAAGTTCAGCCAAGTTGTGTTTGCAAATCGATATTTCATACATGTGGCCTGCGCCAGTCACTCGCGCGTGCCAAATTATTATGATGACCGGCTATATTTTTCAGGCATGCATGGCCGGAAATATCCGACACCGTCCCCAAAAAATTTAACGCTACTAAGCCGCGAGTGCATGAAGCCTATATATTGGCCGGGGGTCGAAACAAGATTGCTTGGTAAAGCTAGTGCTAGCTTTTATATATATGGTACCCATGGCCGCCGTACGTCGCGTCATTGCATGTCCATGACCCATATATGCCCGCGGCCGTCGATCAAAGCCTAGTCATGAGAAGGATCAGCTTCATCAGCCATTCAATGAAATTTGCGAACATTCCAACACGTGCCACCTTTCTTCCCCAGTAAAACACATGTTTCGAAACTCAAGTTGGAAACGACGGATTCACAAGGCCAGTGATCGAAGGTCGGCCCGCTTGAGGTGAAATTACTCAATACTTCAAATAAGAAGTATCTTACTGTCGGAATGATCCAGCAGAAAAGTCACAAATGGTTCTGAGAGGGCAGCATGTCTGCCACGGGCTCCAGGAAGAGTCGTTCTATGACAACAATGACCCGTTTTGACCCAAATAGTACCCTGATCCGAAGTTGCGCCTCCGGACTCGTTTCGCTTCCTGCTTTGCCTAGCAGAGGGCCTTTGTTGTACTCTGAGGCCGTCTAGGGCTTATTCTACAGGAGGCTTTCAATCAGGTACTCAAGTGAGTGAAACACGCTGAACGACTACCGGTACTTCATTCGGAACAAAGGGCTTCGAGGCTCCCCAGAGGCCGCGGTTCTTCGGTTTCTCTCTCGGGAGCAGCTCGTGCTCTGCCAGCTGCGCTTGGGCGGTCCGAAGCGTTTCTTGCAGCTCGAGCACCTTCGCCTCTGCCTCGACCGCCCGCGCCTCGAGCTTCTGTAAGTCTCGAGATTATGTTGGGTTAGGCCTATTTAGATTAGTCGAAAGAGTAGAATACTAGACCCAACGTCATCATGCTCCGCACACGTACCCACCCCAAACCCCCAAACCAACGCCACCCCCCTCGCATGACGTAGCCGTGATTCAACACGATTCGAGACTTCTCGAGAGTCTGTTTACAGAAGTAAACTCAAAAACGCTGGTCAATCCAGTACAGTTCTGTTCCTAGGGTGGCTGGAAGTACAGAATGAGCTTGTTGATCACTTCGTCGTTCACATGTAGAAGTTCATTCGTGAATGTCGAAGTCCCCCCGGAGACAAGATCCCGCTCTTCTGATGATTGAATTCTTTGACGTCTACATATCTGAAAAACAAGAACTCTGTTTTCGTCCAAGCGGGACGGAAGATGAAACATTCTCTTTCGCGAAAAGCTGGAAGAGACTGTTCGGGGAAGAGATGAACCCTCCACACAGCACCCGAATTCAAAGCACATGAAAAGATCACACGATGCCTGCACTTGCGGATTCTTGAAAGGTGTTTCCTTGATCAGATTTGAAGCCGACCAAACAAAGAGACACCCTTATCTCCTCAACTGCACGGTTACTCTGACATCAGGGCCCTTACCAGTACCTGCTCCCGCAGCCTGCCGATCACAGCTGCTTTGTGAGCACTAATCACCGGCACAGCTGCCTCGCTCTCCTCTTCCGCTTGAGCGAGGAGCTTTGACTGGTGCTTCAAGTCCACCAACTGGACAGGAAAACTTCGGGCTGAGAGTTAGTACCGACCTTGCACGTCTAAAACTAGGCCGCAGATTTGGAGGTCCGCTTGATAACTTGCAGGTCAGAAAGAAAGATGGACTGGTGTCCATGCAGAATGACTCGCAACCTTCGTTCAAACCTGACTGGTTTCGCATGTCACCATCCTCTGAACTAAAGTGAATGATGTGATGCGGTACGCAGCCGCATATAAAATTAGCAATGGAGAAGACGAGGGACTCACCGAAGCTTGTTCGAGCAGACCGGCCACAACCTAGGTCACAAGATGGATAAGCATTATTGAATAGACGAGCAATTGGTCCGGAAGTTGAGCGGTTTGCAATTATAAAGGTCACAGTCATCAAGATGGAAATCTGATTATGCGCTTTTCCGTTATTACAGAGGCCAGAGCAATCTGGTTTCCTATATGCACGTCCTGTGAAACGAGAAGAGCGCCTTAACTACTTAGACGAGCAAGAGATATATTTCACGATCACTCCCCTCCTGGAGGCTGTACGAAAGTGCAGCGCCGGAGCTCGTAGACAACAGAATGTTGGCGAACTGCAAGACTTCAACGAAGCGACACGCTGAGAGTAGTCCCTTATGTTACGGCGGCTCGCAAGCAAAGAATCCACCGAAAACGGTGCAAGGAGAAGAAAGACAAAGGCAGCAGCGAATTACGACGAAACCTCTCAGTCAGATGTTGCTAGACGCGTTATTGAGATCACGGGTCATACCCCTGTCAGGATTGCCGGGGGCTTCTTCGTGTCCGGGGCTCTGCAGCATAGCATGCCGACGTATTCAAGAGCAATTAAGAATGCTGCGTCAGGTGGTAAACCACCCTTTTGAAGGACCGGCACGATGGTCTGATAATCGTCCAGCCTTTTACCATTTACGACGCTCTCAGCGTGGAGCTGCAAAGAAGAAAAGAACCATCACACACTTCTGCTTGAGAAGAGTCTTGCGACGATTTTTGTCTGCAGATCCTGTCAGCTGCACAAGATCGGCGTCTTTGCAGAGCTACAGGCACAGCAAGGGCGAGCATGAATCAAATGGAAGGCAGGTTTAGGGAGCTGAAAGAGTGGCTGAATTTTAGGACTCACCTCCATTGCGTTCACAACCAGCTGATATGGGCGAACCAAAGCTAACTTGAAACGACCACAAAAGGTTTGAAGAAGACTGATGAGGAAAATAATTGCTTCTTGTCGACTTGTTGCGCCGAGAGCCTGCACAAAACGCAGCGAATGCAGAAAGGCTGACACCAAGATGGCGAAAGGTCTGGCAGGATGCTCGAGATGCACGGTAACTTTGTTTGGACAGCGAGAAACTACGATTTTTGAGCTCGTGTAGTTGACGAAGATTTTCAAAGTATGGCTCAAGTGAATGGAGTGTTCGAAGTTGTTGCTCCGTTTAAGCTGACCGGTTTGATCCTACTGCTAACCACAACAACCTCAAGTACCTCACATAAGAAGCCAAAGCCTTGTCCTTAGTCTTGACTGATGCCTCACTTCAACCTCCACTAGTCGGAAAACGACCTCGTCCTTTTGCCGCTCCTCCTTTCCTGGGAACCACCACTGCAACAAGTCGCACCTCTTCTCAGAGCGTTCTTCAAGGCAGTCTTAGAGCCCAGGCAAACACCTCTTCCTCATCCTGCAACCTGACGAGAAGGCTTAGAACCAGAGCTTATGTACTGCTCGTCCAAGGTCAATTTGGACACACTATAAGGAGAAGTCAAGTACTCAGAGAATCACCACTTACATCATCTCAGAAAGCTGAAAGCAAAAGTTCGAAGCATCACTTGAACAAAAGCAAGTCGCAGAGACTCACTTCCGAAAATGGAAGTTCTTCCGTTAATTGTGACATGGACGAGTCCTGCAAAAACGTGCAGCTGTTCTGTTAGCAACCAGAGCAAAATGATGCGAGTGACCCTGCTTGACATACACGACCAACTTGGCAAAGAGAAGAGTGTTAATTGAAAGTTTCATTCTTCCTGAGCACTTACTGTCGAAAAGAGTACCATCTACTGTATCATACTGAGCAACGACTACCATCTACTGTATCATACTGAGCTGACATGACGATCATAGCAGTTGCTCAGTTGGAAAGAGTTCACATGCCTTCGCGGCTTCAAGTACTGGTCACACATCCAAAGCTTACCGTGCAGCTAGTAGATGCTCTTCTGCTGTCTGCAGCACTGCTTGCAAGAAGAAGGGCTTTAGAGGTGAAAGCGAGGGTTTTACAGTTGCTGAATGCCAAACAATGTATATGTGTTAGGTGCCCTTTGTGCTCTTGAGTGACGGGGTGCCGCATCAATGAGTTTGCCAGCTTGAGAGTGCAAGAAGATAAGGTTACCGATGCCATCGTTTCGACTACGTTCCAGAACGAACGTCTTGAAGATCCTTCGAGCTGGAAAGAATTCTCATAAACATAGGCAGTGTTTTTTCCTTGCCGAGAAGGGGGAATGCCGGGTTACATGGATTATGTTGAAACGCTGAAACGCTTTCAGAAGGCAGAAAGGCACAAGGCACGTGAGAGCGACCCACTAAGGAGGCAAGCGCTTCTCGGTTGAGTCGGCAAAGGTCGGCCTGTACAGTGAAGCAACAAATTCCTCAATGTCTTTCTTGCACCTTTCAATACAGCCGTGATCGCCACTAAACGTGTCCCTACCGTCACGTACGTCGAGGCCGCCGCAACAGCGCGGCCGCGCCCCGCCTCTTACTTTACTTTTGAATTGGCCAGGGTTTCGACTTTTCCCAGATGGAAGGAGTAGCTGCTAGCCGTAAGATGCCGACCATCGACGGCCCTGGATCATGGCAAGAGCATGCAGATGGTCATGCATACGTCATTGTCAGAAGCGGTTGAGATCCGCAGCGGAAACGACAAAAGCAGAAGGCGGACGCCGGATCCCATCATTCCGTTACGGTTTCAAAGTTTCCGTTCGCGCCTTTTGACGAGAAGACTCGGAAAAGCACACTCTGCAGCCTCAGCACGAAGAGGGCCAGGGCACAGCCAACACATTTGCAGCTCAAGAAACGCCTTTTCTCAAAGACACGGGCTCGCCTTCTGCACGATCTTGTCTAGCTTTGGAAGGGCTGATCTGTTTGAATTCAGCTGCCTGTTGTTTCACGGCAACTGCTTCTTTGAGCTCTTTCCGTGGATTGGTGCCGCCGCGAATTGTGCCAAAACCAGATGAGATCTGGACCGTAATTCCATCTATCGCAAGGGCCTCGAGCTATGGCCTGGGCGCAGCCCCAAAGCTACAGCCCTGAGAGCTACTCTAAGGACAGCAGAAAGCGGAGGCGCTCCCAGGCTTTGGCGAGCGATGGGCTTCCTTTACCGATCCGGTACACAAACGTCATCTTCTTCGTGACGTTTCTGCTCGCGACCTGGCACCTCCTGATCCGGTGGAAGGAGAAGGATCTCACCAACACGCCGTTCATCCTCTTCAATTGGAAGGACGTGCTAGCTCTGGTTACGGAGCTGGGGTCGTTTGTTTACCTGATTGGCTTCTTTGGCATTTACTATGTAGAGCATGCGATAGGTAGGTCAACGAGCGAGGATCTGGATGAGGGCATCGCAGCGGGGCACCAAGAACCAGTCTTGCTGCACAAAGTAGCGCGCTCTCCACCGCAACTAGATGGGAGGACTCTTGTAGATCAGGAGGATGAGCGGATCGCACGCGCGGTTGCTGTGGGGGAGCTCCCCTCTCACACATTGGAGACGGAGCTCGGGGACTGCCAGCGGGCGGTGGTGGTCCGAAAACGGTCTGCAGAGCTGCGGACGGGGAGGTCGCTTTCCGGACTCCCCCTAGACGGCATGGACTATTCCACAGTCATCGGCGCATGCTGCGAAATGGTGATTGGACATATACAGATCCCAGTAGGTGTGGCAGGACCTTTGTTGCTAGACGGCGTAGAATACACTATCCCGATGGCCACTACAGAGGGCTGCTTGGTAGCAAGTACCAACAGGGGCTGCAAGGCAATCCACCAGTCAGGAGGGGCCCGCAGCGTTCTGCTGGGGGATGGGATGACGCGCGCGCCTGTTGTGCGGTTCCAATCGGCGCAGCGCGCGGCGGCGCTCAAGTTCTTCCTGGAGGACTCGGAGCACTTCATGACGGTTGCTGAGGAGTTCAACCGGACAAGCAGGTGTGGGGTCGATGCATGTGTTGCTGTGCGAGGGCTTGGCAAACATGCATTTGATCTGCAGCATCCTGTTGCCTTGCATTGCCAATTGGTGACCAAGACTTGATCTTTTGCTGACCTGCGTTCTTGGAATGATCACGCCGGGTTAAGTTGGCATGTAGTAGGACAGCAGTTATTAGAATATTGAGCCTGTTCTTGCTGAAGGTTTGATCTTGCTGTAGGCTGTGTTCTCTGCAAAATTTCTGACAATACTTCCGACAACATGTCAAATCAGAGGCTTGCTTGCAGGGCTGCGTATTGTGGTATCGAATGCAAGTGGTCTGGTCAAGTATGTCTCTGAATTTTGGGAGATCAATTGCAGAAGCGTGAAGTTATACAACCTATGAATCAGATGCCTTATGGTCTGACGAAGATGACGAAAGAGGATTGTCCAGGGAAATATCAAAGGATGGCTGATTTGAGTTCCAAGGCTTGCTCTTTTCCAGATGTGGCAAGTTTGTCACTTCACCTCGAGTACTTGTTTCGGTTTTTGGTCTCTTCTTAGGGCTCATTTGCACATGCAGCCGCCTGATGTAGGTTCCACAGAGGTGAAGAGGGCTCTCTCAGGCCTCACCTGCTTCATTTTGAGAGCTATCAATCGATTGGAGTATGAATCAAACGCAATCAGTCTCTTCTATTACTTTTCCTCAGTTAAAGGCAATCTCTAGCAACCTAAGCAATCAGCAGATGTCATTACTTTTGACTCGCGCAAAGCTAATGCAACATCTCAGCTTCTTTTGATCCGAGCCAAAAAGAGCTTTTTTGACTCCTGTGGACTGAAAAGCTGGCAGTGCAGATAAACATCATTAATGCACGCTGGTTTGGATTGCTATCCTGAGTACTGGTGGTTTCGTACTCCTTCAAGCATCACCTGATTATTAGCCTTCCATTCAAAGCTAGCATGACCGTAGCTTTTCTTACAACTCCCTCCTGTTGTACTTCAAACTAGGTACGTGCTTTCGATTGTACGCTGAGACCTCTTGCACAAGCTGACCCGGATAGCAACTTCTGCAGACTTCTTCTTCCACAAATTGTCTTTTGCAAGTCGGATATGATGCTCTCTTCCCTGCAGGAGCCTTATACCAATAGAGACTATTAATGTGGTTTCCTGATAGTGTCTGTTCTTTGAGCTAGGGTTCTAACTTTGTTATCCCTCACTTTGCTCGCAGGTTTGCGCGCCTGCAGGACATCAAATGCACGGTGGCCGGGCGCAACCTGTACATGCGCTTCTGCTGCACGACAGGGGACGCCATGGGGATGAACATGGTGTCAAAGGGCGTGAACAACGTTCTGGATTACCTGGTCAAGGCTTTTCCCGACATGGAGATTATCAGCATCTCTGGAAACTACTGCTCAGACAAGAAACCGACTGCGATCAACTGGATCGAGGGCCGCGGCAAGTCGGTCGTCTGCGAGGCGACCATCAGCGGCGCAGTGGTGAGTCTGAATTCCATATTCATTCAATTTGAATTGATTGAAAACACTTTGTATTGAATGCAGTTGGATGGAAGTGGACTGAAGGAATGAAATCAAAACCGCTTCTCTGTTAGAGTTTGCTTGCTCGGTGAGTATGAGCAAATTTGGGAATGCAATATCTTGCGCAACATCCTGCCAGAATTGGCTCTGCTAGGGAGGATTAACTTGCTTAGTATGCTTTGAAGTGGAGGGTCAAAGCATCCTCTATTACTGCCAAACTGTGCGTGCTTTTGCTTGTTTGCTGCCTCAAGTTATGTAGATTTAGAAGGGCCTGATCACATAGCAATAGCCTGAAGATTGCTAATCCCCTCCCCCCCTGCGCTGAAGTGTCAGGAGCTTGGCAGCTGGCGTATGATGTTCCACCCAGCTTTAACAATCAAATTGCTTTCCAGGTAAAACTGTACTGCTTGTTGTCATCACTCACCATGGAGGTGGAGTCCCATGATGAAAACATATTGCCTCACCTTAACACTTAAAATTGGCCCCTCGCTGAGACAGGATGTGAACTCCGTCCACCCTTATCACCTCTAACACACGCCACCTGTCCTTTTCCCCTGCCAGGTGTCAAAGGTTCTGAAGACGACCATCCCCGCCCTCGTCGAGCTCAACATGCTCAAGAACCTGACGGGCTCCGCGATGGCTGGCGCGATCGGTGGCTTCAACGCTCACGCCTCCAACATCGTCACGGCGCTCTTCATCGCAACCGGCCAAGACCCCGCCCAGAACGTGGAGAGCAGCCAGTGCATCACGCTCATGGAGGCGGCAAACGGGGGGCGCGATCTGCACGTCTCAGTGACGATGCCCTCGCTCGAGGTGGGCACGGTGGGGGGCGGGACGCACCTCGCGGCGCAGAGCGCGGCGCTGAATCTGCTGGGGGTGAAAGGCGCGAACCTGGATCGGCCCGGGGCAAACGCACAGCAACTGGCCAGGATTGTGGCTGGTGAGGACACAACCTTTCAGTCCCGCCTGATTGCATGGAGAAGGCTTTGGCGCTTCTGTGCATATGTTGCTGCATCTATTGCAGGGTGTGGTTGTAGGATCAAAACCACACCACTTTCCCAGAGGTGCTATGGATAGTGTTGCTGTAGGATCAAAACGAAACGAACCTGCATATGAAATTCTCACTTGTGGGATCGAAACGGCATGAACCTGCATGCCAAAAGTCTCAGTATTCAGGCAGTCTTTGGTCTTGGACGGACTTGTCCACGTTTTTTGAAACCTTCATCCGGCTGCTTGCTTGGTGGCATGTCTTTAAGCTGAAGAAACATCAAATTTTTCGGAATCACTTCTTCTCAAACTGTGCTCCCCGTCTAACTGCTTGCTTTGCCCCTCTTTGCAGGCGCGGTGCTGGCGGGCGAGCTGTCGCTGATGTCAGCGCTGGCGGCGGGCCAGCTGGTGCGCAGCCACATGCAGTTCAACCGCTCCAACTCGCAGCTCGCCATGATGGGTGCGACCAAGGCCGTCGACACCGGCGCAAAGGATGCGATCACCGAGCCCACCGGGGAGTGCCTGAAGCAAAAGTAGGGTGCTCAGTGGAAGACTTTCCTGGGGAAGGTGGAGGTAGCAGCCTCCAGGGGGGGGCGTGGCCGACCCTCCCTGGGGGGCTCTCATGCAGGGGGATCCCCTTGAGTGGGTGGGGTCGTCTTCAGTAGTGGGCTGAAGGGCAAGGGGGGTGCAAAGCACCGGAGGTTTGCTCAAGCGGGCCTGGTAGTGAACAGGCTTTGGGAACCAGTAATGCGAGACTGGCCTTCCCTGTGTGTATGCTCGTTTAGGTCTAGGTTTAGAAAATTAGAACCATGCCGGTCTAGGTGCCCCAATCTGGCGGCCTGTGACGATGCAGGACACGCTAGCGGGGCTATCACTGTGACAGAATGGCAAAGCAGGTGCAAGCAGCCAGGTTAAGTAGCTAGCGTTGTCATCTGCAACGACTTTGTGTGTTGTGCGTGCAATCTTTTTCAAAGATGACTGTTCAATGATCGGATATCTTTGACGAAAAAGCAGTGCTGGCTGCAGCGACGGTGCATGCCTTTTTTGATACGCAGGAAAAGCATGTGTGAGGATCGTGCAACTGCAGCCCTCAATCTGCTGACATTGAAGGTTGTCGGTTACTAGTTTAGTGTCTTCTGCCCTGCATGTACCTGCAAATGGCCCGTGCTTCGGCTGAAAGGAGCATCTAGTAGCTGAACATCGTATCCAAGTATCTACTGATTCCACCGTGCTTTGAATGAACGACCCGCCGGCCAATGAGAATATATCTCAATGATTCCCTCTGGAGTGGTTTTTGCTGGCGCATGCCGAGATTTGCAGCCCATGCATGATACGTTTCCGACCACATGCCACTTCACGTGTGCACATGCAGTGTTTTACCATACTCCGCATGCAATCATTAAATTCAAGGCAGCAAATCACGACTGTAGGTTGCCGCGCCTCGAAATTATTCGTATCAAATGAGTCGATCGGATGCTGCCAATACGATTTGATGACAAGCAAAGATTTGATCAAGCATAAGACCCCCGCTATTGCTCGTCATCAAGAAAGTTGTTGTCCTCTCCTACAAACACATCCAGCGCCTCAAGCAGCGGTGTCCTGTCAACGCTCCGACGATGGCTGTGCACTAATCGACACAAGCACGCATTCACCCCCTCCAACCTATCCACCGTCAACCGCGCCGTCTGCCTGATCAGCGCCACCTTTATCTCCGCCACTCGCCGAGCATACTCCGCCTTCATTTCTGGGGTCACTTCCGGCTGCTTCTCCTCTACTTCTACAACTGCTTCGCCTGCTTTACCACTGGCACTCGGACCCGCGTCCTCACCTGCCGCCACACCCGCTGCTCCCGACTCATTTCTAATCTGCTCTTTGACCACTTCCGTTTCTTTTTCTGGCGGCTCGATCGGTGCCGCCACCGGCTCCCCCGGATCCACGTCCATCGCTTCACCAGTCTCCTCCGGCTGACTCGCCGGCTCATCCGCCCCGCCCTCTTTACTCACCACATTCTCCGCTTCCGGCACCCCTTGCGAATCCAGTCCGTCCGCAATTTCCCCATTCGCCATCGCTCCTTTTTCCATCCTCGCGCCCTCGCTCCCGCGCCGCACCCGCCGCACCTCCGGCGAGTTGTGAATATCTACGTTTGGCTGCACGCCCCGTAACCGCGCACTTGTGCGCGCGACCGGGGGGGGTGCGAACCGGGTGTGAACGGGAATGTTAAATTTGGACGGTGGGGCCGCGACGGGGCCGCCGCGTGCTGCTATCTCGTCGGTTTGCTTTACTAAGTTCGGGTCCAGCTGGGACAGCATACTGTACACCTGCGAAGGAACAAGTGTGAAGTTAGAACCGACCAACTCATTTGGTACACGATCCAGGTTCATTTATCACTCGGTCACAAACCACTGTCTCAGATGCTTCTTGTTCCTCTCGGGGTGCAGAACTAAGCGAGAAGATGGACCCAAAACCGCCCAAAATGCTACGAGCTCAATAAAACGAGGCCGAATAGCAAACACTCTCAAATTTTGGTTGTAAGCTGTGAATGGTCCGACGTCCAAAAAGGAGCGCTTCTTAAGGCAGAACTTGGAGCGCTTACCACATCCTTGAGCGCAAACGCTCTGCTAATGTACCGGGCCTCCTGAGGGTACTCTCCAAAGTAAGCCTGCAGAGTTTGGAAGAAGGTCATAAGACTGCAGGCGCGTCTGCTTTGTCAACAAAGGAACGCTTGAGGGCATCATTTAGAAGGTGAAAAGGACCGCATTAGCAGGGTCGATAGTTAAGGAGTCATCAGCGCCTAGACGAAGCAGCTTTCCTTGTCGCGAGACAAAATTACGTATTGCCATACTTCCAGTGGTTCGTCAACAAATCGTTTCGATTTCGAGAAAAGACCAGCTAGACTCGGAAGCTGCCCCTTCGTAGCGTCGCACAATCGCAAGAACGTATAACAACCGCAACGGATACATCCAAACAAGAGACTTCTGCTGACGAAAAGACGAGGCCAAGCAGATTGAACACGGGCACGGACGATCGCCCACCTTGGCGTTCTCCGCTATCAAGTCGACGTCCGCCAGAAAAAAAGCCTTGACCGGGTACTCCCCCCCGTCCACCCCGCGCAGCAGACTGGCCACGTCCATGGGGCGGGCAATCACCTCCCGGTACCCGGGGTATTCCTCCTCGGTGATGGGGTAGTGGAAGTCAGCGAACTTCTTCTCCAGCAGCAGCCTGGGGCGGGAAAAGGAATGTCTCCCTCTAAGGTAGAGTGGAGCGCAGCTTTAAGCAGTGCCCAGGCAGCAAGAAATAAGACGTGTTTCCAGAAGCCCAGCCCAAGATTCAAAATAAGGACTAGGCTTCATACGGAATGGACCCAAGCTTATACAATCTCAGACAAAGACCCAGTTGGGAAGCGAAAATATGGGCTCTGAATAGCTCTTTGAACGTGCTTCGTTCTCGTACTAGGACTCGAGAGTCCCCTGCCGGGAGTGGCTGCTGATGGAGTTTCTGCTTAATTCTGAAAGACAGCGTTCAAAGGGCTTTAGTACTGGCATCTAAAAGTAAGGCACCGTGTTCTGATAGAAAATCGGCAGCAAATATCGTATGTCGTTCTAGCAACGGCTCTTAATATGTTTCACAGAAGGAGGATCCTTGGATCTGTCTAATTCGCTATGAGACTAGCACCAGGTTACATGTCTTTGTTAAAGCCCCGGCAATGGCTCTTGCCACATACTTCGGCTGCTGTTTCTGCATTCTTGAAGATGAGCAGAGTACAAGGGACTGCTGTGAACACTGCAGATACTCACCGATTGCATACATCCCGGAAGCACATTCTCAGTCTTCGTAACGCCTGTTCCTCGTCCGCTGCTTTCGCTGCCAGCTCCGCTTCGGTGGGCTCTCGCGGCTGCCGCGGGGCTTTCGGAAGCTCTGGAAGAGCGGCGGGCTTCTTATTTCGTATTAGTCGGGGGACTGCAGCGGCGGCGCGTAGAACGGGGTCGAAGAACGCCTCGCGCTCGGAGGAGGTGCTGGCGCGGATTGAGTGTCTGCGAAAATGAGCGTGAGGTTTTCAGTCACTTATGAGGGCGAGGAGATGCAGAGAGAGGGCGAGAAGATACAACGTGAAACTTGAAGGCGGCCTCGTTGCAGTCCCCAGCCCCCACGAGCGATGAATAAACCAGGACCTTGATGGGAAGGGCACCTTTAGAGGTTTGATAGCCGTTTCTGCAGACCACCTGGTTTAGAGAAATGGCGCAGAAAGCAGCACATTCAACCCATGCAAGCTGTTTGCAGACCCCAGCAATCGAACTCAAGAGTGCACAGGATAGGCACAAGATAGGCACACAATAGGACTTTGTGCCTATCCTGTGCGATACATGGATAGCACAAACACAGAGAATCTTACGATAAGGGTACGGCTTACATGTGACGGCCAAAGATAGCGCGTGCTTCGGGGTCTAGCTCTTCCTCCGGTACATCGGAAGTGCCCAGGAGAAGCAGAGGCAGGGCGGGGGGGAGGTCGGCGAGGAGCATTACCAGGGTGGCGCGCAGAGAGTCGTCCGCCTGCGGGTAAAGCGCGGCGAGATCTATCAGCGTGAAAGCGATACAAAACCTTGACTTCTCCTTCGGTATGTTCGAAGGGTCAGGCGACGAGATATTATTATCTGAGACACGAGTACGAAACTTTAAAGCGCATGCACAGGGCCGAGGGCCGAAAGAAAGCAACCCACTTTGGTTGGTAGTCGCTTCGGCAATGTGCAGACAGATTCACAGGCAACGAATCTTCTTTGCACGCCCAAGAGAAGAAGTGCACCCTTGATGGAGTAATTCAGAAGGAAGCTTAAAAAAAGAGTCCATTCCACGGGTATGAATGACGACGGACAAATCGTTGATCCAACCATAAACAGATCCTCACCGTGCTCCACCAGAGGGGCAGGTGCGGCAGGTAGAGCACGGCGGGCGTGGTACGGCGCGCCTCGCCGAAGATGTGCACGAGCGCTTCTTCCGGGGTCTTGGCGCCAGGGTCGGAGAGGAGTGACGGGAGGCCGAGGGAGTGCACCGGGAACTGCTCCAGTTCGTGCAGCAACGCAGGGCCCAAATGGTCCTGAACAGGAGGAATATGTCAGCGATTTAGAAGGCCTCCCTCCGTGTTTAAGCTCCGCAGTTCATGCAGATTGGATGAGAGTTTTGCAAAATCCAGACACAGGGGCGGCGTCGAAAACAAATTAAGCAGCCTCAGTCACTGTAGCGGAGTGCGGTCCACGTGCTGAGGTTTGATGGGATGAGCTTTCGAAGTGAACTCATTTTCTGACGTTTCTAGAATTTGAAGCGTCAACATTCAATTGCCGCCAACGGAGAAAATCAAGGGAGCAGGGCAAAGACACAGACTTGCATCAACATCGACCTGTTCTTGTAATGGCGAAGTGGGGAAAGTCCGATGCCCAGCACGTCGATAACCAGAAGCAGTGTCAACAATGAAACCCGTACCTGGCCCGCCCCTCGTCTTCCCGACAGCAGCAGCCGTGGCCGTTGTACGAAGGCGACACTCGAGCCCGGCACAGAGGAGAAGAGTCGCCCTAAATCCGCCTCGTTCTCTCCCTCCAAGTCGCCCTCCCACGAGAGCGAGTCGTCCGCCGTAGAGTCTGCTCCAAAGGCGGGAAAGATGTCCTTCGTGGCGGCCAGGAGGGCTGCCAGGTGGCTGTCCAGGATTGGACGGACCAAGGGAGGCAGGGGGCGGGCATGCACTACGGCGGACCTGTGAAGAGGGGTTTACCAATGACTTCAGCCGTAAACGGATTCTACTCAACAAAAGAGATCCACTGAACAATGCCCGAGCGGAGTCGGCGTTTCAGAGGCAGGGGCTGCTCAAAATGAGCGAACAGGAGTGGATGCTTAACCATGTTCGAACAGCCCAGGTTCAAGCGGTCTCGAAGCTAAATCTGGTAAAAAGATACCGGAAGCCAGAGAGGTACCCTGGCAGGCTCATTTTGTCGATCGCGAAAATATCTTAACGGCAGACAGCTCTGTTCACGCGGAAACAACACTGGATGAGTCGGCTGAATACAAGGCTACGACCACAAGAAGGAAGAGTCAATGGACAGGGAAGTCCGCGGTAAAAGGCAGACGGTAGTCGCCAGTGGCACACCGTAAGCCCAATCAACCAACAAAAAAACGGCGTAACGACATTCGAAGCACTATTCCATGAAGCACAAAAGGGGGGAGGGGTCTGCCGGCCGTACCTGTGTGCGGCGGGCGTGATGGCTGCCATGGCCTCGACAAAGTGCTGCCGTTCCACGACGACTGAGTCCACGTCGATCACGTACTGCTCGTCGCTCTGGTAAACCTGCGGGTACTTGTGCCGGAACGCCCGGATGGCTGCCTCCGTGCAGAGCGCTTTCAGGTCCGCTCCGCAGTATCCAACGCACGTCGCCGCCAGCTGTACAGAAGGGAGTAGATTGCTCGTGAGAGATACGATGCCATTGGTGGGTCTATAAATGCGGTGACATGGGTTACCCTACAGCCCTTTCGAGTTCGTGCCGACAAATCGATGCACGTGGCCGCCAGGTTTGCATTGAAACGTGGATCTTATACTCTGCCAAAAAGCACAATAGAGATTCCAGAATTGCAAAGATGTCCTGGTTTTATGGTGCTTCGAACACAATCCGATTCGAAGCACCTTTCCAGCAGAACCGTGAAAAAGGAGAGTTCGTCAGCACATTTTGTCGGCAGCATACTTGGGGCAACGGAGAATCGGCCTCAGTATTTCTGCTCGTGTCACGAGCTCCAACGAGCGTGCTTTGACGAGATACCATTCCAACATTTAGACCCTGCTTCTTCCACGCAATTTCCAAAGCTTACCTCCTCCAGCAAAGGTTTGGTCGGCGGTCTGGCCCAGTTGCGCGTGTGGATGTTGAGGATCTCCTCTCGCGCGTCGGCGTTTGGAAGCGGGAACGTGAACTCGCGGTCGAAGCGCCCCGGGCGACGCAGCGCAGAGTCAATCGCGTCGACTCTATTCGTTGCGCCGATCACCACGACTTGCCCCCGCGAATCTAGACCGTCCATCAGCGCGAGGAGAGTCGACACGATCGAGTTGTGGATCTGCTCCTGTTTCGACGACCGCACGGGAGCCAAGCCGTCGATCTCGTCGAAGAAGATGATCGACGGCTGGTTGCGCTGCGCTTCTTCAAACAGCATCTTCAGTTGCCGTTCCGCCTCCCCGACCCACTTGCTCAACACGTCCGCCCCCTTGCGCATGTAGAAGGTTACTTTTTGCCCGGCCTTAGACGCCGCGGCCGCCAGCGCGCGCGCCACGAGCGTCTTTCCCGTCCCCGGGGGGCCGCACAGCAGGACGCCGCGAGGGGGGGTGATGCGGTAGTTGGCAAAAAAGTCGGGGTACAGCAGCGGGAAAAACACCATCTCCTTGAGGGCGTCAACGTAGTTCGCCAACCCTCCGACCTGATCGAAGTCCACGGAAAGGTCCACCGCAACCGGTTGGACGTCAGCCCCCGCTTTCGCCAGCGCCCCCCCGGCCGTAGCCGGCTGCGCCCCGTCCTCGTCTCCGACGTCCCGATTCGCCCACCCGCTGGCAGGCGGAACAAACGCCGCCGCCGCGGTCGGCTCCCCCGGGGGAACGTACGGACCGTCCGGATGCCGGCCCCACCCCCTCTCGACCTCGTCCAGCAACAGCGAGTTGTCCGAGTCGTCCGCCCTCAGAGTGTGCCGCCGTTTACCCGAGCGCGAGGTCGGCCGATGCCGACCCTCGCGCCCCCGCTTCTTCCCTCGCCCGTTGGCCACCTGGGGGGGGACGCTTTTTAGTTGAACGATAGTCGTATGAAGCATGCTTTACGATCACGTCTTCTCGGTAGATGCAGACTTCTGGCAAACGGCCAAGAAACGCAAATAGACCCAAGGTCGAAACTAACAACTCAAATCGTGTGCGCCCCTGCTAAACGGGAGAGGCGGAAAAATACTCCTCGCTTCGAATACGAACAATTCCTCACCTGTGGAGACAGGCGCGCCGGCTGCTCTTTTCGCCGGGGCGAGAAGCGCTGCACCTCGGTACGCTGCCGGAGGGCGTACCGCCGCTCCCGACGATCGCTACCGTCTTCCTCTTCAGCGCCGTCCCCTTCTTCCCCCTCCTCGCCCTCCTCGCCTTCTTCCCCTTCTTCGCCTTCTCCACTGCAAGTGAAGGCGGAGTCACGACGCGAGTCCATGGGGAGCAAATGGAAACCCGTGCCATAAGTAATGGATATCTAAGATTGGAAGTTGATTCATTTCTCCTTTTCAATATTTCTCATTCCTTTCTTTTGTGCTTGCTTATGGCTGCTTATAAAATCTGTGGTGACCTGTTTCGAGAAAGTTGCAAGTTGCTGTAAAGTCAAATACATTCCTCTCGTCAGAAAGCTTCAATAAACAGGATACTGAAAAGGTCGACAAACACGTCTGGAGATACCGAAGAACTTAGCTCCTTCCTACCAACAGCTATCAGCGACATACAGAGACCAACTTTTGAAAGAGACGACGTCAGCTGCCTGTCCAAGTTCATGAATCATCTAAAGAGATCTTCAGGACCTGTCTTTTTGCATTTGTAACGATCAAAACTATTCTTACGAGCTCTTTGTTGAGGAGTGTGCATCAAAGGTGTAGGAGGTTGCGCGTAACTAGCCGCTCCTCACCTTTCCCGTCCAGAGAACCCGGCCTCTTCTTGCTGTTCCTCTGTGTCTAGCTCTCCCCGCCTGGGTCTGAGGCCTGCCCTCAGGGGCTGCGGTCCCTCTTCGCCCTCCTTTACGTGACCGTTCTCGTCTGGGGCCTTTTCTGGTGCATCACCTGCCAATAAGGTTGCGAAGCTTCGCAAAAGGATTGCATAACACCAACTGCCTCCAAATAACAGCATCCGCCAGGGACCCTGAGAGGACACAATGCGCCCCAGTCTGAGCGACACGCTTTGAGAGTGCAGCTTTGAGGTACGTAAACTTGAAAAGATCTCAGTAGTACATCAGCACGCATCAATCATGCGTCAACACTAACAGGCTTTCCATAACAAGCTGCCCATTCTATAACGACAAAAACGCCCCATGCCTGATACCTGCGTTGATGTTTTGTGTTTCACAAAGCAATGCTCTCAACCACACTGTGTGCACCCACCTCCCTCCGCCTTTTCCGCGCCTTCTTCCCCAATCTCATTTCCCCCAGCTGCACCGTTCTCGCCACCGTTGATGGCGCCCGTTTCCCCCTCTCCTCGTCCCATCTCATCTTCATTCTCCAAGTCATCGTCATGTTCCTCCATGTCGTCATCCTCGTCATCAGCCTCCCCTTCGACATCTCCGCCCAATCCAACGACGTCTTCATCATCAGTGTCCTGCCAGTGCATCAGAATCACTTCAAAACTTCAAAGCAACCAGGTCAAACAAACAATATTGGATTCCTTTTCTGGCACTCAGTTCGGGTCGTGCCAATTCCAGATGCTTGTAGATATTCAACTTACTCAGCGTGCAATTATTGCTGAGGGGTTCATCGCAAATTTTACACAAGCACCATAGATCCCTGTGTTTGCAACAACTGCAAAGGGTCACAAGAAAATGAAATATCCTTGCCTGCTGAACTCTCCGAGTGCTTATGTAGATCTCATCCGTACGCATGCTTGGCTTTCTCTTCCGAGATGACCGACGTTGGGGGGCATGTTCCTGCAGACACCATCGGTTTTGGCTTAGGATATGATCAGACTGGCGCAGGAAACCTTTGTCAGACCTTCTCGATTCCTGATGATTTGCGAAGCTTAATGCCTGCGCAAACGCGAGAACCTAAGAAGAGGTACAATCAAGTGGAAGACATGCAGCCTTTGAACCTCAAGAGCGACTTGACAAACTTTTGGTCAAAAGAATGACGTAGCAGTACATCTCTAGCATATAAGAACAAAAAGTGACCACTCATCATATGCCATTAGGAGGAAAAGTCATCAGATCTTCCATTATGAATGTCGATGAGAAGATTGGACTATTGACAGACAAGCTTTTCATCCCATGACACTTGAGACAGGTCACAACTTAGTGATTGTCCACATCTGCAACAAACCTGTAAAATCCCCTCCTTCGCAATACAAACAAGAGCGCTGGAAAGTACCTTCGTCCCCTTTTGAAGCTCCAGTAACTTCAAAACCTCATTCTCTAGATCTCGAGCCAAGTCATTAAAACACCACCATGCCTTTCAATATCACCTGGTAAAGGGGTCCCCTGTTCATTGAAGAAACAAAGAAACTCAATCATGCCCCCAGATGCCACCAACTATAGATTCCACAACGTTGTTCATTGGTGGGGTAGGGCTGAGAAGATCCCACGTTGAACAGAGTGTTCCGAGAACGGAAGTAGGGGAGGGGGGCAAGCACAGCATACATCAGACAGAAAGCTCAAACTTGTAAAGGACAGTAACTTCTTAAGTTACAAGAGCGACTTGCCTCCTTTGACTGAAACAAAAAAGTGGTTGCCAAGTGCTTGCGCAGCTGAGGAGCCCTGTAGGACCTGGTCTTCTTGGGTGTGTGTCTCCGTTCAAAGTCTTCATCGGAAGACGGTTCCTCGTACTTGCCATCCTGATTGCCCCTCTCACGAAGTTGCATTCCATTGGACTGACCGCGGGTGGGCCATCTTCCCGCCATCTTCACCTTGTATCGAAACCAGAATGCACGGTTTGATACTGGAAGGTGTTGACCATCCTATTGACTCAAAGCCCTTGCTGCATTAGCAGCCTCCAACGCCTGCCGCCATGAGCGCTCACCACTTGCTGATCGAAGTGGTCGAAAATCCAAGTCTCTTGTTAGCAATTCACCGTGGTCTCGAAGCTGGTCTGAGTTGCCAAAACCTAACCCGCAATCGAACCGTCGCAGCTAACCCTACAAGTACGCCCTGATAAGATGGGTTAGTCTCCGACCTTAATGGTTATGGATTGACTTACCTTAACCTAACAGTCAAGAAACACTTGGCAAAAATAAGAAATGGTGAAGCCTTCCCTTGGAAAATTGAACCACAGTGTTCGCAAGAAGTTGGAGCAGGGCAGCTCCAAGGCGCTACACGTTGAGCTGAGGCCATGGCGGCTCTTGGGAAACCCCTCCTGCTGGTGGTTCTCCTGGCAGTTGCTGCTGTGCATCAAGTTGGAGCCTTCTCTGAGGAAACGCCGACTGATCAGCGGATACTTGTCCTTCTCGATGACTTTGGGATCAAAGCAACGCACTCAATGTATTTTAAGAGCTTGACAGGTGAGTATTAACTGATCCATTGGTTCATCGTTCCCAATTAGGAAGGTTGCCAATACAATCAGGCGCCAATTATAGCTCTCATTGCTCGAACAATCTTGTGAAGTTATCGAAGGGTTATTCTGCAGAGGTTTTCAGCGCTTTCCTTGGTTGCTCATTATGTTCAAATGCGTGTGATTGTGGATTATCAAGGGCGGAGAATTGCATAGTCTAATATTTGGCTCTAAATAATTGAATGCACCCATGGATCACATTGTAAGACCTCGTCCGTCAGCTCATTGCTTACAATGCTTTGAGCACTTCCTTGCGAGTCCCTCAACTCTCAGATCTCTTTGGAGCTTGCACACCACTCATGTCTTAAATTGCTGCATATGCCTTTCACAGATCGCGGGTATGACTTGCACTTCAAGCTGGCCGATGACGCCAGCCTGGCCCTCCAGAAGTACGGCGCGTACCTGTATGACGCCCTCATCTTCTTCGCGCCTACTTTCGATGGTGAGACTGCCGTGCAACCTGTACGAGCTCAGGAGAGACCAACACACTAGACATCTGCAAAGATCCACCAGGTTGCACGTAACATACGTTCAGAATTCTTCCTTTCTCATACGGCGCCGCAAGTTGATCCGGGTTCACAACCCAGGATGTCATGGGTCGGTGTGCAATGGGTTGATAAGGAAATGTGCGGATGTCAAATGCAGTCCTGGGGGGATCATTGGACGTGGCGGTGATCCTGGATTTCATCGACAGCGGTCACGATGTCGTGCTGGCAGCAGAGGGCGGTGCCTCTGACGTTGTCAGAGACATTGCCACCGAGTGTGGAGTAGACCTTGAAGAGGTGAGCGCAGACTTTGCAGCCGGCGTCAAATCCTCCTTCCTATCAGTCTCATAAATGGGACTCTTTAACGAGTGCAGATTGTGGTGAATTTCTTGCAGTTGATCTCAAGAGCAGACACTGCAATCAACCAAAAGAAGGCTGCCTTTGTTAGATGCCGCCAAAGCTGCTGTTGATGAAAGTCAGTACCCATTGCAATTCTAGTTCATTGGCCCGTTACTTACCCTTTGCTTGTGTTTGCAACTAGACTGGAATGTTTCTTTTGAATGTGCAGGAGGAGAACGCCGTGGTGGTGGATCACGTCAATCACTCCAGCCTCGATGCAGACCACACCATCGTTGCAGCCAGTGACCTCATCCAATCGAAGGCCATTCTGGGGCCGAAAACGATTGAGGTGAGGGATGCCTGAATGTGGCGCACCTTCTGAATGCTCTGTTTGAAAGCTGAATTGACCACTGATGTCTTGTTTTGGCGAACCCCGTTTCAGGCTGATCAAGGATCTCACATTGTTTTCCCGTTGTCTTGCAGGCGCCTGTCCTTTTCCGGGGGCTGGGCATGAGTGTAAACCCGTCCAACGAGCTTGTAAGTTGGACACTTTCTCAAAACCATGCCAGTGTCAAGGGAACTATCTTGTATAGCTATTTCAGTGGTTGTGAAGCCCTATGATGAGTGCCTCCTGATACCTAAGTCTCTGCCTTCTCGACAAGTCTCCCCCTGCAGAATCCCCAGCTGATGAGTCACTGAGCCTACGCAATGATAACGACCGCTTCTTGCTTGTCTCCCAGCTTGTCTCTCTTCCCTTGATTCAGCTCTCCCCAACCGTTCCTTCTTTCCTGCAACATCTGCAGCTGACTAATCAAAGTAAGATCCAAAATGTCAAAGAAACCACAAATATTGGAATGCTTCACAGAAAGATAACGGACGTCTCAAAGTTAATTGCTTGTTGTCGCTCCAGGTGGTCAAGGTGCTCACGGCTCCCCCCACCACTTTCTCGAGCTCCCCCTCCGCCAAGGTAGCCAAGGTCCCCACAGCCCATGGCAGGAACCTCGTCCTTGTGGCAGCTTTGCAAGTAAGTCATCCACCATGTTCTTTCTTAGCAATCTGTGGTGCTCATACTTGCTGGTTCACAGCCAATGATGAGTCCGTGCATGAGGTGAAGCAGGAATGTCGAATGCCAGATCAGACTTCGTCATACTTTCGGCTCCCTAGGAGCCAGTCCCGTGTTGATTTGCAGCTCCAAAACACCGTTGTGGCATACCTGGGTAGGGTCAGGTTTGCATTTTTGTTTCGTCCAAAGTCATGGCCAGGATGTGTGTTTCCCGCGAGCAACCCCGGGGCAGCGATGCAGACCAGATTCATATTGCTTCTTCCTTTGCCTGGGGCCATTGTATGCTTCCGTGTCCATTCACAACTGATCAACGTCCCTGCTTACAGGCCCGGAACCACGCCCGTGTCCTCGTCTCTGGATCTCTGGACCTTTTCAGTGACAAGTGAGTTTTTGATTGGTTCTCGTTTCAAGGAGAAGCACGTTCGAAGTCTGACTACCTTCGTATGCTTCCTCAGCACGCCTGGTCGTTGAACCCGTGCTTCCATCCGACTGTGCGCTATTCAGGCGATCGAGCGCTGGTGTGTCTCCTCGGTAAAACTGTGATTCCTTTGTAAGTCTCCATACCTGGAACAATAAGAATATGATGAAGTAGGTTCCTTTATGCTTGTGGTCCACATAATTGCTTCGACTGCGTCTGAGCACCTTTCCCTGTGCATTTTATGCAGGTTCTTCCTGGCGTCCGTTGAGAAGAAGACCCCGGGCGCGGCACCCACCAAGTAAGCATACGGTCTAGCATCCACACAGAGTCATCTCTTGTGCCCGACTTCTTTCTTTCTTTATAGTCGTTTATTTGAGGGATGCTCGAGTTTCTTCATTAATGCTTACGTGGTTTGAAGTAAATATGCCGACCTCCCCTCTTGCTTCCAACTAACCTTTCATGTTGATGCTCCTTCCTTGAGCAAGAAAACGATCTCAAAGGCAGTGGTCGAAGGTCCAGGCCTCTTTGCATTAAAAACATTTGTGTCGTTGCTCTTTGTCAGTTTCGAGAAGTCGGGCAACGAGCAGTTTGCGGTTGAGGCGACGAAGTGGACGCTGCACGAGCGGGGCCACCTCAGGGTACGCTTCAATTCTTCCTCGCATGTTTCAAAATTCAAAGGCCTACGAGGGAGCGGTCCTTACAATAAAAATCATGCCACATGCACTGATGCACATGCGAGACCCCTAGACCTTGCTGTGTCAGCAGTACGTCAAGGGGATGTGGATAAACAAGATCCGTAACAGATAATCGTCGCTTCTACTGGACGCCTAAACAGCTTGATAACAGTGGTTCTACTTGGAGGCCAGCCTTTGGCGCAATAGGTACACGTTGACCCTCCAAGTGGCACTGCGAACCCTCCTATCAAGTCTTATACTATACCCTTCAAAGAGAATGAGTGTGCCATCTTCGGACTTGGAAAATGAATAACCGCTGCAATTCGATTCTTTATTCTGGCTCTTACTGTCCGATGCTCCACTCAGTTTCTATTTGACGTTCTCCTTTTCACCAAGGTTCAGGCACCATATTCCAACTTGATCTGCCGAGGGTAACAAACTCTCAAAGCACATGAACCCAAGTGTTGATTTGTCATGGCAGGCAACCAACGTGCGGCACCACAAGGTCGACGAGGTCGCCGAGGGCGCCGTGTACCGCATCAGGGACGAAGTGGAGTACTCGCTGGACATCCAGGAGTGGGACGGCGCCAAGTGGGTCCCGTATCACGCGGACGACGTCCAGCTGCAGTTCTTCCTCATGAGCCCCTACGTCAGGAAGGCGCTAACCTCGAACAAGAAGGTGAGAGCGCGCGCGCATAAGATCGAAAGTTGCGAAAGGGGAAGGTCCGTGTTCTTGAACTCGTTAACTTCTTATGATTGCGTGGCACACCGTTTGAAATGCAGGCGAGAAGCTGCGGGCGAAGGATGGCTCTGCGAGTTGTGCTTGCTCCTTTTTCCTTCCTTTTTGGGCGTCAATGCTAAGTTTGGGAGCAAAAAGCGGGAAATCCGTACCATTCCCCACGCTCTCGTTCGCTCCTAGAATCGCGGTCAAGTTGATCAAGAAAAGTTTCCGGGCTCTGGTCCCGCAACAATTCTGAGGGTCCTTACTACCGCATCGATTGCAGGCTTTCTCTGCTCGTTAAAACTCTGCGCATCCGATTGGTGTTTATTAGCGTTGTGTGATGACCCCGCCCGTTTCAATGTGCGTCCAGGGCCACTTCTCGACGACCTTCCAGATTCCAGACGTATATGGCGTCTTCCAGTTCAAGGTCGACTACCACCGGTTGGGCTACACCGACCTCAACCTCGCTAAGCAGGCACGTGCCCCTGTGTCCTTATCGAATTTTTAAATTTCTGTATTAGGCAACGGTCGAGAGGATATAGGTTGCATCCATGTTTGCACTGCTTCCAGAAGGCGACCTTTACTAACAATCTGGCATTCGGGTTTGGGTCTTCTCTTGAGCGCAGGGCGGAGGCGGTGTGTAGATGCGGCCGTTCCTGACGACCATAAGTCCAATATCATGAAGAAGAAACTTGTGCTCTCGTTTTTGATTTTCAAACTAAAATCTGAGATGCTTCTTGATGCAGATTCCAGTACGACCATTCAAACACAACGAGTATGAGAGGTTTATTGGGGCCGCCTACCCCTACTATTCCAGTGCCTTCTCACTGGTAAGCACCCCTTATCTGCGCAAATCAAAAGTAAGGCTGCAGCGTTCTGTTAAGCAGGTTGACGGAGACTCTATTTTGAAGTCTCGCAACAGATTTGCCGTTGGATGTCCGTTGAAAGAAGTACATGTGCAGGAGCACATGTGCATCTTTGCAAGAGCTGTGATACGAGGGCGTCACTAGTCTGCCCGAATCTGACGAACTGCTCTCCTCTTTGCAGTTGTTCGCGTTTGTCATTTTTGGGGTCGTCTTCTTATACAACAAATGATAGTCTGCTTAACGTTTCTGCAAGAAGACTACGAACGGACTTTTGTTAGTCGAAAGTGAATGAGAACCTCTGCTTTAGCAGAGTCTGCGTCCCAACTCGGTTGACCGTTCGGATGCGATGGTGACCATCCGTTCTACGATTGGCAACATCTATGCTTGTGGCATCAGGTAACGATGATGCATGTGAAATGCGTGCAATATAGCTAGTAGCCTTTCCTTGAGAGGTCATGAAGTACGGATGAGATGCAGCTAGCTTTCGATGATCGATCGATCGTGGTCTGCCGAATACCGTGCTGCATGGTTTTTATGTAGCTAAGGGCGTTACTAAATAATTGAGAAGTTAGCATCGGATCAGCCTAGGTATATAGCTATACTCGGGCTCAAAGTTTTGGTTCTTGTCAGCCGCCTGGCATGCATGACATGCATGCATGCTAGCTGACGGTCACCATGTGCCACAACTCGAAAATTGCATGCATGCATGGTCTTGGGGCGCGCGGGAGCAAGTGTAGAATGATCGGATGCGGGTATAATATACACTGCATGAGACCATATGTACGCACATGAGACTCAAAAGCCCCGAGCACATGCACTTTGATTAGCTGTCTATAACCTGCACTCATGGAAATAGAGCTGGCCGCGCGGCCGGCCCTGAGGACAATGATAGCAATCTCACTGGATGGCCCCCGGCCGCCCGCGTTGCACCCAAAGATGCATGTCCAACTGCGCACTACCGTACGTACAGTTCAAAATATTGAGATCCGAAGCAACGTACTTGGAATCCAAACTCTTTTTTGGTCTAAGAGATACTCGTCGGTAATAGCATCTCTGCACGTTCTTGCTCCAATCGATCACAGTTGGAAACGATAGGCGTCGAGAGGCAAGGTGAGCCCTACGACTGGACCGGCAACGCTGAACCATGCTAAGAAGTACTTTGCTGCTCTTATCTCACCAGACTTCGTCTTCTCTTCGTTCTCTCCGCTTGTCTGTATGGACTCTTGGCCCATCAAAAGTTTCATCATCTGAGCGGTTTCGCAAGGATGAAGAGCCGACCAGGGCTGGTTTAGATAGGGGTGATCCTGCTCAGAAGGCAACAAATGGCAATCGTTTGAGCTCTTCACGCCCATCAAAACAACGCCCCGTACAACTAGCTCCTCGAAACATTGGGTTTGCTTCCCCTTCCCGAAGATCGTTTGGCAGGCGCCCGTTGTTAAGCCGGGAAAGCTTAGGGGCGTCGGTCTAGCAAACGATTCAATTAACGCGCACGCTTGAGAAGACTTTGGTCGCACAGCAGATTGTGGTGTCTCATATATCATACAGGTAAGATAGATTTGCGGACAGACAGCATAGCGGCCAACATGGGAAGCAGCAGAACGGAAGAAAACGATCGTCCTTATCCTCTCGGGTTTTGGGGCGCAATCTTATGTGTTGATTCACCAGGTTTGTAGAATAGGCCTCATTCTCGGTTCATCAAACGGCACGACCCCAAAATTAGGCGCAAGAGACATCAAGAAGCCAATTGACCACTGATGCCACTGCCGCCACTTTTTGACACCCCACGATCTTTCTGACACTCTCTGACGTTTCTCTTGAAAACGTTTCCTATGTTCGGCATTTGCACCAGCAGTCGTTTCCAAAGTCGATAGAATCTTCTGCAGCTGAGTACCCAGCCTGTACTGCTTCATGCGAAATTCATAACACATTCCCAGTCAATGCAGAGTCATATTGGGTGAATACTTCAGAGAATGTAGTATGTTCGTCAAGCACCTTACCTGGCGGGTCAGAAACAGCCACTTTCTGCCATCGTTCACAAGTTCCGCTGTCTGAGCCGGAAGGTCAGCAGCCATCTCTTCCTCTGTCAGCAGCGTACCATCCAGTCTTTGCCCCCTCAGAAGCAGAAACGGTACTCGGTACGCTGGGCTGTACACCATATGGAAGTCGTACGTGTGCGCTGCTGCGGTGCTGGGAAACACCAGGGTGGCTGTGTCTTCATCAAGCTCATCTAAGGGCTCTTCAAGACCAGTAAGCATGGATGATTCAGCGGCGATCTCTGACGGTGTTGCGCTCATTGCTGGAATGTTCGACAGGGCGACGTAACCACTGACCTGTGCGAAGAGGAAGCAAAACATGAAACTTAGCATGGTTGTTGTAGATGATGGTGGCGCTCAGACGATCGACAGAACATATGTAAAATTCTGGCCTTGAATAAACCATAGCCCTCATAGTGCTGTCCCACTTCAAAAATGTTATTGCAGAGAAGGCACGATGTGTGGAGAGGCTCTCTTTTTGCAAGCGATGTTCTCCTGAAGCAAATAGGTCAAGTTATGCTGAAGCAATGCTCAATCACACTCTACTCTCTACTTGGCATTACACCAGCTTGAGTCTTGTGGTCACTTACCTGATGCACAGCCGCCACATCCAGGGGGAACTCCACCCACTCTGCCTGCTCATCTCGGAAGGTGTTCCAAACATCAACAAAGTACCGGGCCCCTCGTGCAAAGTCTGTTGGAGAAAGTGCTGCCATAGGATGGGCGAAAGGGGGACAGGCGATACCTTGCTGAGATTATACTTGATGCTATAAACAGTTGGAGGCTCACGTTGTCAAGGCGATAACAGGAGTGATCATCCTCAGGGGCAGGGCTGTCTTTGGCCCTGATAGAGTAGATGTCTTGTCACCCTCACACTGAAAATGGCTATCCAAAGAGCCGGCAAAGCCCAAAAAGCTCTTTCCTTTGACGGCGTTGCAGATATTTAGCATGAAGACACCCTTGGGGGTACAGCGTGAGCGTACTATTTGTCTGAATTATGGTGCTCAAGAAGGAAGCTGAGACCGCTCAGACGACATTCAAATCAGCCCTAGCCCACCGATTCAGCAGCATATTCATAGAGTTAAAAGGTCAATTGCCACCACTGGTTCGAGGACCAGAGCGGCACTCTTTGATTCCACCTAGTTTTCATGCAGTATATTGCCTGAGCAGAAACTTGTCAAGCTTGGGATTCCCCTGGACGGCATGTGTCCAGGAGTCATGAAGGGCAGCTGCCAAAAGGTGCCACTTTGCCCTGGAACCAGCGATGTTAGATTCCAGGTGGTGGTGGCTGAACTGCAGTTCTCAGCAAAGCGGGAAGTTGTGTGGATAAGCTGAGCCCATTGATATGAAAGGTGCAGCATTTGTGTTGTGTTGCACGCTGAGATCCTCCACGGTAGAAGCGCTAGGTAACTAAGATCTGAAAGAGGCACAAGCCACATCGTTGTTGATAAGCTGCGAGGAATCTGTCAATGGTGCAGCACCATTGCAGCCTTCGCCCCATTGCTCAGCCTCAGCGCAGATCGAGTTCAGTGGAACTTCAAGCTAGATAGTTGGAGAGGAAGAAAGAGAACTTGAAGCTCAGAACCCTAATTTGGCATCCTTGAATATCCACAAGAACTTCCAGAAAACAAAGCCTGGATATAGCAGCTCAAAACTGGCAACTTGACAGCCAAAAGGGGCCTTGTTGACGACCTCGTACCTGCTCGTTGCGGTTAAACCCTGCCCATAAAGAGTCAACGGTAGGTAGGCGCAGGGCCTCTACCGTAACACGGTGACAAACTTTGCGTCTGAATTATATACAGGGTATCTAGACCGCTTATATGACACTGCTTGAGATTTTTTGCTTGATTTTCACATTACTAAGTTACCAGAGCTACATCATCATGACTGAACCAGTGTGCACCAAGTGCCCACTTCGCAAGCCTTCAAAAATCCTCTTTCTTCTCACCAGCTTTGGCGCGGGACGGAAGGCGCTGCAAGTTCAACTTGCAAGGAAGCCTTCATTCTTTGTCCACAAGGTTCTGCGTCTCCTTCTTCTTTTCCTCGCGACTGCTGCATCAACATATTCGCCACCATTTTGCTGGAAGCGGTTGATCGAAGGGCGGGTGGGGGCTACCAGGTTGATAAGGCCCACGAAGGGCACACAGATGCTGTTGTGGTCCTGGTGAGAAGAGCTTGTTTTCATCCTATCTTTTCCTTTTCCTGCTGTCTTTGACATTTAGATGGACTATGGCGGTCACTTCCATGCTGGTAGATGTGGGCGCAGAGTCTCACCATGGCATTCTCAAAACCTGTGCTCAAGACCAGCTATACTGTGCAGCGTAAGTGGAGAAAGAACGATTTATTCACCCTATTTGTTGCTCAGGTTGGAGAGGAGCAATGTTAGCATCTGCCCCATACTAGCTGTAACATGCGTTTAATGATGGGCCATGTAGCCAGAGTGACAGTTTTCGCGGGGCTTTCTGAGATCATTTTTGGCAGCCTTAAGATGGCCTTGGTGTTCTATTTATCGTTTTTGTAGTATCGTTGACATGATCAACGTTCTAGCTTTTGCCCTTCGCACTGGCGGGAGGGGCCTTTCAATGCTGGCAAGCTGGAATCAAATCCAAAAGTTGGTTACCTTCATTAGAGTACTGCAATCTTCAAAACGAATTGTGAAAAGTGTTTCCCCCCATTCTCAAAGGAGGCTTCAGGGACTACACGAATTTCATAAAGCAGCTGGGGGCTTGGGTAAAGTCTGCAACAGTGGACATGCACATGGCTGAATGCGACGGTCTCACTCTGAACTGTCAAATAAGTTGCCCCTGTCCATGTAGCTGTTTCAAGGGGAAATATGGCGCTTCCATCGTTACATTGTGAGGAGATTTATACTGACGTATTTTGATGTTTGTCTGCTTCACTTGTTGCAGGTCTGCCACTAAGCCAGATCCGGCGCTTTCAGTGGTTCGCTCCACTGTACTTAATAGCAATATAACACCAAGATCGTGGTTTGGCAGCACCCTTCTGCCATGGAGTCGGTGAGTGTCAAGGCGCGCACAGCTGACCCTTGCAGTAGCGCTGCCGAGATGAGGGCTCAATTTGAGCTTCTGAAAAATGCTGTTGAAGTAAGGACCTCACACCGCCATTTTGCAGCTATGCGCGTTTCAACGACTCTGCAAGATCAAAGCCGCACAAATTGGCCAATCAGAGTAAAGTTGGATCTTTGGCTTGCATGGACAATTCTGGATGAACATTCGCAGCTGGTGCCCTTACATCGGGTTCCACTACAAGTTCTGGACTCAAGTTCAATCTCTCATCTTCAGGGGGGGGTTGCAGGGCGGCGCGTCCAAAGCAACGAGAAGTTCCTGGAGTGGTTGAGGGGCATACAAGGGTGGGTGTATGCTTGAAGATCGCTTCAATCCCATTCCGTCAATCCCCTTTGCCGGTCGTATGAGCCCCCACTGATAGGGCTACCACAGCAGACTGCTAGCATCTGTCAATCTCACCCAGATGGCTTTGTGCGGCGTAAGTCTTCCCCTGGCAATATGTATCTGTCACCTGCCTCATCGAGCATTTGCATATGCCCCACAAGCAGCTGAGGATACTGGCAGCAAGCGCTAGTTGAAGACATTCAAGGCGCGGTTGAATGCTCATGTGCTTTTGCCCAGGGCCGGCCACAGTGAGAAGCGGGACAGCCTGTCGCGAGGCCACAGCCCGGACGAACCAAAGTCGTCGTCTCACAGAGTGAAGAGCAGCGCACCCGGTAGTCCAGGCGCCACTGACCTAAGCAAAAAGTCAAAGAGGTGAGCCAGGTTCCGCGTTCATATCAGTAATGTTTGGCTGTTGATTGGAGTTTGTGAGTTCACTTGCTGGAGGCGCGGATTGCTGTCCCACCCGTAGCTACACCGGTTTTGCAACTTCTGAGACAGTGTGTGAATGGGAGAGAGAGCTGGGAGCCCCGAAATTTTACCAGGAACATCACTTTTGTGTTTCGACTCAGGGGCGAGGACAATTGTGGAATTGCATCTGGAAAGGTCCTTGTTTGCATCGCTCGATCAGCTCAGATTAGAAAGTATAACTCGTTCGTTCGGATTCTTGTTGGTTTAAAGGGTGATGGGTGCATTCTGGTGGCTATGCAAGGGTAAGGCAAAGCTGGCCCCATCTTTATGCAGACTGCTCGTCATGGCACCACAAACCAGCTTTTCCTTCCGAAAAGCACAGATCGAAACCTTGGCCGAGGCGCTAGCACAGGGTGTCAGATCGCAGCAGAAGCAAGTCGAGCTTTATGTCAAGCTGGCATTTTCCGTAGAGTCCCTCTTTCAGAAGACAAAATCTCTTTGGAATTCCTCGATTCAGCTGCTCCAGAACTCGAGCTCCCTCCTACAACTAATGTGTGGTCCTGCATGAGGAGTCAGAACTGTCAGTCAGCAAGGCCCCATGCCTGGTACATGAGCTCTTGTGCCTTGGTCTTATGAAGACACCAGCCGAAGGCTTTCATACCCACATCTCCTTGGCCCGCCCTTTGCGCAGCGGCAAGCGGCGAAAGAGCCTGGACGCGGATGGACCCCACGCCAAGCGGGCGTCGGGGAAAGTTGCGCGAAAGTCTGGGGCAGCGGCCGGCAGGACAGTGCGGAACAAGGCCCTGGAGAAAGTGAGGGGGCGGCGGGGGGGCTCTGCCGACAGCCGGGAGGGGAGTCGGAAAAGGTAAGCCCACCCTGACCCTTAAAGTCGGATGGGGGGTATACTTACAGGGTCCTGGAAAAGAGGTTACTGGTTCCCCTTTTAAAATGCAGGTGGCCTTACAGCTCTGTGATGGTCGCAACTTCTCCAAGGACGGAATCGCAGACGCTCGAATTCCTGACAAATGATGGTCAAGTTTCTGAGTAAAGGCGCCTCTCTTCTCCAAGGCGTCAATGTACTGTGAGACGGAAAGGTCCCGCTCAGAGTTGCGACGAACTTCTCCGAGGCCTCAAATGCTCATGCTTACCTTGTAACCAGCACGGAAAGGTCCAGTCGCTGAGACCAGCTCAGCGGACTACTTATCGGTGTCCAAGGTTTGTACATTGAGGTTTTTCCGGTCGACTTTTAGGGAAGAGAATGTTAGCTGAGATTTGCAGATTCCTTATCCCTTCATTTCCCGTGCGAAAAAAGGGCAGTTGCTTACCTGCGTCCTTCAAACTCTTTCGCAACATTTCTTCTGAGGAGCTGATACCTAGACCTCGCAGGCAACTCGACCAGAGCGGGAGTGTACCGTCGTGTGCTAGGACCGCAAATGCGAAGTTGAGGACATCAGCAGTCTGCGGATGACGCGAAAGAAATGCAACTCTTTGCAAGTTGCGAAGCTGAAGACCCCAGCAATCTCATTCACCGAAGACTGGTGTGCCCAATTGCGGAAAATCAAACTTCAGAGAAGATTAGGACAGGCAAACCCCGGATTTAGTCAATCTATTCCGATGCACCTCAATCCTATTATCGGGGCCCTAACACGAAAGTAAGTCAATCCTCGTGGATCTTGCGCAGAGGGCGAGAGGAGGCGGAGGATATGCGCGAGGACACGCCGGAGCCGTCGCTGAAGGGCGTCAAGCAGTCCCGGCGGATCGCGTCCCGGAAGAAGGAGAAGAAGGAGGTACCGATCCTGAAGATGCCCAAGCTGCAAGTGCAGCTGTCGCGGCAAGAGATCATGGACGATTTTATTGCCATCACGGGCCGGCGCCCGCAGGGGAAGCCCAAAAAGTCGCTCATCCTGTCTTACGTGAGTGCGGGACCTTTTGAGAATGTTTGATTTTGCTTTGGTGTTGGTTGGTGTGCTTTTTCTGGCGCGTTCTCTGTCTCTTGAGTTGGTTCAAAGCGCTTCAAAGTGGTTCTTTTCTGATCATAAAGAGTGTTGCAAAACAATCCTTGTCTGTTAGCAAGTGGGTTTGAAGCCCCTTACTTGGTTTTTTTGTGTTGAATCAAGTTCCCCGATGTTTCTCAGTTATCATTCATTGAACACAGTACGCGTCAAAGGTTGCTTATTTGTCCTCGTAAGAGCGGACCGGGTTTGAAAATCCACTTACTGATATATGGCTAGTGCTTCATCTGTCTTTCTTCCCTTCAAAGATGAGTACACAGCGCTTCAGATCCTTGTCAGACCCCTTAAGCTGGCGTATGTCCGGATTGAAGGAACTTTCCGTTTGCTGGGTCGAGGACGCTGCCAAAGTTTCTTAGGCTGCCTTTGCTTCAGCACGAGGCGCTTCAGAAGCGAGAGGTATAATTTTGAGCGTCGACTCGTTACAGGTCAATCCTCATTCGCATGCGACTAAAAAACACTCGGTACTAGGCGTTCAAAACGGTACAAATTTCGATTGGCTCCTTTGGCTGAGAGAAGTGATTCTGAGCACAGGTGGACTCCCAGTCTTTGGTTAGCCATCCGTTAGCTGTAAGCTCTTCTGGACAGGATGTGGGGTACCCTCTGGTGCATAAACCCTTCTCATGCACAAGTTCTCCTCTTCTGCAGGGTTTGGCTCTCTGTAGCAGTTTACAATCTGGAACAACAGCGCGATATTACTGACACCAAGCTACCGGAACCTCGTTTATCTGGGACGCTCATACGAATGGAGGTTTCTTCTTTATCAAGGTTTTGTTGAACGGTAGTGTAAGTTGAATGAATCTGGTCATGGACTCAATTGACCTTGATTCAGTTACCAGTTCACTTCTTTATGTGCATCTACGTGCACCAATTCAAGGAGATCCGGCATCTTATCGGACGTTCCGTGTTCGCTACACTTCTTCCATGAATGATGCTAATAGGGCATTGATCAAGCCCACTTTTGGGTACGTGATTATCGACGGAACCCAACCTAAGGGTTCCATGACAATTGGGTGCAGCTTTTGATTGATGGCACATGGAGAGGTCCGTGTTCCTCAGCGCCTGTCAAGGATGACCATGTCTGTCGTTGTTGCTAGCTTGTCGGCCGCGAGTGACGTTTTGCAAGAAAGCCTTTCGCAGCCACCACGGTTTTCGTGTTTGGCCGGAAGCACAATATGGCCAAAAAAAAATCGCAAATGGCTATCCGAACACGATGTGTATTAGCCGCCGATGCCGCATGATTGTGGTGACGACCGTTCTCGAGCTAGTTGCAATGATGCCAGCATCCGTTCCACCATGATTGGCCGGCATGGCGAGCATGCTATACGAAGTTTGTTTATATCTTCTGAACTCAACTTGTGCTGCTCAGCTGGTCGTTCAATATGTATATACCATCCAAGTAAGATTATGCTAAAATAGCCTATGGCAGAGCACCCGTTGATCATACGATTTGCAATTTGATTCTACTGATATTAAAAAGTTGGCCTGGTTTGTACTGAAGGAAGATTGACACGCGCTTGGACCGTTGTCCCACGCGCTTTGCAACAAAGTCCAATCATGTAGACTTGTACAGCACACCATGTAATGTAACATGGCGCTTCAAGACGAGCGCGTTCGAGGATTTGCGTGGGCATTCCACTCGAAGGCAGGTTTGTACCACTTTCAAAAGCCTTCTTCTGCATGCAAACTGGGAGGGAAAGATGTACGTACTACAGTTCTTACAGTGACTTGACTTTCAGACCCTATCCGGACGTTTGCATCTCATGCTGGACCCAAGCATGCAATCACTGGCAGTTTACATCGTTCATCTGAGACTCGGAGATTGCCAAGTATGCAAGTATCAGCAATAAGCGGGCCCGGGCGTCTTGTCGAGATGTCTAGCATCCTTGTTGGATGGGACTATCAAGTCATGGTCATCCATCCCGCTCGCGGTGAGGCCCACGAGCGCCGGCCCCAATTTGCTGATTACAATTCTCTTCTCCTCTGTTTGCAGTAAGAAGCACTGAGCTGGTGCGCCTCCACAAGATACAACGCCTCCGTCATTGGCGGTCTCCAAACACGGGCAGCGCCAAATTCTGGGATCGACCACACGGGAGTCCTTAGTAGCCTGACCAAAGTCGACTGCCAATGGCTGCTCTATCGGCTTGGCAAAGATCTTGCGCCAAACCGCCCGGGCCCAGCGCTTCGGCGCAATCACGTCTTTTGGCGGCAGCAAAGACGTTAAGACCGCCAGGTCTGGCGACATGCTCTTCGAGTCTTGAGCAAATACCAGGAAATCCTGGCTCCCCCCGCGCTTCATTGCAACTTCCAACATCGCGCCTGGGCAGGCATACTGGAGTGCCAGGTTTCTCCATGATGCAGCACGGAGTATGACTCGAAGGTGAGCTGACAGCTGTACAGTGTACCACCTTTGCCGGGCACCAGAAGATGCACCATGTGTGTCGGGCAGCTCGAAGGATCTGCCCTCAAGAAGCTTTCGAGCAAATATGATTGGAGCGGGTAGCAACTGCCACAGTGGAGCCAGACCAGCTCAGTGAAGCCCTCGTCCCTGCGTCTGCATCCCTGGTTCGGAAATCCACCTTGCGCAAAGAGGTCCCGAGACTTTTTTGGATTCTCATCGTCGCTGATGGTCAGGTGGGCCAATTCTAGTCTTGGCTGTTTGTCAGCTTTCTTCAGGCGTGGGTCGTCTGTACGATACATTGGACGCAACGCTCGTGCTAGCTTGTAAAGCATGTCCATCAGATGTGCGGCGCCCCCAGACTGGCTGTACACGGTACAGTGGGCATCATGTCCGTTGGCCAACAGCTTCGCGACAAGCTTCACAAAGTTTTCTGCGACCACTTCTGCATCCTCGCACTGAACAATGACCGGTGCAGGATCTGGTTCCATCCTTGGGCGCCTTGTGCGGGCCTCACCTCCCCACGAAAGAGCACTCTACTAAGCTGGTGTCAATGACCTCTCAATAAGAAGCGGAGAGCCGCCGGCTCCTGCAGGCTAGGTTGGACGTATGTATACCCGTGGCACTACTGTAGTCTGTAGTGAATGAAAAGGCGTATACCCGTCGGCCCGCGGCCGCACTTAAAGCCGCGGCCCGGCCGCGAGACCAACGGGTTTAGGTTTCAGTAGCTCCTTCCAAAGTTCCAATGCATGAGCTTGGCCGGCCCCGTTTCAAGTTTGGCCCTTTTCTGTATTCATTTGGCTGGCGCTACCTAGCTTTTTCAGCGGGCGGCTATCTTAGACGCAATCACTTCAATCTATGAGACGCTCTGGGGCTTGCATTAAACAATCAGACCGTATTTGAGGTGGTGGTGCGCTGGCTGGCACTGCAGAATGGCCATCCGCTTTTCGGTCAACAGTTTTCCAAAGGACGGTGAGCGGGCTAGGATCATCTGCTTCCCAAGTTGGCAGCTGACCAGCAACCACAATGGCTGCCTCTGGCTTCTTCAGCGTGTGCACCTTAAAAGAAGAGGAGATCTCCGTTGATCATTGGCTGGACGGTCTGATTGAGCTGCGATTATGCTTTAAACAAAGATGCCGGCGTTTGATCGCTTGCACTTTCATGAAGCTGCTCTTCACACTTCCACCACGATTGAAGGCCTTGTGTAGATTGAAACCACTGAGATCCACGTGATTCTGTTAGACAGTGTATCAGGACTTTGAGATAACCGATCGAGAAGTCTCATTTGCACTGCAGGTGCTGTGCTTGATGACACCGGCCTGCCCTGGGGCTGTGTTGTCCAGCCTTTTGCTATAAGCGACGCCCAACCCCTTCTTGGTGCTGACACCAATCTAACCAGCGCATCTGATGTGGCGCGCTGCGAAGAATGCTTTGCATACATCAATGCTGCGTGTCGCATCAAGCCTTACTGGTGAGAGCAGATTTTTCCTTTGAATCTTCTTTCAGCTATCCATTCGTCAAGCTGATACAACCCCTGGCTCCTACTTGCTGAATTGAAAATGTTTCTTCTGAGGGGAGGCTTACCTATGAAATCATAAGTTGAAACATCTGTAGCTCAGAGCTTACAACCTGCCACCGCAGCTCTCCATGTCTGTTCCCTGAAACGTCCGGTGATCTTATGTGAGAGGCTTGTTGCACGGAGATCATGCTTTCTCGGCCAACCTTTGCCTGCCCCTTCTGGACTTGAACTTTGAGTACGACGCTTGTGGTTGCAAATGTGTCTCGACCTAAGCTACTGATACGAGGGAATCAGCCAACGGGGTCCATCAGGCGTCCTCGTTTGTCGCTCTTGAGGGCTAAGGATCGGTTCATCTCCGAGTTGCCGGTTCGCCATAGCCGTCTCGACATCTCAACACATGTTGCCAGGTGGCGGTGCGCACTCTGCGACGCGGAGAACCAGTTTGCAGGGGAGCAGCTGGCGCGCTACAGCAACCAGGTGCTGTTGAGTCAGCGCATGGAGCTGTCCCCGGGGCTGGTGGAACTAGACGTGCCGGTGGAGGAGGACCGGGAGGTCGGGAAGGACATCCACACACGGCCTGTGTACATCGCTGCAGTCGACCTCTCTGGTGAGGGATGGATATGATGAGGAAAAAAATTTGCAACTTTGCAGCCGTAGTGTGTATTGCTCATCAATCATTTTGAAATGTTGCCGCAGTTGACCTATTGGTGAGGATTGGAAAATCGATGGTGGACAAGAAATTGAGCGGCTTGAGTGCATGTTTTCGTCAATGGTTCGCAAAGGTCACCCAAATCGACTCAAGTCACTATGTTCCTTCTTGCATAGTTCAAGCCGAAATTGATGGTCGGTTTGAAAAGAGGTCGCACTCCAAACACTCTGCTGACCGTTGCAAGTCTTTGTTGCCTGGCCCAGTCTGTCGCATTCATAGCAAGCGCTTCCTGAATGAACTTCTCGGAAGCTTATACTGTGTCGAAAACGACCCTCCTGAATGTGTGCAGCCGGAGAGGACTTCCTCGAGCTAGTCAAGAGCGCGCTGCTGGCGGCGCTCGAGGCGCTCCCTCCCGCTGCCCTTTTTGGCCTGGTCACGTTCAGCCACAAGTTAGGATTGTACGACTGTCAAGGAGACATCCCCGTCGTCAAGCACGTGTTCATCCCTCCCTCCACGGACTCCACCCTTCCCCTCGACCTGGATGACGTCATGCCACTCGAGGCGCTGCTCGCGCCGGTGAGCTGTTAACGAATCCTGGCGGGAATTACAGACCTCTTTTGGGATCCGTTTTTAGCAACGGGGAGGCGTGACCATTCGCTACCATATAATCCGGTTGAGCCGTCCAGTTTGTTGTGGTTGCCTGCTTGCTCATCCTCTCCCCGCTTATGAAGTCACATTTGCAGCCAATTCGTGATGTTCGAGAGATTCGGGCACCCTAATTCAGTGGCTCTACCTTGTCACCAAAATCTACTCGCCGACGGAATTTTAATCCCGAATCTACTTCGTATCAGGAAACGATATGACAGTGAGCCACCCCAAAGTAACAGCAAAACAAATCACCAGAGACAACATCGCAGTGTGAGAAATTGCATCCCGAGTCCGCGATCCGGATTAAAAGAACGCCCTAGATACTCAAGCCCTTCCATATGCAGGTTGACGTGTACAAAGATCAGATCAGCAACGCCCTGGACACTTTACACCCCACCTCTAGTTGGGAGCGCACAACTGCGGCGGGGCAGCCGGGCGACGGAAGCGGGGGGGTGGGGGGCCGGGGGTTCGGGACGGCGATGACCGCTCTACTCAAGTACGTGGGGGGAGACGAGAACCAGCTATTTGTCGGGGGTAAGGGCTTCATTTGGATGACGATTTTGCCTGCTTTTGTGTGATACGGATCGGTGTCAATGAGCATACGGGCCTGCTGGTTCAGGGCTTTGCTGCGATCCTGAAAGGCAGGGAGCAACCTAGCGGTGTTGCCTTTTGTAGCTCCATCAATTGGATCTGTAAACCCACCTTGCAGAGATCAATCGAAAGAGACATCTGAACGCGAGGTGCAGCTCAAACGCAGGAAGGCTGCCTTGGAGTTCGAAAGACGGGAGTACCTATCCCTGTCAGATCTCATATCCGGGGCGACCATTCATATCTAACTACCAGTTTCCCTTTGGTTGCAGCCCGCCTCTTTGCTTTCCTCTCTGGCCCTCCCGACTACGGCGCCGGTGCGCTCGACACCTCGCGCTTCTCCGATCATGACGCAAACGGGGGTGACGACGAAGATAAGGCGTTGCTGTCGGAGCAGACCCCCTACTACAGCGACCTCGCCGCCCTCGCGGTTCAGAGCGGCGTGTGCTGCGATGTGTTTGTAGTTTCGGAAGGTTACTGCGACTTGGCATCGTTAGAACCGCTGTGCAGTCAAAGCGGGGGCACGTTATGTCTGTACCAGCGGTTGGAGGAGTGCACGCTTCCACAGGTGAGGCAAAGCATGTGATGTGCAGAATCTGCGATTCTGTCGAGTGACTTGGGTACCAGTATGCGATCCTTCTCGTTGTCAGGTGGCCTTTTTGAAAACCTAGCTCATGTAAGTCCCGCTTTACGTCGACTTGATGCAGAAGTTTGTAGTGGGTTTTGTCGCCCCTCGTACTTGCACTTCGTGCTAGCAAACTGTATCCGTCCATTGTCCTATCGGAGGTTCTCTACTTCAACAGAAGTAGCTCAGAAATGGTGCAAACCACGTCCAACCCCAATCAGACGACAAAAGAGAGGCGTTGATGCGCCCTTAAACCGCGTTTGGTGGGTTAAGCCTCTTATTCTCGTACCTTCGTTCTTCGCTTTTTTGTCTCCCAGAGTCTGCGGAGAACGCTCTCTAGAAATCAAATGCTGACAACTTTTGTCCGTCTTTCTCGCCTCAGGATATGTATCGCATGCTGCGGCGGCCGCATGCGTTCGGCGGGCTGTTACGGCTGCGCACGTCGCCCGAGATGCGCATTGTGGCAGCTTACGGGCACTTTGAGGAGGACACGCAGTACGAGAACTTGCACCACATCATCTCCTGCGACCCGCACGATACCTACGCCTACGACTTCGACTTCGTCAACGCAAATGGCTTCGGCACGTGAGAGCTACTAGAACTCTTGGCCTTTCAAAGTTGTTGTGGGTAGGTCGCTTTGGGGTTTTGATTCCGGCTTTTGTTATATGGAGACCTTGAGGAGAAGACGCAGGTTCATGAACTTGCTCGAATTCGTCTTCTGCGGTCCGCAAGATACTTAGACCTACGATCTCGACTTCGTTAACGATAACGGGTTTGCCACACAGCAAAACCAAGATTCTTAGTGTTTTAGGTCTGTTATGTTTAGGAATCTTGATTCTTGGCTGTGTTTTTTTGGGACACTCCCTCCGACATGGCGCATGGGTCCTTTGGAGAGGGACTTAAAAAAGGGCGAAACTTACAACCAATTTTACTTTTCACTCGCACAAACGCTTGCGGGTTTGACTTCGTCGACGCCAACGGGTTCGGCTGTCAGTTCAATCGGCGGGCGGCCAGATCCGCCAATCATACTCGTTGCCCTGTACTCCTTTTCTGATCCTCGTGTCCTGAAAGTGTGATCTTCATACTGACCATAGCACGGGTGCAGGCTACCGGACATCAGCCTGTACTCAGACAATCTGTCCGTCAACCATCAAATTTCTCCAATCCTCTCCTTTTTTAACCAATCCTCTCCTTTTTTAACCTTTTTCAATGCAAGCGTGGCCTTTTATATCAACCGTGGCGCAGGTGCAGGCTACCGGAGGATCAGTCAGTGGTCCTGATCTGACTTCAACGTACACGGGATCGCACTCCAACCCACCCTAACCCCCCAACCGAACCCCACCCGTTCCCTGGGCCTTGACTTCAGTTCTCTACCTGGTTTTATCCTACCTAAGTATAGGTCTATGTGGGTGCAGGCTACCGGAGGACCAGCCCGTGGTCCAGAGAATCTGTCCGTCCACCATCAAGTTTCTCAAAATCCTCTCCTTGTTAACCTTCTTCAAGAGAAGAACGGCCTTCTAAAACGATTGTGGCAGTGGTGCAGGTTACCGGAGGATCAGCCCGTGGTCCAGATGGTGTTCCAGTACACGGTGATGCTGCCCCGGGAGGCCCAACCGAGGGATGGGGTGACCGACAATGGCGAGCCGTCGGCATCCAGCCCGACCAGCAACGGCGACCACAAGACTCAATTGTGAGGCACATTGTCGCCGACTATCAGATTGAAGATTCTGGAGCAAGATAATAAGATTGCTGTGAGCAATTAAACCGCCAGAGACCAGAACCGTAGGCTCTGGAGCATGATATGAAGAATGTTTTGACCAATTAAACCGCCAGAGAAATCTAATTGCATAGACGGGTCATCCCTGTCCTTGAGATCATTCGAGTCTGGTCAGGGCCGGCGCATTCGATTCTCGACATCCAGGTCCGTTTCCGTGAGGCCATGCCCAGTCCAGCAATAGACGACGCGGCGCGTTCCACGTCATTGGGCGATCCCTCCTGTTGCTGGAACTTGAGCGACGGCCTCTTGTTTCCCAAGCCCTTCGCAATATCTTCCTAATTGCTTGTGTCCGGTTGTTATCATGTGCAATGTTTGTTGAGCTTTCGTCGCTTTCCATGGCAGGGGCTACGTGTTGCGGCGGCGCATGCGGATCCGTACGGTGCAGTTGCCGATCGCGAGAACGGCAGAGGACCTCTTCGACCACGCGGATCCGGAGATCGTACTCTCGTTGCTGACGCACAAGCTCATCCGGGCGTCCCTGGAAGAGGGGCTCAAAGAAGCGCGAATACTCGTGCAGGTAAGCGACCGGAAGAACTGCTTGAAGGATAGCAGCGGAACCTGATTCAGTTGACTGTTATGGTTGCCCGTTACAAAGGTCTTTCCTTTTTTTTCTGGCCTCTGGTTCCTGGAGATATGGGCTAGTCTTTCGACAGCCCGTAAGAACGGTCTTTCCTTCTTCATCGAATGTTGCTTCGATGAGTTTCTGATCAGTATCCCCGTGAAGAATATCACTGTTTTCATCCGGGACCGATCCCCGACATTGCCCCCACGCTTGTTCCCAATCAAACCCGCTGTAACTACTTGATAGATGCTTTATTCCAGCATACTCTCATTTTGAACACCTCCCTCATATGGCGCATCCGCTTTTTCCCAGGACTGGTTGGTTATCTTAACCGCCCACTACAACGTCGCGTTCGAGATGGCGCGCTTCGGCCGCGTTCCCGAATCCGTTGACACCAGCCTCCGCGGATGCCCTCCCCTTCAGTCGCTTCCCCGCCTAGTGTTTGCGCTGCTGCGCGGGCCGCTGTTGCGCTTCCACCGCGAGGGAGTGCACCCGGACGTCCGAACGTACCTCCAGTTCCTCTACTCGTAAGGCGTCGGAAACCTCTTGCGGCGCATTTTACTTCTCTTGGGATTGGTTGCGTTTACTATCCGGACGTATTCATACTTTCTTTCCGGTTAGTGCATGCTCAGGCTTCCAGCAGCTTCCCATCTTTCACAAAATCAGTTGCCCTTCTCATCTTTCCCCTTCTCGCCCCCTTGCTTCGTAGAATGGACTCCCAATCACCGCTCTGGCCCAATAGGTGCTTGGACCCCCAGTCAGTTCTCCACGCCACGTACCCCGTCCTCGATCCTTACCCCCATCTCACACATCGGTTTCTGGCCCCTACAAATTGTCTCTTTCGCCCCACCCCGTTTCGTCAGACCACTAGATCCCCACCTTACAGTAAACCGTCCCGCTGTAAAATCATCTCCTTCTCCTTCACTCCCCCTCCATACGCCAGGTCTTTGACCCAGTGGCTTCTCCTCGCCACGTACCCCGTCCTCAGCTTCTACTGCAGATTGCCCCTCTCACAAACGCTTGTCTGCCCTCCTAAATCAACTCATTTTCGCCCCCGCGTTTCGCGGGGGTGGATAAAGGCGGGGGCGAACTCGCATCATCCGCAATGCCCCTGCAGGTCTCTCGACCCCCAGTGGCTGCCCCGCGGCACGTCCTCTGTCCTCAGCTCCTACAGCAGCCCGCCAAGAAACCAAGCATTGCTTGGACTGCCCCCCTATCACACTAAAAAAACCTTTGTCCCCCCCGTTTCTTCAAAATTTGTCTGCTTTGACCCTTCCCCCCGCCGCATTTTGCCAGGTCTCTCGACCCCCAGTGGCTTCTCCGCGCCACGTCCTCTGTCCTCAGCTCCCACTTAAAAAATCCCTCTCTCACAAACTCCTGTCTGCCCTCCTGAATAACCTCATTCTTCTCTCCCGCGTTTCGGCGGGGTGGATTGATCGCTGAGGCGGATCACTTGCGGGGGCCGGTTAATCGCAGGGGCGAATTGCCAACATCCGCAACGAATGCCCCTCCAGGTCCCTCGACCCCCAGTGGCTGCTCCGCGCCACGTACCCCGTCCTCAGCTCCTACGTCAGCCCCGACAAGCCGGCCTACCCGCGGCACTCCCTCAGCCGCGCTGCACTCGTCACCAGCGGCAGCCCCATCTTTCTTCTGGACGCGTTCACCACGCTCATCGTGTACTATGCGCAGAATGCGCCGACGGAGCTGCCCTTTCCGCCGCCCCAGGACTGTGAGTGTTATTTCCCGTCTGTGTTGCCGCAACAGAGTGCTGTACTATCCGCTGTTCTGTCATTGTTGAAATTTTGAATCATCCCTGGAGTACTACATACCCTGCGGATTCTAGGGCTTCTCTTTATTCAGGAAGCTTTACAGCTCGCACGGGGACTGTAGTCTCGTTAGAAACTAAGCTCTGAAGGAGCTCTTGAATGTAGAAGCGAGCAGGTCTCACGGCGGACGAGACGGTCCATCACGACATCCTAAAACATTTCGCACGGCCTCTCAAGATCGAGGGAGCAGATTGATTCGCTCTGATTGTGACACGTGTCTCGCAGTGTTGAGTTTCTGTACCATTTGCTGCCTGATTGATAGTCGCCCACTATTCTCCAGGCCTCATCAGGGAAACGATAAACCAGCTCAAGAAGGAGCGGGTGATCACGCCGCGCCTGCTGATGCTGCGGGGCGGCCACGACAACGTGGAAGCGTTCGAGCGGTACTTGATCGAGGAGCAGGACGTGGACGGCGCGGGCGCGGCCACCGGGATGGGCTTTGTGGCCTTCATGAACACGATACGACAAGAGACGGAGGAGTTCCTCAAAACGCCTTCATAACGTCGATACGTTGAACAATAGTGCGTTGTTGAATGGGATGTATGCTTATTCCACGCAGTGTTCTGCTCGGATGCGAATCAATAACAGGACGAAAGCGATTGCGGTCCATGGAAGACTCCCGAGCTTTGCTCGGTAATTGAGGCCAAATGCCCGTGCTAGGGGCCTTGCTTGTTTGTGCTTTGTGCAATGTATCATGCCCCAGTCACTGCCCCGGCGGCTGTTCGAGTCACGGCGTTCAATGTGGCCAGGACGTTAACATCTAATTGTATGGAACCCCACATGATCGATGGCCAATTAAGAGCTGCGCGACGGTCACACGGCTAAATAATCGCGGCACATGCCGAGCGTACGCGCCTTTCATTGCGATGCATGTGGTTGACCGGATCTCATGTGATCCGTGCTAAACTTTATCAATTTACCAATTATCATGCTTATGGCATATGGTTTGAAACCATGCCAAATTGGTTTGAACAGATGTACGTATAGGTATACGCGTACTGTGGCGATCCGGCAGAGTGATCAGTCGCCGGCGTGGCCGCGCGGCGCCGGCCGCTTTTAGTTTCTGTGCGACTTGCTGAGCCATACGTGGCCCGGCTGCAGCTGCCGACGTCGCAGTATCTGAGCAAGCTGTTTCCAGAGCCGCGCTTTCGTGAGAATGGTGTGTGTGATCGCTTGCAACTTAGCAATGGTGTGTCCGGTCCTGGTCGTACGTCATGGTGCGCACGGCCACGTGCGCCTACCAAGCGCTGACGGGCGTTCACATGATCGTGATTATCGGGCACGCATATTTAAGTTTGAAACTCACGTACGTACATACAGGCTACAGTAGGGCAGCCTTTAGCTACACACCTTTCATGTATCGATCACTTAACAGTTGATCATGCAGTATGCGTTGCAACTCATGACTTTTAGGCTATTAGATTCTGGCGCGTCATGAGTCAACCACAATCCGCATTTGCAAAAGGCAATCTCGCGAGGAAGAAGCTTGCATGCATATTACCCGGGAGTCCATCGAATGACGAACGCGCTCTTTTCGACAAGTCCCAATCATCCCCTCACAGCCCAGCTAGACCATTCTGTGCAATCGCGAGCTACCTTTCCAATACCTTCCAGTAAAACATTCAAAACCACAGCAATCGCCAGCCCGCGGCTCAGCATATCGACAATCAATTAAGTTGCTCATGAGCTGACTTGATCTACTCTTACACCTCGTGTGAGATTTTCTATGTTACGAGTCTCTCAATGCTGCCTGGCGGCCCTCAGCTCGATCGAGAGGTCCCGCTTGATTACAAGACACCCCTGCAGAAGCAAGGAAGTTTGCCTAAACGCTCTTACCATCGGACTGCCCGAGGACAGAGTTCAGGTGCATTTGATGCGACAAACATCAAGATGAAACCCTTGTCGGCCGGAACACCACTCTTCATCTGGTGCGTTACTTTCAGTCCAAAGATGCAGGCAAAACCCGTCACTTCGTATCCAGCTCGGCTGAAACAATTGCCAAAGAAGCAGCGAAGAGAGTGCACAAGACTGGCCTGGAATTCAGTGCAATACAACGTCACACAATCTGTTTCCTTAAGAACCGGTTTCCCAGTCGAGCTTTAGGCCTCGACCGCCTCCTAGCATTTCGCAAACGAGTGCGTCGATTAACAGACTCTGCTTTACCTGCAGTATCATCTTGAAGATAAGCTTCGGTCAACTGACAACCAGCCAACAATGATGCAAAAGAGAACCGGTGAGCTCGAGAACCAGAGCTGGAAGAAAGCCGGCCTTTCTTACTTGGCCTTGGAGTATACCCTGACTGCGGTGGACAGAGTCGCAGTCACAGTGGTCCACGTGCCAACCTCCGCGGCCGCACCGCTGAGCGCCAGCTTCGTCAGCCCGAGCCGCTCCCACATCCGCAACTTTTCGACCGCTTCTTCCTCCTCAGGCGGGAGGAACTCATCGAACTGGAAATCCTCCAGGGGCCTGACGTCCTGCCAGATATGTTTTTGGAAAATCAAATTCGACTGTACTAATAGTTGCACCTCAACTGAAAATTGCATTCCAATCAGAAAAATGAATTTTCTTGCAGTAATCAAACAGTTTGAGGTTCCTGAACCTGATACGAAGAACGAAACCTGCAGGATGGTAATCTCGTGTTACAGATCAAACTAACAGTTTAAACGATCCTGCTTCATTCTCCGCGCTTTAGAAAATGCAGGAAGATACGGAGAGCATTCATCACTTTTGTTCACAGAAGATGAAGTCACTAGTTGCAAGAGAACGTCGCCGAGCTTTCGGAATCAAGCTTAAAATCTCCATTTGCTTGCAGGAAGAGTAGCAGAAAGAATCAAAGCCTTGATGATGCAAAACTACGCTCTTCGAAGAAGATTCTACTCTCGCTGAATTGACACTCAGGTCCTTCACATTTGTCTTTCGCGAGCGCTACTGCTTGTGGTGACAACAGAGGGATAAAAACCCGCGAAGCAATCTCGGTCCGTTTCAATCAGGCGCCCTTCTACACCAAACATGCATAAGTAAGAGAAATTTAGATATTGCACATCTGACAAAAATGGCAAATGCTTCATCTGATCGCGAGATTGCTCGCATCATTTCGGATTCTGCCGAAATGCATGAGAATCACAAAACCACGCTTGAAACAACTCTCAATCATCTGCATACCGGGGCATCATCAGGCGCATCCCTCGTGGTCTGTGATCTCTGCTCTCCCAGGTCCGGCCCGCTCCTTGCTGCGTCAGCATGCCTGCTGGCGTCATCCGCTGTGCCGTCCCTGGCCCTGGCCTGAGTCGCCATGCTCATTTTACCAGTACTGCGCAAACTCTGCATGCCTCGCGAGAGAGTCGCTAACTTTTGAGCAGCGCTGCGGAGAGCCATGGCCAAAGAAGCTTTCTAGGAGCTTTTGAAAGGTCAGAACGAATAAAGATCGAAAGGAGGGCGGAAAGAAACGGCGGAGAACCGTGGAAGAGAGAATGGCGGCGCAAAGTACTGGTTCTGAAGTGCGGTGGTCGAGAGAGAAGCAAGGAAAGAAAGTGTTCCTGGATGATGAGTTCGGCGTCTGGCTTGGAGGAATCAGATAAGGGCGCTGTCATGCAGCCTGAAGAAAGAGCGCATGCAAGGAGATTGCCTTTCTTCTTGGTTACCTGTTCGAGGTGATGGAAAGTCGGAGAAGGCGTGAGAAGCCGCATGACTTATCCATGCGACTTCTCGAAGGAGGCCATGCACGAAGAGCGTCTACAGGGAGCTCAGAGTCGAAAAGTGGTGTACGGTCCCCGCAGGTTAAAAATTTCAACTTCAAGCTTGGTGCAAGCGTGGGAGGCAAGCATGCAAGCCGGTCGGCTGCGAAGCAGAGCTTCCGTGTGTGTGCGGGCAGGCATTCGTGCGTTCAGCGAGCAGCTGATGCTCGACAGTATCGAGTATCTCTGCACAGCAGGACGGAATTAACCTAGAAACAGCTTCATCTCTCTGGAGTAGTAATAGAACTTCTCAAGTTAACCTAAAGATCGGAGCTATCACTAGCTGATTACTGAAACAACGTCTTGCTCCACACCCGTGTCCACTAGCTAAATCCCCTCACTGAATTATTCAAACCCGGCCGTCCCGGGCAGGTTCAATGGCCTGAGCCATTTGTAACCCAAGATCAAAGACCAACTAATCTTACAGCGCGCTAAAAATTGTTTGAATAGAAACGAATATTGTCGATGCGACGTGAGCAGGCTCCAAAGGGCCGCTGGGGGGAAGCTTTGTATGGACATGTCATCAGTGGTAGAGTTAGTGCATGGGTGCTAAAACTGCACATTGTGCTGATCAACTCCGCCAGCGCTTACGGGCCACCTCCATGCATCAGGGTATGAATCCGTTGAAACAAGGCAAGACCGACGTCTACGTGAAGGATGAGAGTTAGCGGGACGCATATAAGACCGTCTCAAGCAGAAAGACATATAGCATTGCAGACCGTCAAAAATGGCCGGTTGCAAAGAACATGAATGATGTTCATCCTGCAACTTATCTTGATCAAGGCACTGCTGCTAGGGCGTTGTCCCAATCCGTCAGTATTCATGCACTGCAACTCAGTCGTTTGCGTGGTCTCAAGCACGCAAGACAGATACATGACCATCTTCAGTCTTGCTCCAAAAAAGCAAGCACAAAGGTAAGGTTTTTCAAGCTCATTGCGCTTCCCAGCCAACCATAACGCTCAATTGTTCCGGTCCGATGTGCAGCATCAAAACTCTATTGATTCTCTATTCTGATCTGCCAAGTTCCTCTTCCTGACAAACCCCTGCTCTATCTGCCGCGCTCAAAGTCCACTCTGCTGCGGTTCGAACCCCCATCATAGTTTCCGCCCCCGCCCCCCGATGCACGCATCGTGCCCGAGGCCCCTACCTTGTCCAGCTTCTTGCCCTTGCGCACCTCCGTCAAGAACTGATCCAGCCCGAATGGATCAGCCTCCGCTTCGTTCGCCTCAAACTCAACCGGCCTATCCCGCGGCCCTGCACTCTCCGTTGCCCCCGCAAAGCCTCTATCCGGCTTAAACCTATCCGTGTTTGCCAGCTTGTCCAGCGCGCCTTCGCCCCCGTAAAGCTCATCGTCTGCGTTTTTGCTCGGGCGGAACAGCCCGCTAACGCTCGGCCGCTCGCCGGCAAACAGCCCCTTGTCATAGATATTATACTGATCCTCAGCAGCGAAACCGGACTCCATGCCCTGCTCCTGGTTGAACAGCCGCTGGTCGTACATAACCTCCCCGCCGCCCGTGACGTTCGCCTGGCCGAGCGCCACCTTCTCGCTGATGTCACGCTCGCGGTCGCGCGTCAGCTTGCTCTTCTTGGCGCCGTGGCCCTCCTTTGCGTCAAGCCGGCGGTCGCGCTCCCTGTCCCGCTTCCGTTCCTCCCGAATTGCGTCCCTCCGCATCCGCTCCTCCCTCTCCTCTCTAGTTTCACCCGCCTCTGGCACCGCTTCCGCTCTCTCGGTAACCCCGACTTCCTCTGCCCTCGGCGCAACCCCTCCGGCCCGCTCCATGCGCGCCCGCTGCGCCAGCGCGCGCAACTCCTGCTCCTTTTTCTCCTTTTCCTTCAGCATCAGCTCCCGCTGAATCTTGGACCGCATCTCAACCGCCTCACGCGCCTTCTGCTCGGCGACGTACAGAGCCTCTGCCAGCTTTGCAAAGTTGTCGTTGATCTGCACGTCCTGCAGGCTGCGCCCGTCCGCCGCCAGCCGCTTGTCGAGCGGGATCGTGTACCCCTTAGGGTTCTTCCAGTTGGAGATGCTGGGAGGAATCTTCCAATCCTGCTGATCGCGCACGGTGACTGCTCTTGGGGGCGAGTGCATGACGGGGACGGGAGGAGACCCTGGGCCTTTTGGCACCTTCTTGTGCTTGAACTTGGGAGGCTCCAATGGATCGACAGGCGCCTCAATCATCCGAATTACGCGCTCCTTGGCCCCAGAATTGAACGCCGCTCCTTGCTGAGACGGCGTGTACTTGATGTAGGTCGGCGCTTCCTTCGCCTTAGGAGCGCCGAGCACATTGGATGCAGACGATATCTTCTTGTTGACCACCTTCTCGAGCGCTGCGCGCGTCTTCTCGGTCGCCTCTGCAATCTGCTCCTCATCCGGCCGCTGCAGCTCCGCCTCGCTGACATCATGCAGCTTCGGCACCAGAGCGCTGTGCTGCGTGTGCACTACCTTGGACGCGTTCTGCCCCTGCTTCACAATTGCATCATAAGCTATGTTGCCGTCCTTATCAACGTTCAGAGGTAGAGTTTTGCTGTCCCCCCTCTGTTCCTTTCTGCCCATATCCAGGGGGTACTGAGCCACGTGGATTTCAGGGAACGCACCCCCATCCCCAAAGTCCTCTACTTTGCGGGGTACGAATCCTTGCCTTCTGCCATACGCAGGCGGCTCCTTATGCTTGGATGGAGCAACCAGCGCCCGAGACAGATTCTGCACGCCCGCCCCAAGCGTAGGGCCCAGAAAGGGGTCCTGGTGCCGAGGCGCAGGTAGTGCAGAAAGCAATCGTGCCGACGCCATCTTCCTAAGGGGCGCACGGCTGAAATTAAAGGCGCCCGAGCTCCTTCAGCGCAAACTTGAAGACCTCACAATGTCTCGCAGGGGATACAAATGATCATATACAATCCTCTTCACAGTTTGTGCCTGACCAACTTTTGATCAAATTGCTTTGGAATTTGTGTCCTCGGCTCAATTTCGGCCGTTCGATACAGGCATCGACGATCGGTCGCGGATAACGGTCTACCATAAGACCTTGGCGTGTGTTGTTTCTAGGCCGGATCTCTGCCACTTGAATGCAAGAGAAGAGCTGGAATTGCATGAATCCAGAGGAGCACAGAGAAGCAGGGATCCTCTTGGATCCTCTGACAAAGTTTGTCTGCCACAAAGTTTCACTGGCACCTTTTCATTTCTCAGAATCATTGCTGCGGGGCTATACCACCACACCAGTTTTTGAAAAAGCAACTTTAGCAATGAAGGGTGCCTTGAGCAGGAAGAAGCGGGGCGCCCCCAGCCGGGCGGCCGATAAGCACGAGCTGTCTCTCGGAGATGAGCTGACGCTAGACCCGGATGAGAGGAGCAGAGCGGGGTCAAAGAGACCGTCCAAAATGCGGAAACGACAGGAGGGTGGCGACTTTGTTGAGGAGAAAACGACGCAGAGGATCCTGCAGGAGGCGCGCAAGCAGCAGGAGGAGATGGATCAGGAACGGTGCGTCGTGTCTCCTTCTGAGGTGGCTTTTCAGTTGCTGTTATTGGCACCACCGTGATGGAGTTGTTTGATGAAGAGAGTGTGTCTTCCTAGTGTGCGAGAACGTGCAGTTGGGCGTCAGGGGTGTCATTGGTGTTCATACCACCATTACCATCATTGCCAGCAATGCCCTACCTGTTGGTTCTGAGTGGTCAAACACCACCCTTGAAAAAGCCTTAGAGTTAATGCCCAAGTGGAGGGCATGTGGGCAGACTGTTGTGATTTTGTAAAATTTTAGTTTCATGATGGTGGCAGCGGTGGTGGCACCTTGGCCCTACTTTTTGTCCTTCAGCCATTGAAGTTTGCATTTATCGTCGGCATGGGTGCGTCAGCTGATGCCGCCTGGCCAGGGCTCTTGCGGCATTAGGGTTTGCAGACTTCCTGCACATCACCCCATGTTTCAGAGCTGCAGGCATCAGCATTTCAGAAAACATTGAACTACTATCGAAAGCACTTCCTGAAAGTCTCACAATGTTTGTGGATGATATGCTTAACAGCGGGGCTGCCTATTGAGTGTCATTGTAAATGGCTCCAGCTAAAGCTTCCCATGCTCCTGGTTGTTTTTTTCAGTGATGAAGAGATTGGGGTAGCTGCCACACGACGAGCGTTTGGGGCAGTAGAGACGAGCCGGCTGGATAGCGATACCGATGAGGAGGACGAGCACCGGGAGGGCTTGTTCTCAGACACGGAAAGCCAGTACGAGGAAGCGGTGGTGAGTTCGACGTTTCAGGCTCTTGTGTCTTGACATATTGGGCCTGTTCTTGATATCGCACTGCGTGGCTCTGATCGCAAAGAGGCTGTTGATTTATCTAAAGTTGACGGTAATCAACTTGTTTTTGAAGGAGAATCTGCGAACGAACTTTAGGGCATGGTGGCTCAGCAATCGTCGTAGCCCTTTTTGTGTACCAGAACACATCTTCTGTCCTACGGATCTTAAAATTTACGTTGTTGTATTTACACTAATCACAAGGCCTGGTCCAATCATGCTCCCCTTGCTCTATTTTGAAGCTCGTTCCTGTCTGTTGTAAGGAGGCGACAGCAACTTCACTTTCATGAATGTCTCCCCAACGTCTCTGTCGGTACTGTTTCAGGAAGTAACGGACGAGGACGAGCGCGCCCTCGCTGCATTCATGAGCGCAGGGGCAGCCCCGCACCGCACGCTTGCGGACATCATCATGGAAAAGATCCAGGAGAAGGGGCAAGAGCGAGGCCTTGTGGTGGATCAAACGGAGGAGGAAGAGGCAGGGCCCCGGATACCGGGGCTGGATCCAAAGGTGGTCGAGGTGTATACGGGAGTGGGGAAACTGCTTAGCCGGTGAGGGGTGGTTCGTAGATTTCAGCAGTCATGGGGGGTGATGGTCAGAAGGGGTTGCATAGAAAGTGTGGTTGTTCCATGATTGACGGTCATCATCGAAGCATTTGTCGTACAGAAAATGGTCGGTTGAGGATTTGAAATTTGCCAGGCACAAAGACAGGAGGGCAGTCTTCGGTTTTGAGCCAGTGGAAGATATTTTTTGGCAGCACTTCTTTCACGTCTGGCAGGTCGTTGATTAAATAACTTCAGGATGCTTTGCTTCTTATTCATCACTCTTGCCATCTCCCTGAATTCCAAAGAGGCAGGGCGCTTCCGTTGGGGACAGGTTGCGCATTCCGAGAGCGAGTTGGTCACATGCTGATTTGCCCGGTGGCTACTTGCAGGTATCGGTCTGGAAAGGTGCCCAAAGCGCTGAAAATCGTACCCAACTTGGCCAATTGGGAGGAGATACTGTACCTTACGGAGCCCGAGAAATGGTCGCCGGGCGCAGTCTATCAAGCGACCAGGCTCTTCGCCTCGAATCTGAACGCGAAGATGGCACAAAGGTAAGCACCAAAGGCTGCGCACGTTCTGCGAATTCTGCTTTTGGTTGTTATCATCAAGGGAGTGAATGTCATCGCACTCTTAATGAAACGTGCTTCTTTACTTCTGATGCTGCTGACAGAATTGTTTGAGGGCTTACGAGTCCTCTCCACGACAAGTCACGCTTCTCCCCTTGTTTCGAGTTAATGCCTGTCGTGTCTAACACCTTGGATCTTGCACGGGAATAATTTGCACCGAATATGCCCAGCGGCTCTTCAGCCGACGATTACGGTTTACTAGAACCCGATGCAAAGGGTATATCATCCAAAACGGCCTACGAAATCGTTGAAATCCTGACTTTCTTGGCCACCCGTCACAGGTTTTACTCCCTCGTCCTCCTCCCCCGGTTGCGCGACGACATCGCCGAGCATAAGAAGCTGCACTTCGCCCTTTATCAGGCGCTAAAAAAGGCTGTTTACAAGCCGGCCGCCTTCTACAAAGGCATTCTGCTGCCGCTGTGCGCTTCCGGCACGTGTACGTTGCGGGAAGCGGTCATCGTCGGAAGCGTGCTGCAAAAGGTGTCGATACCCGTGCTGCACTCGAGCGTGGCGCTTCTGAAGATCGCACAGATGCCTTACTCCGGGACGAACAGGTGAGCTAAAGATATACATATCAGTGACCAGCTCAGAAAAGAAGGTCGTGACTGGTCTCTTTTTTATTGAAATGTCGCCGATGTAAAACAAGACGTTGAGGTGGTCACGTCGGATCTCACTTGGGTTTGGCCAGCGATGCTGCAGTAATTGACATTCCTCTCGGCCATTGCTAGCCGTTTCCGAAATAATCATTCCGAAACACGTCTTTCAGATTCTCCGAAATATCATCTCGAAACACCTCTTCCAGGTTGCTTGCTCCGGATCCAGCTGTCAAAGTAGCATTCGCCCAAAGAGGCAACATCTAGATATTTGTTTTCGTTCCGGATCCTGCTTTCGAAGTTGCGTCGTTCAAAAGACTTGCAGAGTATCTCTTTTGACCGGAGCCTGAGTGGACGGCTGCGAGGCGGTGGCGCTTGCGCCGCTGCCGGTCGTCTCAGCCGTCCTCATGAAGCTCCGCACAGCAAAGCCCAGTCATCGTCCAGGCAACAGAGCAGACACGCGAGCCGCGTTGCGTCCTCTTCTTGCGTCAAACGGTGACAACAGATCGATCAATTCCCCGAACATTCTGAGTTCCTTCGAGCAATACCCGGATCAAAGCGGGCTGACTCTGTGCATGATGAACCCTTCTCTTTGCGAAATGAACTTCGTCGCGCGGATTTAAGCCCTGGGCTTGCCGTGTCGTGGTGGCGGTGGTTCTCCCTAACGAGCAAAGACATAGCTGCTGCCCCCTTGGGCTTTTCCGGTCCGGTATGTAACAACCTCAGCGAAGAGAGAACAAACGTTTGGACGTCACAAGCCCCTGCCTGACACAACAGCCAGCAAAGGCTCTGCACGCCTTCGGTGGTTCTCGAACGCCCAGCGAATCAAAAGCCTGTTGGATTGAAGTCCTTTGAGTTGAACTCAAGCCGTGGAAACAAAGGTTCACGCTCGCCGCACTTGCACCCACCCTACCCCCCTTAGTAACCCCACCCATCTCATTTACTGTTCCCTGGTGCTTTCTTTTTCACTCAACTCAATCGGGTTGCGCATTCGAGAAGCTCTGCCGATGCAAAGCAACTGCCGATGAAAACATCTGCTTCCCGCCCCTGTTGCAGTTACTTTTTGCGGTTGCTGCTGGACAAGAAGTACGCTCTCCCGTACCGGGTCCTGGACGCGCTGGTGGCCCACTTCGTTAACTTCCAGGCCGACGACCGGCAGCTGCCCGTCGTGTGGCACCAAGCTCTGCTGTGCTTCGTGCAACGGTGAGGCATCGGTAATTTGACAAGCATTAGATTTATCGCGGTTTCGCGGTTTTTCTATTGACTTATTGGGGGTATGCGTCGTGCTTATAGAGGTGTGGATTTTCTATGATGCTCTGAGCTACTTGTGTCAACTCCCTGGCCGACGATCGGCAGCCGCCCGTCGTGTGGCACCAGGCTCTGCTGTGCTTCGTACAACGGTGAGGCATCGGTATTTGAAAGCTGTTAAGTTTTGCTTGGTCTCTCAGCCGCCGCGGTTGTGTCGTGATGGGAGCAAGTTGCGTGCTCATAGAGGGCGTCAAGCGTCTTGGACTGCTCTCAACCGGTGCTTGTAACCTCTCGAGGTCAACCGGCCGCCGCCCGCTGTGTGGCACCCAGAACTGCTCTGCTTCGTGCAGACGTGGGGCATCGGTCATAAGACAGTTGTCATATTTCGCTGGGCTCCTCAATCGCCGTACCCGTGCCATACAACGTATTGGGGGCCAATTTCATGTGCTGATGGAGGCTTGAGATGTTCTGTCTGCTTAGAGGTTCAACATTGCTGCTGCTTTCGTTTTCCTTTTCGTTTTCTTCATGGTGCTGGTATCGCCCGACATCCAGGGAAACCACTTTTCCTGGGGGTTTGCTCTAACAAGGGCCATGATGATGACTGTTTCTTGTTTCGGCTGCTCAATACTGCGCAGCATGCTGGTGGTATGTCGGAGAGTTTTTGTTCCTGGAAGGCCTTCCTTGAATCGTCGCGGGGCTTCCGCTTAATACTGCATGATTCCTGAATGACCATTGATATCTGCTCTTCTGACCCCTGTTTCCAAAACCGCAGGTACAAGAACGACTTGGACGAGGGCGACAAGCAGCAGCTGAGGCGGCTGATGCAGAAGCACAGCCATTACCAGGTCACACCAGAGATCCACCGGGAACTCGCCAACAGCAGCTCGCGTGGGCAGAAGCTCCCGGGGGGTGCCCCCCGGGCTGCGGTGTCTCAGGTAACCGGTGGCAGCCGTTTTTATCATCCCCGGATGTGCTTCTTATCCGCAGCTTCGTTCGACCGTTTCATCGGACAATTGTTTGTCAAGTCCTAGTTCAATTTGCCTGTCCCTTTGTCACCAGCCCTGTCGAAAATGATGCTCCTTGTTTCTTCAACGTTCTCTCAGTGTGGTGTGGCTCTGAAAGGCCTGCACTCGTGCGAGAATCTGTTTGAAGCAGTCTTTTTGGACTGACCATCCCGATGCAGTTCGAGTAAGAACTGAGGGGCTCAAAGCATTTCCGATCGTTTGCAGGTTCCAATCTCCAAGGAGGTGAAAATGCAGGAGGACTTTAGGGACCTACCGGACGTTCACGTCATGGACGAGGACTATTAGGCGTCGAAGAGTGAACAGTTATCCGACAGCGTTTGCATGGGAATGACGTCAGTACGCCTACAGAGATAGTGGCATCTCCCCAGTGGGTCTGAGGACGAGCATGTGCAGCTAACATTGCCGCAAGCCGTGCGGTGTGCATTGCCTGCGAGATCTTTTGAAGGCTATCATCTTGTATACAAACCAGTGCAGTGAGACTGAGCCACGCATGCATTGTTGTGACGGGAGCGTGGGTAAAACGTACCCCAATACACTCGGTGATACGCTGACGGCGATGGTCTATCTATAAACACTTGGTAGCATGTCGGGGCATTGACACGCCTGTATACCATGGTGAGCGGCATGCTGGACTGAGGTTGCCTGCATGCACGAGGTTGCCATGCAGTACACGACCCTCCGACAGAGCTGCATCAAAACAATACATCGGCCGCCACCATGATCATGATGCTCGGACGATTCAAACGTTGGATGACAGTGACACATGCATGTCGAGTCCGACAGTATCTGATTGAGTGGACTCCTCCAGTGGATCATTAACATTGTGAACTTGAATTGCTCTAAGTATGCAATTCAATCCTCGGTCGCTAAACGTTAGTTACTTGTAGAACGGGCCGGGGACAGAAATGCACGCTCATCGACCGCCAGTTCGGAATCTCGACAAGTATCGTCGGGCTACAATGGTAATTGCAACCCTTTGATGATATGCCGCGCAGCGCGATGATTCCCCGTATTTTCAGAGAATGAAATTTTCGGCCAAGACGGTCGGATCGATTGCTGGCTGGTGCAGCAGATAAGTATAGCTAGCTGTACGACTCACGATTCGATGTTTCAGCTATCGCATGATCTTTGGATGGTTGCTTTTAGGCGCCCCGCCCGGGGCCTAACCCACTGGCCGGCAGGGCACCTCAGTGTGGGGCATGGAATCAGCCGTACAATCCCAACCAGCTCTGAGGCTGTCAACTTGCACTACTGCTGCTTCAACCTGGCAGATTTGCACGCCATTGTGACTCCAGAATATATGCATCAACACTGCAAGTGACCTGATTGCCGTCCGAAATTCGATTGCTCAGAGGTCCAGGCCAAGGACTGGATGAAAGCAGATCGAAAATGTGCGCCGTTTTGATTTCACGGTATATTCCAAAACAGGTCTCATCAGTCTACCCCTTGTGGACACACTATAGTGAGAACGAGAAGTACGTGAAGAAGTAAAGCTTCAGAACCAGTCCTAGAGCTAGATGCAAGGCCACAACTGCGAGCACGACGAGGTACCAGTTCTCCGTCGTGTGCAGAATGTGTCCTCGGATGTTCAGCGCCAAGAAGAGGGTCGAGAGCAAGCACGCCGCAGCTACAACACCCCACCGCGCAAGCTCGATTGGGATGACACACAAAAACTGCAAGCAAACAGACTCTAGTGATTGATGATGACAGAACATGAGTGAGATAGGTAAGAAAAAGGTTGCAGGAACGCAGTAAGTTTCGCAAAGAACAACATGATGGCGCTTTTGGAGCACGGACGACTCTTCCGGAAGCTCGACGAGAGGACCAAGCAAAATACGGGTCCTTACTCGATGTATTACTTTCGCTCTACCGATTATAGGTCTTGAAGAGCTACTGTTTGCAAAACAAGGCCCTATCGAAGAAGGCACCTCAGAGCCTTCTCTCAAGGAAGCAAGGAAGCAGACAAAGCAGTGCAAGCATAAGAAACAAGGTACGGTGACAGAATCTCACTGTGATCGGGATGAAGACCGCGAGCGAGTACCCGTACAGACACCACAGTTGGACGAGCCCGATCGCCGCCCTGTAGTACTTCATGACAAAGAAGAGGAGGAGGGGGATGACGCCAATGTATCCGTAGAAGATGGCGGAGCCGTATGAGACCTTGTTGATGTCGTAGTGCCACTTAGGCTCGGCGGCAGTCGGTTTGAAGCTCAGGAACGTGGCGAAATTGCCGAGGGCGGCGGTGACAAAGATCAGCGTGGTGCAGATCCAGAAGGGACCGTACCTGAGGGAAAGATGCCGCGACCCGTCAGAAGAAAGGTTTGGTCGGCAATGGGCTACCGTCAATAGGGCTTTGCAGATACCGTAGTCTACAGTGATGAAATCAAAGCATCTTACTTAGGATAACGTTCTAGCAATCCGACCGGAGAAGGTGAATTTAGTATGGTTATGCCTAACCGGAGTCCAAATGCCATATGGTGACACTTGGAAAAGGGTCTGAGAATGATTTGCCCAGTCTCTGGCCTTCCAACGGCCATATCAAATTTCGAAGGTGCACTTTCCAAATGCAACATCCGGATACCTAACTTTCCGAAAGCAGATTGACTGTTTCTTTGGAATCAAGTACTGTGGACTATGGTACCTTGTAGCTTGGATGGGACACATGATCCTGAAATGTCTCTACATGGTAGCAGGTGCATCGGCAATCTGGCAATGCAGGTAGGTACAGTAACTTCTTAAGTTCAGCGTAAGGAGTCCAGGCCTGCGTTTCTTGCACCTCTGTTAACCTAAGACTGCAGAACCCAGTGTGCACTATAAAGCACCTAGCTGAAAGGAAGCCACACCACTGCTCGCAACATAAATTCGCTGGCGGATCGCTCACAGGTCAGGATTGGCCGCGTTTTTCTCCACAAAGTCGCCCGAGATGGGGATGAACGAGTCCTTAATTCGCCCCAGGACATCCACTGTGTCCACGTCAAAGTACGGCCGGTAGTAGTTGATCGAAAACATGCTGCCACGCGCTGCGGGATGCCCGCCCTCTGGTCCACTGTTGGCGCCTCCCGCCAGAGGCGTTGTGAAGTTGGCTGTCAGCAAACAAGGCACAGATCAGGGGGCGCTGCCCTAAGTACAGCCATGGTGTATGGTTAAGAGATACAGCTGAAGGGATCGTTCTGTGGGGCTTTCATCGATTGACAAGCTGGGGGAGCTGCAGCAGATTCTGTAGATGCTGAGTGGAAAGACCATGATTGCAAAGCAAAGATGACAAAAATACCAAACACATGAAAAAGCGACTCCATTCCTCACAACATACATACATAGAGCACGAAGGAACGGGGTGTAGAGCTATGGCAGAACCATTAAATATCAGACATTGCTGCTTCCCAGGATGAAGCGAAAGTGGTAGACGCCTCACCGTCTGAGGTTCCAGGCCTGTTGTTCCCAGTCATCTTTCCAGTTGCTTGACCAGATGAGAATGTAGACTCTGCACAAGTATGAAACATAGTGCACATCAGGGCCCAGCTTCTTTCAAAAAGCGGCTTCCGAATCGATGTAGCTGTGAGCATTCACCCATGTGGTGGATCTGGAAAGGCCAACCGGTCAGATTTGCCTAGCGCTCCGAACTATCAAGATCAAGACTATATCCTCTTGCTTCCATTGCTCCAGCTGCACCACTAACAGGCGGAGAGCAATCTCACCTTGAAATTGTAGGACTGTGTCACCGGCGACCTACGAAAAGGATTTTGAAAACGATAAGCAATCGACTTTTGAGCGGACCCCAGAATGGACGTCCTGCATTAAGATAAACGATCAATCCAGTAGGAAGCAGTTTTCAATATCTATCGGTCTGAATTGTCATACTTCTGCTCGACTTGTCCTCTGTCTCAGCACGGATTTGCCCAACGGTTATCCAAGGAACAACCACAACCTTATTGCTCACCGGCACACTGTTTCCAGAAGCTGCCTCTGCTTCATTCTGCAGATTTACGTACAACGACATGGTTGCTGATTGGGCGAATTCCAAGCTTCTGGCGCGCAGTCAGCCAAGCCAAACCCAACCGCTTGATATAGCTGATGTAGACTGTCCTTCTTTCACCGCTGCGCTCTGAATTGCATTTGATCGCCGCAGTGTTCTGTAATGAGCTGAAGAGATCCTCCGGCGTCTTGTCCGGGACCGAAAGTTTACTTCACTAGCCCTCTACTCGCTCACGTCTTGCTTCCTGTAGTAGACTAGATACCAAAGGGCCAGCCCTCTGAGCGCATTCCTAGAGCTGTGACGTTGAAAGGCGCCTTCGCGTTTCGCGTGAGTGCTGCAGCAATCCTACGCTGCTTCCCTTGCTCTTCGGAGTCTTCCCTGGGCCTGAGGGCAGTGAGGCTGTCTGGCAGTGGCAGGGGAGATCGCACCTTGACGTTAACCCTCGAATAACCCCGATTACTGTGAATACCATCTTGCAGATAAAAGGAAGCTGTTCAGAACCCTAACCAAGGGTGGTTAGGGTTGCCGGACCACACGTACACATGCAGGCAAAGTTCACTTAAACACTGTCACTATCCATGTAAAACGCCTCAGTGACTGTGTGTCAGTTTCCATTTTACAATTCCTGCTTTGCGAGGCAGGCGCCAGGACGCTTCGGATTCGTGAGGGGAAGCCCGCTGTCTCTTCACAGGCCTGAGCGAAAACCCTTGAAGGTAGAAGGCGGGGGGGACTGCCTCTGTGGAATGCTTGTGCCCCCCTGTAATTAACTTGAGTGCATGCGGCAGGAATGAGTAGAGAGGGCCCCTGAAGAACATCCGGATGACCTTTCACAAAAGACAAGCAGCACAAGATTCACAGCCTTGTTGCAGACAGACAGGGTCGCACGTCACTTGGAAGGGGACAGTGTAATAGTCCTTGTAGGCAGAGCCTCCTGCGATGAGTTTTCAGGATTTGGGGGCGGGGCCAGCACGAGGTCCCGCAAATAGGGGCCCCAGTGGGGATGGGACACAGCGGCTGGCGGCGAGCATCTTTCAGCTCAAGACCGCAGTGAACACATACCAGAAGGATGTCAATACGCTGGGGACGCCCAAGGACACACCGAAGCTGCGAGAAAAACTGTGGGTTTTCTTAGCCTAACTCTCGAACAACAGATGGAAGTTGTTGTCGAGCGATTCTTGGAAGCAGCTGCTTTTGTTTGGTATCCTTGAACAAGCATCACCCATGCAAGTTAGGGTTTTCGGAGTCTTCTAGCTTAGGCTGTCCGTTGTATCCTCCTTGGTGGTTCAGCGGAGTATTCCAGCATTAGGGTTTGCATTATGAAACTTTTTCCATTTGCAGGTGGCACCACTCTCTCAATTTCAGGAAGGTTCTTAGTCACTCTTTTGACTTGCGTTGTGGTTTCATCTCCAGGGCAAAGACGAACGCGCATATATCCGAACTAGCAAAGAAGGCCACAGATGAGTTGAAGGCAGCTTCGGGGCGGGATCATACGGCAAACGTTGGGGTGAGGGGCCTTTTCGCCATGGATTAATGGTTGTGCTTCGCAACCGCTGGACCAGGGTGTTTTGCTAGACCTCCTTTGAGTATTTTGTCACGTGATTCTTAACGATCTTCGAATGGTTAGGCTGGGCAAAGTGGCTTGAGCTAGCGCAAACAAACCGTCAAAGACAGAGAGAGTTGTCAGATGATCAATCATCCGTGAGATGTGATTCATTATGTGTGCAGTTGGAACGAAAGCGGCAGGACACGAAACTGGCCGCCGACCTCCAGCGAGTCCTCAACGATTTTTCAAAAGCCCAACGAGAAGCACTGGACCGAGAAAAGAAGTACATTCCATATGTGCCCAAGGAAAGCCAGAACCCAGACAGGTGCGCGTCCGTGTCCAGCTTTCGTTTTTGACAGCTCTTGTGCTCATCTGTTGAAATTGGAGACTCCCAAAAGGTGTCAGTAGGTTTCCAAAGACGCTGTTTTTCGGCCGCCAAACATCTGGGGAACATCTGACGAAACGCAGGGCAGGTTCGTGCGAGCATTTAGCATCTTTCCCTCTGGCGGATGGTAGGGATACGAGAGTACTCAGCGTCATTGCAGCAACCTCGAAAGCCATGCTAAATGTAGAACAGACGATAGTGCAGGGAAGTTGGTGTCGATTGCTCTAAAGACCCCTTCATTCTCTGATCTCGATTTCAATGCTTTGAACTTCAAGCAGTTGAAGCAGTACCCCGAAACGATCTGTTGACCCCTTCCATACCGAAGCGACCGTGTCGAGCACAAAGAACCGGGTCAACCTCTGAGCTGGCACCACTGTCCGCTCGTATCACAATTGCCACAGAACAGCAGGCTTACCTTACATTACCCACTTATATTCTCTGCGTATTTTGTGCAGTCTGCATATACAAGTGGAGGGGGGGAGCAGAGATGAACGGCAAACGTTATTAGTGCAGCAACAAAGGTGCGTCCCTCAAACGACTTTACGCGTGGCAGTCCACTAAACATTCTCCAGCTGCCATGGAAAAGTAGGTGGATCGACTTTTGAGGCGTCAACCCGGACCCTGCCTCTGTTTGGTATTCCCAATTTGATTTCATTGGTACGTATTAAGCAAATTCGCTGCTGTTAATGGATGTTGGTCGCAATCAACACACTTGTTGTTACTCCACCCGTTTTCTTGAAAACATGCACGAATGCTTTTCACGCCTCTTTGTTTGCAACGTTCCTAGGGTCCATACGATTTATTTGGCAGCAAGCCCGTTCCTCAAAAGGATGTTTGACTTTGGGGGCCGCACTTTCCTTTCCTGACTCGTAATCTTCTCCACAACGCAAGCCCCTACCTGCTCGGAAAAGTCTGAAAGCATAATGATCGTGTATGCATCTCTTGGCATTCGGTGCTCTTTACCAGGCAAGGAGGTTTATCTCCTGAGCAGAACGATGTCAACTTCGAGGGACTCCGTTTTGAGCTTACAGATGCTTGTCCTTCAGCTACTTCGTCAGCCGGTTGAGCGAGCGAAGGTGCTCGAGTCCTGAGAGCGAACTTGCAAATCTTTTCGTTATTCGGAAACATTTTCATATTCCCGCCACCTCTTGGGTTGATTGTTAACCAGAGCGTTACGTTTCTGTCGACGAGGTCATACCCCATCTTGTCAACGACCAGGGCTGAACCATGTTTTTGAGAAAGAAGGATCAACCCGTCGTTTGATAACCAACACGAACCCATCTTTTCGATAACCAGGCAAGAGGTGCTGAACTTGGAAGCTGACCTGGACTACAACGAGGCGCTGATCGTCGAGCGCGAGGAGGGGATCCGGGATATCCAGGGGCAGATCCTGGAGGTGCACGAGACGTTCAAGGACCTGGCGCAGCTTGTGCAAGAACAGGGCAGCTCTATAGGTCAGCCCCCGCGACCCCTCACCATGAAATCGGAACCCGTTTAACCTTACCCCGCAACCCCGTTAAATTGTTAAGTCCTTACACACTGCGGTGGATAGGCAGTGCTTTTGGACGGCAATGCTATCAGAGGGCAACTTGAGAGACGAGGGCCGGAGTGGGTTGTGGCTCACAGATATTGCAGTTCGCGAGATTGCGAGGGGTGATATGCTCCTTTCTCAGAGGAAGAAGCTCGTGGGGTGGTGGATTGGAAGCGAGGAAGGGACAGCTGTGCATCTCGTCTGGTTGTCGTCAATCTCAAGACACGGCAAAGCCGGCTTGCGATATCTTACTTGAGTTGAGGACCAGAGGAAGAGGGATGCGATAGAAAGTGTGCAATTGTGGTAAAGGCGGGAAGTCGTCAAAGCGGAGGCTTTTTACCACAGCGAGTCAATGTCTCCGCTCGAGTCGCTGCTCAAGAGTCTAGTCAAACCTGCGTTTCGCTTCTCGTATGGACGTTTCGCCTCTCGTAAGGACGTCTTTCCCTGAGATTGTCCAATGCGTTTTACGGGACGTTTCGCTGCTTGTAACGACGTCTTTGCGGTGATTTTCATCCGGTACGACGAATAGCAACAACGGCTGAGGTTTAAGAAGTGGAGGCATTCTCATCGAGGATATCTCTGTGCAGATCTGATCGACTCCAATCTGGTGTCCACGGACGAGTCCATGATCCGGGCGAACAAGGAACTGCGAGGAGCTGCCAAGCGGCAAAAGTCAAACGCGTCGACGGTAAGTTCGCTCTACGACTGTGCATTTGCTTTTGAAGTCTGACCACAACGCAGTAGATAATCTGCTCAACTGCCTCTCCAGAAGTCTTTCTGTGCTAGAGTCACTGCAAGGAGTCCTTGTAGAGTCCGGTAAGCCTATGCATACTGCGTCAGCGAAACTATGTTTAGGAACCCACGACCTCTTTGTGGACTGTTTGTGAAGCAGAAGATGGCTTCGCTTGCTTATTCGCGCTTGCAAGGAGTTCACGCTTGCACTTTCGTCTGAGAAGCAATGTTTGACGCTCGTCCTTGACTGTGCAGGCGTGCTGCTTAATGGTCTTCTTCAGCTTAGCGCTAATCATCATCGTCTTTGTGATGGTGGCGTAAGCAAGGAACACTGGGAAAGCTGGGAGTATGTACATAGAATAGATACGCACATTGAGCAAAGCTGTTGATCAGATACTAAACCTGTAAGATTAGCTGGGTGTATTGTCCCCACCGGACATCTATAAGTGCTACTTTGTACCACGAAAAAGGACATGTTGACATTCATCAAGTGTCCATCATGTGTCGATGGATAAGTTTCGCGCTAAATCAACGCTTGCACCATGTGTTGTGCGCAACAAGACAAATGTTCGACGTGAGCACCAATTGATCATTAAACGTCCCGTGTCATCAAACATGCGCATGATCGCGAGAGTTGGCCGCGGAAAGGAAACGATCAGCTAGAAAGTGCCAAGTGTGCGCCGCGGCCATGTGACCGTATAGTGTCACACGGATCCACGGGTGCCTGTTCATAATTAACTACGCGTCGTTGTACGTGGATGGGGCAATTAGTTCCATGACAATTGAATCAAGAAATTCTATACGGCCGGCCAATCGCGATTGGCCGAAATCGATCGTCCGGGCCGGCCATGCTGCACTGACCATGGCCGGGGACGACCATACGGGGCATGGTCGTATGTACGTGCACGTACATACTCACTCTCTTGCATATGGTATAACGGAATGTGATACATGTGTATAAACCGTTTTCATGCGCCATGCCCGGCTGCGTTACTAGCTTGGAATCAAGTGTTTACGATAGCCGCCCCCATGGCGATGTAAAATGGAGGCCACCTCCAGATCTGATTCCGCAAAACATATCGCATGTTTATTAACATGGTGAATTTTACAGGCCTCATGCAGTACGGGGGACCATCTGTGTTTTGAGCCTTGGACTTGGACCACCCAAAAGTTACACTCGCACTCAAACACAAGGACAAAAAGGTTCCGAGACCGTCATTCTCCAAACCGTCGCACCTTTGATCTCGCCGTCCTCAAGTCGGCATCAACTTCGCTAAGTTGCGCTTCTACTTTGTTTACTCGCGCCACCTCCTCGAGAGCAGCTTGCCGATACGGAGCGATGAGTTCCTCAACCGCACTGGCCATGCGGTCCAACTCCTCCTCCATATCTTTCCGCATAGCCTCCTCTATTTCGGCCGCGAACTTTTCCGACGACCTCCGCACCTTCTTTTTTACTTCCCCTCGCTTTTGAGGCAGCGTGAGGATCCCCGCATACCTGCCAAAATAGACGAGTGTTCAAGTCTGCATGGTTCTGCATCACTCTCCAAGGCCCACAAAAGCGTGCGGCCCGGCGGACGATATTCGAAAAAGCCCACTCTGAAAGTTCCAAACCTTCGGTACGAATGAAACATCCTTCGAAATCAAAGCGCCCAGATTGGACGTCCCTCGTCCAGTCAGAACTGAGATCCCTACCAAAACTTCTGCTTACAACTAAAGGGTCAAAAATTTCGAGAGCACATTAATCCCCTTCTCCCGAAGAGTGTCCTCAGGATAGGACTCCTGGCCACAGAGGGACAAGTTGGGACCCAGCTCTGAAGCTTGAAACAATCTGCTCGTCCAGACAGAGCCCAGCTTGATCAGAACGATTCCATATTCTTGAAAAGTTATCTGTTTCTACTTTATACTTTATCCTTCTTAGTGATCCTAAGGAAACAAACTACATTCAGCTTGAAGAATGCTCGGCTGGTTGGGCAGATCCGGGGGACCGCACTCGGACGGCCCACGTTCGACGACATAAGGGCTCCAAAAAGAAATGAAACACGGTGTGAATACACTCACCCAAGCAGGGAGCAGACGGTGAGCGCGAGCAAGTCCTCTAGCGTCGTCGGAAGCACGGTGGTCAGGCCATACGCGAGCGCGCCCGCGCCGCCCGTGTTTGCAGCCAAGCCCAGAACCTAGGTGACAATAAATGATGACGTCAGCGTTGACGGCTTGCGCAGCTCGTTAGGATTCTGCTAGATTTGTGGTTGCGCCAAGCTAGGCCGCTTGAACTCAAGATTCCGCGCACTGGCAGCTTCTAGTGATGTAGCAGTCGAAGACGAACGGGTAATCCTTCTAGCGTCTTGATTCTCCGAGACTTCAGCTCAAGTCTCGCCCTCCGGCGCCGTAAACTTCGAAGCGCCGAGAAAAAGCGATATTGATGACCTCAAAGAGGAGGGCAGGGCAACCCTCAAGGTTCTCTTTCCAAAATCTCCGGACGCCGCAAAATACAACGGAGAGATAGTTGCGCACAGATAGTTGCGGCATGTCCGTCGCACCTTTCGACCGCCCAACTTGCGGTACTCAAAGGTTACAGAACATCCCGCCGTCCGAAACCTTTCTTCCTGACTCAAGTTCCCAGAAACAGAGCAACATCGCTTTTCGCACAAGCTATTGACCAGGATGCCCACGCAGCCAGCTAGAAAACGCAGTCAACATTCACTCTCTTCATGTTCCCACCACTCAAGAAGCTTTTAGGCTTTCAGGGCTTTAGGGCATTTCGAAACCTTAAAACCCTAAACCCTGAACCCTGAAACCCAAAAACAAGACCGCGCACTCACCACTTCCCGCACTTCGTTGTCGAGCACCAGGGCCGCTGCCGAGGGGTTGAACTCTTCGAGCGCTTCCCGCCCGTGCGGGTTATCCCCGCCGCCGTAATTCACGAGCTGCGCCCCCGGCTGGTCCTCAAAGTCCTCGGAGAAGCCGGGCCAACGCGCGCGCACGAAGTCCGCGTAGTTGCTGATTTGGCGCGCGTTGTTGGCGGCCAGCCACGTGCCGTGCTCGTCGATCACTTGCTGCGAAAGGTGGATGGAAAGGTGTCTTCATCGCCATCATTTTCAACTAGCTAGAAGCGGGTGTGTGACAGCAGTACTGGACGTCGCCACGTGCAGCGGCAAACGTCGCGCTTGCTTCTAAAAGCACACAAAGATTATTCTCATCCTGAAGAGCCTGAGCATGCCTTGCTCCCTTCCAGAGCTAGCACGGGACGGAAGCACGTGACGTCTCTTAATCCTCTTTTGTTTATCGGATTTCTGATTCTGATAATATGGACAGGAGGCATATCGGTATCGGTCTTGGATCACGTTGACTCAAACGTAAAGAATCAGGCGTCACAGGAACGTTGAGAACAATTTTCGACGTCTATGTTTTGAGAAGCGGATGTTCGAGCGGGTCCCTAGGTATGCGACTCGTTTCCGAGAAACCAAGTGAGCATAAGTGATCGAAGTCAGTAAGATCTCAAATGCCCCTGCCAAACGCAAACTATCCTTTTCCCTCTCTGGAGATCTGCATGCACCCAAAGCCAGAGGACGAAATGGAGCCCGTGTTCGCTCTCGACCTTCGCAATATCCAGTCATCCTACGGATATTCAGTGCTTTGCACATTTCAACGTATGACACCGCGTCACTGTGCAGACGCCCGACCAGCGCCACTTCAGGGATGACTTGACTCTTTGAAAGGAATCTTTCCACCACCATACCTTGACGTCAGCAATTGCTTGGTCTGCGACATCCCGCTGGAAGCGCGAGGCGACGGGCATGCCGGCGGTGTCGTCTTGCACGCTGCCGAGCAAGTACTTGCCGAGGGCGGAAACATTGGAGATCGTCAAGATGCGGTCCACCAATCGGCCCGCGCGCTTCGCAGCCTCCGCCACCTGGCAGCACAGGATTGGTCGGAGTTCAGAAGCAGGCTTGGGGCAAAGATGACGGATTTACTGAGAGTTGTTGCGGCTCGACGCTTGTGACATTGTACGATCCAAAGAGATCGTACTAGACTTGACTTGGGAACTAGGGAGTCCAGCCGGCTGCCCAGCGACTGCCACCTGGCAGCACGAGAGCGACTGGGATGAAAGACAGCCACTGGAGTAGCACTCCTCTGCTGATCCTTCAGCAACCGAAAACGCCCTAGCAATCGGAACCACTGGAGCGACTTTCACAGAGCGGGGGATGGTCAACCTTGGCGTGATAATTATGAAGGGCATAAACATGAGTCAGACATTGACTGCTAGAGGAGACAGGACCGGTCTGTAGACATTGTCTGCCGTTTGAAAGCCGGGCTTAACTGAACAGTCGTTCGTTCAGATTGCTTGCAGTAGGGACGGCATGCGTAGAATACACTCTACAGACGAAGCGACCCGAAGCAAGGAGCTACAACATAGAATAACTAGCAAGTGTGGATCTCAAGGAGGCACGCGAGGGCACAAAGACGTGGTACACACGGTTCGGAAAGAAAAGCGGACACTTGTGAAAACGCGTACACCACATACTTCTTCAAGGATAATAACATGCTTCATTCCATATTGTAAAGAGCTGCCTCCTTGCTCGCACGCACCAAGTTCGCACCACAGCACGCACAACATACAAAGCGGATCACACATGCACCAAGCTCTCCGACACACCGGACATGGTCGCTCCAGAGTCAAGAATGATGCGAGTGGGGACCTCTTCTACTAAGACCTGCACTTCGGTTCTCAGATTTGGAACGTCGTACTTAGGATCCGTTTCAACTTTGAGGTAAGAGCGCCTCACCGCCCTTGCGGACTTCTCGCGCTGCGCCCCCGCGTCTTTCTCCATGGCCGCTCGGAACTTAGCGACCTGCAGGCGGACCGCAAAACCATGAAATCGTTGAGGGACGACAAAAAGCGCGCAGCGCTGTTGTCAATGTTGACGTTGAAAGATCAGCCCTCCCAAGGTTTCGTTTGGGGCAAGTTTGTCATCGTCTGCAGCAATTCAGGTACTGAACCGGCCCTGCCAAATATGACGAAACGCAAGCCAAATCCTTACAGACTGAAGTCCTTATTTCCAGAATGGACGGTAGCGCCCCGGTTTGGAGCACCGCAAAATTTTGCGGTCCGCTTGCCTGCTCTTGGACCGCCTCGAGCGCCGCCAAATCTTCCGACGCGCGCTCCCCCTCCCCGGCAACAATCCCGCGCGCCGCCGCCAACAACGCCGCGCCAACCCCGAGCGGCGTATCCAACTTCAGCCGCATACGCTCCGCCCCCTGCGCGCCCCCCCCGAGGAAACCCGCAATGAAATCTTCCAGAGCGGAAAATCCGCTAGAGGTCCAGTCCGGGCTGTTTGTGAGGTGGGCCGGGTCGGGCCCGCCGGCGGGGGAACTAGGGGCGGCGAGTTTTGCGCGCAGCGCGCGGCGCGCGGAGACGGGGTAGATGGGCGCGGAGTCGACGCCGAGGAGGCGGATCGCGTTGTTGGCGACGAATGACGTCACCTCGTCCAGCTGGGAAGGGCAAGAAGGAAACGGCGTGAGATTCGAAGCAAAATCTGGGGGCTATTGCGGAAAGCCGAAGTCAGACGAAGCCAAGTCGCATAGACAAATGAGATGACGATCCTCTCTCACTCAACACGGAAGCACGGAGTTGCAACCAAACAGCGGTTTGAACATACAGTCCCTATCTGCTGAGTCCTGTGTTTTCAATGCTGGATCCTGAATTTGATCTGCAAGGCCAACCCCCAAGGCCTTGATAGTCTTTAAAAGCGTAAACAGCTCGAAAATAACAGGCTTGCGGCCTCACCTCCTGTTCGCTGCTCAGCAGATCCGCCTTGTTGAGCAAGAACACCACCTTTTTGCCCCATTGCCGGATGTAACGTAAGAACGACACCTGGCACCAGCGAAACGGCAAGAGACGGATGAAGCGAAGAAGATCTTCCAGGTTGAGAAGAGTGTTTGGCTGCGACGAGAGCCCACATGCAAACAGGTGTCGCAGGGAGCAAACTTCTTCCAAAACTGGCCGACTGCCAGTGTATTTTTCACCAACCAACAACCAGCAAAGAGGGCGACTTACTTTTCTCTCGAGCCCACATCATTCAGGCAGCCACAAAGAGAAGAAAGTCGAGGCGGAGACGATTGCACTCTTGACAAGTGATTTCCCACCTCAACTGTCTACGTACAGCTTTGAATCCTTGACTCTAATCTCCTAAGACCTAGCGTGCTCAATGAGAGGGACTCTACGGCGCTTGCGGATGCCAGACGACGAAAGCATTTGCATACTGAGAACAAGAACATTGACGTTATCAAAGTTAGTCTGTGGTACGTACCTCTGACTCCGTAAGCGCTCTGTCGGCGGAGAGCACGAAGAGTACGAGGTCTGCCCGGGGGACGAACTCCTCGGTCAGCCGCTGCTGCCGCTCAAGAATCACGTTCGTCCCGGGGGTATCCACCACACTCATCTGGCAGAGGGGGGGGGCACTCGGGGTTACTCCTCTTCGTATCAAACTTGCTACCCCAGCTTTCCCTTCTCATTGTAATTTGCAGCCTCGGACCCCTCTCATCGTCAGCCGTATGATCCAAGATTGGAGACCAATGACCATGCTCCAAACATCTGAAGCCCGATGTCAAGTGTGTTGCAAACAGCTGTAGCATCCGGGTGATCATTGTTACGACAACTTTCCGTGTCATGGGCATCTACAATGCTCTTCTTGAAGGTAGGGTCTTTTGCGAACCAAATAACAAAGGACTGAGAACTGCCAAACCCGGACAAAAAGCAAGAGGACTTGTGGTGGAAAGCTTGCACTGAAGCTGCGAAACTCATGTCGTCCTTCTCGTGTCTACGGCGTTAACACAAGGACAATGTTCCGACATCTAGAGAACCTATCTCCAAAAGTCCGTCAGGAGTTCGTATGCACGTCTCGATTGACTATCTTGTACGTGACAAGACCGATCCAATTCTCCCAAAAGGATTAGAAAGTCATGCCCGAGTGAAGGGGTGCAGACGTTCACACAGTCACACCTTCTTATCCATCGCAAATCAGAGTCCAAAACCAACGCCGTACCTGTTTCAGCAACGATGCCGGGAGGTACCGCAGGACGTGCCCGTCTGGGTGGCGCTCCGAGCGCTCTGTTCCCTCGGCGTGGCCGTCCCCGGTGTGCTGAAGAAGCGTAATCTCGTTCGTGGTGGGAACCACGCCGTCCTTCAGGAACTTAGCGCCCAGCAGCGCGTTGATCACACTCGACTTGCCGCTGTTGAACTCGCCCTGAAAAAGGGAGGCAGTAAGATCTCCCCCGGTTTAAAAAAGATGAGGGATTCAATATCAGCATGAAGTGTGGGGGACTTACAGGGCCCAGAGTTAGCAGAAGTGAAATACCAGGAAACGAAGAGCATGAGGGATGAGGGCTTGGGGAGTGCAGCTTTTGCAGTCTCTCTGCTTGGCGGACTTGGATGAACAGTTCTTTCATCAACCTGGCAGGGTCTGAGAACACAGCAAACAAGAGTTCAACCACGAAAGGCAGAGATTGCACCTGACAATGAGTGAAAGGCTTGAGCAACACACGCTCATAAGATTCAGCCAATGCAAGCAGATACACCTGACAAGAAGCAGGCGCCGACACTGAGGGGCTTACCACAATGACCAGCAAGAAGAGCTGATCTAGTTGCTCGAGGGCGTCTTCTAGTAACGACAGCTCCGACATCTGAGGCAGCACGGGCAGAGATGGCAAGTGAGCATTACGCAGAGAAACAGCTGTCGAACATCAGGATACTGTACGACCAACTCATCCATGAAGCACTGTGATATAGTCCCACAAGCAAACTGCCCCGTCGAGCGACTCTGTGGCCTAGGCGGATTTTTACGTGCATGAATGCAAGCCTCAAAGACGGGCGGCGGCATGGCACTCCAGTCACACAACCTTTGTGTCTTACCACATTATCCATCGCATCTTCCAATCAATTCAGCGCACAGAGTTTCGCTCCAGTTAGTCATGGCTTTCCCCACTCTTGTTTCTCACCTCGGGCGTCGCCTCCTCCAGCAAATCCCGCAGTCTCGTCAGCAGCGTGCGCTCCTCCTCAATCAACAACTTCCCGCTCTCGTCTATCAACTGCAAATCCTGACCAAGACCCGGGCTCTTCGTTGCCTTCTTCACACTCCCATTTCCTCCCGTCGCTAGTTTCTCCCCCTCCGCGCTTTCGCCCTTGCTCCGCGCCGCCCGTACCCTTTCCAACTGATCCTTCACCGCTTGCCGCCCCCCCTCTAGTTCTATCAGGCTCACAACAACCCCGTCGGCCCCCGCGCCCACGACAGCTGTCGCGTCGTTTCCCTTTGCAATGGCAACCAGAGGCACCCCCACTCCAGCGCGGGTGGCGTCTTGCGCTTCTTCTTTCTGACGGGGGGACGGTGAGAGGACGAGAAGATCGGCGCCTTCAGCCGCAGCCGTGCGCGCCTCGCTGGCGGTGGCAACAACGCGCCCGACTAAAGGGAGCACCCCCATTTCGCTCGCGCTTACGCCGCCCAGCATTCGACGGGCCACCACCGTTGGGAGGCCTGGGGAGGGTACAGACAGTGGTGGTCCTTTGAGAAACGGGTTTGTGCTTCCTTTTAATTGAGTATTTCTTCCGTACATTAGTTCTGCATACCGCAGTCAAGCTGATATTTCACCCACAAAGACCAGACACTTAACACAGCATTCACAAAGTGTGTATTGCATGTAAAAGAATAGACCGAAAAGATTTAACTCAGAGGTCTGAGCTTGTAAGTTGGGCGTTCTGTCCATCTAGTGCAAACAGTTGAAAGTTCCAAAATTGGCTGCTGGAGCTGCGAAGAGCTCAATTCAATCGGCTGTACTTTAGTTGACGAAGCCCCATTCCAAGGCCATCACCCCCGGCATTGTCCTGGCATTCTCATGTTTTGGAGCAGCATTGCCTGCTCCTATTCTTGAAACCTTGCGCCCACATTTTTTGCTTTTCCTTGTGGCCGGACATTACCTTGCGCAGATAAAAGGACACCATCCGCCCCCGCGGCCGCTGCAATATCCGCCCGCTCCGCTATAAGCAGCTGGGCCCGGCCCCTTATTACTCTCTGCAGCACGCAGGCTGCCTCATACAATGCACCACCGCCGCCTCCGCCGGCCGCGTCCCCTTCTTCCGTAAGCAGCACCATTGTGGCCCCCCCCGCGCACGCTTCATCAACATTCTCAGTCAGCGTTTTACCACCGGTCAGGACGTCGCCCGCGCTGACCGACACCACAAATGCTGGCAGAAGCACCTCTGCTCGCCGCTGCTCGGCACGGAAAAGGGCGCGGCCCCCTTCGACGTCGGTGCCAACATTGCCGGCGCTGGCGCGGGGGGCCTGGCACTGAGCTAAGCGTGGCCAATGTTGACGCGCGCAATGCTTGGAAAGCAACAGCTGTCGCGGGCGGAGTGCTCTGGTGCCCAAGAATGCATTGAACAAGAGGCAGGGAGTTTGTGGGAGCCCAAAGTTGTGTTTCTTTTGGTGAGGGAGGACGGGGGCGGCCAGACAGCAGGCCTGGTGGACAGCTGTCGCAAGGGACATGTTGACAGGGCGGGAGAAAACAATGGGAGCCTAATGCTAGAAAAGAAGCGCTTTACGATGGCTCATTGCCTGGCGCGGACGCTTCGTTTCATGGACACATCATTGCATTGGCTTTTCTTCCTTAAACCATCGCCAGTAGCTCTGTTTAGACTGGCGTTTTGCTTGTTTGCTGGTACTTTAGGCTTCAAATGCGAGGCTTCTACAGTTCCTGTCCTTGCGCGCTGCCCGTCCAGATCTTATCCTGGACCTTGAATCCTTCCGATGAAGTTTGAAATTCATGAAGTGCTCATGAAGTCTGGCTAGGATAGAGACGTACCTACTAATACCAGCCTCCACTGTGGTCGAGGCCGCGCGCGCAGCTTCAACGGTCCTTTCCTGAGCTTTGAAGCCAATAATGATCCTGATGAATCATGATGACTGAAAAGTAAGATATTTCGCGCGCGCACTTTTCCCGATCAGGCGCGCAGGTTGCAGGATTTTGGCGACTTGCCTGCAAATTCAATGCCATGGTGCCTCTGAGTCTGAGTCTAGGCTCTAGCCATGGGCTCTGCAGACTACAGGCTCTAGCACAACTTTGTGCCATTCTACCAAGTTGAACTTGAAGCAAGGAGAAACGACATACGAAAATTTTGGCGCTGAGTGGTTGTAAGCCATCCAAACTACGGTACCTGAAAAGCCCTCATGTAGAAAAGCATCATTTCTGCACCGGGCCACTTTCAGTGTGCTGAAAGCTGGCGAGAGTCCACCTGTCATATGTGGAGGATGGATTCAGGGGCGGGGCAAGAACTGGCTGCCCTCACGGTGGTTGCAGGAAGCGCAATGCTGGCAGCTGAGAGTGGCCATGGTGGTAATGTACACGGTAAAGATGAGGGTCAGAATGTGGCTCCCGTTGGCGAGCCAGAAGGTGGTAATGCAAATAATGTAGAGAGGACGGCAGGAAACGCACCGCAGTGGAAGGTAAATGAGGGGGCACACTCAAGGGAAGGTTTGCATGGGGCCAGCAGCAGGAGTGTGGAGGAAAACAACGGGGGGTCAAAGGCAATGCTCCAAGGAGACCATGTTGAAAGTGTTCCTGTAGACGGGGGTGCTGAAAAGCTGGCGATGGAGGGTGGTGTGGTCAGTACTGCACCGTCAAATGTGAAACTAGAGGCGGATTTGGCACCTGTGGCGAATGCTGAAACCAGCATTCAAGTTAGTGTCGGTGAGAAGGACGAGGTAATGGAAGAAAAAAAGGTGGTGGATGACAAAGAGAACCAGGTAAAGAAAGAGGAACAGAGCGATGAGGAAGAAAGTGACGAAGAAGAGAGTGAGGAAGAGGAAAGCGAGGAAGAAGCAGAAGCGGAGACTGATTCGAGCAGTGCGCCGAGCAGCAGTGATGAGGAGGAGGAGGAAGAGGAGAGCAACAAGGTGACGGGGGACGATGTGGGGATGAAGGCGTCTCGGGAGTTGCAAGAGGAGGACTTAGAGGAGCTGATGGAAGGGAAGAAGAAGGCACCGGAGCCAGAAGAGGTGCGGTCTGTGGTTAGCATCATGTGATCGAGCGCCACTGCTTCCATGCTTTGGGGAATTCTTGTTTGCTACGGCTGGGTGCTGCTTGATAGAATGGCGGCCACTGCTACGTGTCTTCCAGTAAAAACCTGGTCAATCAGGTGGTGCGGCAGGTCTGGGGGCTTGCAGACTGTTCCAGTCTGTCGACGAGATGCCGCTTGGCAGCAATGCTTGAGAGTAACTGGTTTTTGGATGCGTGTTGCTTGTTGCCTCGTTACATCTGAAAAAGGAGCAAGAAAGAAGCTGTTATCTCAGTCCGAGAGAACCTTCGCAAAGGTATTTGAATGTACAATTCTCCTTTACTGAGTTATACATATTTCATGTGAGCATAGATGACCTCTCAAATCATCCTGCAGGTTCTTCCCCCAGTGGCTCCCGTCGAGGTCACGCTGTCGGAGGGGCAGGAGCTCGTACATGTGGGACCCGTCTTTTCGGTGAGCTATTCGCCGCTGACTTTCTTTGAGTAGGTAGCCTGTCTGCCCCCCAACTCACGGGACTGGTGGTAAAAAGTAATTAAGCTTTTGAAAAGCCATAAGAGCACGTTGCATCTCCTGCATCATGCACCAAGCATGGAACCAGACAAGCTACTTGGTCTGCGGCTCTGAAGGCAACTAAGGAGATGGGGGCAGATGAGAACACTTCAACTGCCACTTTGAAGCAAGTTTACAAGCCCTTCAAGGAACCACCACGCTCAAGTTCATCTATTAGTGTCGCACCTCACTTTTTAGCCTGCTTTCTCCGTGGCAGGACAGTTGAAGCTTCTCCTTAGACCAGCTAAGGACGGGGCGAGCTTGTCCCAATGAATCGAAAATGTCACTTCTCAAGATAGTAAGTTTTGCAACCTTGCAAACTGAAGCAATTTGATTGATCCCTCCTTTTTATCTACAGATGGTGGGTCGTCTCTTAGTGGTCCAGGCAACCGGCAAGCAGCGGGTGCTGGACGAGGGAAGCATCCTGTGGCGCATGGATACACGAGAACCACTCGGACGGGTGTGTTATTCAGTTCTGCTTCCGTAGACTCTCCCAAATGATGCTCTCCCACTTTGTTCTCTGGCGTTTTGCCAGGAAGTAGCTTATATGAAACACTCGCGCTTATGCTTTGGAGAAAACGTTGTCCCCAACATACTTTCTCTGAAAGCTTATAGCTGTTTTCAGGTATGTAAAGCTGTAGTTCTACTTGAGCAATGCATGAGCGAGTTAGTCGCCATTTGTACAATGAACATGCAAGGGTTCCCATGGACGGACAGCCTCGCTTTTCTTATCGAAAGGTAGAGGACTGATGGCTGTATTCCTCCCATACGCAGGTGGACGACCTCTTTGGGCCCGTCACGGCACCCCTATACTCGGTGCGCTTCAACAACGAAGCCGAGGTGAGGGCCTGTTGTTCGTCACTCTGCGCTTGCAATCCCTCAATGTGCAAAGCATTCGCCTAGTGCTTGCAGAAGCAGTCCAGACACGTTGCAAGAAAATGGTTGGTTGGTGATGTCAGGGTTCAAGTTCAGAGGCGGGGAGTTCGAAAGCGGTGATCGGGTAACATTCAACGTTTGGTTACGCTACAATCAACAATGCACGGCGCTGGAGCTTCTTCCGTTATGCTGCCACTGCACACCATGCCACTTGCTCGCTGCTCCACTCACAGCCACCACAGTACTTTTGGTGCGAGCACCCATACAAAAAGTTCATTAGGCAAAAAAAATCGAGTCAGCACTTTGCTCTGTCAGCCTCGTCTGCATGCTGGCCCTAAGTGGTGCATCTAGGTCTTTGATTCTGCGCGTGTGTGCGTAGGTGCCCGCGGGTACTGCCGCGGGCACGGAGGTTGGCTATGCGGAGGAGCATGCAATTTTCCTGCTGAACGATGCGGAGCTGCACAGAAAGGGCTATGACGTGGACGAGGCGGATGCAGATGCGGAGGTAAGGGACTGCCACGTGTACGATTTCTTTCTCTTTGTGTGGGTCAGATGAATGCGTGTTGGGCTGCGTCAAGGCTCAACACGTGTAGCGGGGTCGTTTCTGCTTCGTGACAAGGTATGCGTTCATGGACTGGCGCCCAGCGGTGCGAAGCATCTGATTCGGGGTTTTGTCCGGGTGATGTGGTCACTGCTCTAGCGTTGAGGAGCTACTAAAGTTTGATGCGAGGAGCGCTCTTCTTTTTCCAGCTTGCGAACAAGGGTACCTAATCTGCTCGGTGTCTTTGAGGTTTTGTGACGTCTATTTACCGTACCTTTCTGGTGTGAAGGTTCTACAAACAATAAGCACAAACCTCGCTGGCAATGACGAGAACCCCGCGAATCCCTGGGCCCTCACAAAAGGGTTCACTTGAAAACCCACTGTACTCGAGCCGGCGATCCCCAAAGTCTTTGGATTGATTAACAGCTTCTTCATTTTCTCATGACAACAATCTGTTCTCTGTTCATCGGCCTCAAACTGCGGCCTATTAGCTCCGGTTCATTCGGCACTTTTCCCGTGTGAAGTGCTCCGTTTTGGCTCCGTTAATTAGCCAAGGGCCAGGGTTTTATTCGATAGTAGCTTCCCCAAATCTGAGCTACATGAAAGCACACGTGAAGTGTTGCTGCTTGGTGGACGCCTTTCGAATTGGCACCACCGTCTACGAGTATCGGCTTCTCCTGAAAAAGCCTTGAGGGCTGAGTCAGAAGAGAACTCCTTTGATCCGTTCAAAAACTTCGCCTAAACGGAAGAATACTGATTGCGTAGTTGAAGGCCTGCTTTTGAATGCTCGACGTCTGCAGTCAATTAGGTGTTGTGGGTATGGATCCGCTCTGTGTTCATGAGCAGGCTGCGCTTATTCCCTTACATTTGCACTGCTGACGTGGCTCCTCCTCCGCACAGGAGGAGTTCTCCGACGACGAGGCGGAAGCCGAGGCGAAGCGGAAACGGAAAGAGAAGAGGTGAGTTGGGGCGGAATAGATCACCCCTGTTCTTGAGCAGTGAACAACCTTTGGAAGCGATACTGCGCAGCATGGATTGCATCTGTGCACGAAGTGGCAAAGTGACATGGCAGGTTTGCGGCACAGTCAGACGTACATGTGAGAGGCTGGTTTCGGTATGTTTTCAACGAGAACGCCTCGTATCGGTGTGCCGCGTGCCAAGATTTCCTGATGCTTTTTACAGTGTGCCAGCGTTCTGTCTCCTGTCGAGCAAGTGGAAAAGCGTTCCTACAGCGTCCCCGCTCATGCCGCTGTTATACATTCAAGACGAAGTCTGTGTTTCTTGAAAACTCACGAACGCTGACATGCGCGCTGCAGGCGGCGTGATGTTCCCCCCATGGCTGCTGATGAGGCTGCAGCAGCGGCAGCAGCGATTGGCGCAGCAGGGGATGGGGAGCAAGCAGACAGAGGCGGGGGAGGAAGGGAGGTGAGAGCGAAGATCTCGAGATCTTGGGCAACAAAGCACTCAATTGTATGTTGTCTGTTCGCAACCTCTAACCTTCCGGAGGACTTGCACAGGGCACATGCTGACACGGAGGTAAAGCTGGTTGCTGGATTGCAAAATCAATTACGCGTTTCGTGCAGAAGATACTGATCGGCAGCTGGATTGGGGATGCCTCGAATTGGGTTAAAAACCTTGTCTAACGCAGTTGGGAGCCCTGCATTTGTGATCACAGGACACGCGGCAACGATTCTTTGTAACAGTTGTTGTTTTCTTTTTCGTTCAACCCTTTAAACCCCCAGAACGTTGCTCAGATAATGCCTTCCTTCCATCTTTTGTATATCCTTAATTATCCTTCTTTCGCATTTCCAAACCTTGTCTGTTCTCATCACCAGGCGACCCGTGCGTCGGTTGCTGCACATGGTGTCGCGGGACTCGACCTCGGCAGCGCGGGCTGGGGGGGTAGGGGCCGGGGCAGAGGCCGGGGGAGGGGCCGGGGGCGAGACCAGCAGAGCGGAAATAGTCAACAGGGGGGCTATAGTCCGCAGGATGCGAGGGGCAACTGGGGAGGGGGTTCCCCCGGTGGAGGAGGGGGATCCCCCAGTACGCCCTCTGGCGGGAGGGGGATCAATCCCTCAGGCCGGCAAAGCCCCCTTGGCCAGCAGTCGGTTTCGCAGCAGTTTCCGGGGGGCCAGACTGGGCCCCATCAAACGGGAGTGAATCAAATGGGGGTGAGCCAAATGGGGGTGCAACAAGTAGGAGGGGTGCAACAAATGGGGGGGGTTCCGATGGGCGGAAACCAGATGGGTGGGAGCATGTTCCAACAACAGCAGCAGCAGGCCCTGTTGCAGCAGCAGTATCAGCAGCAAATGATGGCTCAGCAGTTCCAAGTCCAGCACGCAAGCCCACAGCAGGGCCCCATCTTCCAAGGGAACGCTTTTCCATTGAACCAGGGATCCCCCGGATGGGCCAACGCCCCTCCAGCGTCGCCCGGCTTTTACGGGCAGCAACCGATGATGAACAGCCCAGGAACCTTCCCTCAGGGAATGCACCCCATGCAAGGAAGCCCAATGCAGCCTGGCCCCATGTATGGATTCCAGGGCCCAGGGCAAAGCCCCGGGCAGTTCATGCCGGGGCAGTTTCAGGGGGGTATGCAGCAGCAGCCCCCCTTTCAGCAGCCGCAAGGGGGCATGCCACAGAACGGCGCGCAAGGTGGAATGTTCCCCGGGCAACAGTTCGGGCAGCAAGGGCCACCGGGAGGGGGGAACGGGCAGTTCTTCCGGTGAACCCCTGGAGGGCTAGCTTAGAGCGACCGGTTCGCAAAGATTCTCATAAAAAGGGGTCCAGCTTGGCCCGACCCGTATAGGCGAGGATTAAGGTAACGGCATGACAGGACTTTATTTGTGTCTGTGTTTGATGGTTAAAAGGAGTATAATGACTTTGAGCACCGTGACGCCCAATTACTTAAGCAATCGGCCATATCAGATGTTGAAATTTGCATGCCAGCCTATAGCGTTGGCATACGAACTTTATGCAGATGCCCTTCGAACGGGACCGTCGCATCTGGGAGCCGAGGCGGAGCTGGCCACGCACCATTCCATGCATGGGCCGGGCGCTTTCAAGGTTTGAGGCTAGTATATTCAATTAACCGGCCCTATTAATTGCCATAATTATATTCAATGCAACATGATGCATCACTAGTACGCGCGTGTACGTACATATCATGAGCTGTACGTGCATATGGCCGGCCTCTACAATGATCGCCCTTAGTACTAGCTTATATTTACAATTAGGCTAAGTTTGACATAGATTTTGTTCGATCGCTCAGTGGACTGCAAACGAAGATGCAATGATCTGCCAGCGCGGCGCCACGCGGATCGGACTGTGCATGAGACCAATCTGGATGCAAGTATGAATAGCTAAATCAAGCTGTATCATTCGTTACGTGAGTCCTAGTCATGTTGTCCAAATCTCCTGCAGGCTTTGTGTAGCTAGGAGGTCGTTTCTAAACATGCGTGTATGTGACTTTGCCACATGTTGGACTATCACCAGCTGCTTATGCCGGCTGACTAATACTTGCGCTGTGAAAAGGTGCGCGCACGAGGGTATCAGTGTCATGATGGTCCGTCCTCTTTCCCTTTCCACTCCGCACTAACGTCCTCTCTATCTACACAAGGACGACAATCATCCGGGCTGACTTCGAGACTGCAGCCCTCGTATTTTGACGTCGTATAGCACCTCCTCGACTCGCTTCAAATCATACTTGAGGCCTGGAATCGCAAGGAACAAATTGCATGACGACAAAGTGCTTCATGAGTAAGCTATGGACCCACCTGTCCCGGAAGCGAGTATTGCGTTGTGCATACATAGCTAGCATCGAGATTCTAACCAGACAGTGTCGATTGCTTGCAAGAACCAAGATCGAGGAAACGAGAAAGCTAACCAGACATTTTCGATAAGTTCTAATCAGGCACTTCTGATTGCTTGCAAGACAACGAGAGTACACGATAAGAGCGGAGGGCACGAGCGAATCCTTGTAAGCCCACAAGAAACAGTGGCGGCGGCAATCGTGTTTGAGACTTCTGAAGAGTTCTCTCGAACAGATTCATATCGAAGTTTTTACTCACCGTCGAATCTTTTCCGGAGGAAGTCATTTCGCAGGTTTAGCAGCCTAAAGGCTGCGTATAGGTCGCTAAGAAAAGACGCCACCTTGGCCGGACAGTCATAGTCGCCAGCTGTGACCCGGTTGACCACGTAGCGGGGCTGCACGGGAAGGACGAATAAGATGACAAGCCAATTGTGCAAACAAAGGATGTTTCTGGAACGGAAGGCAGCAAGCTGGAAGCATGCACCTGTCTCGAAGTCGGGACCACAGGACCTAGAGTTCAAGCGAAGAGATTAGCAAGTCCAGCTGGTGCGAAATCTAATGGTTGCGATAGCCCAAAATGATTGGCAGCTTTTGCCGGCTCCTGTGCACCGGTTTCTCACCAGGGATTCAAGCTGTCAAGCTTCAATCGCTGCTAAAGTATGACGACTGAGGGGAAGAAGGCGGGACAACGCACCATTTCATTGGAGACGCTGCATACCCCCACGAGGTAGTCCTCCAGGTCTATCCCGAACTCCTCATGCCGCACTGAAGAGGAGAGATGACACTGACGTCAGGGATGTGTAAAAGGTCTTGCGTCTTCGCAATCTTCAGATGATGCAAGACACGTAACGGCATTAGTTGCATCCCTATTGGCCCAATCTGCCGACCAACACAGAACAAACAATCACAGACACAATAAGAAAATGCCCTGCGGCGTTTTCCGGCAGGGAGCTGAAACTGTGTGTGAATTAATGAGTTTTAACTTCAAGAAGAACTGGGCTGCCCTCATGGGTCCATACAGAATATCAACGTGTCACTCTGAATATCCGTCACTGGCAAAAAATCTCCCAAACGTGATAAACCTGGTCAAAATAACCTCGTCGAAACTTTCCCAGTCATGCAGGGCCAGGGGGGGACTCACATTGAAGCTCGGACTCCACTTGTGCGTGCGTCAGCAGCGTCCCGTGTTCCAGCCAGTGCACAAACGCCACTAGAAAAGCACAGCTGGTGTGGACGTGCCGCCAGATGTCATGATACCTGGGGAATTAGGAGCATAGGATTGGTGAAATTCTTCGTGCCACTTGTGCCACTTTTCCACAGGACAGTGAAAGAAAGAGGTTAGCCAGTACACTGCTCTTCAAAGTCTTCATTGGCCACTGTGATCATGTACAAGCGACTGCGCGAAACAGAAGGAGACATACGGTGAGGTTTTAAAAAGAGCGTCACTCGCCAGGATCGCCGCAGCCTACCTGTAGTACTGCCCTGGGTGCTGCTTCATGATCGCCGCCAGTTGAGCATTCAGGGTGCGCAGGGGCTCTAGGTGCTCGCGGACTTTCGCAACCGCACTTGCCACTGGAAAGTCAAGAAGCTCACATTCAAAGCTCTCCCAAATGAAACGTTGATTGCGACAATGTTGCAAAGGGTGAAAGTTGAATAGCCAGTCATGACTTGAACTATTCATCATCAGTATTGTGATCAGTAGAAAGTGATTAGGATATGTTAAGGAAAAAGCAATAGCCATCTGAGCGGAAAGTCATGAAGGTTACAGGTCAATCAGTTGACGAATAATAACGCTTGAGAATAACGTACGCCCAAGCTGGCATCTGGACGAACTGTTTCAATCGGACCAATCACTGTGTAAAGAGAGGTGGCAGCCATGCATATGTTGTACTCAAGTGCAATTCTGCCTCTTTGACCTCGTAGAGCCCAGAATTGAGCTACCCCAACGATGCACCACCCTTTCAATCAGGGCCAAGCAAACCTTATAGCAAAGTGAGACCCTGCCCAAGGAAACAGAGATTAACTTCATTGGCACTAACCTGCTTCATCCGTCCCCGCATGAATCCCCATCAGTGCCGCCTGCATCTTGCGGGTCTCGGCATCCATGCTCTGACTGACCGCTTTGATCTCCTCACGGACAGCATTGCTGGCCTCCAATTCACCACGAAAGCCTTCGAACAAAGTCAGGATGTCTTCCTCGTTGCTTGCCCCGTCTCTACCAGAGTCGGCCATCATGACATTGGGATAGAAACGCAGCGTCTCCCTGACTCTGACTCTGAGAAACAATGAACTGTCTGTGAACGCGCACCACCACTTTTCAGGACAATCTCCACGTTGAAACTTTGAAGGGTGAGTTTAGAGAATCGGGTCTGACAAATTTTGTCTGGAATTTATACTTGGAGAAGGTGAACCGGCCACTTCAGACACCCGCTTGGGGTGACCTCTGACACCGGGAGTGTCAACCGAGGGGAGATATCCAACAGCAAGGTTACAGGCCTGATCACATGCTTGCCACCATACTGAATTTGCAGAAACTGTGAATCAGCAACGCCAATTTGGGCGGCTGGTTGGCAAGGAGTGGCCACTATGCCGGGAGCCCCTGTCCTCTGTGACCCCTTCCTTTGGCATCAATGCTGTCAGATGGGACCTGCTGATCGTTCTGTGGCGCGTCGCGGATACGGCGACTTACGTTGGCTTTGATTGATCTGTGGCACTCGGAAAGAACTGGTGGCGCTTCACCTTTCCCTTTGAGGGCGAGCAATTGTGCTTGTATTCAACGCCTGGGAGAAGAATGGCGGAATCGAAGGGCCTCGTCTTCAAGCAGACTCCAAAGATCCGCGAGTAAGTGCCAATTGCATGAGAGCTCCTCATGCACCACCGCAAGATCTATAGCATCGTTTGCCGGAGGCTCTCACCCCATGTGAATGATCTTGTATCAGCTGCTTGTAATGGAAGTTCCGAGATAGTTCATCTCTTTGCACTTGCAGGTCTTCATACTTTAAGTGGTACAATGCGTACCCGCAGTAGGCAAGCTGATGACAGCTCTGAGCGTTGACTGTCACACTCAACAGTTCATCTCTTATTCAATGCACTTGCTAACGTCTTCAGGTGTTTCAAAACATTGGGCGCTCTGCCCCTTTCTCAGTTACTCAATCAGCATGTTTGGCAGTTAGGAGTCCATGTCTTCACACTGGCACATATCACAGCGCCAAGTCTCTCATGTTGCCTCTCTCACTCGCAGCCTGCTCTCAGACGCCATCGTCCTCTCCTCCCTACCCTCTGACATTGGCGCTCAGCTTGTTCCGCTCCTGGATGACGATTCCGCCCTAGTGCCCTACCCTTTGCTGCGCACACTTTGCCAGAGTCTTCGGGAAGAGGAGAAGGATAGGGCTGGGCCGTATCTGCATCAGGTGCTTCAGGGGGCCAGTCCTCACCTAGTCAGCCCACCACCCCGCCAACGGGTGAGAAAGCCTTGCAAATTGTGTGGCTTCATGATGTCTGGATATGTCTGAATATTTCTGAATAATGAGAGGTATAACGAGCGCTTTCGTTTGGATCCAAAATCCGTGATAGATCTCTATCTGGTTGACAATGATGGCTCTAAGTGAACTCCTTAAAGCAGAGCTCTCGGCTCCACGAAACTCTTCTCATCTGTATATGCTCGACGTGCGAAAGGTATGTATACAACCCCAGGGGATTCTGCCATCGCGACATTTGAAGCAGCATCGGCGGGACTTTTGGCTGAGCTTTGATCGGATTGTTGACTGACAACTCAACGTGGTCCCACACAGAGCAAGGCCTTGGAGGCTCGCTTAGCGAAGCTGCGCACCGAGGCGGAAGAACGCGAGTATGCGGAGCTGGTCCGGGATGTGACTAAAAAGCAGAGGGAGGAGGCGGAACGGGTGCCGTTTGCAACATACAAGGAGCAGCTGGGTCTGGGTGAGCCTTACAACAGAGTTGGCAGCTCTTTGAGGAAGGATTTGAAGTTGTGCAAAGTCCCTTTCAGTTTCATGTTGAGGCCTTACCATGTGTTGATTGCCAAAGTTTAGGTTCTAGATCGCTGTAGATACCGATCCTTTGAAGTTCGAACCTCGCTGCTCTTGGCTAACTTGAACTCGGGCGCACGAACCAAGTCAGGCAGGTCAACGAGTTCGCTCGTTCGTCGAGCTTGTGTGACGGCGCCCTTTACTTACTGTGACCAAAGTCCTTATTTTCGAGAGAGAGTTTACACCGTGCAAAGCATTGATCTTGAAGCTGAACATTTCGAGGGATCCGCTCTGATCGTCCAGACAACATCGCAAGGGTTGGAGATCACCGAGTCTCGATTCAAGAGTTCTTTCCGACCATTTTGAGTTGCCTGACGGCTTCTGTGGTCGTGTTTGCAGGTCTCCACGTCATATTTACCATGGGCACGGGCTATGCCTGCGGATACTACTTCCTGCGAGCACTCTTCCCTCACGACTACACGCTGGTGAGGACTCCCATGCTGCCCCGTATAGATTTCACAAACGTCCCTCGCTCGCCTAAGCAGCCCGTGCAACCTTCTTTACACTTTTCGTCCATGGACACATTATGACACTTCATGAAGACATTCCTCCACAGCGGATGTGCACAAGAGCTTTGCAGGGCAACCGATATCGGACCTGTTCCATGAGGGGACTCCCAAAGTCCGAAGACTCCCGGCTAATCGTTCCAATCTTCGGTCCTCGCGCAACGCGATAGCGGATCATAAGTGGGTCTGATAGAATCTACTTTTCCCCCGTCTTTGTTTGATGTCTTTCTCATGCGGAGAACGAGTCAGGCTGCGCATGGTCTCACGGTGCCGGGCAGTACTCCACCGCTCTCGAGCTGCCACGTGGCTGACGGAGCTGCGTCCACGTCGTTTTTGCAGCACCAGCTGGGCGGCGTGGTGGGCATCATGCTGGGGATGCTGCTGGAGACGTTGCTCTTCATCATCCGCAGCGCGTGATTGTCTCGGCGCCTGCGCACTGCCGGGCTCATGCGCCGCGAGTGAAGGTCGAACCGTGGCTCAACCGAGTGAAACATCTGGTGCGTTTGTCTTTCTTCCTGAAGGAGTAAATAGAAAGTTTCTTGCAACAATCAGTTTGATTTGGCATAGACTCTGTGGTTCGTTCACTTTCCGACTTGGTGCTGCTCCCTCTAGCTCAGTTGTGTGACCCGGTTTTGGTTCTGTGACCTGGCTAAGACACAATCTGGTTCTCAAAAGTGAGTTTCTTTTCATGAACGGTCGTCTGTCTGCTTTTCCTGCTGAGTACCGGACACATTTGGTAAAGCACTCGGTGCGAAGTCCTCGCATCTGCTGGCACTTTAGAACTGAGTGCCTGCTCAGAGGAAGTCTTTTGGACTGTCGACATCGTGTCTTGCATTTTAAAGAGAATGGTCGATTTTCAAAAAACTTTGTCAGGGTTCTGGTTGCTCAATCGGGGCTACTCCTTGATGTCTGAAATGGTGAAAGAGGCAGGGCAGTAATGGATGCAAAAATTGGATGCATTAGCGAAGGAAGTTGATCCGCTTTGAACCATGTTTCAGAAGCGATTCGTGCGGCATGGAGCACCGTACCCCCACCAAGCCGACTGGTGGTCAAACAGGTAACGAGTCGATAGTTACAGCTTACTGGCTGGCAACCTAAGGTATAGGTATACCAATTGTAGTACGTTCACAAAACAAGTTGGGTGCCTCTCGAACCTCCCTGATTCAATATTAACAGTCGTGTTTAGAAGGTGCGAATCTGATACCTTTTCTGGGCGTTGCCACCAGTTGTCAAAGTTGTCTTTTGCAAATGTGACAAGCCACCGTGGGTACTGTAGCAGTAGCATTTGCATCGCGGCCATATACGAAGATAGGCTCTATCTGACCTTATGTCCTGCACTCATACATGCTATGGTAGCAAAGGATCGATCATGAAAATGCAGGTCTAGTGAATGATTCCCATGACACTCAGCTTCTTCTCGCCATCGACGACTATTGCAAGTTCTTGCACCAGGATTACATAGCTGAATCTTCCAGTATGTTTGTCGATCGTCCTATTATACATCATCACATGTCGACTCTCCAAGTAGGTACGTACGTACTAGGTATACACGCGCGGCGCAGCTAGCGCCCGGCCGCGGCGTGCCGCACACAGGCGCGCCCGTCCGGCAGTTCCGTTCCGTCGCGTATGTTCCTTGACATGCATGTGCCTCCGGAACCGTCGCTGCGGTTGCGAGCCAAGCGCGCGCGCAGATCGCTCTGAAGCCTGCATGTAGCCTTTTACAATGAGAATTTCCTGTGCATTCTACCTAGCTGCAGCCTGTGCAGGTTGCAAGTACTGGCAATGGCGCCTGTGCTCGCTTCCTTCAATTGGAGGCCCCAAGTGTCAAACTCTTTGGGAATTCAGCTCATGACGAGCCTCAATTCTGCAAGAAACTGGTTGTCATGCTTCCAGGAGAGCTCTCCGCAGAGGTTGAGGGAGTTCTGGGGCTGTCGGTGTTAGGAGCCTTGAAATCTTTCGAAGTGTGTACTTAGAGAGTGATAATGGGGGAGCAGGAGGGGGACCCCGTGTTGTACATATTGCTCCAGGACTCAAATGGCAGCACTTCTTCCAAGTCTGGCCCCCAGTATGCCCGCCCCATGCTACAGATGGTGTTGACGCTGATGGGCGTGAAAGTGCGCTATGCACACAAGATCACACAGCGTTTATTTAAGTTGCTCGATACTGCAGGGGAATGGCCAAAGCATGGAGGAGAAAGCCAGTGGACAGAGAGTGGAGCCAATTGCAATGTGCAGATTGCCCCACAGAGAAACAGCGAGTCGCATTCACCAAGCAAAAGACCGCATCCGTTCTTAAGAAGGGAAGACCAAGGTCAGGACAAAGCCGGTGCCATAGCAAATGGCCATGTCTTGAGGGTTCGAACCCTTGATAGCGAACGTGAGGGGCAATTGGCGGGGTTCAACGGTTTGGGGGCAGTGCAGAAAGTCGACTATCTTGCGAAGGTCTCTACCGTTGAGCAGTTGCGAACGCCCAGCTTCCATGCGCGTCTTCGGAAAGGGAAGTGGCTCGCGGGCGTTCCTGGACCAGACGCGGACGAGAACAACGGGGCCCCAGAGACTGAAGCGGTCGGGGAGAGTGAACAAAACGGGGACACACACGCGAAGCACAAGGTGTGAAGACTATGTTGTTTGGGGAAAGTTGACTAAGAGTTTTGTTGAGGTGATGTTCACAGACTATGTGTTCTAGGATGAGACATTGCATATCTGAGCTGGTAAGGAAGAAACAGCGAGTTGGAGCGTCGGGCAAATGTACCCCACAGCAACAGACCAGCCTCAAAAATGGACGGCACGAAGAAAAGACAATAAGACATCAATAAGCAATGAGAGTTTTTAGAGTTGATGTGTACGAGTGCATATTTGTCACAGTGTGTGACAATTATCTGCATTTCTTCTTTTCAGTGTTTTTGTCTCAGCTGCCCATGACACCACTACCCCCTCATTCAGGTCTACTTTGAGGGGCTACCTTCAGAACCCGCCTCGTCCCGAAGCTCCCCCCCGCCAGAGGCCCCAGGGGAGCCGACTGAGGGGGATCCCTCTCCCTCCTGGACGGTGCTCCGGCGCGAGGGGCCCACAATTTGGATGCGGCGGGCCGACTTTGAGGTGGCGGTCTGTTCGCTGCTGCGCCAGTTTGGATACACCAATGCTACACAGCGCCAGGACTTCCAGCTAGCTTGCAGGCAAGCGAACGCTGACTTCTGTACATGTTGAAAGAACAATAGGAGGAGTTTCAGGCACCCGATTGATGTTCTAGCGGACAGAGATTTGAAAAATTTTGTGCAATTTCTTTTTCGTTTGGATTACACGATAGAGCAACGGCCTACTCCGAATTGGTTAAATGACAGTGACATCTTTACCTTTTCATCTGGCAATCCTCATCTCAACTCGAAAAGACCGTTTGTACCCCCTGACTCTTTGTGATCGTTGCTCCGACTGAAGCCTTTACCACCTGCAAGCGGTTGCTTTGTCTGCAGCCAGTCACTTCAGATCATCAAGAGGGATCCCTCTCAATGGGGCCTTTTGATTCAGTCCATACTTCCAATGATGGTCAGCTGTTAGCCAAGGTGCAAAAGTTAACGCACTGGCGGGACCCACAAAGGGATCCCTTTGAAGAGTCGGACTCCGAGCCACCAGCTCCTTTATCTCTGCAAGTCCACAACTACAGGAGGAGGCTCGCTAAATCAATACCCTTAAAGCTCTAGCAGGATGCTGGTTCGGAAAATCTTCGGTTTCAATCTGGAAAGACTGTGATAAAGCCAATCAGCTACTACTCGATCAACTAGAGGTGGCAGAGTGGCTCCTTCCTGCTCTGGTAATGTTGGATTGGATGATCGGGAGTGCTTCCAAAATGACTGCCAGGTTTGTAGCCCATGATTCGTTGAAATCGTGCCCCCACTCTTCTTGCAGGTTGCGCGAGCGGCGCACGAGCATGACGGTGCTCCTGTGCGGCACGAGCGGGTGCGGCAAGTCCACGCTCGCCGCACTTCTCGCCAGCCGCCTCGGAATAACCACCGTTGTTTCCACCGACTCTATCCGCCACATGATGCGCAGCTTCGTTTCCCAGGAGCAGAGTCCGCTCCTCTGGGCTTCAACGTACCACGCGGGGGAGTGCCTCGACCCCGCTCTAGTTGTCCGTACGAGCAGCGGCAAAGGGCTTCAGCGCATGAGCAGTGTCGAGGGGGAAAAGGAGGACGAGGGGGGGTTAGGCGTGACGCAGCGCCAGATGACGATCAAGGGGTATAAGGCGCAGAGCGAGATGGTTATGGAAAACCTGGACCGGTTGATCAGCTCGTATGAGGCGCGGGGGGAAAGCCTCGTTATCGAAGGCGTGCATTTGAGCTTGAACTTTGTGATGGGGCTCATGGCGCGGCACGCGAGCATCGTGCCGTTTCTGGTGTACATCAGCAACGAGGCGAAGCATTTGGAGCGCATGGCGGTGCGCGCGAAGTACATGACGCTCGATCCGCGGCGGAACAAGTACGTGAAGTACATGCGGAACATACGGGCGATCCAGGACTATCTGCGGAAGCGCGCGGACAAGCACCTCGTGCCGAAGGTTAATAACACGAACGTGGACAGGAGCGTTGCGGCGATCCATGCTACGGTGTTTAGGTAAGCGGGGGCTTGCGCGCTTGCAAGGGACTCGACTTGGAGTCTTTCGGTCAGCTTCTTCTCAGGCAGGAACTGGTTGCGGAAATATCCGCCTCTTTAAAGAAGTTGCTTAACGACGGTTTTCTTTTGCGAACCTCACGTGAGGCAATTTAGGTATACAGGACATACGAAAGTTTGCAGAAAGCCTTTTGAGGGACAGCCGACACCAGGAAGCGGACTGCAGGAGAATCTGTTTACTGTCTACAACAAACTTTGAGTCTGCTTGGTCACGTCTTCGCCAACCAGTCACTCCTCTCCACTTGTCAGTTCGTGGCAAGCAACGTTATTCAAGTTGGCAGACTGCTGTCAATGGTCCGCTGCTCTCCCACCCTGATGGTGCCACACCCGTGCGTAGTTTCTCGAAAGGTTCCATGCCTCGTTATTTTCCTGGATATAGCCACACTCCTTCACTAACAAGTCCACTCTCTTTCGTCACTGTCAAACGAAGAGAAGACACGCAATTCCTCTCCAATCTACTCCCATCCTTTTCCCAAGATCACTTTAGCACGACTTTTCTGAAAGTTTGACTTTTTTCCCCCAGCTCCGTCCGCCGCCGCGAGGCGGGCGAGCCGCTCCTGGACGCGGCAACAAACACGGCGCGCGTCGTTTTCTCGGAGTACGAGGCCGCAGTCGCGCAGTACTCGACCGTCGGCTCCAAGGGCATGCTGCGCCTGATCCGCCGCAAAGGCTCTTCCCGCAGGTGAGAACAAAGGTTCTTAGATACAAAATTTTGAATAGCTGGAACTATGCCACGGGCCGGGTTGGGTTAGCATTAGTGGTTAAGAGCAGCCAAGACGAGTAACCGGCTACAGGCAAGCCGCTGCCCGATTCATCGATCTAGAGGTCTCGTCTCGACTTTGATTCACGTTGGGCGTTGCAACGCGCCTGTACTTTCATCAGACGGCTCCGGTTGTCCGTACAGAATTGCCATTCCGTTCTGAGAGCTTATTGGCCAGGGTAGTGGCGCCGTCAGCTTTCAGTGACGCCGTCCGTCAAAGCTTCCCGCTTTTGTGGTTTCCGCGGGCGTCGAACATTTAAAGCGGGACAGTGAGACTGGGTCCTTAGGCCGACTTGAAGAGGCCAGCTGTTAGCCGCTCTTCAAATCCAACTCAGCTGTCGAAAGCGTACAAGCGCGCTTGCCAGGCTCACTTTAAAGTTATTGATTGTTTGCGCAGCCTGCTCGCCGCGTTGCACGAGGACAACCCTCTTCCGCCAACGAGTCACCAGTCACCCGGGCCCTCCGTCCCGACCGAGTGGCCCGGTAGCACCTCCTGGGGGGCGGGCGGAGACGCATTTGTCGACGTTCCGCAAGGATCCGGGCGGATTGGGAGCGCCGGAAGCAGCCTCGGCAGGAGCGTGGAACGCGCGTTGATGTATGGGCTGGAGAACCGGGGGCGGGTCGGGGAGTCGGAGGACGACGACGAGGGGGGGGAGGAAGAGGAGGAGCGCAGCGGGGGGGGGGAGGGAGCTGAGCGACGAGCCAGCGGAGCAGGGGGGGGAGCCGGAGGAAGGGTCGGTGGACGGGAGCACCGCGGCGTCGGATGAAGATGCGTCAGTGAGCGGGGGGGGCGAGGACCCGCTGTATCAGGACACGTGGGTAGCGGGGAAAGAGGGGGGAAGAACGCGGGGCAGATTGACGACGTTAGCGGAGGGGGCGAGACTTGGAGGGTCGGCGCTCGGGGGAAAAGAAGCGCTCGGGGGAGAGTGGGGCAGGGTGAGGTCGCGTCCTGTGGCGGTCCCCGGGGGGGAGGCGGAAGTTGGGCTGGGGCAGCGGCACGGGCGGTCGCCAAGAAAATGGCGCAGGTCGCATTCGGCGTTTGCGCAGGAGAGCCGGGGAACTTGGGCGAACTCGGACGAGGGGAGTGCCGGCAGCAGCCCAGCGGGGCACGCTGCGTAACTTGGCCGGAGTTTGCTCGGAGTGTAGTACTTTTTTTGTAGCATATTTGCGATACAAAGCTTTGAAATGCAATAGAACCGACTCTATCAAAAGGGTCCCCGTGATTGACACTTGTTTGGTAAATCGAGCACGTACAGTTGGAGGGCGAGGGGGTCTGAGGGGTTACCATAGAAATCGAGCTCGCACAGAAGTCGGACGGACTAAGAACATGATAGAACGAGCTCGCATAGAGACAGTCAATGAGGCAGGCACAGGGGAAGCAGCAATGCAAGGCGCAGATGGCTTTGGGCTCACTTGGTCAACTGCACGGCACCAGGCGGCTTGATCTAATCAGGTTCGAAAGAATCGCAACAATGTCTGAGCAATACTTGAAAGAGTTGTTATGGTGGTCGGATGTCAGAGGAACCCAAATAAACTGCAACGTACACCCTAAGAAGAGTCATCTGTCCTTGTGGTTAGATGTCGAAGAAAGATTTGCAAGTCTTTGGCCAGAAACGCGAACTGGAATTACAGTTGCCGGCCGCTCTAAGTTCATACAATTGCAATCATGCAGTCCTGACAAGCCATATGAATTCGATCTTATAGATACATGATCCGAATTAACACTTTTATCATATTGCCCCAGACTGCATGAGACGACGTCGGAGAGTATATATCTTCCTTCCGCGCCGGCCTGCATATGCAGGATCATAATTTGAACTGCACATGCATCGAACTCACCATCGCGCCTAGGGCATGGCAGGGTGGTATATTGTGCAAGCCTACATGCATGCATGCCAGATATCTAGACATGATCGACTGCAACATGATCCGATCTACATCACGATACACACCAGCCTAGAACATCAACCGTCTAGTGCAGCAACACTTGCACCGACAAACCTAGTGACGCCCGCACGTTGCGTGCTTGACACAGCTACTAGGCTACTAGGCTACTAGGCTAGTTGCAGTGAACCTTAGCTCCAACTCGAATGGACTCAAAACGTTTGCATGCCCACAGTGATCTGTCGAAAAATTGGGTCGAAGCAAAACCCTACAGGCTTGGCTTGACATTTAGGTGACATTTGAAAGGTAATCAATCTTCCTTCGGCAGGGAAAGACTCAAACATCGACACAAAAAATGGAATTTGAACATGTAGCCTTCCGTCTTTAATGTACATTACATGTCAGGGTCCAACCGATCTTCGGGTGCTTCCGCAAGCCTCTCCGCCAGAAACTGCTCTGGATATTCAGAGCCACGTACGTGGACCATGTAGCTAGCTGCAGGGAACAAGGAAGAAAAACTCAGTGATGCACAGCTGCACTCTTACAGATCAGGTTTCACTCAATAACGGTTGCCAAGGAAAGATGCTAATCATGGAGCGAGCCACAATGCACAACGACGATAAGTGCAGCAATCACAAAAGTGCATTCCAGGGGGGGATCACTAACTTAGATCACTTGCCGACCAGAGAATTCAGGCCGTACCAGTCTCGATTTTGACGAGGCTGCTGCGCATGACCTCGAGCTTCTTTGCCAGGTCCCTTCGCAGTTCTGCCACCATGGGTACAACGTGGAAACCCTCGTAGACGGCCCCCACAAATGCGGCCATGCTGGCGGCCGCCCCCTTGTTGCCTGCGGCCACGCTGCTGATGGCCAGCCGCATCACTTCTCCAGTAAGATCAGTGATCTACGTACACCAGACAAAAGGAGAGATTTAGCCCTTAGGAATGGATTCTGGATGGAGCTTATGGCCTGAGCATAGATTGGAACATGGAGGTCGTCCAAGTCTAAGGAAGGGCTTCTGCTATTATGAGAATGTTGCGTAGAGTGTGACGCTTCTGCTGTTGAACTTCGGAATCTTCCCACCAGGCATCCTCACCCCGAGAAGGTAATCAGCGGCGCTAAGCCGGAACGCTTGGCCCCCCGCATCCTGGACTTCACTTAGCTCCGCATTGGCTTCCGCATACGTCAGCAGGCGCCCCGTCTTGGCGTAATGCAGGACAGCCGTCGCTTCGACGTACTCTTGCATCTGTTTGAATCACAAACGAGATAAAGTTATGCAGGTTTGTGACCTCAAGCCCAAGAGCCGCGGTCGAGCAAAGAGATCAGACTTTAGCGGTTGATAGAGCAAACTTCCTTGGCAAGACGGAGGAAGGTGACAGATAATGATGACGACAACATCACATTTTCAAGCCAATTGATTTAAACAAAGTACCTGGATTGCAAGGCAGACCGCCAGTCGCACTGTGGACTTTCATTGAGAAGTGCTCTCATTGATGAGAGTCAGATTTTTAGTATGTCTGAGCACTGACGTTCATAGCATGTCGAGCAACAGATGTTTCGTACCCCTGGGGAGAAAGCTCGGCTAAACCTCCAGTAGTCCTCATCTTGAAGCTCTTGGGCTACTCTCTTGATACTGGTCTTTCTGATAAGCTGCAGATCTTTCTCTGCTTGGCCCAACGCGGCCTCTTCTGCCCCACCACCAGCACCATCAGCTGGAAGACTGCAGAAAAACGTTCAAGTGAGACTTGCCAGGTCCAACAATAAGCAGGATGGAGAACGCAGAGGATGTATTTTGGTGGTGGTGCACTTGCAAACAATGCTGAGAGATTATGCAGAGACTATGCAGTAAACCAGGGGCGCAACAAAGGTTTGCTTGTCATCATTAAGGGCAGTTTGAAGAACCTTTAGATGAATATTTTGGTCATATTCTCACCGGTGCACTGCAAAGATCACTTTCTTGCTTGCAATTGTGACGTCCCTGCTCGCCTTCACCAGTCTCTCTCTGCGCTCATTCACCGCATCGAGCTGCTTGGCATAAGCACGAAAAGCGTCTCCAATTCCCCCAACTGCAGATGAGGCTTCACTCGACATTCCACGCCCTTTCTAAAACCAGTGCCCGTCCTGGCTGTGCTCCCCTGGCTTCGCTAGATGGTAGCATCATAGCAGGGCGCTAAGAAAGGCGTCGCTTGATCAATGGTGTCAGCCGTTCAGAAAGAGTAGACACCTCAGGTAATCAAGGCGATTTGCAACAGAGAGACGGCTGAGCAGGGGAGGAGAGCGGGGCACCTTAGAGGATCGCGGAATCTGGTGAGGCGAATCACGTTAGCAGATTGATATCCAACCAGAATCAAGAAGCTCTAAGGGTTTGCCCCCTGCCCTTCAGAAGAAGCTTCATCCTCGGCTTCTCCAGCGCAAATTTTACAATCTGGCCAGCTTGGGAGCTCGAAGTTGCATTAGCTGACGAAGGCGACTGCATTCGTGAGCAAGCGTGGCTTGTCCGGCAAGGGCCTGCGAGGTAAGGCGTCCTTCGTGTGCTGTATGCCCCATTGATTTCTTGCATCGTTTTGGGATGTGGGGGTGTGCTTCCTGAGGTTGTTCGCTTTCCTATGATATCCTGGACGCATTCTTGCATTTCTTCAAGTTCGTTCTGACACTTTGGGACAACTCAATTAGTGAACAATTGTGAAGGATTTCGTTTTCGATATGCAGCCCCTCGTTCCGGCTGTGCAAGCAAATGGCTGCCAACGATGAGATCCAACCTACTGGCCCTAATCAACCAGCCGCACATGTGGTAAGTATCTTAAGATGTACGATGCAAGCCTGATTGGTTGTGTTTCTGCCAATTGGTACACATTACACGGGCTTTTGAAGTGAGGACGGGTGCACAGGCTGCTGGACTGCAAAGGTTTCTGCAACTTCTTCGTCTCCTGGTTGCATCCGAAGTCGTTCGTCTTCTCTTTTCAGGTGAAGTCTATCTCAGGTTGAAGAAAAGTCAGGGATGTTACCACCTTGCAAGCATCATTACCGTCTGCCTTCTTTTGACTGTTGCCGTGCTTGCAGGTGGGAACTTCCTTTGTTCAACAGTACTATTCAATCCTGTGCCATAACACGCACCATCTGCATCGCTTCTACACTGATGCCAGCAGCTTCACCCGGGCTGAGGCAGGGCCTGAAGGAGAAGATCAGATTGACACGGTCATCGGCCAAAAGGTGATCAAAGCACCAGCTTGGGACATTGTGTGTGCTGGCCAGGGTCCATCTGAATTAGATAGTAGATACTGAATGCAATCTGGAGGCTAGAGGTTAGTTTCCTGAACAGTTTTCAGCTGCCTATGCTCAAGCGTGCTGTGATTCTTTCATCAGAGTCTTCGGCATGGGCCTCTGTACGGACACCCATGAGATGGTGAGGCCATCTGTGATGCACCGGTGCTCATGTTTGCGGGTTGTATTTGGTGCAGGCAATTCACGCCAAAGTGAGCTCCGTAGACTACAGAGAAGCCAAAGCGGAGATTCGCTCTGTGGAGTCCCAGTATTCTCTGAATGGCGGCGTCATCGTCCTGGTCACCGGGTCCCTCTTCACCAAAGCCCAGGCCAAGCGCCGCTTTGTTCACACTTTCTTCCTGGCGCCCCAAGAGACTGGCTACTTTGTCCTGAACGATATCCTGAGGTTCCTGGTGGAGGAAAGCGAGGCAGCGAAGACCGCTTCCACTACGGCATCTGCTGCAACCCCTCACCTCGCAAATGGGGTACAGGAAGCAGGACCTGAGGATGAGTTGGAGCCGGACAATGAACCGGATGCAGAGCAAGGTATGCTTCTGCTGATTGGAAGCTAACTGCCTGTCACAGGTTTATAACATGATCTTTTAAAATGTGCCGCTGAAGATTATCTGTGTCGCGCGGGCGATTACATGATTTGCTGAGGTTTGTATGATGGGCTGGTGGTGATCAATAAAAGTTCTATCAATTGCTGCGGTATTATGGGGTTTCGTAGAAGTGAGCAAATCTTACAATCCCATGTAGTCTTTGGTAATGGATCAACCAGGCACCTTGGCCTTTTGCCTGTCCAGCTTTACTTGATCTTCTAGGGTCTTGGTTAAAGCTTAGGGTCTTAAAACCTTAGGGACTATTGAAAGTGGGCCTGCTTTGTACATGGTGGTAAGTTGTAACAGCGGATGTCAATGTTGCTCGCCCAATCCATGCTGACGAAGTTGCTCACTGGAAGGCCTAAATTGACTAGGGTTTCACCGTGGATTTGAGACTGGTAGGATCTGATGTATCGCCGCCGCTCAGGATCTTATTCAGTGATGTACATTCCTGATTGGAATCTTGAACTTTTCTGCAGTGACTGAGCTTGTGAAGGATGACGAGCCTGAGGAGGTTATGGAGTCCCCCCCTCCAGTGGCCAAGCCCAAGGAGGTGCCCCCCCCGCCAGCTGAGGAAGAAGCAATGGAGACCGCGGCAGAGGACGAGGAGCCAGCTGCTGAGAAGGCGCCGACCGACGCGCTTGCACCTGAGCCTGAGGAGCAGGCCGCCGAGAAGGGGGCAGCAGCAGCAGCCGAGACTGGCCCTATGGAGGTGGACCCCGAGCCAGCACAAGAGGACGACAAGCCCAAAGCGCCCCTGACGTATGCACAAACAGTGAGTCAACATTTGTGAGTCAATTTGGGACCGCCGGCAAAAATGTGGTTCTTATCAGGAGCTCCAGCTTTGTTCGGATCGCTATGATGCCACACGCGTCTTCACTGTGGCGCCTGGGCTGTGATTCTGACGATGCGCTGATGTCATCCTGCAGCTGAGGCTGCGGGAGAAGGAGGCCGCCATGCGCGCCGCACCTGCGCAGGCGGCGGCCGCTGAGAAGGCGCGTGCGCAGGCCCCCGCTCCTGTGGAGGGCGCACCGACCGCTCCAGTCTCAGCACCGGCGCCGCCAGAACACGCAGAAGAGGTGCCCGACTATGTTGAACGTAAGTGGCTGCATCGTCATGCTTCCCTGCTCTACTGTAGGAAACAAGTGGTCCCTTGTCACCTCCGGCGTTTAGCTTCAGGTTGTTTTGAGTCCCATCATCTCGGTTGTCACGCTTTAATCATGTGTGACCAATTGGCCCTGTTCTCCTGAGGTTGGCTACGATTGTCTGATAGCAGGTTCGTTCACTGCACATTCATGGCTAAGTCTTTCCCTGGCTTTGGCATCTGCAGGGGACTCCCGCTCCATCTTCGTTAAGAACCTGCCGCCCAGCGCGGAGCCGGACTTCATGCAGAGGTGTTTCAGCCAGTTTGGGGTGCTCAAGGCAAACGGGATCAGCATCAAGAGGAAAGAGTCGGTAAGGGATCCGCCAGAGAGCTGTTCTGAAGGCCATGTTTCATTGGTCCTGATTTCCAAGTTTTATGAAACACATATCGTTGCAGAGACAAAAGCGGAACGTCAGGTCGTTGAATTCTTCAGCATAAAATCCTTAATCAAGGATCAGAAGGCAAACTGTTCAACTCGGTGGGGCTAACTGAGTGTCTTTTCTCTGTGTGCAGAGTACCTTTGCATTCCTGGAGTTTGAGGATCAAGCATCTGCGCAAAGAGCCGTTGAGGTCAGCCCTCCAGCCCTCGTTACTAGTGGTTGCTTGCTGATTCACCCAGGCGCAAAGTGCTCAACCACCTCATGTCTGTCCGTGTCAGTGTAGAAGCGGGCTGTGCGTGTCTGCTGAAGCAACCATGCTTAGGATGGAGACTCGTAAGAACAAGCGGAAGCAAGAGTCAAGCGAGTCCAGTCGTGGTAACACCTGTCTATTGGGCCATGCAGTCTTCGCCGGTCGACTTTGAAGGCGCTCACATGTACATCGAGCAGAAGCACTCCGGCCCCAACCGAGGTGGTAAGTTCTTCATCCCCCCCCATTGCTGGTTCCTTCCTTGGGCCCCTTCACCTCGGACCCAACACGGCCTCTATGGAAACCATAGGTGCGAATGTTGCGGATATGCACGATCCCCACCTTTGTAGGAATCACCAAACACTCCGTTTAAAGCAGCATCTTGGGTCCGAAAGTCGAGAGGCCCCAGTCAACCTTCCCCTTACGTTTTTGCTTGCACTAACCGGTCTGATACTCGGGTTGTGTCATCATCTGTTTTCCACTTCGCTCTCTTTGTGCTGCAGGTCGCGGCGGTCGGGGCGGGCCAGGCGGCCGGGGGAGTGACCGGCCATACAGCCGTGACCGTCAGCAGGGGCCCCGCGGTCCTGGGGGGTACAGTTCTGGTCGGGAAGGGGGGAGAGGAGGCGGTCGGGGAGGCCCCCCGGGGGAGAGGCATGAGATGGGCGGGAGGGGCCGAGGTCCTGGACCGCAGGGAGGGCATTTGGGGCGGTCAGGCAGCCTAGAGGGGGGCCGCAGCAGCAGCCGAGGGCCAGCGGATTCGCAAGGGGGCAACCGACCACCGCGTAGAGGGGGCGGAGGAGGCAGCGGGGGCCCTCCTGCGCCGAGGACGGGGGGGCCGGCTGCTGCGGCAGGGGGGATGGGACGAGGCGGGAGTCAACCAACAGAAGCTTCTGCATAGGAGTGGAGGTGGCTGAGGCGTTGTGGGGAGCGTGCGGACGAGTTTGGCAAAAGTGGCGGGGTGCTATGTTTCTTGGTATCCGGCATTGGATGGAAAGTGGAGAAGAAACCGTTGTTTGCGAGGGGGCGCGAGAAGGTGAAGCTCGAGCGGATGTATCTGGCAGGGTTGCTTGCAAACGATCCCACTTGATTGTCAGCTTCTGGAAATTACCCCGGCTGCTCGCTTGGGGGGGTCTTTGTCTGGAGTCATACCCTCTCTTCGGGTGAGGGGTAACAGTGATTGTACCGTTTCTGAGCGAGCGGGATTGCTGCTTTGAGGAAGAGCAGAAGAAGCATCCTTCAGGCTTTTGTCCGGAGGCACTGTAAGGGAATGTCTGAGAGTTGTTGAGCAAGTTTTGCGAAGCCGTATTGAGGGGAGTTTAAACGTGTAAGTTTAGATAGTTGCTGCCGCCCATGGGTAAGTGGGTCAGAGTCAAGCAAGATCAGGTTCCAAGTGTGGCTGGCAAAGCAGATTGGTCACCACGAGGGAAATTATTGGAGAATAGCAACACATGCCCTTTATAGAATGACATTGATAGTGACTGGCCCTGCGAGCACAACCTGTGTTTAACATAGTTTTGTATAGACCAATTGGTGATGACCAGTCATCAGCGGTGCCGTTAAGAATATCGATCATCTCAGTGACTTGAGTGACCAACTTATTGTGTTGATCGGGCCCCAGAGCCTAGGAAGGTTCATAGATGTATGTCTCAGTGGCATGGTTTGTGGCCCTTGTATCTATACTGCATGTCATATACTAATAAAACTAGCTGAGAACATGTCATTCATCGATCATATAGGGCATGCGAGCCGTGGCCGGCTGTCTATCAGGATAGACTGCATCACACGCGCCATGCATGACATATTCATGCTTCCATGGCCGCCATGTTCGAAGGCATCATGCATATGCCATGGGCCGCCGGGGGCATGCAGCATGTGCGGATGATACTTCAGATCCGACGTGCCAGAACGTTCAGCAACATCCGGTGATTGGGTCATGCCAGCACATGTATGGACAGTACGTGATGTAGCAATGCATGTGCACCATACTTTATTTGTGTTGCGACCTCTAGCTCTTTGTCATGCGTGATTGGCAGTGGTGCATGGACGCGTATAGCAGCCGCCTATTACAATGACAGGGACGGTCATGTGCGCCATGATGCCAGCGCAGTGGACCCCGCCGCCACTGGTGCAAATTGAAAATGTATAGCTAGAGTTGCAGGCTGCAATGCATCAGTGTGATATCAAAAATATGATGGCTCGTCGGAGCGTGTCGAGATCCAAAGTCTGCTTCATTTGAGCACATGCTTGGTAAGTTGAATAACTAACATGGCCTGACTCTTGAAAACGAGCTTACTCTGAAGCTGGCAATGCAAGCCTCCCTCGGGGGTAAAACCGATGTTCGCAACCCCTCCACTTTCAAAATAGGATGCCTGGCAGCTCTTGCCTGTGATACAGCACTTCGTCATGCAAAACAAAACAACACCCATGGATCCTTTCAAACACAGAATCAATGGTTGCTTCTGCATAAGGTTGCAGTCATGAATACTCGGGAACCGACTCCGTTCTGAGCAAGCGTTCGACTTCTTCGTTCGCCTCCGCCTGGATTTGCCATTGCTGTCAGCGGCAACCAAAAGGGAGCGTTAGTGGTGGCAAGCACACAGCCCGGACCGTGCCAAAAGGAGTGAATGCTTTTTGAAGCAGTGTAGCTAGCAAATTACACAGAGGCATGCGCTTGCTCCGCTTCAGGAGCTTCCAGACTGGCCGAACCACAGACCCATTGCTTAACGTGAACGAAACAGCGGTGAGGACAACGATGAGTCTCACCGATTGCAATGAGTTGAGCTCCATCAGCCGCTCGACCTCCTCCGCAATGTTCGCCTGCGCAACACCCAAATGCAGAGCGCATCAGGAAGTGGTCGAGCTCAACCGCACAATCCAACTCGCTACTTGACTATCGGCCAAATGCCTGTAAAAGCACGCTCCCAAACCCGCTAGAGCGGCACCTCGTCGAGTCAGTTCGGGCCTCCAGTGTGGGAGAGGGCAGCAAGGACCATCGCAAACTCAAAACTATAATTAACAAGCGCTATGAATGATGAGTTTATTTGCTGGGGACGGGAGGGTTTAGCTTGGGGGTTGGGCTGAGTTTAAGTGCGAACCGCATGAATATTTGGGTTAAGGTTTTTAGTTTGTCTTTGCCCGGTAAGATAGAACTTTAGTCTATCGAGCTTTTTAATAAAACATGGAGAAGTATGGACCATCGGGGGTCGACAGGTACGAGGATAATTACGATACGACTGTGCATACCAAGCCGGCTAGTTCCTGCGACACCCCGCCACGTGCTGACGCACCGGTTTCCTCATTCCAGATCCCGGCCTAGAAAGGGCTAAACATTCACACGTATTTATCCAAATATTACGGCCTTTCTATGTCCGAGCTCTTGCACAGGCAGCCAAATCGTGACACTTCCAAACTGGTGGCTCCACGGAGACCCTCGTCAAGGGCGCGGCCGCCTGACCGGCAGCGCGGCATTGGAGCAGACCAGCCCAGGATGAAGGGGACGGTGCGGGCCATTGCCAAAATGCGACCCTATAAAGACTGCAAAACAACGCCCACTTACCGCAGCCCCCGCGCTCTCGGCGGCCAGCACGTCGTTATCCATCTCCACTTCGATCTCGATCATGGACGCTACCTGCATACCGCCCATGGCACAGGGTTGAGGGGGAGAGCGACTGTGCAGCGTAAATGGAAAGAAGGGGTGTGCGCAAGAAGTTTCATTAAAGCCCCGCAATACTTGCCGTTGACCATCCATTCCGTTCCGTCGTCCCGGGACACGTTTGCAATCAACTCCGGGCCCAAGAGAGACGACTTTCTACTCCACTAGACCACAATGCCGGGGGAATGCAACTTGCGCAGCCAGAGCCCCCAAGCGCCACTCTGTCCCCGAAAAACGTTCCTCCCTCCCATCTACCGATGTTTTGCAGTATCGGGAGAAGCTGCGCCCAACCGTTTTCGCGCGCCCACCTTGGCAAAGCTGTCCATGAGCTCGAGCCGCGCCGCGAGCCGTTGGTCCAGCCCCTCACGGGCTTCCCGCACGCGGCGGATGCGCGCAGAATACGCGGCCGGCTCCCCAACGGCCTCCATTTTGTTGGCCAGCTGGCACATGCGCGCGAGCATGCGCACCTCCGCCGCGGCCGCGTCTGCCAGGCCCGCCAGCTGCGTCTGCAGCGCCTCGTGCTGCGCCAGCAGCTCCTGCCGAACCGCCACTCGTTCCGCCACGCGCGTGGGGAGCTGCCAGGAGAGGTGAAGAGGAGAAGCGAGATCAGAAGCGGGCTAAATAGTCACTGCCAGAAGCAAACGCAATCGGATCATTCAGGTGCTGGCTTAGTGCCTCGGGCTGCGCCGAATAGCTCCTGCCAAAACGCGATGCGTTTTGCCACGTGTGCGGGGAGCTGCGAGCGGTGGTCGCGAGTTGCGCATCAAACTGCGGGCTTGGTGTCTCTATTTCATGATTTTGTGCCGAGATCTCTTGGTTTTCAAGGTGTAGCGACCGGAAGACTTCTATTGCCAAGTCAATGAAAAGGTGTGGATTGTCAATCATAGCCGACGAGGCTTTAGGCTGATAATCCACAAAATCAAGCGCCAAAGGCAAGAGAGCGAATCGAGGAAGAAGCAGACGAGCACACCGGAACCTCTTGAAAACTGTAGCGTTCACCAATAACACCTGGGGGGACAAGTAGGGTCAGCTGAGAGGTTAGGGTGGGTGCGAGTACGGATCGCATCGTCACTGGGTTACGGGTTCTGGTTAAGGTGCCTGGGCCTCCTGTGTCTCAGTAATAGTTGCTGTAAGTGCAAGCTAGAATTGCCGTTTGGAGTGAGTTGAGATACGGGACAGGGTAGCCATAGCCTGGGGCAAAGGCGATTGGATCGACCAATCGCTTATGGAGTGCTTCGTGCTGGGCCACACGGATAGACGGTTGCAACGCGAAGAGGGATCCCCCTCGGGGTTGATCTCGGACACGAGAGAAGCACACGTTCTAGAGTCCTTCGTTCCACTGTCTAAGCAATGGAGGAATGAGGATAGCGGGCCACGGAATAAATACGTTTACTGTAGATAAGCGTGGGAGTGACGGGCAGGGACATTTGGATGAGGAACGACAAACGGGTGAGAGGAATAGGCAAATGAAGGCAGTGCACGCTCTGGGAAGAGGAGATGCAAAAGGAACATCTGTTATAGTCACCCTCGCTGAAAGCCAATTGAAATCGACAAGAACAGAATGATGCCGAAGTGACACCATCTTTCGGTACCAGGAGAGCAACTCAAACTCCAAGCAAGAACCACCTTCACTCCCCTCGCCGCAGAGAAACGTTCGATTGAGTTTCCTGAAAGGGGGCCGGAGATTGCGCCAACGCGCCCGATACATTTTGTAAAAGCGCCCGCAAGCGCAAGAGCGCACGCCTCCGCTTGTCTCACCTGGTTCAACCGCGGCAGCAAGTAACTCCTGGCCAAGCCCCCCGCGACCACCGTCCCAGTCACCCCGATCGCCAGTAACCCCGGCAAATCCGGGCTGATCAGCCCCGTCGCCGCATCCCCCCCCGCCAAAATCACAATCGCCGGCACCAGCATCGACAAATCCCGCGCCGCCCCCGCCCCTTCCCTGGCGGGGGCGCGAAGAAGCCGGTTCACGCGCCCTGTCGCGTGGTTGGTTAGCGCCATCGGTTCGCCGGGTTGCCAACCGGGCGTTCGGGTGTTTCCGCGGAGGGGCCCGAGGCCTGGCCCTCGTGCGGAGGAGGGGCACGCCGAGCAAACGGTTACGCGGTCCCCGACTTGCGCGGGGATTTCGACGGAGTCGGTGGCGAAGCGGTGGGTGCGCGCGACGCCGTCGGGCGCGCGCACCACGAGGGAGTGGACGGCGGCGGGGGGCGGCGAGCGGCGGAAGCGGAGGAGGCGGAAGGCGCGCTGGAAGAGAGACTGGTCCGAGCTGCGGAAAGCAGATTGAAGAAACAGGTGTTATGTGAGGAAGACTGCGAACTTTCCAAAACACGTGACGGCAGGATCCTGGCAGTATGAACGACAAGAGCAGGCTGTGGATGATTGCATCCACAGAGCAGGAGTGAAAGTGTCAGATTGATTGCTGGAGAAACGTTCATTTCCACCCAGCTGGGAAATGGAAGATGGATATGGTAACAAGCGCTGCACGGCTACTCCCTCAAGTGCGTCTCTTTTCGGCCCACCTGATGGCTTCTGACTCGGCCTCGGTCACGGTTCCCGACGCTAGTTCGAACTGGTAGCGGCACTGCGAACAGGGGACCACCTGCCGAGGCAAAGCCACACACGGGTCACAAGCTCAGCAGTGCTTGTGTGAAATGCATCTTTTCTCTTACTGTAGAATCATCAGGCGGGCAGCACTATAGGAAGTGTGGTTGTGATGAGGACTTGCAACTCTTCAGTCAAATAGGAAAACGGACTAGCAAGGACGGGAACTATCATCAATGACTTTTGATCCTGAGACAACGGTGTGCCCGTCATTATTTCGAATGCAATAATAAACGGTATGAATACTAAAGTCAAGCCCAGCGGAGGGTGGGGTTTGCCTGGGAACTAGGGGTGGGTTTGGTTGCGGAGCGTGGGATCTTCTGGGTTGGGGTTCTTACTTTGTTTCTGCCCAACAGACAGATCTAACTTTTAAAAGAACTCGTTTCGCATTGAATCGAAAGTTATGTGCCCACCTGGACTCCATGCTGTGGTTGCACCACTGCAAGCGAGGCGTTGCGACAACTGGGGCAGCCCACAACCTTCCCAAACGACACCTGCACACATACAACGAGACAGGTCGCAGCTCAGACGCGATGGGGGATCTCTGCAAGCTCTCTCTAAACACACGTGATCGATCAAAAGTCGTCCCAACTTTCTATGAAATCATCCTTTTGTTTTGCTGGACCGCAGAATGAGCTCTCACAAATTTCGATCGCTTCCAAAGCTACTTGCCCCACCGTCCGGGCCTCACCTCCTCCCCTTTGGGCAAGCCCCGCCGCCGCACTTGCCCTACCACATCAATCGCCTCCCCCACCCGCAGGCTGGCGGCCAACCCCCGCACCAACGCCGCGTACACTTTCACATCGGGGGGGCTCCACCGCCACCGCCACTCATGCCCCCCTTTTCCCATCCGCGCTTTCAGCCCCGCCGCCCGCATCGCTTCCAGCATGCCAAACGCCAGGTCGGCATTGCCCGCCTCGAGTGCGGCCAAGATGAGCGCCGCCCCTTCCTCGCTCCCCACCACGCCCCCCCGCTGCTGGCCAAAGTGGTTCTCCAGGATCTCGAGCACTGCATCGGGGGACTCGGCACGATACAGGCGGCGCATGAGGGACGGATCCTGCAGCCAGGCCTGCGCACAAAGCGGGGGGGGGGGAGAGAGGTCATCGATAGGTGAGCTAAGTACTAGGATGCAGATATGGGCACTGACTTGGGCACCGAGAATGCGATGCCAGAGTGGTGGGTACCGGTGATTCAATCGAGGGCGTACCAATGTGAGAATATCTGACCGCCATCTGGTAGCATTAGTAACATTACAAGCAACCCGAGGACAAGTAAACACCTGCGACACCACCATGCCTGAGACCTGAAATGAAATCATGGTTGATGGCCAACGCGTTTGCAGAAGTAGGTGGGCTGTTTCGTGCCGGATTGGATTGACAAGCAGTCAAGGTGGCCACACACTCTGAGCATCATCATAAGGAGGCCTGAAAAAGCGAAAACTGTTGTTAAAATTTGAAGGCTGACACTGCGCCTCTGCGTGTGGTGGACACTGTGGTACCCACCTGCGCCTCCTGCGACTCCGGCTCCTCCCCACCACTCCCTGCGCCATTGTTGACCTCATCGCCGGCTGACGCCGTGACGGTCCGTGGGTGTCTTTGGCCACGTCCTCTGTTCTGCCAATTGAAGCGCAGAGCACCAGCGTTTTGACAGTGGCAGCATAGACCAGAAGCCGGGTCCAAACCTCGTGTAGTACCACTGGAAAGCCAGCCACCCCAGTGGCAGACCTGGGAACCGCGCCTTGACTGACCTACCTTGTTCTGCGGTAGTCCTCGTCTTCCTTGAGGAATGAATGCACCAAGTGCGAGCTGGTCTTCTCGAAAAGGTACTTTTCTTGGCCAATTCGTCAACACTGGTGTCCCAACGCTGAGGCCAGCAACCACTGCGCCCGCCATGGCTTAGATGGACCAAAGCAGGCAGTGCACTCGAATCGATCTTTTCCTTTTTGTGGGAAGGCTACAAGATTGAATGCATCCGCTCCAACTTTTATGCCCAACCTCCTCTCCTTCTATGGGTGGAAGTATGTTGGCATCTAATGCAGTGCTCAATGGTCGGCTGCGATGGACGTTCAGCTATGCAATGCATCAATCTTCAGCTGTTTTTCGGCACAATCAACCCTGCGAAGGGAGGGTTGAAAACAGCTCCAATAAGTGAGCCATTGCTACATAATCTGCTCCATCAAGGCCCCAAAGTTCTTTCCGACCAGAAAATGGATTACGTTTGAGAAAGTTGGAGGAGGAGAAAGGGAAAGAGAAACGCGCGCCACCTCACACAGGAGAAATTCAAATGTTGCAAGCTCGCCTTTCAAGTTTCAAATCGCAAGCTTTTGCCATTGGATTTTGCGAGTTAGGGTTTGAATGCGGACGTTTGCGAACCTCTAGTCTCTAGACAGCATAAGCTCTGAGATACGTTGACCCAGTTTGAAGCTCATAGCCCGAATGAGGAGCTCCATCGCTGAACAGTAAAGTGAGGTGATCACCAGCAATAAAGGGTGGCCAGCGCGCGACTGTTCTTATCTGACGGCTAAGAGTGGCTGAGAGAAAACGAAGCCAATTCTTCGGCAGATAACGGACGCTCGAAATCCCATCTGCTTGGGATCATAAGCAGGAGCACTCTACCTCGTAACGGTAAACACCTGCGCTCAGATCTACCGGATGCGCTGTAGGACTACGTGCAGTGCTCTGGACAGTTGGTGCGTCAATGGGCGTCAATGGGGTCGCCAACCTTGAGGCGTGCTGGCAGCCATGCCGCTGTTTCAGGCCACTTTCTGCCACCATCCCACCGCTTGCCTTTTGTTGGAAGATGAGATGGAGTAGATCTGGCCTATGAGGAGGACAAGGAGGGCCTTTATGCGGGTCGCAGGCTGGTTATCCCTAGGGGCGGAATATTTCAGGATCGGAACAGGGACGCAAGGGGCGGTGCCACAAGCTGCAAGAACGTAGGGCACTGAAGCAGAAGAGAAGAAGTGCGTGTAGTATCGGACAATGGTCTGCACAGCCCCTGGTTCTGATGCAAACCTTTCAACTTCAGACATTCCTGGTCCAACCTCAAGGTAATTGACGAAGCTTGTCTCCGAATCAGGCTGCAGGGTAGGGTGTTGAACAGCATTGTGTGGAGATACCGGCTTGAAATGAAGGCGGACTTGCTAATTCAGTAGTTCAGACTTGGTGGAAGAGTCCGAGCATCTATCACACTCACAGGAGATCTGGGATTGTGCGTCCCAGCACGTGAGAATATTGCTCCAGCTGATCTGGACTTGGCGCCGGCTGCTCAGTTTCTTCTTCTTCTTGAACCTTGGGGAGTGCACCGCCAGCTGGCATGGCAGGGGTCGAGCGACTGACACACGGAATGCTTTTGATCAAGCTGTCTTGACAGACGGTCACCTTGCTCAGCTTCTGGTCATTGTGATACCACGCACCAACAAGCTAGCTGCTACTTTAAGCTCCGATGCCAGTGTAGCACAGTTCATGCTTCCACTGTGGCTGCTGCTGCTACAATTCTAAGAATGTAGGGAGGGCACATTTGCAGTCTGATCACACTTCATGGCAGTACATTTGTTAAGCTCGCCAGTCTGTCTTCAGCAGTGGTCGGTCAATCAGCTGAGTACTCCAGAAATGCTGCCTCAGGAGCTCTTCGGGGACCCTCTGGAGATGCGTAGGGCCTAATCTGCTGGTTCTAAATGACATGCAACTCTGCACAAGGTTGGCAGCCAGTTTGATGATATGGAACTGATATGGATTAGTGTTGCAGCACCTGTAAGCATGGCCTCAAGGTGCAGACCCGTTGTGGTTGCAGCTTACAAGGTTGAAATTTTGCATCACCATCTGGTTTTTGTATCTCGCAATTAAGCAGTCAGCACCGCTGTTTCACCCCCTCGCTGATCCATTTCTCATCTTCTCAGGTTGTGTTTGAGTAGTGCGCCGGGACTGTTCTCCGGCTGTTGTTCTGCTCCTGATGAAGAAGGCGCTGGGGCTGGGGGGGAAGCCCTGGAGCGTTGTGGGACTGTGCCGCGCCGCGTTCTTCATGCTGCTCGCATTCACACTAGGCCTTCAGCTGCTATGCCTGACCGTAGCGGACTTTCGAGGCATCGGGCCCAGCAAGCAAGGTTAGAGCCGACTATCGAATGATTATTCTACTTGGCTGCTGGTCAGGAAGACCACAGAGAGACTGAAATTTTGGTTCCAACATTATATTCTGCATTTGTTGACTTTCTGCCCATTCATAGTCAGCATATAAGACCTCATGTGTGGCTCCTCCCCTTCTCCCTAGCTGAATGCCTTTGTTGGCGTGCAGGCTCTTTGGGCCCCAGCGTAGGTTACTTCGCAGCGGCAGGCCGGCTGCTGAGAGAGCCTATCAAGGTACCCTGGCACACTCTTATCAGCTCAATCCTCCTTAGTGCCACTTGTTAGTCCTCCCAGCGCAGCAGCAAATTGCCCTCCGTTTTCAGAGACACATTGTCTTGCACGTCTGTTGCTGAGTTCTCCGTGCTGCATTGAGCCAGTCAGATCGGTCCTGATATTCCCCTGTGGTTCCTGTTCTTGCAGTCGGGACTCCGGCTTCCAGTTGACAAAGTGCCTCCCCTGGCAGTGCTCACAGGCGCCGCAGCAAAGGTGAGAGACTGGCACTGTCCAGCGACATGTCTAGAGGCGTCATTCTCGGCCGAATACTGTTCCAGGGGAAAAAGCTGACAAAGCAGCGGACACACTTTGGCTCCATGGATCCATCCTCAAGAAGAATAAACAATTGTCTTATCTGTGTCCTTCTTATGGCCTTGAGTTCAGCAAAGACTAGAATGGATCTTGGACGCTGGTGATTGATGCCCCAGCTCATGTCTTGTGTGAGTCAGTCATCTCACCCTGATCCCCTTTCCCTTTGTGCAGGCTGTGGGGGCCGTCGAGGCAGCTGGGGAGCAGACCGCACAGAGTAGGACAGACAGCCATGGTAGCACAGGACAGCACCACGATATCGACGGTGGGACTGGCAGTGGACAGGCGCAAAGTGGTCGAACGGGGGTGGACGCAGCAGACAGCAGTAAACAAGTTACACTGAGAAAAGTTGAACAAGACGGGGTAGTGAGCGCCGCACGTTCGGACAGCGGTCCGGATAAGGGCTTCCCCCACCTCGCAGCGGGGGCTCGGTCCGTGCTCGAGGCTCCCCCCGGCAAGGCGCGCACGCGGGGCACTCGCGGCAAGGACGGCAAGAAAGTGGACAGCGGCGACCCGGCCGTGCTGCAAAAGTACTTGCGGCGCTATGTGAACCTCGGCAAGGCGTATATGGCAATTGCGGAGGAGTACGAGGACGCTGACCTGGCGACCGACTTTGCGGGGCAGCTGCAGGGGGGTTGCCAGGCCGCCCTGCTGGCGGGCCTGCGGGTGTCCCCCCCCGAGGCGCGCGGGTGCATGGAGGCGCTGAAAGTGCTGATTGTGCGCGGGAAGGAGGCGGAGTATGACAGCGCGGCGGTGGTCGCGAAGCTGCGGCAGAAACTAGAGGCGGCGGAGGCGCAGACCAAGACGGTGGACCTGCAGAGCAAGCTGTTCAGCCAGATGGCGGCGAAAGCCGTGCCCAAGGGCATGCACTGCCTCGCCATGAAGCTCATGGTGGAACACATGCAGCACCCGGACATCGCCACTCGGTGAGCGTGCGCACACTTCTTGCTCACGACCAGGACGATTCTCAATGTGCTGAGAGCGGCGGCTTCCAAAGCCTCAATTTTGCAAACCATGCAGCACCTCTGCCGGCCATGCAGGGGATTCCTATATAAAGGAGGCGTGATGGTTGGAAGCTTGTCCGAGGAAAGCAGTAGACTTTGCCCCAGGAGATTCTGCAGTCTTGGTGATTGGCGGGACTCGATTGGCAGAAGCGAACAGTTTCGATTCTGAAAGCTGTAATGGACTGCGACATTGTCTGCTCCCCAGACTTCTACAATGCTGAGCGTGACCTTCTTTTGATGCACCTTCTCTTCGTCAGAACGAGCACAGAACGCTTCTTCGAAAGAGCTTGGTAATGAACGCTTCCCCCGCCGCTGCAGTTCTCGCTCCGCCGATCCAGAGACCGTTGGCAACCCCGCGCTGCACCACTACGCACTGTTTTCGGACAACGTGCTGGCGACTGCCGTGGTCGTCAACAGCACCGCGCAGGCGGCGGCGGACCCGTCACGGCATGTGTTCCACATAGTGACGGACCGCATGAACCTGGGGGCCATGCAGGCGTGGTTCGTGCTCAACCCGCCGCGCAACATGACGGTGGACATCAAGTCGCTCGACGATTTTGAGTGGATCAACCCGCAGTACGTGCCGGTGCTGCGACAGATCGAGCAGGTGAGGGGAGACGCGAGGACGAAACTTTCGTTATTAAGGAGCGTTGTAGGGACCGGAGAGATCAGTTGCTGATTCAGAAACCGACCGACTCAGGATCTCAGCGATGGCATGCCAAGCCATCTGCACGAGCGGGAAGTGCAAAGCCGACAAATGTGGTGATCTGCGAATGCATTTCACTCGAATTCTAGGTTTCGGAAACGCCCCCGCAATTTGGGCAACCATTGTGAGCCAACGAGCCATTTTTGCTTTTCCTATCAAAGCTCGGCTGACATGGGTGAGCTTTTCGTTTCCTTCACCTTTCCTCGACTCGCCTGGATAGTCCGTTGTTCCAATCAATTCTCCGCTTCTGAGCCTGAAGTGGTCCCGAGCTAACGCCCGTGCCTCTTGTAATCTTGATTCATTATTGGTAAGCCAAGCCTGTTCAGGATCATTGTAATCCCAACTTACCCGCTCCACCCCGTACCCACCCTTGGCCCCTAAGTAGCCCCGGCCATCCCGATTACCCTTCCCTGGTTTGCTACTCACTGATTTGATTGAATGTGCCCTCCCCCCCGCAGGCCAACATGCGCAACTTTTACTTCCGCTCCGCCATGGTCGACATCGAGAGCCGCGAGGGGCAGGACCCGACGGCGCTGGCCAACTTCAAGTACCGCAACCCCAAGTACCTCTCCATCCTGAACCACTTGCGCTTCTACCTGCCCAAGATGTTCCCGCACCTGCCCAAAGTGCTCTTCCTCGACGAGGACGTCGTCGTGCAGGTAAGCCCCCCAATTTCTAATCCACTTGAGCCAGGTTGTTGAGCCAGCTTGAGATACGAGGGGGGGTTCGTCAGATTTTGGGTCGGGTTGAGCCAGATTGAGATACGGTGGAATCGTGGATATGCACTACAGTAACGCCCTGGAGGCAAATTTTGGCGCTTTGCATCCGTTACCCCTACTCAAAGTCTTGATTCCGGGTCGAGTCGAGCCAGGCTCAGTTTAAAACGGGAGAAATGGAGACACGCTAGAAGCAAAGCTATGCGCACTGCACTTGTACCCACCCTAAAGCCCCAACGTAAACCCACCTGTTCCCCCTGTTCCCCGGACTTTGACCCATCTCAACCTGGCCTGTATCTCAAGCTGTATTACTGTGGTGCAGCGCGACCTGTCCCCGCTGTGGGCGATTCCGATGGGGGACAACGTGAACCTGGCCGTCGAGACGTGCGGCGAGGTGTTTCACCGCTTCCACACATACCTCAACTTCAGCAACCCCCTGATCGCGGACCGGTTCGACCCCCAAGGATGCGGCTGGGCCTTCGGGATGAACCTGTTCAATCTGGAGGCGTGGCGCGCGGGGGATTACACCGAGGTCTACCACGACTGGCAGCAAAAGGTGAGGGCAAGGCGGGGAGGAACGGGAACGCGGCGAGCGCGTTGGGGGTATATTGCAGCTGGTTCGCGCTTGCGGGTTGTGGACGGAAGAAAAGGCGGCTTTGCTTTCGGAGGAGGGGCGCGACCCACCAATGATGAAAAGAAGCAGGCTGACACCGCTGTCCGATTTGCCGTTGCACATGGGATAAGGTGGTGTCTTGAAGACGCACAGCACTCGGTTCAGTGAGCTTGCATTTGCCAAAATCTGCTTTTTCTATAAGGTATCCGTGGAAAGCATGAACTCCTCGCCCTTCGTCCAAGCAAGGCAAGACTGTGCAGAGCTTCTAACTCAATGGACCGATCCGTGCAGAACATTGACCGCCAGCTGTGGCGCCTCGGCACGCTGCCGCCCGCACTGATGACGTTCTACGGCAAGACGCAAGTGCTGGACAAGTCGTGGCACCTGCTGGGCCTAGGATGCAACCCGAACGTGAGCATAGACGCGATAGAGAAGGCAGCGGTGCTGCACTACAACGGGCACGCCAAGCCATGGCTAGAGCTAGCGATGAAACAGTACCAAGGGTACTGGACGCGACATGTCGCCTACTGGCACCAATTCTTGCAGCAATGCAACATAATGCCGCCCTAAACCACCGGGGCTGAGAGTGTAGATCGAGTTTACTGAGTGTCGTCGTTGGGCTGCTTTAGTCCCGCAGCCGCTTGTCGTCTAACTAATTATAGCATCGCGGGTTTGCCATGCGCTCAAATACGGTGACAGCATAATTAGTTGAAGCATGAGTTTGTTGCTGGCTAGCAGCTAGAAACCAAGTTAGACTTAGACAACCGACCTAGCTAAGATTAACAAACCAATAAGTACCCTATGTGCAAGGCGGATTACAGATAGTTGGATCCGTCATGAAAGCTGACGATTCGAATTTGGCAATCTTGCATATTGAGCGATCGACTCGGTCAACGGTCGTCAGATTCTGTCATGACAGATTTTGTTAGCAGAATTTGTTAGCAGCAAGCCTGCTCGATTCATTGCATGAACTGGGGACTAGATTGGTCGACGACTCTGGTATAGCGTTGAATCAAACCGAATGATCCGGGTGGCCCGCCGCACATGTATATAGTCGGCCGGCCACTTAGTAGCTAGCTTTTGCAATGAATATTAAACTGCGGCCAGGCGCTGGCGGGCAGTTTAGCAAATTTCTGCATATATATGCACATATTTGTCTCGATCGCGATCGCATGAGTCACGTACGTCTATAGTGCATGCCTAGAGTATCATTGCATGACATGTTCATGACCGGGCGGCCGTCGCGGCATGTGCGAGGCATGCAACAGCCTAGTTTCCAGCATACAGCCGGGCATGGATATATACCGAGTTGCCGACCGTGATCGACGTACTCATCCAGCTAGGCTCATGCAACGTATAATTGTAGGCTGGCCTCATTATAGCTAGCATGCACCACGGTCGGACTTGATCAGAATATGATAGCATTGAATTCCTCGAGCCGAAGAACAGTATATTGAATCATCACAAAAGCTTATCGGGGGCCGCATATACTAAGAAGCTCAACCGTACTAGACCTATGTACGTGTGCAGCTCAGTCATGCTTCGATCGCGGCTGCCTCATGGCCGTGGGCGCATAGAATCGGACTGTGCTTTTGACGAAATTAGTAACATATACAGGGATGGAATCAGACGCACACACGATTGACAGCCCCCAGGCGGCCGGAATTGGTAATGGCCCAGGCTTGCATGTGTTCAGTCTCCGGCGTCACGTCGCGGAACCAAGCTTTCAAGCTCATGTACACTTCCTGGTCGTATTGCTCTCTAGCTTAGCTTTACACAAATCGACCCGGACTCCCAGCTTCAGACTCTGACCAACCAATCAAGACTGACAAGCGGCGAGCTGTTCTACAGATGACATACAATGACCAACTTGGCATAATGTGATGCCAAGCAGAAAATGCCTACCCCGGTAACTGTTGTAACTAATGTACAAAGCCCATTACGGTTGCCAACTTCAATAAATCTGCGAGAAATACAGACTCTACACTTCATCAGCGATCTCCAACCTTTACGCAACAATCGAGCATCTTAGCAAGCTGTCCCTCCGGCAGTCGTCACGCACTTGCCATCATCAGCTGATGGTACGAGTCGCTCCTTCGCAGGCCTGGCTCGCAGCTGGCACGTTGCTGATGGTCATGCGCAGCGCACCACTCCTCCGTGAACCCTCGACCTCGACCAGCGTCGCTCCAAGGCCCGACAGCGGCTTGATTGTGAGGATCGGTTGCTATGGCCCCCTCTTCCACTGAAATCTGATGTCCTTCTTCCTCAGCACCCCTTTGTCGACCTTCTATGTCCAGACCCGCCCTCGAACCTTCCCCCTGATCGAGTGCGTCGTTTGACCCCCCTGCTACTCCATCCTGCTTTTCCGCTCCGCGATCCACACAATCTTCATGGCCGCTTCCTTGGTCACCCATCGTTGCAACCAAGCTACCCTCTTGAGCCCCTTCCGATTGACCCTCCCCTGAAGCGACACCCGGTACCTCGCCCAACCGTGACACTTGCTCGGGCCCATCATCAGCCAACTCCTCCACGTTCCTTTCCATTCCCAGCTCGGCCTGCTGACTAGAGTCGTTGACCCACACCCACTCCGCATTAGGCCGAGATGAGGCCCCCGCCCCTGGTTGCGCTTCCGATGCCTCATCCCCTCGTTCGCCGTTTGCTTCCTCACGTGACTGCCCGTCACCTTCCAACATTGCACCGGCTGCGGCAACCGGGGCCCCCTGCACCGGTGCGCCATCCTCCTCCAGGCCCGTCCGGCCGACTGCCTGCTCCACCTCCGCTTGCGCCAGCACCGTCCTCACCAGGCGTGACGTCATGTCCAGGGGCCCTGCAGCCGCCCCCGTTTCGTCGTGCTGAAAAGCGCCCCCCCCAGCTTCAAACCCGGACTCGAGCGGCTCTACTTCTGCTCCGCCTTGGCCGCTGGCTGCAGTTCCGTGCTCCTGCGGCTGCGGCGCCTCGGGCTCGTCGAACAGGTTGGTCTCCCCTAGGTCTACGTCATCGTCTGGTGGGGGGCTGCGGTGCTGCGCCGCGCCAGCGCTCTCGTCTCCCCTCTCGTCAACCATGCTCATGACCTGGGAGAACAATAGAGAGAGCGAGATTAGCGCGCAGAAGAACGACTGCCCCAGAATGCTTGTGCAAGTAGTGCGACGAACTTGTCAACAAGTACAGCACAAACCCCAGCTTGCAAAGGACAGGGCGAAGGAGGCACCTTCTGCTGGAACGCTTCAAAAGGATGTCAAGCCAGCATCACCACTTGCCAAGATTGGATACAGATACCGATCATACCGATTAACGGCACATGCCCGACCCAGATCTGTAAGGCTGCTCTCATTCACAAAACGCCACAATCGGCTATGGCTACGGCAAGCACGAAAGCCAGCACAGCAACTCAGTCAACACCCTCAAGGGAGGCTATACACTTTTGTATCCTGCTGCTGGAAGATAGCACGCCCGGCCATCAACGCTGTCATCGATCAAGCAGCAGTGTTACGGAAGAACCATGCTTTCAACTTTCTTGGGACGATGCTCGCACAAGGTTCTGCGCCCACTGTGACCACGCTGCATGCCCGAGCCTGGACCCTTTGTCTTACAGCAGTTTGCATCAAACCCGTCCAAGCGCACGGTAATGTTTTGAGCGCCGTGCACGAGTCTATTGCTCGGTTCTGCTGCACAGTATCGTTGTACTCGTCACAACTACCGTTGCTTTGTGAAGCGGACGGTAGACCAGGTACCGTATCGCTCGGGAGGTGTACTCCTGGGCCCGAGTTCAACTTCGGATACCGTGCTCCGGAACCGAACATTGATACCGTGCACGGCGCCGAAATGTTCCTGTGCACTCGGACAGGCTTGATGCAAACGGCTGTACGCCAATGGAGACTGTTGTGCTGCTCACCATGTTGATGACGGTGGACACGCTCAGCTCGGGATGGGTGTCCATGACCTGGTGCAGAAACGTTGGAACAGGCGCCACGCGGTGCATGCGGTGGGACGGCAAGTGCTTCTGCAGCACGCGCGAGCAGAGAAAGCCGTTCAGGAAGATGAGGTAAGAGACTACTGTGCTATAAAAGAAAAGCGCCATCGCAAAATTTGTGTGAAAAGGTTGTTGCTTGCAACAGACTTCGTACTTTCATAGTCGTGTACAAAAGAGTCAAGGGGAGACTGTTGAGAAAGCAGGACTTGAAAGAAAGCAACCTCTATGCCAAAACTCTTTCTCGTGTACGCTTTCAAACCATCCCTCTGGGAGCAACATAAAGATGGGGCAGATACAGTAACAGTGGCTCAGCGTGGCTCACCTGTTGAAAAAGGTAGCTGCCCAGCATGGGCTGCTCGCGGGCCGCGTGGCAGCGCCCACACAGGTCGAACCCAATCTCCTCTTCGCAGTCCTGGCATTGGTATCGCTCGCCAACAATCGGATACACACCGCACGCGTCGCATTCAATCCCTGCGCAAAGATGAGGACACGTTTGACTGTCACAATGGCCTGACGAATGTCGTTTTGACCGTGGGGAGGCTTAGCTCGGAGGAGGACGAATGACAGGCTCCAGTCCATTTGCCCATGCTGCGTTGCAGACTAGACAAAGTAAGGTGATAGATGAAGATAACCCCGCAAACTCACCAAAGTGAACGAAGCCCTTGGGCTCCTCCGGCTGCTCGTCCTGCTGCGCGACCCGCTTGAGGAGGCCGGTGCGGTTGCCGAGCCTTGCGCGCTCCTGGCGGATGCGCTGGTGCGTCTCGGCAGGGAAGGCGCCCTGTATCACCTCCTGCAGCTGGCCGCACACCGTGACCTCGTCCTCCAGGTGCGCCTTCTGGCAGTAGGCACACACAACGCGGCCCACGGGGAAGCGCTCCTCCAAGCACAGGAAGCAGTAGGCTGGAGTGCGGAGAGGAATACAAAGATGAGAATTGGTACACAAAGGAAAGGATGATCGCCAAGGCCGCAATGCCGCGAAGGGTTCTGCTTTGCTTCACAAGCCCAGGAGTCAGAAGGGAAGCCCATAGACCTTCAAATGCAACCTTCTAAAATGTAGGCAAGAATCAGCGTCTGTGTATCCTCATAGATTCCAGGAGTGAAAATGTTATGCGTTTGGTGGCGAGGAAAAGGATAAGAGCTGCTGGATTCGAAAGCGTGGCTCACCATGGCCGCAGGAGAGGACCACTGGCTGGAACAGCAGCTTGTTGCACAGCAGGCACTCGCAGTCACCAGCAGTGAACTCCTCCACTCTATTCTCGTCCGAACCCTCCCGCACCATCTCAGTAGATGTTGCTTGCGTGGTGTCCGCTTGCGCCGGCTCTTCTCCACATGAACCCTTGCTGGCAGCGCTAGTTGCCTGGACCTCAGCATGTGTAGCGCCCGCACTCTCCACCTGCCCCCCTCCATTCCGGAACAGTGCGTCGACCTGCCTCCTCTTCCCTGCAGTCTGCGGCAGGCCGATCGGCTCAGGCGAGAACATGTTGCGCTGCTTCTCCTCCTCCTCCACCTCGGCGGCCCTGGCTGCGTACTCAGTGGGCCACACCTTGGTGAGGTACGAGTGCGCCAGCTCGCACACGCGCGGCATGTGGCTGAACGTGGAGCGGCACATGGGGCAGGCGCTGTTCTGGAAACCTGCGCCCATGCTCTCGTGCGCGCACCAGAAGCAAAAGAAGGCGTGGCCGCACGCTGGGGGGGAGAGAGCAGACAGGAATGTCAGCAGAAACGTCCCACTTCGCAGGTCTTAAGTGAGACTATGCAAGGGTTTCTAGCAACCTTGACGAGTGATGATTGTCAATCATGTCCCCTCCATAAGCAGTTTCATTTACCCCAGGCAATTTCATTTACCCCACGATAACTGCACTCACCGTTGACAACAGGTTTGTAGACCAGGTCTTTGCATATGACACCTGCACCAGTGACAGACAAATGAGGTAAGTAGAAGGGCAATTGTTTGTAACACACCTATTCATGTTAAGTAGGTGCCAAACACACGGCGCAATTTTAGGGTGCGCTCACACAACCGTCTACCACGAGCACACTCTTTGAAGAGCCACTCAGTAAACCAAAGAACAAGGAATTCACCCAGATAGTCAAAATGCTCTTCAACAGGACAACAGAGGATGCTGAAGCTCCTTCCCACCAATAAACCCTCTCTTCAATCAAGTTTCTCTTACATTCAAAGTCTTGTAGCTCGGGCTTCCGATAAATAGGCAAAATCTCCTCCGGTTGATGCGACAGTTGATTCCTTGAGCTGCCCCCAGCACCAGATGCTGCGACATGCTTGCCAGAAGACCTCCTCGTCGAGTTGGAAGTTCCCATCCTTGCAGAAATGCGCAACCGCTAACTGGGACACAGGTGTTACGCAATAAACCCTGCTTTTTCTCCCTTTTCTCTGCAACTACGTAATTTTTCACTATCTGCGCTTGCGACAGGTCACCTCATAAACTAAACCTTGAACTTGCAAAATCGGTCGCTCACGACTCTTGCTTACAACAGACCCAGGCTCAAATAGACCCCGCTTTTGAACCTTCCAATATCTTGCTTTGTGAGCCCAGGGTGACTTTGAGCAAACTTTTGCGCTCCCCACGAGAAAATGAAAATTTCTTGAAATTAAAAACCCCTTGCGCCCATGCAACGTCCCCTCTGAAATTTCACCTCTCTTTCTCCAGGGAGCTTGAGATTGTGAAAGCCTGGCTGAAGCTTACGAGTGATTCTGATCAGGGTTTTCCAAGGCCCAGGCCCAGGGGGTCGTCCGTGCAGGCTTGCAAAGGTCCTCGACTCCACCATGCATGAGCACTCCCCTGACCCGTGATCCCCGATAGGGTTAAAGCTCAACCGAAGATTAGACCTCCTTTCGTTTGAGCCTAGCTCATGCAACAAACCTGCCAGAAGCGTTGATCGGAGATCCTTCACTTGAGTTCAGTACAGCTCCGAGCAGTTCCAAATTAACCAGTTCAAACCCAACTGAATTTCCTTGAACCCTCTTTTGAGACCCGTTTTGAGACCCAGCTTCACAAGCTGACGAAGCAGCTACATATTGTCATGTTGAGTTTCTTCTTCCCTGAACCCTTCTTTGCTTCAAGTTCAATGCTTAGAACTTTCTTCTGTGGAGCCTGTGAAGTTTGACCGCCCGGGCCCAGCAGGATCGGCTCCCCCTTGCTTCTGAAGCCTTCAGTGAAGGCGACTGTCAAGCTGCGATTTTGGAGAAGCTGGTCAGGCATTGCACCAGAATTGTGGTACCTGGCAGCATTTTGATGATCAGGAAACACTCTTGCGTCTTCATAGCAAGCAACTTGAATTCGTCTTATAATTCAAAGACTTCGATTCTGAACCAGGCTGATTCTGCTTCGCTTAGCGAGTGGGGATATCAAGTGCAGCAGCAATGTCTACAACTCTGGCCAAAGACTTCTGGGTGAACTTGAAGTAAGGAAGCTTGCCGGGCATTTGGTTCTGCCGCTCAGATTCTTCACTCAAAATGTGCTTTCAATGATGGCCTTGTTTTGAATGGCTTGTGAGTCATCGATTGCGAAAGCAGCAATTGGACCTGCCAAGATTCTGGCTTGGGATGTGCAGCTATTCATTTGCGTTGGTCACTACTGCAGGTATTGGGTACGGAAGCACCGGCGAGCTGTGGCGCTCTCGGTTGCTGCTGGTGTTGGTGGCTACTGTGCATACAGATACTATCGCTCGCTTGCTCAAGAGCAGATTGCTAAGGAAGGCAAGCGGAAAGATGCGGAGGAGCATGCTGAACTCCAGTGAGTCCACAGCAGTTTGCACTCCCCTCTTGCGAAACACGCTTGATAGAGTGTCGTTCAGGCTCAAGTGCAGCCTGTCATGGATTTGCTTATTGCTGATCTCTGCTCTTCCCTCCCACAGCATGTATGATTGTTAGATTTCTCCTCTTCCTTAGAGAACTCTTGCCAATTGCTCCTTTACTGTACTCGTCTGCAGATTGCAGCATCACTTCGAGAGCATCCAGAAGATTGCCGATGCAACAACCCTCCCCTCGGTCCTCCCCCACCTCAAAGACCAGCTCTTCACCCTCGTCGATCTATCAGTCCTCACAGAGAAGCTCATGGCTGGCAAGGGGCAAGCGGCAGCGCTCGGGCACAAGGAGAAGATTGGCATCTGGGAGGAGCTCAAAGTGCTGAGTAAGTAAGAGCAGGGTGCAATGTAAGGGAAAAGTGGAAGGGAGGTCCTGTGAAGTCATCGTTTCTTATTGAACTCCTTCAAGGCACAAGGGCTCTCATCTTGGTGTTCTGCACTGACGCGTGCTGAAACGCTGTAGAATGACAATGCTCCGGCGTCTGTGCAGGTTTTACCAGGACAGTGTCCGCTGTCTTCTCGGTGGCACTTCTTGATGTCTTTCTGCGAACGCAGTTAAACATCCTCGGTCGCCGCGTGTACCTGGAGACTGCAAGGGATTCATCGGAAGATGTACTGCCAGTGAGTCCCGCTGCAGAGGCTTCAGATGACATATGTTGTGGGCCCTTTCAGCCCCAAGTCGTCTTGAGTGTCGAGAAGGTAACCTTGATGAGGGGATGATCTATTCGTTTGTTTGTCAGATACAGTTGTGCCAAGAATAGCAGATCTGCTTGCATCCACCTGACTTGGGTCTCTGAACACGATTTTGCTTGCCTATGAACACGAGAACCTTGTTTGTTGCCTGTAGGAGCTGCACAGCCGTTTGACGAAAGCATGCCAGCATCGTTTCGTGGGCCTTGTAGACTACCTGCCGTACACGGGTCTTAAGGACTTAGTGAATGATGTCCAAACAGCAACCGAGCAAGTCGTGGGAAGGTACGATTCCGGTTGGTTTTCTATAAGGAAGAGTTCACTTACTGATAGGTTTCATGGCAATCGCCTTGAGAGCGCTGATTTAGAAGTTATGTGTGCTTAACCTCTGTGCTTTGCTGGGTAGGATGCGTTTGATTCGTCTTTGTCTGTAGATGCTTGCAAGGCATGGTTTTTTTAATTAGACTATGCCAAGAGGGCAATGTCGTCAACCTTACTGGATGCTTCTGAGTTCAAAAAAGATGTTTAAGTATCGAGTTTCAGAAATGTCAGGCTGTCAGCTTCCAGCTGTGGCGCCCGCTGCCTGTGTAAAGGTGCTCCAGCCTAGTCTGCAAACTGAAACTGTGGCTGTTCCCTCAGGAGAGAGCTGAGGGACAAGGTGCAGCTGGCTGAGCTGGGGGACATCTTCCAACAGACCCGACAGCAGCTCGAAAGCCAGGAGTTGCAGTGGGGCAAGTACGTACTTCCCGCCGACAACTCGGTATCCCTTCCTGCAATGTCGGGTGATGCGGAAGAGAGATGGGGAGCAGAGGACGAAGAGAACCTGGCTGCTCTCATGGACGAGACACGGGGGATTCTGAACAGGTAAAAAAGTACTGCCGCTTTCAAAACCTTGAAAGCCTCATGGATTCAAGGTTTTGCAATGTAGACACGTCGTCGGCCCCTGCATGTGCAGGCCTTTACAACAGGTCCTTTAAGTCAACTAATGATGACAACTTCTGAGTTCTGCTGTTCGTTTCAACTGTAAAGGAAGGTGTGGACTTGAAGCTTCATGGATATCGTCGATGGGCAAATCGACTCTGTGGAAGTTGCAGGAAGTTTGATCTCCTCATTTGCAATGTGCAGCTCGGAGTTCGCCAACGTGCTTTCTGCGGCTCTTGACTGCCTGCTCACAGATATGCAGTCTGATTTGCGGCTTGCTTTTCAAGATAGTCCTGAGGATGGCATCCCACTCGCCAAGCTACTGCCGCATGTGGCTGGTGTCGGAAATGCTCTTTTGGAATCAGCCGATGACAACAAGTATGTGAGAAGCATTGCGGAGCTTTCAGAAGTGCAAGGATTCTGCGCAGCAGTGTATGCGGGTGGGAGAGGCGCGGAACATGAGCAATGACGTTAAGGGAGTCATAAATGACGTGAAAGTAGGAGACCGAGCCAGAGTATCCAAATGGGCAGCAACACCCTATCTTTGAGGACTTGGAGGCTACTGTGCAGACTTCGAGGAGTCGGCATGGAATAGCTAGGGGAGCGAAGATTGATAACGTTCAATTGCAAGTCGATAATTGTTTTCGATCCCCGACCAAGCATTCGGAGTCCCTTTTAAAAGTACATTAGAAGCGGCTGTTGACACTCAGCTATGTAATGTCCGACCTAGTAGACCGAAGGTAACAAGCACAACAGGGATTGGTCAAGTTCGTCTCGAGTCAAATGAGATACTGGCAAGGTCACTCGGTTAGCAACCCTCTCATTTGGTACAGTTTTGAATTACTATTAGCCGTCCCCAAAATTCTCATGTCGAATGATTGTCCTATGGTATAGTACAGTATAGTGGAATCCCAATAGGTAAACAACCTTAAATGATAGGCCCTTGGCCAATTTAACCTGCAGCAACTTGCATCGACAATTGCCCGGCTGTCAGCTCAACCTCACAAAGTGGGTCGCACGAGGGAGTTCATGAGCGGGGGCGGGCGATCGGGTGCTCTTCACATGAGCAATGGCCCATTGCATGGAGGAGAAGGGGGGCCCATGCAGCATGTAGCAAGCGCGTCCTATAGAGAATCTTCGACTGGATGTAAGCGCCGGGCTATAGCTATATCCGGGTGCCGCACCATGGCCATGGCCGGTTTGCAGACGATCCTCAAATGTGGACAAGACGGTTCTGATTGCTACACCTGCCCGGCAATTTAGATATACGTTCCAAAGGCAAGCCTGGGCCAAGGAATGTCCGCTCACCGGAATTCGCCCATTGATGTGCATGGCCGAATCGATCCAATCATGACGCATGACAGTATACCGGTATAACATTGTATTGAACAATCCTTAACTATAATAATATCAATACAAACAATCACAATGCATCATTGGTCGAATTGGCCAAGCCAACTCAAAGCTTCGCAATGTGAGTGCCACAGCACCTCAAATGTCACTCCTCACCGCTACGCCTCCCTCCAGCAATCGTGAACAAATGAACGCGAATGACAAAACCGGACAATGATGGCCAAAGGGCCAAAGGCCGAGTCGCACCGTACTGCCCACAGTGCGAGCTAGGAGTCGGACCGCGGACTCGACGCGCGTATGCAGCTCCGAGTCAGCCTGAGCGACGGGTAGCCGGACGTGCGCGGCCACATGTCTGAGTCCATTTCAAATTTCATGAATCACCGTAGGTACAGCTTGCACAAGCTTTGATACCGTAGGTACAGCTTGCACAAGCTTTGAATTCGCAAAGTAGCGGCTTTGCTTCGGACATCGGACGGCCAAGATTACAGTAGATTGCACAAGTCTTCCATTGAACGGCCAGGAATCGTTCCCGCATTCGAGTTCAAATAGGTAGGGCTGCAGCCTGGGACCGCAGCGCTCGGCCATTGGCATTGTCATCTTTGACCACTTCCTGGACGGCTTGTGGCAATGCTCAAGAGTCAAGAGACCACGAAGCACCCTGGACAAGAATGGCAAGCTAGACTCGTAAGTATTAGGTACTAGCATTTGGCGTGCCATTGGTGCGGCTGGGCAACAGAATGGCTTCCGGTGACGATGCATTCCTCGCCTGCGCAGGCAAGCCAATGGTAATTCCTTCATCCCTGCCAGCATGGTCAACATGTTAAATCTGCTCTCAAGTATCCTTCAATTGACAGGAAGTGCTGCTTTGCCCCTGCTATGTGTTCTGGCAACCGCTTGAGTGCGTTTGCTTGATTCCTGACTGGGGCACTCCGCGCGCTTGTAGATTGCAGACAGACTGTGCTGTGTAACTGATGATGGCCTTCCAGCAAGTGTGGTGAGGATGCTGGTAGGTTTCGAGCGCAAAGCATCCATGGCCATGGAGCGGCTGGGCTGCTCTCATGAGATTCAGAGGATACTCAAGCACACCTGGGAGGCCGAAATGGGAGCTGCAGTGGAGGATGCTGCCGAGGTGCGTGCACCCTGGCCACTTTGGCATGAGCAAGATAGGATGTTGGCCCCCAGCGCATTGACAGGGACGCCAATACCCGGGTGCAAGTCAGCGCTTTGATCGGGCCAGGATCATCTAGTTCCCGAAGCTTTTGTCCGTTTCAGCTGATCACACCTCAGCCCCACGTGGCTTACACCCTGTGTTTGATCATGTGACAGAGATGGAAAAGTACTGTACATTCTCAGTAGACAGAGGATTGATTGATATTTGCCTCTATTGCCTTCTTCAGCAACGCGCCATTTCTGTGGGCCGGGAGGCTGGTCTCCAGTATGAGAAGTCTGAGCTACAGCTGGCCGTCTTGAACACGACAAAAGAGGCCCATCTTCTCCGGGTCAGACTGGGTGAGAGTGTGAAAAAGCCGCTGATTGATGCCCTAAGATTTCGACATGCAGGAGGCCGCTGCTGTTACAGACATAGATGAAACATCTCTGCAACTTGTGTGCTTGACATTAGAAAGGAGGGTTCTTTGCCGCTTAATTATACCCTCCCCTGTGCAGAGTCTGCCCTGGACGACTTGGAGGAGGCAGAGGCGCAGCGGCAAGTGCTTGAAGCGTGGGTAATCGAGCAAGAGGTCAGTGCAAGCCCCGGAAGGCACACCTTTTCGTCAGCTATTCCGTTTTAAAAACTTGCCTGGCAGAGCTGGATAGATTATATTCTCCGTACCTTGTACATCTACATATCCCTGAGATCCAAATGCGGCGCCTTCTTGGAGCCTGAACCTGTCTGAAACCCCCCTTATTCACAGTCCTAAGGCTCTCAGCATGCTCCCCCAAAGTGTGGCTTTATGCATTGCATTTCAGAAGGGTGCCTGTTGTCAATAAAATGGGGAGTCCGACTTCGCTGCAAATCCCAACTTGTCAATGACGAAGCTTGTTCTGGCGGTGCCAGGGAACGTTAGCCAAGGAGCGCCTGGAGCGCGAGCGCATGCGGCAGCGGTGGCAGGTCGTCCGCGAGCAGGCGCAGCAGGAACAGCGGGCGCGCATGCAGGCCCAGGCTGAGCGGGACGACCTGGCTACGGCCCTCCGCGAGGAAAAAGCAGCCAGGGTGCAGGCTGAGAAAGCGGTGCAGGCTGGGGAAAGGGAGCTGGCCGCCCTGGAGAAGAGCCACTGTGCGCTACAGCAGCGCGCGGAGGATCTGCAGAAAGAGCTGACCAGCACCCAGGTCAGTCGCTGCGCTAACCCAGCACTCCTGCTTGTTGTGTCCTTGTGACTAGCCAACTCCTTTGCATACTACAAGCTGGAGCGCTCTTGCCAGACTCCCCTTAATTTCTTCACCATCGGATGAGTCCTCGTTGTGAGTGCTGGCCGTTTTGGAACACCTTGTAAGGTACCCTCCGCTCCGTCAACTGGTCCGTCTGAGACCCAGAACGACACCGAGCAGGCCTTCCAGATCTATAAAACCCCCCCGCCTCGCTGCAGGCGGCCCAGACGGAGCGGCTGGGTGGGGAGCATGAGCGGGTGGTGCAGTTGGAGCAACAGCTAGCGGCCGCACAGGGAGATCTCCAGAAGGTGGAGAAGGAACGAGGGGCGGCAAGGAAAGAGAGCGGCAGGCAAGGGGACACTTCGACTTTTAGAACCAGTTTGTGTGGAGGCGCTTCTGTCAAAATCGGGATTGATGAGGACAGTTTGTTGTACCAAGACAAGATCTCTAGCGAGTATTTTAAACAGCTCTGCAAATGAATCGATATCTGTTAGTAGACACTGTATGACTGACGGTCTCTTGTGCATCTCTGTTGCCAAAGCTTTGTCACAACTAACAGATTTTGGCAGTCTGCTCATGCATCATGGTGTCTCAAATTATACCCTTCAGCAGCTGGCGAGCGCCATAGGGCTACAAACGCAGTCTCGCAAGCCAACACGCTCGTTAACGTGCCGTATGCGTCTCCAGGCTAGCCAAGGTGGTGGAGGAGCAGGGCCGCGAGCTGGAGGTCGCGGAACAGGAGCACGCGGCGCAAGCGGATGCGGTGCAGGCCCTCAAGGCGGAGCTGGCGGCACTCAAGGCCAGCCACGCAACACTGAGCGCGGAGAACGGCGACCTGCGCATGCTGGCCGGCGAGGCGGGGGCCACGGTGAGCGGAACGGTGGCTGTTCAGGATGGAGCTTTCGTTTTGACGTTCATTCTGCGGGGTGGAGGAAAGGACACCGGGACGATTTGAAATGCAGCTTCAATGAAGCTTTCAGGTTCAGAGTGATATGGCCCACTTACATAACTCTTAACGTCCTGCAGGGTTCGAGCTTTTCGGGCAAGAAGATAATCATTTCTGTCCATATATATGTTTTTCGAAGTGCCGCTACTCTTCGAGCTGTCCGCAAACTGGTGTTCTTTGAGCTGCCGTTGATTCTTAAGTTGTTCGATGCCGTTGATTTTGAGCTGTACGAGAATGGTTCTTCTTCGCGGTGCTGTTGGTTCTTGAGCTGTTGGATTATTCATCGTACATGTTGCTCTTTGGTTCAATGCAGGTTCCTGAGCGCCGCCCGGCCCGCAAGTCCCGCGAGTCCCCCACCCGCAACCTGGGAGGCGCCATGGAGCAAGCAGCCCCAGCGCCCAAGCGACAGAAGAAGGCGCCAGGCAAAGCCGTCAAAGTAAGCCGCCACACGGAGGGAGGAACGCTCTCTAGCATACTAAATCCATCGTCCGCAAGATCCGAGAAAGGGAGCTCGCATCCTCCTTCTGGTCCCTTTTTCTACCGTCGTTCCAATCATTGATTTAGGTGCTCCTTCTTGGGTGTAGGGTGCGCTCCAGTCGAAGGCTGAAAAGGGCGGAAGCAACGTGGCACCTGAGGAGGAAGCTGGCAAAGCAGCGCACGAGGCCGGAGCAGGCAAGGAGCGGGAAGCGAAGGACATGCCGGCGGAGCCCGAGTAAGGAAGACGGACGTGGACGGATCGAATTCGGGTCAAACTGCTTCGGTCTCGATCGTAGTCGCTCTGGCGGGCATGTCTGCAAAAGGCTTTATGGGCTTTTGTGAGCCGTTACGTTTGTAATCGACATGCGTTCCGTGACGACGTGTCACTCAGCTGCCACGAGGTAATGTTTGTGACGATCATCGGAAAAGACAATGTGAACAACTCTTGCTGCTGTTCTCGCCAATCGCAGGAAGGACGACCCGGAGCGACGGTTCTCGCCCCGCCTCAAACGGCCAATCAGCGGTGAGGGGCTCGCTTGTGTCTCTTAACCTAGGCACACGATTAACGAGATTAGAAGACACTCGTCCGCAACCCTCCCGTCCCTGTTTTGAAATGGGCAGGGAACCTCATGGTGGTTTCGAAAGTAACTTGAGGGGCGCCAACGTTCAGTAGGGAAGTGGAACTACATTTGGTTGGATAACAGCCAGAGTCGTCAAAAGGGTTGGAGATTATAGTCACCCTCTGTCTGACCGTCCAGTGACGCAATTGTGAGGTCGGAGCTGCCGACTCGGTTTGAGACGAGCACCCGGGTACTCTAAGTCGTTTTGCTTCAGTACATGACCGTGGTTTTCAAGCTTTAACTGCATCTTCTATGTTGTGGGCGACCGGCTTAGGAACCTCCCCTCTTGAGATTCTCTCACATGCCTTGGTTTTAGCGGAGAGCCGGCAGTCTGGGCGGCCGCCGTTGCCCTGTGCCGGCGGCGCGGGGCAGCCCCTGGAGCGGGACCCGAAGAGGGCCAAGCTGGAGCAGGCGGCGGCGCCGCCCGCGAACTTGGGGCAGGGCTGCGAGCAGGTAGGGAGCCTTTGATTCGACTTGACGGCCTGTCTGGAGGCGGATGGGAAGAGCGGGGCCCGTGCTCTGTTCAACAATCCGAGGTGCTCGTTCAAAGGAACACGACCCTGGAATAACCTGAGAGTCAGTGTCACGCTGTATTTATGGTCCATAGAGAGTGCCGCTATGGACCATAAATAGCGGTTGCCACTGAGTGTGCGAGCTGGCGATGTACCATGAACGCAGTTTAGACATCAAGAGCGGTTGCCTTTCAGTATTGGGGTCCGCACGAGAGGCGGGTGCTGAGTCTTTCCTTGCGCCTGGTGAAATGAGTTACTGTCCTCTGACGCTAAGTGACTCTCGCATGTGTAGGCCCCGCGCGCCCCGCTGCAGGCCGTCCCCACGAACACGGCCCCGGCGAGCAGCCACGTGGACGTCCCCAAAGGCTTGAAGCCCAAGAGGACCCTCGCACCCAGTGCCTCCAAGGTCTTGATGGGACTGCCGCCGAGGGAGCCGCCCAAGTCTCTGTTCGGCAAGGCGTTCAAGGTGCCGCAGCTGCTGAAGGCGAAGGCACAGACAGGCACAACGTCGCAGGAAGTAGACCAGGCTACCCTTATGTCTCCATGAAGCTGGACCCGACAGGAAATCATTGGCACACGTGTCATGATCATCCGCCTGCACATACTAGCAACTGGACATTGCGGAAATTGTGGAACTTCAAAGTAAGAGCATGGCGTGAGCGACCTTCTTGTACCAGCCCTGAATCGTACTGCCAACAGGAAGATACTGTTTCCAGAGGCTGCTGATGCAGTCACTTAAATTGACGCAGATCTAGTTTTAATGGATCATGCGAGCCGTGTGAAATTAGTGAGGACGATTGACCAGTCCGAGCAGCAACAGCAAGCAAGAATGCAAATTCTCGGAAAGGGTTGAAGCGGGCCGCTGCGTGGCACAGCTTGCGCATTTTGACCTGAACCATGGGGGTTGTAGCGCAGTTTTCCATGTGCGGTTCATAATTGGAAAATTTTCTAAGAGTTTTTCTGAGATTCGAGGTAAACAGGCTTTGGAACAAGGTGGGGCACAATCAAAAACTCACAGCTACCAAGACACGGTCAGACAGACATGCACCGGCCGGTGCATGAATCCTTTGTGCACATGCCACGTACATGTGAAACACATGTGCTACCCGTATGGAAACGCAACCTCGATATTTTCAACATGACGTAGTGCGCTCTATGAACATTGACTGACACCAGAGTTAACTTAGGGCATTCAGCCACGCACGGCCGCCTAGCTCGGCGGCAGCATCCCGTTCAATATCGTGCACTTGCCAGGTGCGTTAGTCTACGATCATTTAATTGATTGACATGGCTAGTGCTGGCAGCGCGATCATCAGTGCGGCCAACTTTAGTAGCTAGCGCTAGATCTATATAGCTACGTACGCTCATGTCCGATATAGCGGCGGCCGGCCTGGTACTGATATCGATCTATACTAAAGGGCCCAGCGCGCCGGGCCAGCCGAGTGCACCATGGGCGGAATTCCATTGACCCCCGCGGCCTCATGCCATATGTACTCTGTCGAATGTATATGATTTAAAATATCGCGTGTTTGTCATGGTTCAGCTTATGCATGCCAGTCGTGGTCTACGTGTGGCTTCGAAATGTATCCCAACGATCGCAACACGGCAGCCCGGCCAGCGCTGAAGTGCAGGTCAAGCTAAGTACTAGCTAGGATCATTTCAAAGCAAGAGCTCAAAGAAGCGGCCACCTTGATCAGATATTGATACAATGCTGCATAAAGTGAAAGACAAACGGAAATCTTCCTTGACAAAGGTGCGTTACTTACAAGTAAGTGAACGCTCGTGCAAGCAAGTAACCATCAATGGCAATCCAAAGTGCCCCAATCGAATAATTCTTGCCTTTCGTACAACACGTGCAGGACCTTGGTTCTTCTATTGTCCAGTACCTTCTTACCTAACCTTCCGGCTATTCAATTACGACTTCCTCTTTCCAGCCACCTTCGGGTTGCCGCCGGGGCACAAGTCCGCCCGACCCCTCGCGCGACGCCGCTGCAGGACCCTCCTCCCGGTAGGAGTGGCCATCCGTGCCCGGAAACCGTGAACTGCCGCCCGAGACTTGCGAGAGCGCGACCGCTTCATGGCACCCTGCCCAGCTTTTCTGTTGCACTCAATGGTGAGTGGCCGCCGCACCAGGAATTGGAGCCGGCTGCAGCCGGGCTGGAGAGGGGTGCCTGCAAGACGATCAAACAAGTTGGTGAGCTATGCAACAGGTGGAGCATCTTCATAGACTCGACTATGTTGAGTATGTTCGTCGCAACCAGAAAATTGTACTGGTTGCAGGGGAATCTGAGGTGCAACAACTCCGATAGTAAAGTTGGTCTGCACCTCAAAAACTTTATCACAATTAACTGTTATAGTCGGCAAGCCCTTCATCCAAGATTTCTAGCACCAGTGAAACCTGCTCCACACACAAAGCTAGCAGCCAGTCTCTTGATCCCGGTGGAGCATAAAACCGAGTTTTTAGCACCTTCAGACAAAACCTTCGGCGCAGTGTGGAGTTTGTCTTTATGTACCGGCAGTATGATGTGTTGCAAACCGCACGCGGTAAAACTTGCGTGATTGATTGGGGGCTTTGAAGAAGCTGGGCCAATCTGGCTTCTTAAGATCGCCTCATCTGTACCTCAATGCCAGCCAAGCATTTCGGCTGGAACCACAGCCGTGAGCTTCTTGAGCCAACAGAATCTGAGACACCCGTTCCGAGCGGAAATCCGTGATCCACTGTTGAAAGAGTCCTTTCAGTCAGGTGAAACAGTCCCAACTTTTCAGGGTGTGCCACCAAGACTCAAAGCACCAGGTCCAGAACACGCTTCTTAAGAAATGCTTTCAAGACACGGGCGTATCAAGCACACTCCAAAAGTCTGGTCTCGTGTCTAGCAGAGCGGACAGAGGAAACTTCCATATGAGACAGGAGACCCAGTCTGAAGCATACCGAATGCCTGTCAGTCAAAGTCATATTGCAGATAGTCACAAAATCACATTGCAGATGGGGACTGATACCTCAGCATGGATGCTCTGCTATCAGCATGAATGTTTTCTAACAGACTCAAGCTGGAGAGAAGACATTTCTTCCTGCAACAAGCTGCTACGCCGCTGTCATACCGCTGTCTGACACTCTGTAAAACATCACAAAGGCGCCCCTCATCCTCCATTGCCAGACTTAAGGAGTTGGCAGGTGGCCTGCTCATGATAGGCCTCAAGCTGGCAATGGTGACTCCAACCCCTCGCAATCACACCAGCCTTCCGTGAGCAAGATGCATTACAGCACAGTCAATGTGTACATTACAATCTGCCCAGCGCTGATTATCACCCCCTGATCGAGCAATGTATTGCCTCACCTGCCATGGCAGAAGAGAAGGAGCGGACAGGGGCGGCACTAAGGAAGCTGGAGCGGAGCCCGCTGCTCATAACAGGGGCCCTCATAGGAGAAGCCATTCTTTGCAGCACCCCAAAGCTCATGCCCCGCACACACCCCATTGCAGACGCCATTGCTAGAACACGTGAGATTCCCCAGAATACTTGCTCCGTTCTTCTTCCCCTTCGACACAGATTATTCCTACCAATGCGCCCCAACGAAACGTCTGCCCACGCAACTTCTGCAACTTCAAGCTGTCTTTCTTGACGTGGTAATGGTTGAAGGCGACCTGTAAATCCGTCCAGCATTGTTGAGCCAATGTATCACACAATTGGCGCCCCCATTGTCCGGCAGAATATACAGATTCGATTCGCAACCGCCGGGCACACAATCAGAACCGCATTATTTACAATTAGGCCTGAATATACCCTTACCGGGCGACTGGCCATAGGTCCTGTGAATATAGCGCCCCAATACATTGTCCGCTTATCTCCATGTCGGTTGAGCTATTTTGATCAACTGAGGAAGGGATTTGTGATAACGTTTGAACTCAGGGGTATCAGGGGAACCACATTTACAAATTACACGTTGGCTCCAGCTTGCGTGTTGGCTGCTTTCTTAGACAGTGAAAGACGCCAGGCCCTGGTTGGCAGGGGCCATCACAGCGTATCCACCAGGTCACCGCCATCAGCTCTGGGACCCACAACATCTTCGAAGGAAGAACTGTAGAAGCAGCCATGAGCGGAGGCTGCGATGTCAGCGACATGGAGGAATTAGGGTTTGAGAGCAATGCCACCGACGATGCCGCTCAGAATGGAGAGGATGAAAACTTTTCCCAGGTTTCAACTCGTCCTTTCAGACCGGAAAATGGGCATAGCTTGTGCAATGGCCCCCATAGTGCACGGCCACGTTGTGATGGCATGGGGTGTAGCTCAGGTGACTGTGCAGGCTCAAACAAGCAGCATGAGGACAGGGGAATGGCACAGGCGCCTGGGGTCAACGGTTTATGTGGTGGCACGCCAGCATCTTGCTCCTCGGCATGCGACCGGCACGGCGAAGAAGCAAGGGGGATGTCAGCAAACGGGGCATCTGTGAGGGTCACTGGAGACACGTCCGATGGCGGTGGTGGTGGTAGTGGCGAGACCGCTGCCAGGGAGGGCGCCCCGGCAGCGCCACTGTGCGTCAAGTGCCGTGCAGCCCCTGCTGAGGTTATTGCCAATCAGCGCGAGCCGTACTGTGGGGCGTGCCTGCGGGCCAGCCTGCTGTACAAGGTCAAGACGGCGATCAACAAGCACGCGCTCGTCCAGGCGCACGATGCCGTCCTGCTTGCCTTCTCAGGGGGGCACTCGTCCACGTAAGGGCGCCCAGCTGAATGTTTGCCTGAGCTTGCGAACCAATTGTATTCAAACTGTTTGCAAGGCCTTGAGCCTCTCAATGAGAGAACTTCCTTCACCCCGGCTCCATGACCGCCATGTCTCTCAGAACTTTTGTGCGTGCCTACAAGGCCTAGAGCGGCCCTTTTTTGTTTGCCATAGTTGGTGTCTGTAGCCAATGCCAGCTCACAGAGAAGCTTGCCCCCGGGCGAATCCCCTCTGCCAATTCCCCCCGCCCAGCCCCCAGCCTGTGCGCTTTACTATGCAGGGTGTTGCTGCACTTTCTTAGTGAGCTGCAGTCGCACGCCACTACCCCCCTGGCCGCTGCCGCCGACCGCGGCAAGACCGTCTTCCGTCTGGGGCTTGTCTTTGTCAGCGAGGCGGCCGTCCTGTCCCGCCCACACTACGATGGGGATGCAGACGTTGAGCGGATACGCAAGCTGGCAGCCCCTTTTGAGAAGAGGGGCTGTCGCGTGCACGTTGTCAGGCTGGAGGAGCTGTTCTTGAAAGGGAGGAGCCAGGCACATCAGGCTGCTCCAGAAGGCACGATGCCACGGGGCAGCCAGGACAGTGCGACAAAGGGGGTGGTACGAAACGATTCAGGGGATCAGTTGGAGGAAGGGAGGCCGGGTTACAGCGTCCCCCATACGGATGGATTGGCAGGGGCGTGGGAGCGGCTGCGGGCAATGGTGGCGCGCGTAGCCGATGCAACGGCGCAAGAGGACCTGGTGGAGATGCTGCGCACAGAGGCGCTGCAGCAGGTGAGGAATGCGGGCCACTGGGACAGCTGTCCTTCTGGGCATGGGGAGCAGTTTCCCACCTTGTACAGAGTAGTCGACCATCTGCTTCTTATATCAAGAGATGACGCCGTTCCATATGTTTGCCTTCTCACTTGCCTGACGAAGTTTTTGCGTGGGTGTGGCAGGTGGCGGTGGAGCATGGATACACGAAGATTGCCACAGGGGTGTGTGCGAGCCGGCTGGCGGCGGAAGTGCTGACTGGGACGGTCAAGGTGAGGACGCGCAAGCAGGGGGGCAGCACGAGCAGCCCACACAGTGACGTGACCTGCTGGGAGGCGCCGAAATGTGGAAGCAAGCAAGGCTAATGTGGCGCTGTATCTTGAGCCGGAGGAGCGAAGTGTATGTATTGAAGTTGTTCATTGGGCCTGTAAGCTGGCGCCCCGTATGGGACGAATATGCACCGGGGCCGTTCAAGCAGGCCAGCTGTTTGCAGCCCAGGTTCCCGAAGGGCGGCGTCAGCTCACTTGCGCATCCTTCGCCTTACCTCGCAGGGGCGTGGCTTCTCCCTGCCCGCGGACCTGCAGGCCGTGGACCGCCGCCGCACGGTGCCCGTCATCGCCCCCCTCCGCGACTGCGTCATCAAGGAGCTGGCCACGCTGTGCACGCTCAACCGGTAAGTGCCACGTGGCAGCATCGGCGAGCTGTGCGACTTCCGTCTGTTGGAGGGGCAGCGCCCATCTCGATGAGATGAGAGAAAGGGAGCGTGCCAGGCACATATATCACGGGTTGACCCACTGCCGACGAGTCTCGTCTCGTCCCCGCGCTAATGTAGGCGCCCTTGGCTGCAGGTGGCCCACTACGTTTGTGCCCAGCCTGGACGCAGGGCCTACGGCGCGGCCGTCCCTCAACCGCCTCACCCAAGACTTCCTCACCCTCATTGAGGTCAGCTCCCGTGCGCGTATTCTGGCCCACTGCCGACTCCCTGTGCGTAGCATTTTTGCGCACCCCCTGCCCTCTCTCGTAGCCCTGTGCACACTGTTCCGTGCCGTGCAGTGTTGTACTGTGCCTAAGGCAGTAAGCCGGCACTGCTCACCAACTGGGACGGCTGCTCCCGGAAACGTTGCTGACGTGGGCCTGCTTGATGTGTGCTCCCAGGACGACCTCCCCGGGCGCACCCTCACCATTCTGCGCACCGCGGGCAAGCTGCAGCCCTTCCCGTTCAACGCCTTCCCTGCCCTGCCCCCCGGCCACCGTGCACGCCTGCAGCCCGCTCAAGGCACCGAGGCAGCGGCCGAGCCAGCGGATGGGGTCAACCTGTGCGCCTTGTGCCGTGCACCCCTGACCAGTGCAGAAGTGCAGGACGGGGGGGCGGGAGAAAGAGGAGCCAGGGGGCCCGAGAGCGAGCCAGGCCAGCGGTTAGGGGCTGATGCGGGAGATGGTGGGAACGAGGGGCGCGACACTGCGGAACAAGCGCGGGCAGAGCAGGCCGAGGAGCGGAGGGGAGCGGCGGCGCCGGCAGGGGACCAGCTGCGGGAGAATGGGGCGGAGGTAGGGAGCACGGGCGGAGAGAGCGACGGGCGAGGGGTAGAAGTTGCGTCCGTAGGACACGAGGCCTCCAACGGAGACTCCCGAGGCAGCAGTGGCGCGGGACGAGGGGTTGTGCCGCCAGGCCCGCAGTCGGAGGCGAGGCCGGGCGGCGTGGCGTGCTGTCGCAGCTGTCGGGAGCAGGTGCTCGGAGGAACGGGGGGAACGGCCAACCCGGCGTGGCTGCACGACTTGCCGTGGCTCGACCGAGCAGGGGGGAGAGCGGCGGAGGAGGCAAGGAGAGACCGCATGAGGTGAGGAAAACAACCATCGAAGTCGGGGCTGGGGACTCAGGTCGATCCCCCCGAACCGCCAATGTATTCTAGTTGCTAAGTACGACTTTTCGAGTGCCATGTTCACAAGCGCCACTCTTATTGAGTTCCGGGCTTAAGTGCTGAAAAGATTCAGGGTGGATTCATCAATCTCGTCAAGCTTCAACTTTCATCGAGTTGCACATACATGAAGCATTGACACTCTCCTCTCGATCCTGCTCCAGGAACAAAATTCAAGACTTCCTTTTGTAAGGGACGTCCAGGGTTAGCACGCAATTGTACCTTCGCTATTTTACCTGGACGGCAGCCCCAAGTTGGGCGCAAGGGGTTCCAAGTGGGTCGTTTCTGGCTACTTCACTTCAATTGGGGACATGGTCTTCAAAGTAGCTTCAGCCACAACATAATCCCTCCGCCAGGGCAATGGGCAGCTCGCGTGTACAATGGACGATGTCAGTGGGGGTGTTGGTGCCTGGCAGTACAAGTAGACATTCTGCTCGGTTGCATTTTCAAGTCACATAATCCCTTTCAGATGATCCTTGAAGCAGAGATGCATCCACTCATCGGCACCTGATGTATAAAGGTGTTATCCGCATGCTTGCGTTTCTCACTGGCATGCTTGCCAGGTTTTCATTAATGCTAGTGATCTGATTGTTAGCTTGCGAGCCAAATCCATTCTGACCGTTCGACCCGAATGTTTGGTAATTCAATTGAGGCCGCCCATGGCATCACGCGATTTATCATACATCCTCGTATGAATGCTCTTAAGCAGACCTGTCGCATAAACTTGAACTGATGTGAACGCATCTGTGAATTTCAAGAACCATGCATGGCACTATGTAGCACGTTGTGCGAGCTGCGGCGAACCTACCTTATCGGGTAGAGAGAGAGAGTACACCACGCTAAAAGAGGGCAGGCGGGCTTAGTGCAATGATGCACCGTTCCTCAGCGCTTATGGTATCATACAAAGCATTGTTTCGGCGACCCGTCAGCATGACGCCGTGAACGTGCAATGTATCATCACAGAGCTTGAAAATCTGCGAAGCTTCCATGCTTGAGCATACCGAATCCTTGCATTGAGCGTTTCCTCTTCCGGGTTTCCGTCCTGCTTCCGGTTTCGGAATTCCGCGGAATATCACGCGGACTGAGCCGGGTAGTCCTCGTCAACAAGTATAAAAGTTTTATCCAACTGTACCGAGTAATAATTGGTTCTTTTGCCAAGTAAAGAGTCTCGTCAAATGAAACTTACGCCATGAGATGAGGGAATTGGAACCATTACCACTTGTTCCTTGCATGAGCCGAGGCCGTCGCCACAAGGCTTGCATATCCTGATCAGAGGCGACGTAGCGTCGTAGGTACGTGCATTGGCATAGGCAAGGGGTGGAGGAGTTGGCGCTCTTGGCCTCTTTCGAGGGCTTGCATTGTTGGTAGGTGTGGCAGCATGGCTCATGCCATGGAGTGTGTCCGGGGCATGAGCTACGGCCTGCTTCAAAAGGTGACAGGCCCCAGAGAAGCGACAGCAGGAGCGCCAGGAAACTGTGCAGTGCGGTCAAGCTTCCTGAGCACACTGACTCTTCGATCCTCCTCTTCAGCCATCTCAGGTGAGACACACATTTCTCTTTGCCCTTGCTCTTGGCAGAGGGTCAAACAGTTGTCTCTCTTGGCATTCTATATGGCGTTATGATCATGTACAGTACTTCGAACTAGGATTTGAAGAAGCACACCGTTGCCACAGGGAGCCTGCTGCAGGCGAGGCAGCTGGGGATTTTATGCTTGCGCTCGGTGTCTTGCCATTCCTTGAAGAGCCACTCGGTGCATTGGACTGGGTTTGCTTCTCCAGAGTGCAAGGTCGATGAGGTGATGGGAGTAGGGCCGCTGACACCTACTCGGGCCAGTTCCTTTGACCCTCCGTCTGTCAAGCTGGCAGCGAATGTGGGCACAGGTTCATTGCAATTCCCGGAGCCTGCGAGTAGCACAGCCTGGCTGTCCAATGCTTACAGCCTCCGCATTGGGCAACCCTAATATGCCAGCACATGTAGCGAGACAAATTGTGGGCACCCCCCTGCAGGGCTACTCACGTTGGGAGAAGTTGTCTCCTATGCATCTGAGCGTCCAGTATGCACCTTGTTTGCCCCTGATGAGTCGTTTTGCCATTACGGTTGTCTTGCTGATGCGTGCCGGCGGGTTGTAATTCTGTTGCAGGCCCTGCTCTGCCCCAAAGCTCACAGCTGGAAGCCCGGCGGTTGGGCTCCTTCAGGGTTCAGGTGAGCGACGCCAGCAATCGAGTACCCACAGCACAGAAGTTTGAACGCGCGTAGGAAAGCTGCGCGACTCTTGATGAGTCGGGAGTCTGGTCGAGCGTAGCCATGCTACGGTTGGGCTGCCGTTTCAAATCGTCACTGCCCGGCCCAGCGTTGAAGCTACGTGCAAATGTTGGGGGAGACCCCTTTCCTAGCCCGTTTTCAGGAGCCGTAGGAACTTTACCATCACGGTCAGGCGTCGGCAGCTTGGGGGCCCGGTGGTTGTGTTGCGGGCCCCTCAGCTCGATTGCTGGCTACTGCAGACGCAATCACGCATTGCCCCCACCTTGCAATCCTGGCCTGTCCTTGCGCAGGCGGCCGTCGCAGAGGCAGAGGCGGAGGCGGAGGCTGCGACGAGCACGCGGCTGAAGAAGTTGTACACAGAGAAAGTGCTGCAGCGGCTACACGGCCCCGAGGGCTTCTCCAATCTGAACCGCGTGCCGCGGCTGCAGAAGATCGTAATCAACTGCGGCCTTGGGGAGGCCAGTGATGACGCCAAGTCGCTGGCGTCCACGCTGCAGGACCTGTCCACTATTGCGGGCCAGAAGGCGGTTGTCACACGGTCCAAGAAGGCCATTGCCGGGTTCCAGATCCGCAAGGATGTGCCGGTGGGGGTGTGCGTGACGCTGCGGGGGGAGGCGATGTTTGCGTTTTTGGACCGGTTGATCAACCTGGCGCTGCCGCGTATTCGCGATTTCCAGGGGCTCAAGCCCAGCAGCTTTGACGGGAAGGGCAACTTCCACCTGGGCCTGCAGGAGCAGCTCATGTTCCCTGAGATTGACTACGACCAGGTGCAAAAGGTGCGCGGCATGGACGTCTCCTTTGTCACTTCCGCGCGCGACAACGACGAGGGCCTGCAGCTGCTCACCGCGCTCGGCATGCCCTTTCAAGGAACAAAGGGCAAGTAGACACAGGCTGCGGCAGGGCCATCGAGTGGGGTGCTAAGACGCGCATTGGCAGTTGGGAATGGGTTTCCCGACATCAGTCCAATCGTATTGTTGGATTCCACTGCCCTTGTCAGAGTTCGTAAAACATATACGAATGAGGTATTGTAAAGTGAACGAGAACAACATCTGGGCAGCCTGCGTTGACTTATTTGGCTGCATCTTACGTCAACCACCAGCGCCTTCGATGTTCCCCTTGCCGCCAGGCGTGACCCCCTTCATCCCTTCATGGAAGACGGTCTCTGCGGCTGGCCTTGGCGTCGATTATGTGGACTCGTTAATGAGATCGGACTCTTCTTTAATCATGATAAGCTGCGTGCGCAGCGCTCAAGTCCGTTGGACCCTGGTCAGCTTCTCCCGCGGCACAGCAGGGGCTAGTGCGTGCAGGCCATACACTGCTTTGAGGCTGCCGCCAACTTGGACTCGCGGTCCGGTCGGACCCAGTTGCTTGTTAGGTCATCATGTGTACGCCGGGTGTTCGGCCACATATCTTGCACATATGGTAGGCAAAGTTATGATTATAAAGGAACCGTCTATGTATTCAATCATATTGAGCATGTGCGGCGGCGCGGCACTAAGTTATTGCACATCTATACTTATAGCTTCTACTGCATGAATAGCTAATATAGACGATCAGGCATACTATATTTGTTCGAATCTATATTCATGATACGTTTGACTATAGCCGGTGCATATATGTGCCATGGCAAGTGTGGACGTTCTAGCTCTAGATAAATCGAATACCATGTCGGACACGTGCATATGGACAGTGACCATGCGCACATTGAGTGTCCAATGATATATCATGCACGCACGTTAGTATGTATGATCACCTCATGCTGGCATGTCATGCAACTTAGCTTGATATGCAATATTAGTGGAGCATGCATACGAATTAGTACTAAGGATACCCGACTTGCTGAGCCGCCCAACTTCACTGTGATAGACCCGATCGATATTAGTTGCATATTTACGAGCCTGCATGTCCACTCATTCGCAAGGTTGGACCATGACAACTGGACGTACGATGTGGCCGGCAAGGACGTATCGAACCCGGAAACGACAAGCCGCCTTTCTCTGTCATACCAAACTTGAAAGTAAGTCGTATTTACTCGGACCCAGACTGGCTAACTAAGCCAGCCTATCCTCTGGCAGCATCGGTCATGGCTTGGATGTGAACCGCGTAAGGAAGCTAAGAACAGTCAGTTCGAAAGAGCATTGCACAACTCACGTCTGGTATATCTAACTCAACGGATTTTACTGGCTCTTATTTGCGGTGTAACTTTGGTGCATTCAGTTGAACTTGTTTTGTATTTGCCGGTGTATGTGAATCAGGTACTCCACGTAGGACTGCCCGTACTGCGCCTTGTCCTCGACCAGGCACTGGAAGAAGGCCGGCTCTGCACCACACCGCCAAACACCGCCACGTCAGATCGCACCAACGCACACAACACGCACGAGCACTTCAAACTTCATGCAAGCAGCCTTACACGACAACAATCCCATTTGTGCTGCGCCGCACGTCATTGCTGAGGCGAGCTGTGGGGCGGGTGGCTCACCCAGGGGGTCCCCCCGTTTGAGGATGCGCAGGCGCAGGTAGGAGCAGCGCTGCCGCCGGATCTCGTCGACCAGGTCGTTGAGGCGCTGCGAGAGCGGCGAGTCGAGGCGCGCCAGCTGCAGCTGCCCCGGCGCCACCTGGTCCAGGCTGCGCACGCCAAACAGCGCGGCCAGCACGTCCGGCGCCGCGGCCTTGCCCGCCCACAGGAACGCGTCCTCGCCGTTCTCCAGCAGGTATACGCCCTCCGCCTCCAACTTCTCGCTGCTCAGCCCCACCACCGCCGGCAACCCCGCGCCGCCCGCGGCCGCGGCAGCGCCGTCGGACGGCAGCTCGTGCACGGCGAACATGCGCGGGTACACGAGCGGCACGGCGAGGGGCACGGGCAGGGCGGCGACCTTGGCGAGCCACGCGGCGCGGTCGTCGGGGCGCATGTCAGTGCGCAGGCCGGGGCTCTTGGCGAGCGCGAGCATGTAGAGCGGCAGCAGCTTGAGCGCCTCGGGCAGGATGAGCTGGCCCGCGCTGCTGCTCGTGGCGCAGTGCTTGCGGTATGCGTGCAGGATGGACACCGTCTGCGCCGTGATCGAGTCGCGAATCTGGGGCACCGGCACGCGCGGCACGTCCGCCGCCGCTGCACCACAACCAGCACCCCTTCAGATCGACCTGGGGCGCTACAGCTTCATGCCCAGAAAGGAACTCAATGGATCGTTTCGTAGTGTCCTCAACATGTTGGCCCCTTCGAGATGAAATGTCATCGTCTCTGGGTTAAACCCTTTAGCATGATTACTGGCATGCAGCAACGGGGATATGGACGAGCCCCGGAACCAAATTGAATGACTGACTGACAGCAGCTCGACAGAAAGAAATCAGCAAGGCCGCCACGAGAAGGGCGGTCGGAAGCGTTGAGCAGCCGTACCGCGACCTGGTCTGAGTATCGCCAGAATTGTTTCTTTCCAAAAAGGCACAGGGCAACCATGAGAACGGGGTCCGCACCTGTTTTGAGGAAGTAGGCGAAGTGCGCGTCCAGGTCGGCCCCGCGGAAGAGGTTCCCGAGCGCGGCCGTGACGGGCAGCGCGAGCGTGTGCACGCGGATGCGGCGCTGGCCGGTGACGGTGGTGTAGAGCAGCGCGCACTGGAAGGCGGCCTCGGCCGTCTCGGGCAGCTTCTCCTCGTGCCGCAGCGTCACCAGGAGCGCCTTGTCGCAGTCTACCGCGGGCAGGTCCACGTCGGTGGGGATGCGCCGGCAGAACGACCCCGAGTAGTCCGCCACCTGCAGCCCCTGCACACCGCCACAGCACCGCACAACACCCGCGTCAGCACCCACTCAAACCTTGCTCCCACTTCCAAGAGGATCGGAACCCAATCAAGGCAACGGTTGAGATCACCAGGAATCTACGAGTCCATACATGCCAACATCCTGACCTTCATGCTTGAACTTAGGCAAGTTGCATGTTGCTCCTCGGATCCTCTCAAACTGTTCTCACACTGCTGAGGGGGTAGACTTTCGGGCGCTGACCTGTGAGCAGCGCACGCGCATGACCGCCTCCAGCCCCTGCGGGCGCGTGAGGTTCCAGCGCAGGTCGTTGTAGAGCTTGGCGCTGTCCGCGGCCGCGTTGAACGGCTGGTACGTGTACAGGCTGCCCCCCGTGAGCCGCGGCAGCACCGCCAGGCTGGCCACGTCGCAGTAGCCCTGCGCAGTGACAAAGACGTCGAGCGACACCTGGAACTCGGCGGCCTCGGTGGCCAGCTTCTCCAAGGCCTTGTCCGCAGGCGCCAGCAGCTTGTTCACCTCCTTCTCGCCCACCGCGCCGCCCGTGCGGCCCTCCGCCTCGCGCGCGCTCAGCGAGGCGATGCCCAGCGACGGCAACACTGCGCACAGGAGCAACGCAACAGAACGAGATGAGCTCAGCAGGGGAGCAGACGGCAAGCAAGCTTGAGAAGCCCGTCGCAGGGTATACGGAGATCCTCCTTTCACAGAGGAATCTCGTTTGAAGAAAGTGTTCAAAACGAGTCGGTTGCCAGCTTGGAAAGGATCCGACAGAAAGTTAGATGCCCTCCATCGAAACCGGAACCGAGGCCGTGAGTCACTAGGGACCATGGCTGGTTTAGTCAATGCCCCATGAAATCTCGGCTCCTGAAGAGCGAAGACCGCACTGCGTTGGCGCGCTGACCTGCTTGGAAGACGAGGATCTTGCCCCCCGTGGCCTTGAGCGCGAGCATGGCGGCCTTCACGGCGGAGCCCATAGCGGAGTCCCCGACGCGGTTGCTCTGGAACATGGACGGCAGCGCCTCCAGCAGCGTGCCCAGGTGCTGACGCGCTGCGGGCAGCGGCACCGCCAGCCCGGCCGGCAGGGGCGCGTACGGGTCCTTAACGTCCGGCACGATGAGCATCTGCGGCTGCGCCAGGCTGGGGTTGATGTTGTAGAAGTGGATGCTCGAGTCGTACGTGGCCACGCCCACGCGCGTAGTGTCCGCGTCCGGCAGGTCGGCCAGCGCGCGCGCAATGGCGCTGCAGCACGCCGCGGTTGACCCTGTTGTGACGGCGTTGAGGGAGACGTCGACGAGGAAGAGCAGCGTGTGCGGCATGGGCGGGCGCACCATGTACTCCTTCGTTGCAACGAACTCCACGCTCCCGCGGGACAGCTCCGGCCGCTCCAGCACGTCACGTCGTCTGTGCGCAGTATAAGAAGGTCGTCAGCGAGAGTTTTTAGTGGCAAGTAAGCACTGACTAATCGTTGAACGACTCAATACAATCTGGCGTTTCCACAGAGTAAAGCCTGTATAAGAAGGAAGGCACCAGTCAGATGCAGAGCGTGCAAGGAGTAAGCGAAAGTCTGAATGCGACTCTTGTTGTGGTCAAACTAGCCAGCAAACCGACTCGAAACTTTGAGGGCATGCTTGACTGACATGCTGTCAAGCGGAGGCATCCGAAGGACAATCCAGGGTCTCCAAGAGATGACCCCCAGCACAGAAACGGCACTCGTGTTCAGAGCACACACTGGCAGCCCACTGTGATGTGGATGCAGGCTGACCTGCCGTCTGGGCCGAGGTTCATGACGTAGTCGCGCGGCGTCTCATTCTTCATGTTGCAGAAGTTGCAGGTGAAGCTGCGGCCCTGGTCCACGAACTGCATGAACGGGTTGATGTATGCCTTGCAGCGGCTGCACCGCACCGGCCCCGCCTCCCCGCAGTCCACCAGCGGCACCGCCTCCTCGCGCGGGTCGCCCAGCGCCAGCGGCTGCACGAGCAGCGCCAGCGGCATGCCCGCCGTCTTGAGCAGGTCCTCCGCGGCGGGCACCTGGTTGAGCGTGGCGCGCATCACGCGCGGGCTGCAGTTGCCCGTGTCACGCACCAGGTACGCGCCCGTGGCGGGAGGGGGCAGGTTCGCGGCGCCCGCCACGCGGGTCTCAAACACCGCAATGGTCTCCGCGGGCTGCGGGCGCGGGATCTGTGTGGGGTCGATATGGCTGGGGCCGGTGGGGGAGGTGCGCGGCTGGGCGGCCATGCGTGCGGGGGCGGGGGGGGTCATGCTGGGCATGCCGGGGGGGGGAGCCTGGGAGAAGTGGCCGAGAGCAACCAGTCAACGCAGGGCACTGGACCAGAAGACAGGGGCTAGAGAACCATCGTAAATTGTCTTTCCAATGCAGCATTCAAGGCCAATCAGCAATAAAAGCCCCTTGAAACCTTACTGACGTTGCTCTACATCTTCACAAGTATCTTCCGCGCAGGGATGAATACCGTCTCCACTTTCTCCACCCCCTGTGTGGCCGGCCACGCTAACTATACTTGCAGTGAACCAACAAAGGCCTCAGTGGGGAGCGGTCAAAAACAAGCATTCAGAGCCGTGTAACCCTGATGGCAGCTTCTCAATTTCGCCACACAATATATATAGCTCCATTCAATGGAGCCTCGATTCCAAACGGAACGAATTCCTGAGTATTCCTGATCAGCTCAAAAGCACAGTGATACCCAGGCTTACTTTCCAAAGAAGCATTGAGTTGCATATGCAGAACGTTCAACAAGCAGTCTCCACCTAGGGTTTTGTCAGACTGAACAGGTGGAAGGCGGCAATCAGAAGCACGCAGCAAGGTTGCATCACGATCAACTGCTGGAGATGGTGCTCCCTGGCTGAGAGCCATGGTGACTGGAGTCCGGTGACAGTGGCAGGCAGACAGCCAGCGTTGCCCCCTCACATAATTGGCTGGCGGCTGCCCTTGCCCCCCGGTGGTGTATGCCTGCGGGTATACCCTGCGCTGCGCTCCTGCCGCTGCCGCGCCGCCGGTCCCAAATGGGTGCTGAGCGGTGGCGGACGGGGAGCCTGTGCCAATCTGCAGGTTCTGGAAAGCCCCACCCAGCTGGCTGCCGGGGCCGCCGTACCCGCTCTGCTGCTGCCCCGCCATCTGCGGAGGAGGGGGAGACGGGCCGGCTGGCCGCGGCCCATACCCTGGCGCCGCCGAAGGAGGTCCTGCCTGCTGGGGAGGGGGCCCTGCAGCGGGGCGGGCCCCGGGGAAGCCTCCCGGCTGCGCAGCGGGAGGGCCCGCGCTCATCCCTGGGCCCCCTGGTGGACGAAACATCCCTGGCTGGGGCGGCGCCTGCCCGAATTGGCCGCCCCCAGGCTGCATCTGCCCGCCAAATTGTGGCGGTCCTCCATAACCTGGGGCGCCAGAAGGGCCTCCCTGCGGCCCTGCAAACCCTGGCCGTGCTTGGGGGGGTCCATACGGCCGCGCACCACCCGGTGGCCCCGCAGGCCTCCCTGCGTAGGCATCACCAGCCGGCGCAGAGGGACCCATCGGATACGGCCCTGAGGGCCTCTGCGGGGAGGCTCCGTACTGGCCCTGCGCTGATCCAGCTGGGCTGGGAGCAGCCCCGGGGTAGGGAGCGGCAGGCTGCGGGGGGGTGCCAAACGGCGGACCTGCCGTGCCGGGGGGCTGGAAAGGACCGGCCATAGGAGAGGCGCCGGCAAAAGAGCTGCCAATTGGTGGGCTCTGTTGGACGGGGGCGCCAGGTTGGGCGGGGCGGGCAGAAAATGGAGGGCCCTGGGAGCCAGGGGGGGAAGCGAAGCCGCCCGGGTAAGGAGACGCCATCGCAAGATCTCAAATGCTCAATCTGCGCCTCACCTGAGAGCTCAGGCAGCGGACGGTGGCCCGCACAACCGTTTGCCACCCCGATTGCGCAGCAATCACTGTCAGCAACTGAGCAAGCTGCAATTTGCAGTGGCAGAACAAGATACGCTACCGTCGTCGCTACTCAGACTCCGATCCCGAGTCGGAGGGGCGTTTCAAGTAGGCTGCCTGATTACGACGCCCTATGTAAGCTATCAGTATGGCAATTTGATTTGCATCTGACCTGTCGCCGATCGATCTGATGTAAGGCTAAATCATCCTACAACAAAATCTTGAATCAGGTCTTTTGAGGACGTATGCCACCACAATTTGGCGATTTTGTAACGGACCAGTTGTGCCAAAAATAAGAATTCTTCCAGCTTGCCAGCCTTGAACTTGAACTTGAAGTTGATCATTGGAAGAATTAAACGTTATGCCAGCACTCCTGCAGAGAGGATGGCGGTCATGGAAATGGACCGTGAGCCGCCCTCGTTTGCTTAGCATCGTGGCCGGAGCCTTTTTGCAGCTGAAGTTGAGGTGCTCACTTGCTCGGCCTGACGACAACGGTCATCACCACCTCTGTTGGTTGAGTTGATCCGGAGCTTTCGCCATTCCTGTGCAGCATACAAGGTGCTGTACAGGCAGGATTCCATTCGGTGCACAAAATCGTGGTCCGATTTGCATAGGCTAGGCTTTCGACCCTAAAAGCAACTGCTGAGATTTGCGTAGCTGCCCGACCACTTGAGGATAACCTCGATTTGCGCTGAACACGTGGTGGAAGTTGTTGCAGACAAAGGTCGTGTGCCGCTTTGGTCTGATCCTTGTTTGAGGGAAAGATCTGCACCGCAACTTTTGGTGCTGGTGGACTGCTGCCGTTTCCTACTGCCCCCAAAATGCAGCGCCCCCCTGGGCCTCCCCCGCCGTACTTGCAGCCGGGGCAGCAGCAACAGCAACCAGGTGGGGATGGCCTCAGCGGCACATGAGCATTGTGCGCATCTGCGCACCTATGCATGCTGTTGCAGGTTGCTATCTGGACCATGGATGCATGCACTGGTCCTTCGTGCTATCGAGCAATCAAAGCTGCACACCCGTACCTGTGCTGGTTAACTCCCGTTGCTTAAAGACTAGCACCTCTGGAGCAGCATTCAATTCATCTTTCCCTCTCTTGCATTGCTTTGGCTGGTGGTTTTGTTTGTTCTTCTGATTGTCTGGCTGCCTGTCCTGACTGTCTGTGTGTGCACGTGCAGGCCAGCCCCCCCAGCCGCAGCCTAATGCCCCTCCGCCTGGCCCCCCTGGCCCCGTCCCGTCATTCCGCCCCTCTGCGCCTGCCCCTGGCGCCCCCCCTCCTGGTGTGCCTGGTCCCGTCCGCTATGCTGCTCCTGGGGTGCCAGGCCCCCCTCCCTTTGCTGGCGGTGCCCCCCCTGTGGGCCCCCCTGCCATGCCGGCTGGCCCCAGTAGTCAGGGCCCCCCTACTCCCTTTTTCCAGCCCCCTGCCATGGCCCGACCTCCAGGCCCGCCCCCACCCTACAGCCAGCCTTCCGGGCCGCCACCTCCTTACGGGCAGCCTCCCGGTCCTTCTGTGAGGCCTCCTGCGTACAACGCCTACCCCACTCCCGGCCCAACCTACGGAGCCGCCCCCGTCCGCCCTGCCCCCAGCCCTTACACCGGCTACAATGCCCCCCCTGTCACCCAGATGGGCCCGCCGCCCCCCGCTCCGCTGGGTGCTGTGCGGCCCCCACCTTCTTTCGGGGTGGGTGGCCCTGCTGCTGGCGGGCCCGGCCCTGGCCCCGCTGCGGTCCCCTTTGCCGGCCCACCTCCTGCGTATGGCGAGCCTGGCGTGCCCAGCCAGCCCCCGCCGCAGTCCCCGCGCCAGCGGCTCCTTCAGCAGCAGGCGGCCACAGCGGGGTACCCCCCTGCGCCTGGCCCGTACGGCTACGGCCAGCAGCAGGCGCTGGTGGAGGACTTTGAGAGCCTGACCCTCACGCCGCAAATGGGGCCCGGGGGGGCCACGGACACAGTCGCGAATGCTGAGGCGCTGCCGCGGCCATTGGCGGTTGCCGACGTGCCGCCGTTCACAGCGGCAGCCAACAGCCCGCCCACCTTCTTCCGGTTGACCTGCAACGCCATCCCCAGCTCCGGCAGCCTGCGCGCCCGCTGGCACCTCCCGCTGGGGGCCGTGCTGCAGCCCCTCGCGCGACCCCAGAAAGGGGTGAGCGTGCCACAGAACTGTCGTCTAGCCAGCGCACCTGCGCCTTGTTGACATCGATGGGATGATAGTACGGCACAGGTTTGGTTGCCTGGGTTCTTTCTGACCGCTTGGCAGTGCTCTTGGATTGAAGGGAGTTGACGCATAGTGTTGTGTCGCTTCTTTTTCAGGAGGAGGTCCCCGTGGTCAACTTTGGCCCTTCAGGCATTGTGCGCTGCCGGCGCTGCCGCACATACGTCAACCCGTATGTAACCTTCACCGATGGGGGTCGCCGCTGGCGCTGCAATGTCTGCGCCCTGCTTAACGAAGGTGGGTGCGGATACGTTAATGGGAGGCCCGATCAGGCCCAGTCTTTCTGCACTGGTGGCCTCATACTCCCTTTTCAGCAGCCCCTATATCCCAAGCATTTTATTGTACGCTGACAGCCTACGTAATTGCGGGGTGGTGCGCAGTGCCGGTGGAGTACTTTTGCGCGCTGGACGCCAATGGGCGGCGCCAGGACGCGGACCAGCGGCCGGAGCTGGCGCGCGGCAGTGTGGAGTTTGTGGCGCCGCAGGAGTACATGGTGCGCCCGCCCATGCCGCCCGCCTACCTCTTTGTCATCGACGTCTCCGCCAACGCCGTCGCCTCCGGCATGCTCCCGGTGAGTTCGTCTTGGAGCATGCGGCCAGCATGATCTTGGTTTATTCAACATGGAGTGCACCATCGTTTGCTTTCTTGCTCGCTCGTCTTCCGTCGCTCTCCCTTCGCTATACCTTTTGCGACTAGTGCAGATTCCGCGTGCTCTGCTCTGTCCTCCTGCGCCGCTCTGACCTCGACCTGTCCGCCTGTTCAGCTGCTGTGCGGTGCGGTGCGCGCCAGCCTGGACCGGCTGCCCGGAGACTCGCGCACGCGCATCGGCTTCGTCACCTTCGACAGCACGCTGCACTTCTACAACCTGAAGGCCAGCCTGGCGGCGCCCCAGATGCTCGTGGTCACCGACCTGGAGGACCCCTTTTTGCCGCTCCCCGACGAGCTGCTGGTCAACCTGAGCGAGAGCCGCGCTGTGGTGGATGCGCTGCTGACCAGCCTGCCCGCCTTCTTTGCGGGCAGCACCAACCTGGAGGCCGCGCTGGGCCCTGCGCTGAGCGCGGCGCACCTGCTGCTGGCGCGCCTGGGCGGCAAGGTGCTGCTCTTCCAGGCCGGCCTGCCCAGCCTGGGGCCGGGCCGCCTGCGCACGCGCGGGGACGACCCGCGCCTCTACGGCAGCGACCGCGAGCACACACTGCGCATCGCAGAGGAGGCCTTCTACAAGAAGACGGCCGCCGAGTTCAGCCGCGTGCAGATCGGGGTCAATGCCTACCTCTTCGCCAACTCGTACATCGACGTGGCGTCCCTAGGTGAGCATGCGCCATCCCTGGCAGGGGAGGCAAGGCAGGGCTGGCCTCCGTTAAGGGGCCTGAAACGCAGTATGCGATTACACATTCACCGCTTGTCTTGTAAGCGCTGTCTGCAGTGGACGCTCGCCGAACCCATGAAAACAGCTGCCGATACGATTTTCTGCCTGTCGTTCGCGATTTTGAACGGTCAAGTCCTATGGGTTTCTTCTCCAGTAACTGCCGGGGAAGGTGCCCTGGTTTGGCCCGCTGCTGTCCCCCTCTGCCTCTGTTGTCCACGACTGACATGCGCGGTGGGTGTGCAGGCACTCTGCCGCGCTACACGGGCGGGCAGGTGTACTTCTACCCCGGCTTCACCCCCGCCGCGGACGGAGCGCGCTTTGCGTGGGACCTGCAGCACGACCTGGAGCGCGAGACGGCGTGGGAGGCGGTGATGCGCATCCGGTGCGGCAAGGGGCTCAAGATCAGCAGCTTCCACGGGCACTTCTTCATCCGCTCCACGGACCTGCTGGCGCTGCCGTGCGTGGACGAGGACAAGGCGTTCGCCATCCAGATCAGCCACGAGGAGCAGCTCGTCCCGCAGCAGACGGTCTACTTCCAGTCCGCGCTGCTCTATACCAGTTCCTCGGGCGAGCGCCGCATCCGCGTGCACACGCTCGCCGCGCCGCTCGTGGCCGACCTGGGCGACATGTACAAGGCCGCCGATGCGGCCGCGTGCGTCAACGTGCTGGCCAAGCTGGCCGTCGAGAAGTCGCTGTCGGACCGCCTCGAGGCGGCGCGCGGCGTGGTGACGGCCAAGGCCATCCAGGCGCTGCGCGAGTACCGCCAGCTGTACCCCGCCGCGCAGCTGCGCACCGCGGGCGGGCGGCTCATCTACCCGGACACGCTGCGCCTGCTGCCGCTCTACGCGCTGGCCGTCACCAAGGCCACGCCGCTGCGGGGCGGCTTCCAGGAGGTGAGCGCCCGACGAGCGCGGCTGCCCCTTGCTGCTGGGACCACTTGCCTGCTTACTCCATGGCATGCTTGCCGGTTGCTAGGCTGCTGGCCTCCTTCATCTGACGTGCAACGTGGTGTGCGCAGGTGACGCCCGACGAGCGCAGCTTCGTGGGGTACGAGCTGATGACGCTAAGCGTGCCGCGCCTGCTCAAGCTGCTCTACCCCACGCTCTTCCGTGTGGACGGCCTCCCCCCCGAGGTACGGCCCGAATACCGCAACGCACGCCCCTCAAACCTCATTGCCCGGCGTCCTGCACCATCGCTGCCCCAGCCCGCTGGGTGCGCCCCCCTCACGTGGTGGCAGCCTGCCCAGTGGGAGTGCACGTAAGTGCCGAGCAATGAGGCCTTCTCTAACACGAAGGGGGAGGAACTGTCGTTGTCTGCGCCCAAATGACGGTCTGTCCCTTTGTGTACAGGTGGGGCGGCCCGGCCCTGACGGTACGGTGGTTGTGCCGGCGGCGCTGCCGCTGAGCGCGGAGCGGCTGGACGTGCGCGGCGCGTTCCTGCTAGACGACGGCCTGCGCATGGTGCTGTGGCTGGGCAAGCAGCTGCCGCCCGAGTACGCCGCCAGCATCCTGGGGGCGGAAGCCGCAGGCCTGCCCGACCTCACCCAGGTGGGTCACCCGCGACCTTACCAGGTGACTGCGTAAGAGATTGTGATGGCTCCAAACGAGTCTCGCATGCTCCCTTTACTTTTGGGCTACATAGACGTCAGGCAGCGCTAAGCGCCGTGGTGTTTCTTGCAGGTTGTGCTGACGCCCCAGAAGAATGCAACGTCGCAGCAGCTGCTGGCGCTGATTGCGCACCAGCGCGAGGGCGCGGGCGTGTACCCGCCGCTGGTGCTGGTGCGCCAAGGGGAGCCGCGTGAGGCGCTCTTCTACCAGGGCCTGGTCGAGGACAGGGGGGTCGGGGGGGTTAGCTACGTCGACTGGCTCAGCACCCTCCACAGGCAGGTCCAGCAGAAGGCGTAGCCTAGGCTGGTCAGGAATTGACACGTGAGAGTCGCATCATGAAAAGGTTGTGGTCCAGTCAAAGCGCGAGCAGTCTCGACAGTTACTTGACAACAGTGTGGCGACCGGTTGCCACATTGATTGGTCGATTGGAACATGCATACAAAGCATCCAGTGCTCGAAGGTCGTTTCGAGCATGTTTGCCCAATCGAATGGGTCTTCCTAAATAAATCATAAAATCGACTGCCCCATTGCTTGCTTGAAGTAAGACATCCACCTAGCTACACTGAACTGTTTTTCGACATCTGTTGAGATCGCATTCAATTCCATGCAAAAGTGGTTGTATGAATGCCATTGATCTTGACTCATGATGATTGGGTCATTATGGGGCCAGCCATCGGCAAGGGTTTTTCTAATATTAAAGTGGGCGTCGGGGTGTAAAGCCGGTATTTTCCCTAAAATACCGGCTTGCTCCCTAAATCAGGAATCAACCGAGTCGCCGCAGCTCAGGTGGCTAGCGCGCTCGTCTAAACGTGGCCAAAAGGTCCGAGGTCCCGGGTTCAAATCACAACTACTTTGCTTCTTCTTTTTTGCCACACCCAGCTATTAAGGCTTGCTTTTGGGGCCATGCCGGGCACCTAATTCGACCCCGGACAGGCCATCCGACGATTCAAGATTCTCCAAGAAAATTTGGGGATCATCGAACGGCCCTATGTACATCTAGTTTGATTGTACCGGGCAAAGTATGCCGTGACGTCATACAACTTCGGCGGTATACCTCTAACCTTTCAAAGTACCGTAGTGACCTACGTACTCCGGTACGCTGACGATTTCTGATGTCACGACCAATCGCGACCGTTCGCACTGATCGGAGTCGGTGGAATTCTCGGCGTACGATCAAATTGGGACCCGCGGGTCCCACGCCCACTTTAACCCTTCTGAAGTTCACTCACATGGTCAAATTCAGCATGCATGCATAAAACTCAATCCGGCAATGCACATAACTCTATCAAGATTACTGGTTATTCAATGATTGATCGACTATGAATCTATATTATCCGACGTCTAGTGTATTGGTGTATTGATATTGCATATGATGCAATGTATAGTATAGCGGATAGAACCTGGCAGAACTGCGTGACGGTGGCCGCCAGGCAATCAAGAAAGGTCGGCAAGTTTCCGCAGGCTCAAGGTGCACGTGCGTATGTAAATATATGCCAAGCCGGGAGACGTATATGATACATGCAATGATGCCGCAGGCCATGCCTACACTAGCTGGCCGCATGGTGGCATGCCATGATGATATGTTCTCTTTCATGATTCAACCTTTTAAAGATCGATTGAACTTGGCCCATGATGTACGCCGTCGGACGGTCAAGCTAGATCAATTGGAGCTGGAGCTTGATTTCGATCAAGCCGATCTTGATCGCGTCGGAAGGAGCTCTGGCATTGTGGCCATAATTTCTAGGCCTATCCTGGACCCGGAGGTCGCACACGAGCTAGTTATATGCAGTTCCCGATGTCGCGACAGTCCGTCGACGGTCGGGGAACCGTTGCCCAACGGTTGACCGACAACATTGCAACAGGGTTGCAACTCTGTCGCGACACTGTCGCAACACCGGAAGTACCTTTTCGACGTTCGATTTTCATACGGGGTTGACATAACCGACCGCCGAGTCAAACTTTCAGCCTACAATGTTCCGATCCTGGACTCAGATTTTGCCGATAGCCGGAGGTCAAACTCGAGTGCCGGGCTCCGGAGACTCGACTTATTCAACCCTGTTAAATTAAGCACATTGTCGAAGCACATTGACACCATTTCCATTTTAAAATGCCCAATTGACACACTCTGCTGTAAGTTACAGTATGTTTCTAATGTCCTAGGCTGCTTAACACCTGAAGTAGAGAGTGTGTCATCGAGCGAAATTGAAACGCCGTGTAATTGTCTTTTTAATTTGCCCCTATTTACGGGCAAATTACTGAGGCAGTGTCGCAAGAGTGTTGCGACATTTTCAAATATATCGCGGAGTTGTTGCCCGACGGTCGGGCAACCGTTGGGCAACAGTTCCCCGACCGTCGACGGACTGTCACGACCCCGGAAAGTGCATATAACTAGCCCGTGCAGAGTCGCGGTGAAAGTCGCGGACGGAAGTTGCGGAAAGTCGCGGAAAGTCGCGTAAAGTCGCGGAGCATCACAAGCATCTAAACACAAAACTTGCTTGAAAACATATCTCCCGGAGGGGCATTGAAGCTTAGTAGTCCCCCATTAGTACGGTCGCGGAGCAGTCGCGTAAAGTCGCGAAGAATCGCAGAAAGTCGCGCAACGTCGCGGGCAACTCTGGCAACCTCCGCCTATGTCTAATTGATGATCATGCATTTTGGCAACGCGTATACTAATATGAGTCTATATACTATTCAAAGTGCTAAGAGTAAGAATATCATGCAGTCGCCTCTGGCAATACGTATACATATATGTTCGAGCGGTATCACTGTTTCTCATGTACTCTTTTCCTAACTTCAATGCAAGATGAGGAATCTGATATGCATGATTTGATCGAACTTACGTAAATATATTTTTGACATACGGACGGCTGGTGTCGTAGTACGGTCACACTCATCATTGCGTGCGACTTCAGGATTTGTGCAAAATTTTAATAGATATATCGCGCGATTTTAAAAGTTTCCGTAATTTTCGGGTATGACGTCACTTTTTTGTGTTTTCAAGTGAAAAACAGAAGGTTTTCAGGTATCAGACCACGTTGTGATGCATTCGCGTCAAAAATTTTCCGTGCTTTTCGGAATATGCGAAAATTTCTAAATATGAAGGTTAGGGTTTTAGGGTTTTTGCAATTTTCGGAAATGACGTCATCGTTTTGGGGTTTTAGGGTTTTAGGGTTTTAGGGTTTTAGGGTTTTAGGGTTTTAGGGTTTTAGGGTTTTAGGGTTTTAGGGTTTTAGGGT